ACGTGAAAACAGCCTCCTACCAATTTTCGGAAATGATCGACAAAAGTCCTGACGTATGAGAAATAATGTGCGCATTTAGAGACATCGTCTGCCGGTCGTTTTTCGACGTGGTTGAAGTCGTGTAGTCTGTAGCTTTTACTTGTAGCGTGCCTGATTAGGGGACGTTTTTTTTTTTTGGTGTGTTGATTGTTATATGCCTTTATTTTATTTTTTTGCCTTCTATTTCTCGTCTTATAGTGCAATGAGAGTAATGTCCAAGTTTTTATACTACATGAGAGTGCTTTTTCTCTGTTGTTGTTCTTGTTGTCGTTGTGGCAATAATGGCATCCCCCCACCCGTGTGTGTAAAAAAAAAAGCGTGCGTATTCACCACAACCCTAATATCATTGTCGTTGAGAAGCAGCATATTGAATGAACTGCCATATTCCTTTATTGCCTTTTATTTTTTTCAAGAGTGCAATAAAAACTGACGAGAGAGTTACCTTCTAGAAGTGGTCTGTTTTTCTTCTTCTTCACTGTTACGCAAGACACAGGCGTCCCAATGTTGGCGCGCGTTACGAAGGTCAGGTGTCGATTACCAAACCGAAGGCCTCGAATACTTCAACAAACGCGAAAAATGCCCGTCGACGCGTTGCCGTCAACGTGAACGATGTGGAAAGCCACGTGATCAGGGACTACTGATTTTGTCACTGTGACATTAGAGATCGCCAAAACTCGTGACGTCATGATTTTAAATAAGTGATCGCAAAACCATCAAATGGTCTTACGCACGTGGACCGATCTCGGAAGCAGTGTGAGACCACGTAGAGTGCAGAGACGTTGCAATGCCTTCGATGCCGGATGCAACTCAAAATGACGTTGTGTAAAGAACTGAAGCTTTCGAACGGGATAGTAACCGGGAAGGAAAACGTGTATTCAGCCTTCAAGCTAGTGGATCGTGCATCAAAAGCAGACGCAGCGCACACGTCACGAAAATGGACGGAAGGAACGCGAGGCACAGGAGAGAAGCACTGACGACAGCGGCGAGCACAGATGTTGGTCATCGCATTCCAAGGTAAGCTCCGTAGTTTTGGTCACTGTTTGATTGGCAGGAACATTCTGTTTTTCTGAGGGGAACAGCGCGAAAAACGGTACGGAGGAAGATTTGAACACACGCCACAGCGCTTTTGTCGTGTGTCCAATCTTTCTCCGTCCCGTTTTTTTGCGTTGTTCTCCTCAGTATCGTGTACCAACTGGCCCTTCAAGAAAGCCATTATATTTTTGTCAGATATACTTGCTCACGTTGGGGTTTAACGTCCCAAAACCGCCGTATGATCATGAGAGACGTCGTAGTGGATAGCTCCGAAAATTTCGACCACCTGGGATTCTTTAACGTGCACCTGGATATATTAGGTACACGGGCCTCAAGCGTTTTCACTTCCATCTAAAATGCGGCCGGGAATCGATCCCACGGGCTTTTTTGTCGATCAGACCCACTTGAAGGTAGCACTTGCTGACAACGCTGATCTGATGAAATGCTCGGGCAGAAGGTGAGCTTCGTACTGTCATTCATTTTAGCTCCGCAACTTGAAAAACGTACATGCACAAAAAAAAAACAACGCACATAAAACGAACGCTTACCCTATAGAGCTCGTCCTGTCTGTGTTTCAAAACTGGACGCTAAAATGAATGAGAATTCTTGCAAACCCCGCTTCTATACCGGGATGGGGGATTGCTGATGCATCACTGCACTGTCTCATTTGCGGGAAATAGGAGCCGTTCGGCCACCTGTCCGCATTGACTGCTTCGTATACTGCCCGTTTCGGGAAAAAGCGCCGCCATGATGGACTGCGCGCTTTTTTCTCTCCTGTGAAAACGTCCTTTCTGGGCTGTGCGAATTGGCGTGACCCCCGAAAATGCACTGCCGAGGCTGTGCCTTTAGACTCAGTACTCTCACGCGCAGCCCATCAATGGCGGCGTTTTTTTCCCTTGTGTGAAAATGTGGAGGGGTGGGAGTGGAGCGTAGGGAGCCTTCATGTGCGCGCGTCTCACAGTGCGCGCGTCTCACGGAGACGCACGCACATGAAGGCTCCCTAATCTGAGGTATCTCTGCTTCCCGATGCTCCCTCTAACGTGATGCCGATAAAATCACAAGAGCGTGGACCAAAGCTAGGGCGGCTACCAAAGCTGATTATACCCGGAATCAGGTTGCGCTGGCACAATGCTGTTTGAATGACTCGGCTGTAGGAAAAGTTTTGGTGTTGAAACGGGTTGTTGGACAAGCAGGAGTTGACTCGGCGAAGGAGAGCTTTATTTAGCGCAAGGGCTAACTGAACGCAAGCCTGCGATCACAGCAAGTCTTCTTTCTTTTCTATACTCGAGCTCCATGCCCACTGCCCTCGTTACAATCACCCCCGGCCGATGAGGGAGCCATCCTGGCGACCTAAGGACAGGTGTACACAGAAGGGTCATGGTATGGCTTGAGCCGAGAGATGTGTACGATTTCTTTTCCCCGACGGCGCTTGTCCGGAGATGCATCCAGTGGCTCGACAAGGTAGTTGACAGGGGATGTTTGGCGTACAACTCGATAAGGGCCATGGTACCTGGACGAAAGCTTGTGGGAGAGTCCTGGAGGAGTAGAAGGAATCCATAACCACACCAGTGAGTTCGGAGCAAAGCTCATATGCGTGGTTGACGCGTCGTGGCAATGTTTTTGGCGCGTCTGGTCATGTGACGTAAACGCACGAGCAAGCTTCCGACATTCTTCAGCGTGTGCTGCTGCTCGAGAAACGGTAGTCATCTCTGAAGGGTCCGGTCGATAAGGAAGAATGGTATCCATTGTTGATGATGGCTCGCGTCCATAAAGAAGGAAGAAAGGTGAAAATCCAGTGGTGCTTTGCGTTGCAGTGTTGTAAGCATATGTCACAAAAGGGAGTATGCTATCCCAATTTGACTGGTCGGATGAAGCGTACTTGGCCAGCATATCCCCAAATGTACGATTAAAACGCTCTGTCATCCCATTAGTTTGCGGGTGATAGTCTGTGGTTGTGCGGTGTATGATGCGACACTCGCTCAACAACGCTTTGATGGCATCGGAGAGAAAAACGCGGCCGCTTAGTAACTCCCGAGGTGCTCCATGCCTTAAAACCAGGTTTTGCAGTATAAAACACGCAACGTCTTTTGCGGTAGCAGAAGGTAACGCAGCTGTTTCAGCGTTCCGCGTTAGGTGGTCGATAGCGACAATGACCCAGCGGTTGCTACTCGAAGTATAGGGAAGCGGACCGTAAAGGTCGATTCCGACACGATCGAAAGCTCGTGCTGGACATGGCAACGGCTGCAAGGGACCTGTGGCATGTTGAGTGGGCATTTTGCGTCGCTGGCACGTAAGGCAAGACCTTACGTAACGGCGAACGAAACGGTACATACCGCGCCAGTAGTACCGCAGCTGCAAGCGGGTGTATGTTTTTAACACACCAGCGTGGCCACATTGCGGATCATCGTGGAACGTGGCACAGGTGTCAGAGCGCAGATGTCGGGGGATGACGAGCAACTTACGGCCGATAGAGCTGTAGTTTCGGCGGTAAAGCAGGTTATCCCGAATAGCGAAGTGTCCTGCTTGACGGCGAAGCGTCCTGGAAACTGGAGCGGGCGTCCGGTTTGAGAGAAAGTCCAAAAGAGAAGAAATCCAAGCATCTTTGCGTTGCTCGGAAGGCATGTCCGAAATGTTACAGTGCGTTACAGTCGTTACAGTGCGTTAAGTTCTTTGAAAGTTTCTAAAGCGAAAGTGGTGCTTCGTTAATTGGGAAAAGTCGCCATCAGCACGAAGTCGACGAAATAATCGTGCGATGGCATCGTCATGAGGTCACATATTGCAAACATTCATCGCATTATTGTGACGTCGTCATTCGGTCAGAGGTGTCGCTTTCGCCTTCGAGTAGTTCTGGGGAATTCGTGAGGAACCTGCAGTTTCATTTCGAATAATTTAGCTTTTTTTTTCTTGTACCGCGCTGTAGTTACAGGCTTGTGATTAAACGTTTTCATCATGAGGATTTATTTGAGGCAAATATTTTTTTTTTCTGAGAAGGAACGCTCAGATACTTTTCAAGTAAACGACTTCTAGACAACAAACCGAGCCGATCATTTTTGCAAGGAAGAGTTCAACAACATTCATAAAACTGTGCGACAATTTCATCTGCCTGACAATGCTAATCGATGTTTTCTAGTCGTATTTTCAGCCTTCAACACAAGCTATAATGGGTAATGCGAAAGATGTGAGCAGATCCCATTGAACGATTCCTGCGGCTCCAGCGAAAGCCTTCCGTTACGTATTTTCACAGAACCTACCAGAAGCTTTAAAGTCTTTCCCGTTAGCTGAAAAAAAAAATATTTGTCACTGCTGGTCACTTAGAGAATGAACAACACTAATGGCTGTGGCTCTGAACTTGATGAGAGCCACACCATCTGCCGATCACCGGGAACATAGAGCATCACATAACGCGCTTTCAGGCACTTATGCTAATGTAATAAACCTTCACAATTACATTACGAGAACGACTAATTGATCTCGCTGTTCCGTTTTCAAATTGAATATTTGCGCGGATAGCAGCAGTACGCGCCACTTTTGCTCGCGCTTCGTCGCCTGCTACGAGGAGTCTGTTGGCTGCAGTAGCGCCACCTGTACAACAAGTAATTTTCGCTCCGCTTTCATTGTATGGCGGAGGTCATGAGTTTATCAACTGAACAGGTTCTATAAACGTTGGAGTTCAGTTTCATTTAAGTAATGTAGAATAAGTCCTACTCACGCAGCACATTTGTAATGAGTGCTTACGCAATGCACACGTTCATATATTTTTATACGTGCAACATTCGTGAATTTCGCAAAGATTGATCCGCAGAGAAAACCCGTTCCAACGTATTTGATCCACCAACGTAATTGACCGGCAGCCAGCGCTCTCTTTCCGTATCGAGCGAGAATAGAATACTTTTCGCACGCGCGGACCGGCTTGAGTCGCTCTGAGGGGGCGCCGACGTCGCTGCGTTGGCTTCGTGGCCGATGGTCGCTGCTGACGTTGGAGGAGCCGTCGGAGCCGCGCTAGGAGCGTGTATGCGGGTCTTCGCCGGTCGTGTACGCAGGACTGAAGGTGTCTCAGCATGGAGCTACCGCTAGGAACGGTCGTGAACCCACACTACGCATTCCCCATCGTCGGCGTCATACTGTGCGCCCTGCTGGTTTTCGCCTTCGGTTTCAAGTCGCCCTGCCAGCCTCCCAGCTTCGGAAGCATCGACGACGAGAGCGACAAAAAGAAGAAGCGAAAGGCCAAGGAGTCCCAGAAGGTAGTAAACGCCGTTCACTTCCTCGAGCGGGGCCCACCGTGGCCGTGCAAATAATTGGCGGGGTCTTCGGTGTGTTCCGCAGCTGTAGTGAGGTGCCAACCTGTCCCAAAAGTGCCTGCGCCCTCGGGGGGGTCAACATGCATTGCGCTTAGCGATCAAGCGGTGAAAACGAGTTCTCTCGCGTACATGTCGCCCGTCCCCTCCCCTCTTCTCGAGAGCGCCCTGCCATATGCGAGCTTCGAAAACCGGATCACCGTACGAATCGCGGATTTTCCGGTGCTGTCGGGTTTTCAGTGCCCTAAATGTCAGGTGAACAACCAATGCCTCGTCGCGTAGTCGCCGCCGTGTTTCGTTTTCCGAGCGCATCTATCGAAACCGTACCCGAACCGCGTGGCTTTCACACCGCGAGTTCAAGGGGGAAACCTTTTCGTTCTCTTTTTTTTTTTTGTGTGTGTGTGTACGGCTTTGCACTTTCGCGCACGGGCTATCTTAAGCGTCGGGCCTGTTCGTATCTAAAAAAAAAAAAATTGATAAAGTGACTGCATGCGCGATGCGATGGCAAATCGCCGCCTTGCGCGTGTGTCCACGTTTCCTGTATGCCGCAGCTGTGTCAATTTCGTCCAATGGTCATTCGTCAAGATATATAGCAACTCCGCAAATGCTAGGGGCCGGTCGGTGCACGTCAGCTGTTCGAATCCCGCTCGAAGCACGCGATGCGAACATTTGTGAGCCATTGGTCATCTCTCCTACACTCTTTGAAAAAAACCTCCAAAAAGAAAGGAAAAAACAGGAGAAATTCTGATTATTTTTAGGGTTGCTGCAGCGTATGTATGCTCAGCTCCACGTCACCGTTGCCGTGCTTGGTTTTGCTGGTTTCTTTTTTAGCGGTAAGGTGAGAAGATGGGCGAGCTGTAATATATGCGCACTTAATAAATAAAACCCTGAGCGAAGATGACGCAGAAAAAGGAACCAGGACAAACGGCGCTGTTTAACAACCGAAATTTATCAACTTCGAAAGCACAGGAAGCTAGTCAATGTGCCGTCGATCGCCTATGGCGCGCGTTCGACCAAACCCGATTCCTCCGCCGGTGCTGAGAAAGGAAGGGGCAGGGAAGACGAAGATTCGTTTCGTATCTCGGCCCCACATCTGGCGCATGCCCGCGCGCCTCTTGCTGCGGCCACCGACCGACCGCAGCGTGCGAGATTAGATGCCAGGCTCGGACCACTTGGCCGCCGACGCTGGACGTTTGCGTGTTTTTATCGTTATGGTGCGCTTCGTTTCGCTTCCTTTGCGGGTTTTAAGATTTCGAAAAACACGCTGACACAGACTAGCGTCGTCGTCGCTCCCCCCCCCCCCCCTCTTTTCTAACTTCCCCGCGATCAGGCAGGGCTTTGCCACTTGAGTCTTCGAGGTGACAGACTTTGCGGAAAGTGGACGACATTGGAACATCTCTTGCGTGCGAAGCTGCATTTGGTTTTAAGCTTCTGCCACGTTCTACCGAAGCCATTTCGAAGTAGATTAGAATAAAGGATGGGTGGTGTGCAATGTTCAGCTTGCATTTTCACGTATGACAATGTCTGGGAGTTGGGTCTCCGATATTTTGATGCAGCAGAAAGTAGAATGGTGTGACGAAGATGCCATGCTGAACTCCACTTAATTGCTTGCAATGCCACGACGAAGAGCAAAGACATTTGACGCTTGGAAGCATTGTCACGTGGCTGTTATGGCATTGCTTCGATCAGCACATGGGCACAAGTTCAGTTTCTGATTGCAACAAGTACATTTCAACAAGGGCGACGTGCAAAAGAGCCTGTGTACTCATGTCATTCTGACACATAAAGCCTCAGAATGCAATTTCTAATCACCGTTCTCTGTTGGCGCTGCATCTAGTCCATACCGAAGCAGTCTTTGCCTAACATGCGATGAATGGCTCCTCTTATTGCTGCATTTGTTGTGTATCTAAAAATGGCATTGTGCTGCAAGCACACATGCACTTTCTTTAACACGAATTTCTCATTTGCTGCATGTGTATCCTGTTTCAATTTACATTCACAATTGTAGCGGGTTCTCATTTCTAGAGCAAAGCCCAAGCCAATGGCCATGCACCAACTGCATCCCCAAAAGTCGTTAGCCAAGCCAAGCCCAAGGTAGAGAAGGTGCCTGCTGCTCCTGCAAAACAGAAGGCTGAGAAAACTGATGCGAAGGTATGACACTAATCTGCTGGCTCACGTTAGCTCTATTGTTTGAACATAGATTAAACACGACTACTTAAACGCAACATCAAACAAGGGTTCCCTGAATCTCTGACATCACATGATACCTCATGGGACAGCAAAGACGGAATGTTCCCAGCCAGAGTTTTAGATAAGGTCCTGAAAGTCTCCCCGTCTTTGATTGGTGTTACACAACGATTCTGACTGCACTGCCTTGGAACAAAGTGTGCTCCTTGTGTTGAAAACTCCTAGTGCTAGATGTACAAGACAGCCTGTAATGGGCACGCAATGTTTCTGAGCATTCTCAAAAGCTCTAATGGTCACAGCAATTCTTTTGAAGACCCTTAAGAAAACACATCTGTAGAAAATGCTGCCACAAAAATTAACAGCCTAACATTACTCAGCTGTATGCAGCAGGAGGCTCGTGTGGCTGAAGCCGCTATTTGCTGAGACCCGCTCATAAAATCATGGACTCACAGATACAAGTCAGTGGGCAACTATTCACAATTGTGAGTTCTTGCTACATAAAAGCGTCTAAATGTACACCCCTCGCATCCCCTGGCAGACGGGTCAGGTGTGGTTGTTATCAATGTTCTCCACTCCTTTGTCGGATGCCAACTTCAAAGTGTTGCCATATGTGCATCGCAGAAATAAAAAATAGCAAACTAAAGGGTATTGTATAGGGCATTGATAACAGGAGCGACGAAACATCAACTAGAAGAGGAGGCATAAAAGTAAACGTGAATTTGGTACCTGCACCATCTTTAAGGCTGTTTCCAAAGCTTTTTGCAAGAATATGCTTGCATTGTAAGGCATCACACTTGTTTAATTAGTTTTCAATAAAGAATACATAGCAAGGTGCGGCAGGTGTTCCTATTTAGAAACTGAAAAAAAAAAATTGTTCAAGACCTACCTTTATTTTTGATGCGTGCCAAAAGATTGAGCTTTGAATCCTCGTTTAAAAAAATGTCAAGTGTGTGGTATATGTCCTATGTCCTTAAATGTCGCTAAGAGGCATCTTCTATGAAGAAAACGTTTTTCGAAGAAGGCAGTGTAACTGTGACATGCCGTTGTGGCCGTTGGATATATGTGGGTTTTGAGGCAACGTAAGAAAGAGGTCCATACATATTGGAGACCAGAGAGGAATTGCCAGACCCTTTTTTTTATTCCTCGAAGCTGCGCGAGCAGGTGCGAGCTTGGCGCCGATCTGTTTGTAGTGTCTTCGCAAGATGGCGCAAGACATGCATTGAGCACCGTCTTTTGTCGCTCGTGACAGTAGCACTCTAGCATAATGATCTGAAAAAATACGAGAGGTGGAATCTTCAGAATTGAAGAATATATATTCAAGTGAAAAACTTGGATATGGATAACTTCAACTGGCTTGCAAGCTTTGCTCTTCTTTAGGGATATTGGGACCAGCAGCGAGGATAGCTCAGGCTTCCAAGCTCGGGTGCCATTTCATGCCCTGAGAACATTGATGTTCTTGCGATCTCTATAGGCTGCTCAGCCAAAAAAGCCCGCCCAGGCCCAGGAGAAGCGGCAAGTCAGTGCCAAGGGAAAGAAAGAAGCTGCCTCAAAAGCTGCAGAGGAGCCCGCACCTGCATCACAGCCTGCTGAAGATGCTGGAGGTACGTTGCAAGCACAGTGAAACTCGACGCGTACATTCCTCACTTGTACATTTCCCGGTGCATCTAACACTTGGGGCACCAAGTCCCAATAAAAGATGCACATACACCCTATGTACAGTACTCGCAGGATTCTAACGTGATGCCAAATTTTGTAGTATAATGAGTGGTATGCGCAAATGTTCGAGATAAACCATGTCCTGTCGCAATGAATCTTGTGTCGAAAGGTAATGTTGACTCTGATGTATGCATTAGAATCAAAGTTATACTCATGTGACTGACCCAAACTCAAGACAGTAGAAGCGAAAGTAGGCACGTTACGTGGCCCTAAATTGTCTCGTTTCAGTCCCTGAGTTCTGTACCACAAAAGCTCCGTGAACACTGCATTGTTAATTCAGGAAATAGTATCATTTGGACTTGCTTCATCTCACTAAGCGTATGCATTGTTCAGTGGTCAAGACACTCTTGTTAATTCAGTCAGGTTTGGCCACAACCCAGTGAATTCGGACACTCCACAGACAGTGCCACAAGGTAATACCTTTCAATTTTAAAGCCGAGAAACAAAAGTAGGCTCACATCTCTGCTCTTGTCACTCTGGCTGTTGTGAAAACGTCTTTAAAAGGATACTGAACAAAAATTGGACAAAACTGACGAAACTTCGAAATTCCACTCTGAAGATGCGACTGTTCCGATTAATGGAGCTCACTTCTCGCATTTTTTAACAGATGGCTGAATTTTTCATAATTTGTCGGCGCACAGTGGCTGCACGCGAGCGTGGGCCATGACGTCACAATCTGCGACGGTGCACGGGTTCCTGTCCTCCTCTTCCCTTTCTCCACCTCTTCTTTCATCCTACTCTCGTTCTTCCATAAGAGTGCAAATGCTTTACTTCAGCCGGGAGCATTCTTAGCTGCTGGTGCTGTTCATACCTGTTCTGGGAACCGTAGCGGGGGATGAGTGAGCCGAGAGGCGCAGTCGACGGCTAGCATTGTTGGCATGCCCGTTTCAGGTGTTTGTGACATTGCAAAATGCCACCTCCTGTAGTTCACGGCACAGCCGATAGACGTGGCAGTTTGTGAAAAAACGCATTAAATTCATTATCTGCCTGTAGTTCCTACCTGAAATGAAGGTTGTCTCTATCGATTTCAGGACCCACAATTTGGTTGGTGTCAAAATTTTTGTTCAGTATCCTTTTGAGGGGACATTAGCGTGAAGTTGCAGTCTTCAAAACTGCAGTAGTAGCCTTCAAGACGATTTCTTTTTGCCGAAACATTGGTTCCAGCAACACGCCGTGTTCATGAATTTCGCGTCTTGTTATGGCTCGTAATCGTCATCTGGAACTTTGTGTGACTCTCTTTCGAGGAAGTAGGTTTGCTTTCTCGAGGCTCTTTCATAGAAGCACTAGGTGGCAGCATTGTTAGTAACGGTCGGGAATATTTTTAAACTGCTGTTTTTCTTTTAGTGAAGAATATTAAAGTTTTTGCCAATGGTTATTCGAGGATAGAGTCATTGCCAGTTGTCACTGATGCAAGCTTCTCTTTTGAAACAGACGGATGGGTGCAGAAGCTGAGCAAGAAGGAGAAGAAGATACGCCGCAAAGAGGAGGAAAAGACGGAGAAGACCGAGAAGACCACAGTCTCGGCTGACAAGGCCAAAGCATCGGCCAGTAAGTTATACTCCAGTCAGTCTGTTTTGTACACATAATGCAAGCACAGTAATTATGAGCAGAACGGGATCTAGAACTTTCGGTTGCACTATTAAGGGCCCTCTTTTTCTGACTTAACTGGCAGGTTCCCAAACCTGTCAAGTGGAAAAACACTCTCATGTAAGAAAACACTTGTGATTTCTTGCTTGGTTGGTTGGTTTCACAATAAACCCAATTTACAGCTTAAACAGCAGGCATAGCAGTGTGTCTCATTTAGAAATTATGTAATGCAGAAGTAATTAAATTGAACTTTGTACTCCTATACATTACCCAAAAGATGCAGGTTTTGATAACAGAAAAGACGTAGTTAAGGATGAAAAGGACTTTAATGGGACAGACATTTCTCGTTAGTTAATTTTTGCTTATCGTTGACAAGTATTAGCCATACCATCAGTAATGCTACAGTGTGTTCCCAATGCAGAACTTCCAGCTTTCAGAACATTACGGTGTCGTTGCATACCGCTGGGAAAAACCTCATGTGGTTGGATTGGGTGTGCCCTGTCTATCCCAGCCGTTCACCTGCTGTGGTGGTCTAGCGACTAACACATTGCGGGGTTAAGAATGAAGTTGCATGTTTAGTTCCCAGCCATGTCGGCCTTCACTTCAGTGGGGTGAAATACAATGGCTCCCATTCATATGCTTATAGTTAGGTTATCGTTAGAGAGCCCCAGCTGGTCAGAGTTAGTCCCAAAGTCCCTCACTACGACATGGCCCACAATCATAGCGTAATATTAACACACAAATCTCCTGAATTTAATAAACTTCACTGACATTGTTGCTCGTCTTCAGTTTACATTTTAAACAAGTTTTAACTGTTTTTATTCTGTTCTTTCGATGTAAATTTGTCGTACACGGTGTAGCACTATCATTTCTGATTGATGCATTGCGCCGGCTATGTTTGCAGCTGAAGAATCCAAGAGCCCCGCAGCAAAGCGCAAGAAGCAGGCCAAGGAGGCTGAGAGTAAGAAGCCCGAGCCGGCTGCCGATATACCAGCGGAGCCTGTCACTGCTGATGCAGTCGTGGCAGCTGATCCTGAGGTGAGTTTCACAGACTTTTGCAGCAAAATTTCTCATTGGCTAAACTGATTATGAGTAAGTAGTTTTTAACCTCAGTATAATGAACATTGATGTAGTGAATTATTGGTCAACGTTATTTTGTTATCAATATGGATATAGCGAGTTATTAGTTATAGCGAACTAAATGGGAAGTCTGGTTGTCCACACTTTATTTCAGTGGCATTTAGGTATTCTTTCTATAGTGAAACTGGAAATGCGAGAGCTGTCAGTATATTGACTGTAACGAAGAAATATTTTGTTTGTGCTGGGTTCGAAACTCTGAAGGTAGCATGAAATGCAAAATACGTATTGAATGACTATTCAAAGCCATTGGTTGGGACATTAAATGTTTGGTTACAAATGCAGGTTAATAAGTTCTGGCAATTTTGATCATCCAGCGCCAAGTTCTGTTGCAGCTTCTCTTGCTTATGTCCCACTCTAATTCACTTTGGTATGCCCCATGAAGACAGGTAATGATCACGTAGTTTATAGTGGATTTTAAAGCCTAGTGTGATGCATTTTTGTAAGATTTTTGCATGAGCTATATTGTCTCATTATTAAGGCTGATTTTTATGCCTATTGTTACTTTGAGCATCGAAAAGTTACGAAGTAAATTTACAGTCTTGATGCTTTTTTGTTGTCATGAGGGTTTACTTTTCACTAAAGAATCTTGCTAAGGCCACAAGGCACAGGAAATGTCAGCACTTGGGCAGACGGCACTTGCACCTTATGGCTATTATTTGGTGCGAGTCTGAACACGCAAAATGTGAAATGTTATAACATCCGTTTAGTTCCAAGGTCGTACTAAGGAGTTCTGAATTCTAAGTTGAACCCTTGTCATTTGTCACTACCGGGATGTGACAGTGGCGCAGTTCTTCATACGTTTCATATCAAAAGCGACTCTTTTCCCGAGCTTTTCACGATTCTTCCAATCGTGTTTCAAGCGTCAAATTTCCCGCAGAGGCTCCTCTTTATTATGTACACTACAAGGGGTGCAACAGCTGTGCCGATGTGATACAATTCCCCATTGTTGCACCGAGCTATGCCAAAACCATGTAATTCGCTGAAATTGCCCCACGCTGTACCAAATTGCCCGACCAGCCTCAGTATTATCTCGTGTGCACTAATTTCAGTGAGAAATGGTGGCCACATTGGCTATCTGCGCTCTGCATCATCAATCAAACCAAGCATGCAGACCCTAACCCTAAACCACGGTGTAAGTTATATACTAGTAATAGTTTAACAAGAAGTAACAACGTCAGGCGCTCATATTGGTCTGCTGACCACAGCGAATACCCATTGATGGGGTGACAGAACTTCAGTCCCCCCTCTTCCCTCCCACAAGAAGTTTTTTTTTTCGTAGCCACCTATGATCCACGGGAAATATGAATTTCCTAGTCAGCAAACGTGGTTATGGCATGTTGGTAACGTATGCCACGTTTTTCGCACGTGAACAAGGTCAACGTGCTGCGAACGCCATTTTTGTCGGCCACCGCATTCGTTGACATAGCAGAGCAACAGCACATAAAATATTTTTTTTGGCTTGAAGTTGCATCGTCCTTGCGATAGATATTCGACGCTATCACCAGACAATGCACAATAAAACCTCAACTACCTCTGTGAAGACACGTTTAACTTTCAAGTTATACCAATGGCTAGAAGGAGGAAATCAGCCACGTTTTTTTTTTTTTCTCGCCACCCCTACTCCTTTATTTTACAAATCTCCAGAATTTCAAGGTTGCCAGCTTGGTAGAGTCACATTTGTATTCAGAGTCTATCAAAGGATTCGATGGGCATGGCAAACGCGTATGTAGACTTCGTTGTTTGCTCAGTGAGGCCAGAATGCTACTTATATTGAAATAGCAGCGCTCATGTTCTCTCTGCATGATTAAGGTGGGTTGAATGTTTATAGTGTGCATATTTGACGTTGCGCTGTGGTACATCACTAAGAAACTGCCCCCTCATTATTGAAAACGAAAGTGTTATTTTTCGGTAGCTGTATTAAAGTGTGTTCAATGCATTCCTAGGCACCACAATACTTCTTTTAGGTTTATTGACACCAGTGTTTTTGTACAGAGTGACAGTTCAGAAATGTTTAAAATTTGGGCCAGTATTCTAAAGGCAAACAACAATTTATGTCAAAGTGAAAGCTTAATGTGTGACAATGTTCAATACGGCAATATTATCAACAGCAGTACCCTACTTACGGAGAAAGGAGAAATTAAGCTAAATGTATCACACGACAGGCCCCGTGAGTGGGTTGACACTCTCGACACGCTGAATTGCATACGAAAAAAATGACACATGGATGGCACTGTGCGTCTTTTTTTTTCGTGTGCAATTCAGCGCGACGAGAGAGTAGACCATGTACAACCAACTAGCCCCTTCTTCCTATAAGTGGGATATTTTGGAAATGACCCCGATGACGTGAGAGCGTCCGACTACACTTAATGGCTAATAATCAATCTAGCTGCAATAAAAAAAAACGATGACGTGAGAGCGTGCGACTACACTTAATGGCTAATAATCAATCTAGCTGCAATAAAAAAAGAGCCTTTCATACATCAAGAGACGTAATAAATGCTGCTTGTCCATGTTTAAAATTTGCAACCGTAGCAGAGCCTGAAAGGCAGCTTTGCCGCCATATGAGGTTGTGATGGCGTGAAGCATATTGAAATTATGAAGGGGCTATTGTCAATGGGACGGTGGCCGTATGACTTCGTGGAGCCCGAATGTAAAATTCCAATGCGAATCGAATTGAATAGCAAACACTAGTTAAAGAAATAGTTGACATCTGAATGTTCGCACACCCCTAGTATTAATATTAAAGGACATGATAGGCTCTCTTGAAATAACGTCCATTTAAATCACATTCTATCATACATGCCTATATGCATTCGCAGCGTGTGTGTGCTAAGTTTCTTAATAGGTTGCGCTTTCTTTTCACAGTTGACACTTTGTCAAGACCTTGTAAACAAGGCAAGTGACAGTTTTATCTGTCATCAAAACAGTTTTTTAGAAAAACCTGCGTGCTGCATTATGTGATATGCGCTTTTACATGACCCTTGCACGGGTTTGTCTTAGTTCTGAAACCACTTTCTTTTGTATGTGCATGGGCTTAGATGTTTCTGATTTGCGCTTGTTTATTTGTATGTTCTTTCCTTCATGTTGCATACCCTGGCACTGAGTCTATTATCTGCAGTTTCTGAACACCTTGTCTTATGATGACCTGATTTCCTTTGCAGTCTTTCTCGTGGTTTCCTTTTAAACGTGGCTGTTGCAGTTTTCTCTTGCATATTCCCATCTTTCCTTTTTAAAGGAACGCATGAAGGGATTACAAATTTGTCTAGCATGAGCAGTAAACTGCCCTTGAACACTATTGAAAACACAACTCTTGCTGAAAGAAGGCATTTAGTGAGCCACAAAAGCTACAAAGAAAAAAAAAGGGGGGTGGCGAGACTGCCTTGAGAATCCTTCACACCAAAGGCGGCGCAGCAAAGTGGCCAAGCGGGCTTTTTGATGTGGTGAGCGTGTGAACCTTTTCAGACTGCACGCTTCTTTCGGCTGGCCACGCGGCAGAAGAGGCGGGCATCTCGGGCTTTTGTGCACGTGTCTGTGTGATGTGGCAATGCTTCTCCTAAACGTGCACCCGCGCCACAATCGCGCCTCCGCTGCGTGCCATTCGCATTGGCTGCGGCAAAGCGGCAGGCCTCTGCAGGCGGCCAAAAAATTGCTCAGGGAGCGATTGCCCTCGCCACCTGGTTTTTCTCCCACTTTCGCCGCCTGGAGAGGAGGTCTTTTTCTGCTTTTCGCGCCGCCGCCTCGCCGCTTTGGTCGCCCCGCCTTCGGTGTGAACGAACCTGTGGAGTTGCTGCACGGACACATTGTGGCGTCGTACATTCTGCATGCATCTGTTAAGACCTAAATAATTCTTTATTTGCAAAAACATATTATGCCGTGTTCTAAGAGAGCCAACGGTTTAACATGTTAAGTTTGGGAACACTCGTACAATCAATGTGGGCGAAATGCGAAGAAAAAAAAAAATGATTTTAATTTTATGACATTACATAGATGTACTGGCTTGAGAGTTTTGGCTGAAATTCGAACAGGGCATCATTTGCCTTGTCTTTCTCTTTCAGTAATAAATCCACAAATGTAAAATTAGTGGAAAATAGTATTTTCAAAGAATAATTTATCAGTCCATACAAATTTAGTGCTTCACTTCAGCGTCCCTTTAAGATTGGCTGCAATTTCGACAACCCTCTGTGTCAAATCGAATATTAGCTTCGCTTATAAAAAAAAAATCTGTCTTGTTCAAGGCTAGCCTTGAAGACGAGTCAACTTGTCGAAACATCGGCTCCAGCACACAACACCTGTTTACGCTTTCTTCTTTTTTACTCGCAAGCTTCCATCTTTTTCTCCGTGTCATTTTTTCGATCTGTGTTGACATGGTGGGAGGAAAAGCTGTGATTGGTGGCTGCAGTGGACAGTTGAACACTACCGTTCTCTTGTTACACGTCTAGGAGCATCCCAAGGATCAGAGGAACAAGAAGAAGGCCAAGTCTCCTCCCACCGAGCCGGAGCCCGTGAAGAGCCCGACCAAAAAGGAGTCATCTAAGAGTAAGAATGTGCCACTGTTTCTACAATATTTGTCTGGCTATAACACGCAGCATGTTATTTGTGGGTTAAGAGTAACACACTTTCTTGCGCAGCTTTCTCAATGAAAACTGCTTAATTTCGAATTTTGCAAAAGAAAAAAAAAAAAAAGAATGCTAAGGAACTCGCCTAGCAAAGTAGAGATTGGTGGCTCTTGGCAACGGTTATCAATCACCACTGCCATATACGGAAATTTATCATTTTCCTATCATCTGCAGCAAACATTTTCCTATCATCTGCAAATTTTGTAATTTTCCTTGTTGCAAGGCTTTTATGAGGGATGTAAGCCTGCACGTCAACTACACTCATGCCCGCAATATACAGGGTGTTTCAGAAAATTGTGTCCAATGTTAATTAAAAGTTACAGAAAGGAGATGTCTGCCTTTTACCAATGGCATAACCTTTACTGTGGTAGAGAGCATCTGAAGATGTGCACTCACTTAATTACAGCTGTAATTACAGTCATCAATATAATTAGCTTTTTAACGAGTGATAATAGGCAGTTTAGTTCATAGCCACTTTGAAATTTTCATAGCCACTTTGAAATTTGTGAAAGGCGACCACTGGTAACCATCGCGGAGCGATGAAATCTGGCTAATTCAGATGGCGAAACCGAAACCGACGCAGCAAACAGGGCATCTACTATTCACTTCGAAAATGCCCTCAATGCCCGTTAACTACCGCCAATCTACATGCTTCGTTTCATGCAACGCTTTCTTGCCGCATGGCTGCTTATCGATGCTTGCTTGTCCTCCTTGCCCAATTGTGAGGGAAACGGTGTCGTCACTAAAGCCGTTTTCGATGTGAAGGGTTAGATACACTGGTGCTTCGGTTTAGGTTTCGCCAGCTAAATTGGCAAGCTTTCATTGCTCCGGCGCCATTTCCAGTGGGTGCCTTTCGGAAAATTTAAGATGGCTATGGACTATTCGCAGAAAGGACATGACTGTGCCCGTTTGACTCTACCGACAAATTTCATTGGTTGAGAATTTACCCATTTTCATTTTTGTAACTACTGCCATAATTAATTTTTGTGTGAATCTTAGAATTCCCTGTACCAGAGTAAAGGAAATGCCGCACAGGTACTTCCTTTCTGCAATTTTTGAGCAATATTGGACACATTTCTTAAAACAGCCTGTATAAAACTCGCATGTGGCGGATTATTCTGTGCAGTAGAATCGGTTAGTAACGAACTTCGAAAGTGGCACGGTAAGCGATCTTTATATCAGTAGTTTGTTAAATACAGACTTGACATAAAAAAAAAAAAAAAATTGCAGGCTGTTTTTTTTTTTTTTGGTACCTGTGTTTTCATTCAAGAAGTGCCAACAACGCCTCTGATGACAAGTTAGGTCTTTCTGCGTGTTAAGCGATGCCCGCTGCGCACTCATGAATTAATTAAACCACGTTCGCACGGAGCACAGGTCATTCCGCTGCAACGAAGTACCGCCACTTGGAACCAATCATCCCTGGCTAGTTGAGCACTGCACATCGCTTACTCGGCTCTTATCGTAGCATACATAAGTGGGCGCATGGTTCCTTTAAGGGTTGGTGGGGGGGGGGGGGGGGAGTTCTTGCAGTGCTTTTCTTCTCTTATTAGGTAAATGTGTGAGGTCTGCTTTATTACATATATGATATATACTTTATGCAAGGCCATTCTTTATTGTATGTGATATATGCTGTTTGAATTCGATCGGAAGTTATTGGACCGAACAACTATCAGCTTTGAATCCACTTTGAACCTAAAATTTACTATAAACACAAGCCTACCACAATTAATGCATTCTTTTTTTTTTTTTCATTCTTTCAGAGGATGCTACCAAGTCCGAAGACACTTCAACAAAAGCCAAGGGCAAGGGTGGCAAGACTGAGAAGAAGCAAACTGAAGATTCAAAGCCCAGTGACGCCGCCAAAAAGGCAGCTTCACAGGAGAGCTCACCCGCAGGTATTTTCTCGCGTGCTTGTTTTTTTGTTTCATCCATAATAACCTCAAGAAAGTGCTACGGGGCTCTAGCTACGTACAGTTAACGACGGCAGCATGATACTTTTGTAGCTCTTTAGTTTGCTTTGCACACCAAATCAGTCCAAGGTTGCACCTAGTCTTTTTGGAAGAAGACATAGCTTGTTATTAGAGTTTTAGGCCATCCGTGTTTAGATATAATTCACAGAATATGCCAGAATTGCGGAAGCTGATACAATGGCAGTGACATGATGAAAACATTTCGTGACACTTTGGCGTCTCTACAATGTGTCAGAAATAGTATTGTGTTATGCGATTGTTGTCACAGGTTGATGATGATTACAAACTTTACTGATGTACAGGGGGGAGGGGAGTAAGTTGTTTTCGGAATACATGGGATAGTGGATACAGGCAAAGTTCCTGTGGGTTACCCCAAAGTGGCCTTGCCGATGGTTGGGGCCCTTATTCAAGTGCTTCGCTGGCTCTTGCCATTTGTCCTGTTCTCTGGACAAGCCTGGCCCTGGTCGTCGAGGGCCGAGTTGCTCACTTTGGTGTTTGTGTTGTCTAGTGTGCACTCCCAGACAATGTGGTACAGGGTTGGTGCGGCCCCGCACTGTGGTCACTCGTCCCGGGAGAGAAATAGCCACCTCGCATCAACAGTGGTTGCCACCGATGCCTTTACGTCTGTAGCTAAGAAGACCATAGCGTGGTACCCCGCGTTTTATACTGATCCTGTGTGGCAGTGTTATCCATCTTTACTCCAAATTCTAGGTAGCAGCACATCTGAAAGCGTAATGAAGTGGACAGCTTTGATGTAGGGGATCAAGCTGCACATTTTCCCCATTACTTTTTGCCTTACACAGCATGTTTGTTTCAAATTGTTGGGCTATATCTGCGTCATTTGATAAAACGTTTAACTGTCTCCTCAGAAGCCTAGTTCCGTGCACCATTCCACTTGGCATTGGAAGTGCAGAGAGTGAGCAGTAATCACGTGTGCTATTATGTGCAGTGGAGCCATCTGTGAAGCCAGCAAGCAGTCCAGAGACTGCAGCATCAAAAAGCAGTGAAGTTGTTCCACCTGCGGAATCCAATGTGGCTTTTGACGAACTCGGTGGTAAGTCTCATTAGAGAGGTGCGCGGGCGGAGCTTCAAGGCAAATCCATGACATGATAATTCACCTTTGGCTTGAAAGGGAACTTTAGCTTTGGCAGTTCCCGTCTTGAATGTTCAAGAGCCCAGAGAGTTTTTTTTTTTTCGTGTGAGATAATTTTTTTCAACGTAGAACAAGCTGTGAAAGCCAGCCTTAGTCAGACAAGGTCAAACAAGTGCTAGAGCTTGTTTCTCCTATTTTTTGGGGTCCATCCTCGTTTGCGCTGATGTAGTCGCCTTAAGTAGTAACTCAATAGTGCAGGGGTGGAAGTGCTGCGCTAATTGCACCAATCTAACCTGCTGCGGGAGGCTGTGCATAAATGGCAATTTCCATAATTATTGTCGATTGATAGCATAAACCACTAAATCAAGCCAATTACAGTAGACTCGGCAAACGGAAATCTGTTAAACGGACTCTTTTGCCCGCCATGGTGGTCTAGTGGCTAAGGTACTCTAAGGCTGCTGACCCGCAGGTCGCGGGATCAAATCCCGGCTGTGGCGGCTGCATTTCCGATGGAGGCAGAAATGTTGTAGGCCCATGTACTCAGATTTGGGTGCACGTTAAAGAACCCCAGGTGGTCGAAATTTCCGGAGCCCTTCACTATGGCATCTCTCATAATCATATGGTGGTTTTGGGACGTTAAACCCCACAAATTAATCAAATCAATCATTAAACGGAACTTTGGCTTAAATGGAACAACTGCCTCTGATATGATTGGTTTCATACTTGAACGCTGCTGCCCACTTCACCTCTGAGTAAACAGAACTCCTGTTAAATGGAATACATTTTCCCGGTCCCTTCGGGTTCCATTTAATGAGAGTGTACTGTATTATCATCAACCGAGCAACACTGAGCATTGGCTACACAGAGGACGTGGCCACATACATATCCAGTGTAGCGCGATCACATGTTCGATCATGATCACATTGTATTTCGGTTCATTCATGGAGCTTGCTAGCGCTCGTCTCATCGCTGTTAACGTCATGGTTTCCCCGTAAAAGTGGTGGCACCAACATAAGTCACTGTCAATTATCTTGCAATTCAGTGAAACCCTGATAATTTGGGCCAGCTGGGAATGCAGCATGATCATGCACTTAATGGCAGTGCGCGTTTACAAGTACAAATGTGCGTCTCCTGATGTGCGCCATCGTCACGACTGAACAAATACAGTACCACAGCAGTCGTTGCCCTAAGTACCCACCAGAAAGTCCTTCCTTTTTGCCGAAGTGTGAAAAGACACTGGGCTGGCAGTCACGCAATCGTTTTATAGCGCGCAGTGGCGGCGCCAAGGAGCATTTTGAAACTATTACAGGGTCCAGTTACGCAGTGACTGAGATAGCTACAGAACGGACACTATCGGTCTTCCGTGAATACATATGTGCACTTCTCTACTGCGATTTGATATTAAGCGACAACTGACAGTTTCATTGTAACGCGGAGCGGATGCATAGACTTTATCATCTTCTGGTTAGTTGCAGGCAGCGCGGCGCGTGTGCTGCCTACGCCATCCTCGTCAGGCGGCTTGCTGCACCATGTGAATTTCTCTTCACCACTTCACTACAGACCAAGCAGCGAGTACAGATGAGCAGAGTGGCTTGTTTAGTTGTGGTGGGATAACTCTGCCAAGCGAAGTGCGCCGAGATTATCTAGCGTTCATGAAAACGAGAGATAAACATCGCTTATCCCTTGTTTTCTCCAGGATGCTTATTCCTCGTTTTCTCCAGGTTATTTTCTGTAAGCTGTGATGTTTAATGATGGGAATGCACACACACACACAATTGTCGCTAGAAAGTCTGGTCAGCTCATTAGTAGTGAATGTTTAGTTAAAACCATTGGAATTCTTTTTATCGTAAATAATTCCGATTGACGATGATGTTTGATCCTAGAAAGTTGTTCCAAAACTAACTTATTTTGTTCCAAAGCACCTTTCGGTCTGAAAATTCTCCAAAACTCCCGTTTTACTGCGCCAAAGCTGCTCCAAAACAGCATTATTCCTGTTCCCTGAGCTGCTCCAAAACACTTAAGTCCACTTCTGCCCCCGATAGGGCTTAAATGCACGTGAAGTTTCGAAAAAGATATCGTATAACTATGAAATTTCAAAATACTTGAATTCATAACCCTAAAGCAACAACAAAACAATATCCCAGTTCTGCAGTATACTATACTCAATAATACACCTATGGTGGACAAAAGTGTTGTGTGATATGCTGCTAATGTATTGGTACTTCATGAGTATGACTTCTCCATGTTTTTACAATAGTTACGACAGTTGTAACATAACTGAGTTATACTTATTTCCATTCCTAAGTTAACAGTAAGAGAATTGATAGTTCCGTTTTCAATGATTATTGTGCAATAGAGGTGGTTGAAATAAAAAGCTTGGTGGCCAATAAAAGGATTTCTTTTTTTTTTTTTTCATTTCCATGCTTTTACACAGTATAAAAAGTTTGTCTTGATCACCCTGTTGTAATTGGTAATAATAATTTCTTATGTGCTCGTTGCATCACCTTGATAGAATCTCAGCTTGTTCTCAGCCATCTTCCAAACTGATATGTGGTGATCTTGCCTAAGTCTAAATAAAATTATAAAAGTGCTGTCATTTCACAGAATCGAATAACTGTGAGATTATTACTAACTCGCCTGATACATCGTGAACAGCACATGTGTTGTGCACTGATATAAACTCAAGCTGTAAGATTTTGTTTTAGGATTAGATTTTATTTGATAGCTTTGTTGATTTTTTTGTATACATATGCAGAAATCACAGCCTTATGGATTTAACCTTTTTTTTAGTCAGTTGAGGGACATGAGAGAGTTTAAAAATGTGATGAAATTATAGGAGTTAGAAGGCTTTGCAGGCATAAGGCGAATGAGCTAGCGTGAAATCTGGGCCAATTGGAGATTGTTGGGAGAGCCCTTCAGTCAATCAGTCAGTCAAACAAACAAAGTTTGTAGTGGACATAAATAGCATGGCGACGATTACGTGATTACATTCTGTCCGGATACTTCTTCAGATGCCTGGACGGAGGCCAAGCCCCAGAAGAAAAAGAAGAAGGCCCGCAAAGACTGAAAGCCGTGCCCTGCCTTCTCGCCTAGTCGCCCTGGAATCCAGGTGAAGCGACCGTCTGCTTTGACGGGACCAAACAGCTGCCACTGCGTTGAAAGAAAAAGAGACGTCCCTGTGGGTCCCACTGCGCATTCGCTAGCTCCCGCAGCGAGACTGACGCAGCGTGCTTTGATGTCCCCGAGCCATCATCCCTTTTGGTGTCTCGTGCAGCAAGTGACTTTCTCTTAAATCTGTGGCTCGTGCAGCGACGGGTGACGCGTCTTGAGCTGCTGTCGTCAGCGGTGTCGCCACGGGGACGGCACAAGCCGGAAGTATGCAATGCGCTGCCACCACGCCCCCTGCAGCCGCATCCTTTTATTCGCGGTATTCGCATTCGTTCTTATTTTTTTCTTCTGCTGCGCGGTGTGGTGGTGGGCACAAGACGAGACTCGCCGTGTGGCCCCTCTTCTTCGTTTCCTTTGACATTGATTAATGCAAACTCTAATCCCGCCGTGCATGCGAGGGAGTGAGAATTTGTACCTCTTGCCGTCACACTGGTGGAGAGATGCTCATTCTGCGTCGTCTGCAACGTCCTGTGAGCGTGTAAGGCATGGGAGGAGGGGGGTGATTACTATGTCAATATGTTTTCTAAACTTTTTTTTTTTCTTGTTCTATAGAGCTTTTATTTACTCCGAGCAGGCCACTGTACATCCCTCAACGGTTGACAGCCTTTACCAGTCGTCGTCTTCAAAGGTCCCCGTGAGTGAATGGATCGCACCATTCGCAAAGGTCAACGCTGCTCAACGTGTTTTTGCTTCTTGCATGTCCCCTTTTTACTTTTTCATTCTCTCTCGCTTATTTTACACTCAGGCCACTTTCTTTTTGAGTATGGGGAGAGTAAGTTCTATAAATGCTATATTTCATATTATGGTTGGTTGGGTTGCATTAAGAGTTTTTACCTATGCTGTTGTTTATATGGGCACTGCCTTTTGCCACTCGTTTTTTTGCTCTGCCCTCTGTGAGAGCAGGGTTACGTGGCGGCTTCCATATTTTATGTGCCACACTTTATTCACAGACATGTGTATATTTTATTGTGCAGTCTCATATTTTTTTTCCTTTTGTCCGGGGAGTTTTTTCTAAACATATATACATACATACATAGTACTAGAGGAATGATAGAAGGAGCAATGATTTTTATGCATTCCTGTTTGTTTTGTTCTTGCCGGTACGATTTGAGGCGAGAGCATTCTACGTGTACCTTGTCCAGGCCTTTTTAGAACACTTTGTCTTCCTTTCTTAGATCGTACCGCACTGACGTCCCTTTTGTCGTTGCATTGGGAGTGTTGTTTTGGGGTGCTCTACAAGTTGTTAGGTAAGAGAGTTTATTCATACGAAAGCATGCTAGGTTTTTTCAAAATGGCCTCGTTACGTCAAAGCTATTGTGCAGCAGTCAAAAAGTGATCGAGAGCTTTTTTTGTCTGCATTTGCTGAAAAGTGTTTGCTGCGAGACGGGCGCTTTTCAAAAAGCACAGGCGGGGAAATGTCGGCCGCAGCGCATCCACCCGCGTTACCATGGACGTTTCCTCGTTTCTGCCTGTGTACCGTTTACCGTATATACGCAGCAGGCACGTCTTTCAGCAAAATAGTGAGAGGGCGATACAACCACGCACACTTTTTCTTTTGTATGTTTATTTCTTTACACTATGAAATCTTATTCAGACACGTCGCACGAGTTATTTTGTCATTTTTTTCGTCTGTTTTCACGCTTCCGTACAAGTTTTGCAAGAAGTTGTGATAAATGCAGGGAACGAATGGCGTTTTTCAAAGTTGCCTCGCACTTTGCCCTGTTGTTGAAGAGCAACTTGTTATTATATAGTAATTATCGAACACAAAACTGTGTACATAAGGGCCAAATGTCCGTGAATGGACAGTTCCCACTGTTGTCTGCTCTCTTTGTAATAAAAAGAAGAAACTTGACTCGGAAAATGGCATTGTCACTTGTTTCGTAGTGGATATCACACCCGTTGCCATTGGCTTGAACACAGGTTTGAGGGGTGAGGCTGCCAGCCATCATAAGTTATCCTGGTCGGTTATGGCGTCTTGCTCTTCTAACGTCCCCGGCACTGGGTCTCCACACTGCATGGGACACAGTAAAGAGAACATGCGCAGATGTCAAGTTGCAATGTCTGCGTATGCAGCGATATGAGTTGTTGCGAGTGTGTTACGCAGCCTAGCCTCAGCTGCTAGAGGAATGTTACCGCTGGAGTATATCTTTTTTCCCCCTAAGGCTTGTCCATGTCTTTGTTCCCTTTTGGTACTTTATGTTAGATTTGGCATCATGGTGTCAGATCTTATTTGTCTCGATGGCCTCCGGTCGCACAATTCACATGGTATGCAAGAACTGCTGAACTAAACTTCAGGCGCATGACTGTCTGTTGGTGAAATACTGCAAATATTTTTTCGTATTTCTGCAATGACTAAATCTGCGCAAGCCACAGGTGTGGTGTTTAATGTTGTTTGAAATGTTAATGCTACCGCAATGGCCCAAAATGCAGCAAGCCCTATAGTTAAAGCAGCACTTATACTTTTTATCTAAAGTATTTGGCAATATTGGGCCCAATTCTTTGAGTGCGCAATAAATTGTGAAATTGAGTGAATTCAAAATTTATGCCAAGTAGAGCAGTGCTGCAAGTGCCCATATATCTTGTCAGTGATAACCTTTTGCAAGAATTCACAAGATATTCCGGCTGTTTTACCAAACGGGGTCATGCACAGCTGTGGGCGTGGCTTGCAGTGAAGAGTAAACTCGAATGTGCAACATTGCAGCACTGCTATGTCCGCTATGTTAAGGCTTCTTTAATCCATGTTAAGGCTTTTTCGATCCTCGGAGCACCTGCCTGATTTAGCTTTCGAAACTCGACGAGGCGCGTGAGCACGTGCTCCACGATCTGCTTCGGGTTGCCCGACGGCACTGCCGATGCCCAGCACTTGTCCGCACTGCAGCAAGAAATAGTGCAGGTCCTCGTCGGTGCACTTGTTCGCTAGCTGGGCCAGGCGGCGGCTCTCCGAGCTCAGCTCTTCATCCAGATCAAACAACTCGAGGGGTGGCCCACTGGGTTCTCTGAAGCATGGTGGGAAGACCTGCAGAAGTTTGAAGCAGCAGAAGACGAGGGACGACGCATGAGTGCTAGTAGGTCGTCTCTTGTCTCCTTTTGTGTGCTCCGCCACGGTGGTCTAGTGGCTAAGGTACTCGGCTGCTCACCCGCAGGTCGCGGGATCGAATCCCGGCTGCGGCGGCTGCATTTCCGATGGAGGCGGAAATGTTGTAGGCCTGTGTGCTCAGGTTTGGGCGCACGTTAAAGAACCCCAGGTGGTCGAAATTTCCAGAGCCCTCCACTACGGGGTCTCTCGTAATCATATGGTAGTTTTGGGACGTTAAACCCCACATATCAATCAATCATGTCTTCTTTTGTGCGTGTGTTGCCTCCCTTACAATTCTCATGTACGACCAACAGGTCTAAATATCCACAATTCTACAGAAGTTTGTTAGCAATGAGAAAGCATTGTACTCTGGCATACAAGAAAGACACCGTGAAAAAACATGCAGTGTCCCTTGTGCATTCATTTGGTGTAGTTATTTTACTGTAGACTTTACACATGCATCTAACGTTCAGTAATTAATGTTCACTAATGAAATTGATGTTCACTAATGAACTTGCTTTATCATAATGAGCTTTCATTACTGATTAATTTGCTTTATTATCATATACATATATGCGCACTCATGCTTTTCCCTCGTCTCTGTATGGATTTAGCTTTGTGAAAGATAACGTGATATCTTTTGCTTCACATCTCTCCCGTCTTTTTCATTAAGGGTGGCTTTTACATAAGACATATACAGCTTTTGCTTTAACAAAACTTTTGTTTAGACAAGTGGGAACTCCAGAATCGGTGCTTTGGTCTGGTGTAAGATTTGCAATGGTCATTGTTGAACCGTGTTGTGATATATGACTTAGCATGCATAGAAACAAAGAAAGGTTGAGATCTGTTGTAGTACAGTCGAAACTCAATATAATTAACATTGATATAACGAATTATTGGGTGCAACAAACTAGATTTTAAATGTCTCCCAAGCATATTGGTGTTCGAAGGTTTTGGGTATCGTGTGTTGATGACTGCGTGTGCGAAGTGCCAAGTATTAACTGTGGAACTGCTGTGCAGATTGTTAACAGAAGCCTGTGCACTCTTTTTCTTAATCCTGCTTGCTTCCGGCAACTCAGTCTATGTTTACTGACACCTTTGTGTACTAGAATGCATTATTACCCATGAAAACATGTGGCTAAGATGGTAGATCATGCAGTGTGGATTGCCTGAAACCACCGCGGGAAGTGAGTGAGACCGTGAAAAAAAAAATGGTTTGGGCTTGTAATATGCGCACGACTCGAATGTGGAAAAAACCAGGAAGGTCAAGGCAGTGGCGGCTGAGAACTTTGAAATTACAGCTTTTCGAATACGATGACTGGCAACTTACCGCAGGTTGTAGTGGTGGCAGCGGGCATTCGAACTGTGGACTTATAAGTCGCAGCGGCTCGTGCGGTACACCGAGCTCTTCATAGGCGCTAGGAAGAGGGCAGGAAACTTCCAAATGAATGCATGCACAGCACTAGGTACTTTCAAAATTTTTGCTTTATAATGCGAACTCTTGCTGTACATACAATTATTCGCTCGAATACAAGCAATCAATTTGATGTGGATGCCGAAAAAGATAACGCAGACACGGACATAGTAGCACTCTCGTCCTAAATCATTGCTCTTGTATTTCTGCAAGCCCTGCCCATTGTCCTGAACTTGAGCATGGCATTCATTCAAAAAGCTGTGCTACAGAGACTCTATTGCGGTGGATAAAAAGGAACAAAATGTAGTTAGTTTTGCGTGGACACCAGTATAGAATATCTTAACCTTATAAAAATGGGACATTAAGGCCACATATGTAGTTTAGATGACCATTTCGAAGCGACACCAAAGAGAAAAAAAAAACGAGTTCTCATATCGGTAAATTACCCTATTCTAATGCCAAAAAAGCACCGCTCCTGCTGCGAGAAGGTTGTGCAAGCATAAAGAAAAACAAAAAAGAAGTGGCAGAGGGCAACACTACAATAAGGTCACTTGCACCCATCACATGTCTTGGAGCTGTCTGCTTGGGCCTGAATAATTCTTTACAGTAAATATGAAAGCGTTATGCTCAGAGGGAGGCACAGATTCAAATAGCTAGCTTGACATAGTTTTGCTGAGCCAATGCAGCCAGAATATGGATAAGACAGATCCACAACATCACGAGGACATTCAAGTCATGCTTTTTTTGTTCTGATAATGAACACGTAATGGTGAGATCAATACTAGAGTTCCTCCAAGAATAGCTTATCAGTTGAACCTGATTCAGGTTTTCACTTTAGTCCCTTTGCTCCTCAGTGGCTTCATCTTGAACGTTGTGTCGAGTGAATTATCGTTACATAAACTTGGCAGCTAGCCAGCTGCCGTTTACAGATCGGTAGACTATTGCCTCACTTGAGAACCTCTGGGAGCATTGAGTTGTCCAGGATGTACAGCTCTTTTTGAAACAGCTCCATGTGGTCGTTGGGCAGCTCCTCTCCCTCTTGCAGGCAGCAGAAGGGGGCATCGGCAATCGTGGCCATTGATGGAACGGGGTTGTAGTCAAATACCTCGGGATCTCCAGCATCGATCGCATTCAGCTGCACCTGGTCGCTGGTCAGGAAGTGAAACAACACGTCCTGCATTGTTGAGAGAGAGGTCACACTCAAGCTTGAGAAACCTTGTCGAGCGTTTTGGATGCAGTGTGACATTCAGATTCAGGTGCTTTATTAACGCGATTGCGTGAAAGTGCCTGCTACCGGGTTTGGTGACATTGTCATTGGTAGTAAAGAAAAAAGCGGCATTGTCTGCGAGCAAAAAATTCGAAAAAGATGCAAATAATAAATAAGTAAAAACAAACATTTTTGTTCAGTGGAGATTGAACATGGGACTCCTGCATGGCAAGCAAATGTTCTACCACAGAGCCACGTCACTGCTTGAAGCTATTTGGGCAAAAAAAACCTGTGTGAATTTCATAATAGTGCAAGGAGTCTCCTTAACACGTGTAATATTGCGTGTGAGAGGTGTAGAATCACACGGGGCATCAATATGGGATTTGCACGATGAGTGGTTGGTTTAAAGGAGGCCCACTCATTACAAAGTGCACAGGCATAACTAATCATTAACAGCATCAAAAGTGCGCAGGTGTGCGCGATGTCTGAAGTATGCTTGGTAAGAAAGGTACTACACCTATTTGCTAAAGAAAAAATTATGCCATAGTAGGCACTTTGCAACACTACTCGCAGTATGCATTCTGGGATAGTCTAAAACAGCCAATGTTACACACACGGACATTTCTTTCCTTGTGGCATAGTGTCCACTGAGAACCGAAGCCAGGCTAGCAATAGAGAAGGTTATGTGAATGGGACCCAATGACACTATCGCGTTCCACTCTTGAAGGCGGAAGTTGGAGAGTCCTCCAAGTTTTGTTCTTGTTTCTCAAATTGCACCGTGAGAGGTACAGAAGCTAAGGGTACAACAATACCTCATAGAGGCCTCTGTGCCTGTTTCACGAAGGTACAACAGTTCATTTCTTGAAGTTTGCTGCATGCAGCAAGTTTTTATTGATAATGGCACAATAACAAAAACAATACATTCAAAAGTCTCTTACAGAAATCTAAAGGCTACCTACTAACAATTATTCTAATGCAGAAGACCTTCCTCTACGAAGTATAATAAATCAGTTATCAACATAAGTTACATAAATTTGACAACATGATGTACAATGCAATATACACAAAACGACTCTTTATGGAAAATATCAGCGGAGCAAAAAAAAAGCATGAACTACAAAGTAAATGCACAGTCGAAGCATTCATTACAAATGAATTTAGTTACATACAGTACAAGGAAATAATTATACGATTTTTTGGATCATAAGAATAAAAAAAAACATGCATGAAGGACATATCTGAGGTCAAATTCATGAAGATTTTGTTTGATTGGAACCAAGTGTCTGTGACAAGCCAATTTATCTTTGCAAGTGTAGTATGTTTGCTGTCACCACAGCCCGATGGGGACACTTCATGGAGCATAATTTTGAGGACTTTCAATTTTAATTGTTGCTGCCTTCATGCATACATGCACGCAAGCGTTCTTGTCAGCCCAGGAGCTAAGCTTGTTAATGGCACTGGTGGCAATGTAAACACAAAGTGACGACGTTGGAGAAACACCAGCCAACACACCTTGATCTTGCTGTTGTCTTCCTTGTCCAAGTAGTGGTCCGAGAGGAAATGGCATGAGCCAAGAACCACTATTCTTCCAGACACACCCTGCAGCGAGATTTCAACATTTCTTTTTCACACATGCGACCCGCAATATTGAGCTCTTTCTCCTTTTCAGTCTTTTCTTTTTGTCAATGAATTCTAAACCTTGGCCTAGGCAAAAAATATTGAACTCCAGAGAATCGGCTTTATTGTAGTAGAATAGCATACACTACTGACTATATACACTTAATCTGCACATCACACTTAAATCTATAGCCACAATTTCACTAGTTACAGTATGATCAGTGTGCTGTTCTTACTTCCATTATGATGCTTCTTTGTAATACTTTGAAGAAAAGAAGCGTACAATTACGGAATCGTTTTCTTTGTTAGACACAATCATGCCAAGCGAAGTATAGGCGATGTTATATGAAGTAATTGCAGTTAAAATGCGAAGAACGAAAAGTGGATGAAAGATAACTTGCCATGGGGAGGGAATAGTTTTCATCACTGAGAAGGGTCGTTAATTTAGTAGCTGTCTACACTATTTCGTACATGTAAGGCAAGGAAGCAGAGATTGTTTATTAAATGTGGTGCAGGTCATAGAGAGTCTAGAAGGTTCGGAAATTGTCACTATATGCAGAACTCGCTCAAAATGCAGAGCTCGCCTAATTGAAAAACGAATTCCAGGCATTCTGCCATATTATGCGCTCTAAACTGTAGCAAGGCCATGAAAAACCCCGCTCGAAAAAGCCCCAAAAAGTGTCAGCTTGTGCTTTGTACGGGCGTGCAGACAGTCGATGCAGGAGGGGCTGTCTTCCCCCTGTAGGCTGCCGAGTGTAATGAGAGACAGCTCACTTGCAACAAAAAGCACGCACATGCAACTGATTCTGTTGTTCAGAGGTGTACGTCTAATTCACAGAATGAAGGAAAGACAACGTGACACAGAAGAAAAGTATAATGCAAGAAAAGAATCAATTTCTAAATCTATCCACTTGTATTGGCATTTTTTATGCTTCTTCATTTTTTATTTCACGACGTAAGCTGCACATGAAAATGTGATGAATTTGTAGTTGGTGCTATCGACGGCCCATTTTCACATCTATCTCTATAATGCGGTTTAAATGCCTCTATAACATCTCTTTCTACCTAGCTTACAACAACGTTTGCTAATGACCTCATTTAAGTACCCTGTCCGTTATTATGCCTTTAAGCAGCACTTTATACCTTAAGCAACATCAGCTAGCCCTTGCTGCCTCGTTGGAATGATCACTGAAGAACAGTGCTGAAAATTTCAGCATGCCTGCTTCATCTGCATGTCGGAACTTTACATCATCCTATGTTCTTTCTTCTCAAGGAATTTATGTCGCCAACTGAGATCAGCTTGGTTAACCCTTGCTCTACTTCTATTTGTCGCTCTAATTACTATGTTTAACATTTACATCTATAAAGCAACTATATGTTCTAAGAAGTGTGGCAGCTTAGCTAGTTGGTATGGCATGACGATAGTTATAGCGCAAGAACAGAACGACAACACAGAGACAAGAAGGACACGAGAACACTCGTGTCCTTCTTGTCTCTGTGTTCTCGCGTGTCCTTCGTGTCCTTCTTGTCTATGTGTTGTCGTTCTGTTCTCGCGCTATAACTATCGCTATGTTTTAAGCCTGCAAATTGATAAACCTACCTTCTGCCCAACGTACAGTGCGCAGACTGGACGTGCCACAGGAAAACAGCAGCCCCCCGTGGACAAGACGGCTACTGCAGGCTTAGCAACATTTAGTGTTGCACCAAAAGGGTAGACAAACGTTAGTCCTCTGCAGGAACAACATTCAGGTGTAGAACTTGGCATGAGGATGTCGTGAAGTCAGATTGATACAGAAGAGAAGGAAATATTCGGTTCACTGGTGAAACTGCATATGCAGCACGCAGGACCAATTGTGAATGAAATATGCCAAACGGCCTAGCAAACATGTCAGCATGAAGTCTCCCAGATAAACCCAAAAAAGCTGAAGGCTGTCATCTTGGCCACTCATCCGTGTACTGGTGTATACCCTCACTGGTGATGCTGTTCTAAGCAGGCACAAAGAACAACAAATGTGTGAGGTAGTCGGCGCATGTAGCCCCCCATAAAATGATTATTTACTCCATATGAGAATCTACCCTATGCACGAAGGACCATATTAGTGACCTTTCTTCGAATGGAGCTAGCAGAACTTTGACGATCTTTCAAATAAGATGGATTAACACTTTCAGAAGTCTCTTCGATGAAACTCTGGATTTGGCGATAGTCTTTTTTTTTAATGACTTCTCATTATTCACCATTGACATGCTTATGACTATGTGAACAGTACTCACTAAGTGAAACGGGCAAAGTTATGCACATATTTTTGTTTGCGCCATCTTCAGTTGTGGTAATACTGGCATAATTACGACTCGAACGCATAGATCAGAGCCAATTTTAGAGACCCGATTTGTCGCAACATGACATGGTTATCTCGAGCAATTGCACATACCAATGGTTATACTAAACATTTTGACGACAAGCTTCAGTCTGTGAGTACTGTACAGAACAAACAATAGCTAAATGGTGTAAGGTTTGTGATACCCTCACCGGTTGTCACCAGTTGGGGAGGGGTCAAGTGCAGTCTCCTCCAGAGCCCTGTTCACAGCTCTGTTGAGGATTCCGTCCGAGATCAATGCTTCTTTTGGGTGTGGATACTTGTGGTAGACTGTCCTCACGACAGCATCTGTTGAACCGAGTACAACGCCTTCAGTTTTCTTTCTTTCTTCACATGCTTGTCGACACTGCTACGTCATATCAAGGTCTGCAAGATAAAAACATCCTAAACAACAAATTAGAAGGTAAATGTAGTCAGCAGTTCTAGCTAACTTAAAAACATGAGTGCTTTTATTGGCAGTTCTTCTCTAAAATAAAAACGAGGAGGTCTGTTTTGTGCCAGTAAAACATTATCATTAGCTTGCAGCTGGTAATTCAAGTTTTACAAATGTTTTTTAGAACACAGACACCGTGAGCTGCGGTATCTCATTTTATTATTGGATAGTGTGCTTACCGCTGTTGACAACGATGCCATATTCTTCGAGCAGAAAATTTATGTTGGTCTGGAAGCGGCGTTCCCCGCCTTCTCCGACCAAGACCAGCAACCTGCCGCCTTGAGTCACGAAATCTCGCAACGCTGAAAACTGCACAGGCATAATGGTTAGAATTCTATTTAGTTTATCTCTATTAGCACTATCACTCCGTGAAAAAAATATGGCCTTATTGGCAAATACAAACTTCTTGTCTGTTAAAGCATATATGACAGCACTTATGACTCAATGAATAATTCCCCCCGCAGGGGCGCCTGCTCAAGTAGGCGTTTGGTGTGTAGCGACACCACGGACCCGAGCTAACGGGGGAGTTTCGGCTCCCTCCCACGCCTAGCCATGCGTGGCTTTGCCGTGTCCGGGGAAAAGGGGATCCTGGGGGTTGAGCTGACGCTGGGTGATTGGACCTTTAAGGCCCCCCGGCAGAGGCAACACACCCCTTTGGCCCCGGCTTCACGTAGACGGCACCCCTGGGCTGACCCACCCAGGGGAAATCGGCAGTCGCCTTTTCCTATCTCTCTCTGCCTACATCTTCGTCTTTATTTCTCACTATCTATCTGTCCTGTCTTCTACTCTCTTCTGTTTACTTCCAAATTTCCTGGCGGCAAGGGTTAACCTTGTGTAGTTACCCAACCTTGGGTAGTTATATCTGGTTATAGCGGCGATGTATGACTGGCGCCTTCAAGTGTTCTACCTTGTAGCGTCCCCCTGTTGGCTGTTGGGCTCGGTGGTGGGTGGTCACCATCGCCGCCGAACATGAAGTCCACCACATGGCGAAATCTTTCCCCCCCCTCAATGATCGGTCCCTGAAAAGGAACCGCACCGATGAAAGCTCCAAACGAACCGGAAGCGATTGTGAGCACTTCCCACGCTTCCTAGTCATACACTCTCTGGCAGATAACGTCTCTGTTGCAGGACTGTCGGTTTTCCTGATAGCTAAAACCCTTGCTAACTTAATAGGCAAAAAGTACGACGCAAAGAAACTGTCATCCGGTGATCTTCTTGTTGAAGTAAGCCAGAAAGAGCATGCAAACACTCTCCTTAAACAGAAGCAGTTTGCCCACCTGAATGTGTCTATCACCCCCCATCGCAGCCTTAACACTGTTCAAGGCGTCATTTCACAACGTGATCTGATGCGAGAAACTGAAGCTGACCTCCTTGAAGGCTTTCGAGAGCAAGGCGTAGTCGCCATCCGCCGGATAACCATCAGGCGAAACAATGAAGAAGTGGTAACGCCTCATATAGTACTTACATTCAACCGCTCCACTCTGCCAGAATCCGTGAAAGCTGCGTTCCTTCACTGCAAGGTCCGCCCTTACATACCCAACCCTAGAAGGTGCTACAAATGCCAGAAATATGGACATGGGTAGAATACCTGTCGCGGAAAACAAACATGTGCAAAATGTGGTGATCATGAGCACCCAACAGAGAGCTGTACTTCCACGCAAACAGAGTGCCCTAACTGTCGCGGGCCGCACGCAGCGTACTCGCGGACGTGAAATTTTCAAAAAGGAAAAGGAAATCATCCAGATTAAAGTAATGGAAAACATAACATTCTCTGAAGCCCGGAAGAAGGTGTCACTCTTCTCCGGAAGAACGTACACTGACGCAGAGCGCCGGGGGGCCGGGCGGCGTCTAGTGACGGTGGGCACGCAATACAGCTTTGCTGATGCGTGCACATCTCTGCCCCCCACCAAGCAGCCACAGGCTGCACCAACCTTTCACGTCCCGGAGGTCGAACTTCATCAGACCCCAGGGACCACAAAGACAACTGAGACACCTGTCTCTTCTGACAAACCTCCATTAGCCTCTGAGGGTCCACCGGAGGCAATGGAAGTGACACCAGGATCCTCAGCGTCTAAGATGCTGACGGAATCCTCCCAAGTGAGGCGGCGCTCCATAGATCGCCTCAGAGGGAAAAGACATCCGCCAGTTAAGCCTCCTAATAAAGGCAGCGAAGTGTGAATAAGTCACGCTCTTTTCCTCATTCATAAAAATGGCTGCCGAAAATATTATCCAATGGAATTGCCGAGGCTTACTTAAGAACTTAGACGACATCTATGCACAACACCAACCAAACATACTTTGCTTACAGGAAACACACCTAAAACCTACACACACTAGCCTTTTGAAAAGATATGTGGTATACCGAAAGGACAGAAAGGGCACTTCCCATTCATCTGGTGGTGTTGCTATCGTGGTGCAGAAAGCAGTTCCGTCTCAAAGCCTCACTCTGGCTACTGACTTAGAAGCAGTGGCAATACGAACCCTAATTTTTGGAAGAGTAACAACCATGTGTTCACTGTACATCCCTCCAGACCACCGACTCTCTACAAAAGAATTTGAAACGCTCATCGACCAGCTTCTGCATCCATTTCTGTTGGTCGGAGATTTTAACGCGCACCACCCTTTATGGGGATGTAGAAGAACGGATTCTCGAGTCTCCTTAATCGAAAACTTTCTGTTGTCCTCCGGCTCCTGTATATTTAATAAAAAAGAGCCAACATACTTTAACGCAGCGCACTACTCATACACAGCAATAAATCTTGCTATCGGATCTCCTTCACTCTTGGCAACCACTGAATGGGCTGTAATTCATAACCTCTATGGAAGTGATTATTTTCCTGTTTGTCTAAAATACAAAGGAAATACGAGTACAATGACTGTGAATGTAACCAGGTTTTGAGAACAGGGTGAGAACTGGACGAAATTCCGAAAACTCTCAAAACTATCGCGCTTATCAATTGAAACCCTAGGCATCGATGAATCTGAAGCGTTGGTCACACTACACATTGTACAGGCCGCAGAGCAATCCATCCCACATACATCTAACAATACACGGAACAAAAGACGACCTTGGTGGAACTCTGAGTGCAAAAATGCTCGTGACAATCAAAACAAAGCATGGTCGAAATTCCGCAGGTATCCTACAGTCGAAAACTTGGTGAATTTTAAGCGTGCAAAAGCAAACGGTAGACGTGTCCGACGAGAGTCTAAACGACAGAGCTGGCGATCCTTCCTCTCATCCGTGAACTCTTACACTGACACACATAAGGTCTATAACAGAGTAAGAGCACTCCAAGGGCACAGCACTCATTCGATGCCCCTTGTTAGTACTGCTGGTGATACACTTGAACACCAGGCAGATGCCTTAGGCCAACACTTCGAGTATATTTTCAGCTCAGCACATTATACAGACTCCTTTAGGCGATACAAACTTGCCGAGGAACGTAAACCTATTCGTGATGACAGGCCATCGGCGGGAGGGTACAATGCCCCCTTTACTATAGATGAACTAAAGGCAGCACTGGCAAAGTGCGGCAGCTCAGCAGCTGGCTCGGACAGAATTACTTACGGCATGCTGAAACACCTACACGAAGAAACGCTTGACGTCATCCTCATTCTTTTCAACAGTGTATGGTCCTCTGGGCGTCTGCCCATGACCTGGAAAAAGGCAGTTATCATACCCATCCTTAAACAAGGAAAAGAAGCCACACTTGCTGCTAGTTACAGGCCTATAGTGCTGACCAGCTGTTTGGGCAAGGTGTTCGAAAAAATGGTGAATCGCCGCCTTATGTATTACTTTGAATACAATGGCCTCCTTGATTGTCATAAAGCTGGATTCAGGTCTGGCCGGTCGACAACTGACCAACTGGTAGCATTTGAATCCTATGTGAGGGATGCCTTCATTCATAAACAGCACTGCCTATCTGTATTTTTCGACTTAGAGAAAGCTTACGACACGACATGGCGTTATGGCATTCTCCGTGACCTGCGATCTTTTGGAGTGTCAGGAAACATGCTGAATACTATTGAAAGCTACCTTTCTGACCGTACATTTGTGGTTCGTGTTGGTGATGCCTTATCGAAGTGGTTTACACAAGAAAATGGCGTCCCCCAGGGTGGTGTTCTTAGCTGCACACTATTCATCGTAAAAATGAACTCCATAAGTACCATTATGCCTAGAACAATCTCCTACTCTGTATATGTGGATGACATTCAGATCAGCTTTAAATCATGCAACCTAGCCACATGTGAACGTCAGATTCAGTTGGCAGTAAACAAGCTGTCAAGCTGGGCAGACAAAAATGGGTTTAAGTTTAACTGTGACAAGACTGTTTGCGTACTCTTCTCAAAACTACGTGGCATAAGGCCACTCCCCAATATTTCAATTATCAGACAAACCATAACTACCAAAAAAGATCACAAATTTTTAGGTGTTGTGGTTGATGAAAAGCTCAGCTTTGTTGCACATATCAAACAGCTACGACTTAAATGCTTGAAAGCCTTAAACCTGCTCAAGATTCTCTCACATCAGTCATGGGGCACAGACCGTGACTGTCTGCTGAACCTTCTCAACAGTGTAGTGCTATCACGTATCGATTACGGCTCGGTGGTTTACGAGTCAGCTTCAAGATCTGCATTGAAGATGCTTGACCCAGTGCACCATCTTGGGCTTCGGCTGGCCAGCGGCGCTTTCTGGACCAGCCCAACAGCCAGCCTGTATGTTGAGACAGACCGGTGGTCACTAGAACGGCGACGTCAGTTTACAAGTGTCACGTATGCCACCAAGGTGCTTTCCCATATCGACCACCCAGCTCGTGCGCTATTGCAGGATACATCGAACGCCCCCCTGTTTTTGAGGCGACCATCAGCTACGCCACCGTATCCCCTCAGAGTGGCCTCACACCTTGGAAATATGCACATACCGGTCTCCAGTCTTCACCTAACCTCTCACAAGGACACTGTTGTGCCATGGGAAATGCAGGCTATCGATTGTGACTTGTCATTCCTAGAGGTAGGAAAAAATGGCCACCCAGTCGCGATCGATCAACACTTCAAGTACCTGCAGGCCAAATACAGGTGTGCTGAATATTATACTGATGCCTCCAAGTCCTCTGCAGTCGCATGTGCGGCACACGGTCCCGCTTTCTCTGAATCTAGAACAATGAACGAACATACCAGTATATTTACTGCAGAATGCTATGGCATACGTTTAGCTGTAACGCACATTTTAAAGGAGAAAGAGCCAGCCTCGATCATATACACAGATTCTCTCAGTGCTGTGACTGCACTGTCCTCCACTAAGATACTCAAAAACCCAGTTACTAATACACTTCGAAAATGCATCATGTCAGCCCGCAAATCTAAGCTCAAAATCACACTATGCTGGATTCCGGGACACTGCAACATTGCTGGCAATGAGATAGCGGACAAACTTCCGAAGTCAGCAGCACTCCGCCCATCAGTTGACGTAAAGACCATCCCGTATGAGGACCTGAGGCCACTCATCATATCCCAAATGCGTAGACAATGGCAAGAAGAATGGAATGCAGCAAACGCAAACAAACTGCACTTAGTAAAGCCAAGAATAGGAAGATATCTGACTGAAAAACGTAACAGGCACCAAGAGGTTGCACTGTGCAGACTCAGGATCGGTCATACACATGCAACACACTCGCACCTTTTAAAGAATTCTCCAGCACCACATTGTGCAAAATGTGGTGATGAGCTGTCTGTCGTTCACGTTCTAATTACCTGTCCGTACCTCGAACCAGAAAGACTGTGTCACTTTTCAAAGCTGTACAAGTGTCACATTCCGCCTCATCCACAATTTTTTCTTGGAGACGATCCCTTGTTTCCCCCAAAAGTAGTCTTAAAGTTTTTAGCTAGTGTAGGCTTCCTACCTTCCATAACATATTCTCACTAATCTCAGCCTCCTCTCAATCCTGAGGGAACCGCTGAGACTTTTTTTTTATCAAATGTCATGCAGCACGCACTCCTTGTCTTGACAAGGACTGTTGACGACACGGCATGACTTTGTAAAACCCATAAGCGTAGCCCGTTTTAAACCCATCACACATAGTCACTACACCTAAGTTTAAGTTCTATACACTACTCTTTTACTCTTGCCACCCTGAGTAGACTTTTTATGATCAAATCGACCAAAAACCGTGTGTTTGGCGCTCTTTGGCCTGAGTTGCCCTTGCGCCACTAAAATCTACCATCATCATCATCAATGAATAATTCCCAAGTAGATCTAGTAGACAATTACGGGCTGAAACTTTTTGATTTCAAGTGCCCAGTAAAGTTAGTTTGCTGGGTTTCTGAGTGCATGTCTTGTTCATACTTAATAGTAAAGTGTCATTGTCATTAGAAACAAGTCGTCTAAAAATAAGCTCGTTACCCACATTCGATTTCTTAACCGTTATATTGACAATTAACTCAATTGTGCTGAGGTTTGCTCAGAAACATCTAAGCCCAACAGGATCAAGAATGTGCAGCAACATGGTGGGCCTTTTGTTGCTTTACTACACTAATAACACAGTGCTGTAAATTATTTAGGCAATTAATCAGACAGGTGACTAAATAATTAGTCAATTAAGACACAAATAAACCTCCCTGCATGTAGCCCCTTTTCCCAGTATTTCAGTGCACATGCATACCTGTGTCTTAAATTAATGACAATCTATGCATACTGAGCAGTATGTGGTGGCCATATTTTAATCATTGCTTTAAGTGCCTGCCTTCAAATGCTTTCTTGAAACCACCATATCGCTGAACTGTTGCCTTTACTTTCTTTCAAAGCCTCCGCTGTTTATGAAACGTCCGTCGTGATGGACCAGCGTGATCCCGGCTGTCGCATTTTGATGGAGGCAGAAGGGTAGAGGTCCTTGCAGGGTGCGACGTCAGCCCCCCCCCCCCCCCCCCGAAGTTTATCAATTGTGCTTGCATATATGCACATGCACTCGCACAAATGCATGCATATATATATAATTACATATAAAATATGGTTGAACTCGCCCCCCCCCCCACCAAAAAAAAAGAAACAGTGGCTATGTCTCTGATATCAGTGCACGTTAAAAGCACCAGATGACCAAATTTTTGGAGCCATCCGCTACGGCACCCCTCCGAATCATGTCATGGTTTTGGGGCGTGAAGCCTCGCATACTATTATGTTTATGAAACTATATACGGGTTCTGAAAAATGGCTGCCGGCGCATTTCGTGTAACCGGCGAGACGGCAAGCTTACAGTGGAGTCGTTAAACCTATAGCTTTAACAACTACACTGTAAGCTTTTATGCATACTTGTGCTTATAAGCACAAGTATGCATAGAAAGGGGCAGGAAAGGGTAGTGAAGGTGAGGGAGGGTATAGCATGGTACAGCGGTGGCGAGTGGAGGAGGGAGGCGAGTTGAAGGCAGGGGTGGATCCAGCCGCCCATTTTAGGGGGGAAAGGCGATCACTGGAACTAACACAAAAAAAGGGGGGGGGGGCGTGGTTATTATTTTTTTGTTTTACAAGCACAAAAACTCTTATGCCATAAATACTGTTAATGTGTGCTCAGCAAAAGAATGCATAGAAAGGGGCAGGAAAGGGTAGTGAAGGTGAGGGAGGGTATAGCATGGTACAGCGGTGGCGAGTGGAGGAGGGAGGCGAGTTGAAGGCAGGGGCGGATCCAGCCGCCCATTTTAGGGGGAAAGGCGGTCACTGGAACTAACACAAAAAAAGGGGGGGGGGGCGTGGTTATATTTTTTTTGTTTTACAAGCACAAAAACTCTTATGCCATAAATACTGTTAATGTGTGCTCAGCAAAAGAATGCATAGAAAGGGACAGGAGAGGGTAGTGAAGGTGAGGGAGGGTATAGCATGGTACAGCGGTGGCGAGTGGAGGAGGGAGGCGAGTTGAAGGCAGGGGTGGATCCAGCCGCCCATTTTAGGGGGGAAAGGCGGTCACTGGAACTAACACCAAAAAAAAGGGGGGGGCGTGGTTATTATTTTTTTTGTTTTACAAGCACAAAAACTCTTATGCCATAAATACTGTTAATGTGTGCTCAGCAAAAGAATGCATAGAAAGGGGCAGGAAAGGGTAGTGAAGGTGAGGGAGGGTATAGCATGGTACAGCGGTGGCGAGTGGAGGAGGGAGGCGAGTTGAAGGCAGGGGTGGATCCAGCCGCCCATTTTAGGGGGGAAAGGCGGTCACTGGAACTAACACAAAAAAGGGGGGGGGGCGTGGTTATTATTTTTTGTTTTACAAGCACAAAAACTCTTATGCCATAAATACTGTTAATGTGTGCTCAGCAAAAGAATGCATAGAAAGGGGCAGGAGAGGGTAGTGAAGGTGAGGGAGGGTATAGCATGGTACAGCGGTGGCGAGTGGAGGAGGGAGGCGAGTTGAAGGCAGGGGCGGATCCAGCCGCCCATTTTAAGGGGGCGGGGACGGTGACTAGAATTAACACCGGAAAGAGGGGCGTGAGGTCATTATTTTTTTTGTTGTTGTTGTTTTACAAGCACAAAAGCCCTCTCACAGTGGTTCCACTCATTTGTCCTAAGTGGTGATATAGCAGTTGGACGGCAAGCACTGAAGAGAGAGGGAGGGGATACTGACAGGCTTCTGTGGGGGGGGGGGGTCGCCTCTACCACCCCCCAACACTCTGGTTTCGCCACTTGTTGAAGGTTGCAGGCAGGGCCGTACCCAGAAATTATTTTCGGGGAGGGCACCCCCTTAAAATGGTCATTTTCCGCTCTCTATATGCCATGGTGAAAAATATTGCGAAGGAGGAAGTGGGGGCACGGGCCCAGTGTGCTACCCTTTAGAGTGTGAACGGCGACGGAGAGCGGCAGCGCTGATCAACGCCGAATAAATTTCAAGGCCGAAAGGCTGCCGCAGTGACGTCAGAGGGTGGGGGCCCAGTTACGCCGCGAACGCGGCGGAAAGCCTGCGTTTCGTTCGCGTTTTAGGAGAACCAACGCTCCCGCTCTCGCAGCTGCTGCGGCTTGATTGGGCCGAATAAAAGATGTGGAAAAAAAAAAGTCTTACTGAGCATGCTCAGTTGGGCAACTGAGTCCCCAACCTCTGACGTCACTGCGGCAGCCTTTCGGCCTTGAAATTTAGTCGGCGTTGCGCTGATGCACGCTATGGTGGAGTCGGGTGCGGGTCGCGCCGAGTGTGACGTTAATGATGAGTCTGATGACGTCCTAGCTTTGCACTCCATGGCTGAGGCATCCCTCAATTACTACGCTTACGTCATCAAGCCAGTTAAAGCCATGCAGTTTTATTTAGCAGCATTTTGAAACGGTTCATGACCACTTTTCGCCGACACAGAGGCGCTACTCAGCTTGCGTGCTCGGGCCATGTTCAAACGTGTGACACTTACCTCCGTCTCTGTAAATTTTTGTCGCGGACCGCCGAGCACCAGGACATCGGCACCGGACAACGCATCGGGCGTGATCTGCGTATTTCCGCTGGTGGGGCAAGTTTTGTGTCGCTTTGGTTAGGATCTACGCGCTTCGGAGAGTTATGTTGGTATGTAATGCGCATAGATATTGAACTACTTCTTCCTCACCTGTGGACTTGCCACATGCTCTTGAGTCGCCTCTGCAGCACCTTGTAGCCATCGCTGACGCCGAACAGCTCGTGCTTAGACGAGTCGAACAGTATCGTGAAAACTTTGTCGCCCATCAATTGCTAGTGCACATACTCCGAGCGCTCCAACATTGCGAGCTTTGTTTACACGCCGCGGCCGTCGCCATGGCAACGCCCTGCGACGTCAGAGCGCCGCACGTTGCTAGCCCGGCTTCCGAGATGGCGCACCGCCCGGGATTCGCGCTTTCAAGTTTGCTCTCGTCAGGGTTCCGCTCTGCTTACATGCACAATCTGCGGCTGTAGTCTAGGAATGTAAATGTAACTCGTTATAATTGTACGCCCGTCACGAATATATTACGCGGTATTTCCGTAGGTGGCGTTAGGTTCAAGCGTGGACGTCTTTTCGGGAGTGTTTTTTTTTTTTTTTTTTTGTGATGCTCGAATAATGCAGTAGACTTCTATTAAATGAAACTCTCTCAAATAAATTTGCCGCTTAAATGGAACAACTGCCACCTAATATGTTTGGTTTTGTACTTGAACACTATACCCCTGTTTATCTCTCAGTAAACGAAACTCCTCTTAAAGGGAACATATTTTCCTGGTCTCTTCAGGTTTCGTTTAAAAGAAGTCTACTGTAGTTTTGTCCATACTGCAATTAAATAAGGGCTGCTTTATTCACCCTAATATCATTCCAAGCCGTCCACTGCAGTGAATGAACCCAACAGTAAACTACATCACGAAAATCTTACCTTTTCGTCAAGTAAAATGTTTTTGGAAATCGTTTAATGGACAAAACGAAGCATAAACAAAAACTTTATTTAAAATAAAAATGAAGATGAGCTGCTCATTGCATGCACTTGTGAGCAGATGCAGTCCCAACACATTGCTGCCTTGTGCTAATGAAACAAGTACTCTACACAGCGCCTGTTACAACATACATGCACATTTTTTTTTTAATCCGCTAAATGTGGAAGTACAGGCGCTAACTTAAGCTGGACAGAATCGACAAAGTAGCAGCCATAGCAGCTAGGTGTGCTGTACAACAGAAGCAAACTTTCAGAACCGATGAATCTTGACATTAATCTACATACACCGGGCAATAGCAAAACGAGTAAACGGCCACATCTAAGGCAGACCTTCGGATATATGTGTTGCGACAACTTTCATAAACTCTTGGGGTCCAAAAAAAAAATTCCAAAGACTTAGGGAAGCATGGTTATACTTTGAACTGCCCCATGCAATTTGGCAATTGTCTGAAATGCATTTGAGGTTCACTGCCAGTCTTCAACTTTCAGCAGCATTAAACCCATCAATGTGATTGATGCACACACCAGGGTGAAGCCACCAGATTTTTGCGCCACCTTAACTGGTGCGATTTGTTACACAGAGTACATTAATGCATGTTTACCTAATGCATAGTCATCAATATGCTTCATCATTGACATTCTGACGAAACCATGTATTGGTGTTGTATCATCGCAAACCTTACCACACTACTGACACATTACCTCTGCGTTTTACGAGGCAATGAAGTTGTTTCACAGCACTGCTGCCGGACAGTTAAAACACAACTATGAAATCTTTGAGGGGGACAAATACCACACAACAACACTGGCTCGCGACTACTGCGATTGGATGTGGTACGGTTTTCATGCAGGTCGCAAAGTACTTTTTGCGCCAATGTCTTGCTCGCAGTTAATGCTGTTTTAGTTTTTCATTACAAACTTAGCTGCTCAAGGCTTTGTAACTCGTTTATGGGAGAAAGAAGTGAGAAATCTTGCTGTGCAGCAGGACAAGAAAAAAAAAAAAACAGAGAAAAAAAGATCATGCGCAACATATATTTCCTTCGAAGTCCTATGAAAAATCGAGATCAATTCATATATTTGAATTGTTGGAAAGAAGGAGTGGAGCAATGGCTGAAGTACACAGTGATATAGGGGGCAGGGTAAACACAGTAGCCGGCACAGACAGCAGCAGGTTCAGTCCTGATCCATAGCAGACTCGTCGGGACTTGTGGCTGGCTCCTCCTCGATTGGAGAGTCCTTCTGGGCAGAACTGTCTGCCGTTGTGTCCATGGCTTCTGCTTGACCGTCTTCTACAGGTGACGCATCGGCCTTCGAACTTTCCTGCGGAAACGCAGTAATATCATGGTTGAAACACCTACCCGTTTTTTCTCTTCTTTCTGCTTCATACAACTACAATGCGACGCCAAAGGAAAAGAAGGGGGGAGGATTTAAACGTTTCCGACTGAAATGTAGATCAAGTTGTGGGCTTAGTCTCTTTCATTAGCAAGTTGTGCTATTCATCCACAATTAGACTTCAATTATAGACTGCAGAGCCCAACTTGTAATGGGCTCTATCACAACCAAATGAAACAATATCGAAATTGTGATTTATTGGTGACTAGAGGCCCATTGCTTCCACAATCAGAACACCTGGAGGACAAAGTATTCAACGACAACAATGTTTCATACTAACCACGTACCACGAGAAGCACAACACACATACATACAGTACTCATGGATTGAAACGAGAGAACTTAGGGCTAAGTAGTGCTGATAACTTCGCTTTCACCATCTTCGATTCAGGTTGGATCAGCATAGACTCGAATGCGTAGTTCAGAGCTAACAATATCTTTTAAGAAACCAGATTCGTCGTGACGTGATGCGGTTATCTCGAGCGATAGCGCATACCATTAGTTAGACTGAAGAACTTGGTGTCCCATTTGAATTCGTGAGTACTGTACAATTGAGTGCAGTATAATAGAGAGCACGAGAGCGCAGGTCAAACTGCATTGCTGCACCTTCTAATGACTTCGTGGCTAAGTCGAGAGCTAGTAAAGCACATGAGCATCCTCTTTATACCTGCCAGTCTAACTGTTCGGTCTCTTCAACCATGTGCACGCCAGAACGTGGGAAGACACATGTGTCACTTTGGCAGTCACCGTGGAAGCGGGCGAGTGATGATAATGTGACAAAAATACCTCGTTTGTACAGCTCAAATAGTTTATTATATCATCGCTTGGCTCTTCCGCCAAGTGGAATCTTGAGATGTCTTTCGTGTTCTGATGCACATGTGTAGCGAGTGAATGAGCAGACTGGCAGCTATAGAAACACACATGTGCCCAGTACACATTTTCGAGTTTAGCAGTAAACTTGTCGGAAGGCGCTGCGTTGCAGTTTAGCACTTCCTTCTGTGGTCGCTAGAATTTCGCAAACTGTACATCTGCTTTCTGAGGCCAATGTGTAGTCGTGGGCCGTGTGGTGAACTTTCGACAAGTCCCGGATCACGGCAAACTCTTTTGCCAGTTGGGAACTTTATTTTTACACATTCGTATAGATTTTATTTGTAGTTTATTTGCAACAATTTGGCAGATGAAAATTTTTTCGTTTTAGCTATCTTAGAGGCTTCCGCAGAACCGACTTGACATATTCTTCCAACAAACCTTCAGTTTCAGCCGCGTAGCACCAACTCCGCTTTTTTCCAGTGACTAAGTAATTGAAGGACAGTTTATTCGACGTACTATTGGGTCGTGTGAACAACATCACGTAATATTCCAAGTTACGAAGCCTCGTGCTTACCATAGCTTCCTCTTCAACGGTATCATCCATTGACACAGATGTTGAAGACGGCTGTTCTTGCTCTTCTATTTCCTGGTCTTCGGTGCACGCTTCGGGTTCAGGGTGAAACTTCTTCCGCGGGGGCTCCTTTAATTCCTCATTTTCCGGCACTTCTGAAATGCTGGAGTCGCAGCAGTCCGCTTCCACTGAGGCTTCCTCAACTTCAACATTTGGAGTTTCTGATGGTTTTGGCTCGGAAACGTGAATCGGTAAAGCGTCGGCTTCAGAGTGCTCCTCTGCTGGCACAGATAGCTCTGTAAATGAAAAAAAAAAGGGGGGTGTCACTCATGGAGTGGTACAGGGCAGTACACTAACTCAGAGGGCCAGCTGCAATTAAATTTTGGTAGTGTACAAAAATTGGCTTCAGGTATCACAGCTAGACGTGGCTCTACGAGAAATTCACTGTTCTAAGTATCAACAAACGTATAAAAAGCTTAGCAAAAAAAAGTTTTTGAAGCCAAACTAGGTTGCTGCGATTGTCCCTCTAAAATGCCCCCTAATGAACATCACATTGCTCCTAACCAGAGCTTATCAGAACTTCTCAAATATATTCGTAATTAAACGTCATGCTAGCTTTGCACAGATGTGACATGGCGATAAACTAATGTGCTGGCAGCATTTTTTTTTCCCAAGCATTGTAGCACTATCTACTGAAAATAACAAAGCTTGCCAAAAAAGCTTACCGGTTTCCGAGTAGATGGCGCAATTATTCTACGAACATTTGAAGGGACACTCAAGATAACGGTAACTTTATCGTAGTATTTGTAAGTTAACCCTGCACGACAACTCCCGCCCTCTCCTCCCCTCCTCCAATAAGAGGGGCACAAAAAGATGCTTGGTAAACTAGAAAATTTGCTAAAGAAAATGCACGTAATGACGCTGCGCTTGAGATATTCAGACTAACAAAACACAAAGTGCTCACGGCTCGCAATGAACAACATCAGCAGAAATTAATTACACTGTTTTCTGTAGGGGTCGGTCTTAACAAGCAATATTTCAGAAAGTTTTACTCAGCCAGCATGGCCGGGACATTGCACGGACAGCGGGGGCCTGGGGTTTTGCCGCTAAACTGAAACATGATGCTTTGGCCTTCGTTTTCTGTCGTAGTAATTAACCATTATGGTAAAATTAACAGTAATGGGGTTGTCAAACAACAATTTATCTGTTTGAAAGGAATTATTGTAACATTCAAAAGCTGCCCACCTTCAGCTGCAGGTTCAGAAGATGGTTCCTCCCGAGTGCCAGATATGTTTTCCGTACCACTTTCGCTTGGTGCTTCAGCAACCTCTTCGACCGCGTCTTTGTCAATGACGCTTTCTTCTGCCGGAGCTTCTCTCTCGGGTTCTTCGGCCTGTGTGGCAGTCTCCTCATCATTTGAGGGCGGCACGCACTCGCTGCTTTCTGCCAGTGTCTCCACCGCAGCTTCCTCTGCAGCTTCTGGCTCCACTTCTTTATCAACTTCAACCTCCTGTTCTGCTACTGTCAAAGGTTCAGCTTCTTTTTCCTTTTCGCACTCTGACGACGATTCCATGTTGCTCTCCTCAGTCGCTGCCGACGGCTCGAGTTCTTGCTCTTCGACGACTTCTTCTTTGACAGGCTGCGGCGCCTCACCTGGAGAAATAAAAATGAACTTAAAATTTAAACTTCTTTCGAAACTGCACTCGGCACAGTTTTGCAAAACCTCTACTACATTTCCAAATTGTTATGGGTCAGTTAATGGGCACTGCTAAATATTTCTAACACTAAAAAAAAGTGTTAGGCAGCTATAAATAATGTTGCCAAGAACGCGCAAAAAAAAGTGACATTCTGCTTGGAGCCTACAGTCTTGCGTATCAGATAGCTTCTGCTCCATTATGCGACTCATCCGTGAGCATGATTTCATTTTCTATGGAAAAAAAAAGAAAAAAAGATACATATAACAACAATCAAGTAATGCAAGCAAGGGACATTTCTATGGTTAAGCTATGAATACAACAAATCTTGAAGCCCTGTGAAAACTAAAAACATTAAGTTCAAGAGTGTTATGAAGGGGAGTAGTTATGCTTATGCACTGACACAAAGCTGAAGGAACTGACCAGAAACACGTGCAGGTGCAAACCGTCAGTCCATACATGTTTGTCATCTGTTTTGTCAGCGCAATGCTGGCACATGAACAAACGCCAAGATGATAAGAACAAAGTGCCAATGCAATGCGTGGCATTTCACACACACCCAAGCTTGCGTCATCAGCAGCAGCAGAAGAAGGGACCTCAACGTTGGTACCTGGATCATCGGCACAGATTCCCTCATCCTCACAATGACCATTTTCACCGTCGAGGCGATTAAGCGAGTCCTCCGTGGTGTCGGCGAAATGTCCGTTGATTCCGCTGTCCTCCGCTCCGGGGATACCATTGACCATGGGCATCGCAGCAGCGTTAGCTTGCTGTAGCGCACTGTGGTAATAGTAAGAACAAACAAAGCTCTAGCCATGGTATTACAGCAACAACAACAACAACAACGAAAAAAAGCTTCTAGGGCAGCTTGAATGCTGATGAGGTTGATCAGAAATGCAAGTCAAAAGCCAACTTGTGAAAATACCTAAAAAAGTGTCAGACACTATTAGCGCTTGATGTTTCTAACCAGTTTGTAAAAAGCTTAAGAATGAAAAGCATCATACTACCATTACAGTATACCGGGAATTCCAGCCAGTATCATTGAACAGTTAGTAGTTTGGCGCCTCACTTTCTCTCCCCCCCCCCCCCCTTCATGAAATGTATTTTGTGCCAGTCAAGTGTACCTTGACAATGTCAGCACCAGCTTGCTCAAGAAGAGGTCTTTCAGGCACAGCTGCTGACTTACACAAACGATGCCACTGAGGTTGCGTTTACTTTCCACAGGACCCGCAAAAACTGCTTCTGAATCACCCCTTGACTGCTGAATCAGTCTAATTAAATGGACTCCAGCCTGTCACACGAGGACTTTCATAGCAGTTCACACTCAGAATGTTTATGAGCCAGCGACATTTCTAAAACATGCGCGATGAGACTATGCTGACTTGATCAAAGGTGATTTGTCTTCCTCCGCGTTTCCACGTGACACAGCTTCATGCACTTACCTACTTTTATACGTTTGTGACCTACACAGGCGTTTATTGCAACGGATAATCTTTGAACAATCACATAACCTTTTTTTTTAAAATAATTTATCTCATTGCTACTCATGAATAACAGATGTGTATGTAGCAATACGAACGATTGCTTTCTTCGCTTAATGGCCATGCCCCAAAAATGACACACTATTTCTGAAATACATTCATCTGAAAAATTTTAATCAGCATTACAATTTACCATGGCGGGTCACGTCTGGTGAAAAAAATTCGACCATCAGAGGGTTATTTTGGCAACAGAAACAAGTATGTACTGCAAATCCAGGCACTAATTTTGAGCAATCTGAGTCCAAGAAGAAGTTCATCGAAAATAAAAAGCTGGCAGCAAGCTTTTAGACATAAGTGAACTTACGCAATTGATTTTGGTTCAATGGTGCTCACAACCAGGACATTCTTCTCGACGCCTCGCATAAACTTGTCCGTACGCTTGTAGTGCTTCCTAGGGTCAACCACAAGCTCGCATAACCGCTGGATGGTGAACGGTGCACTGCAGCGACAAATGAAACAAACAGTGAATGAGCACCATCTTTAGTAGAAGCATGAAAAGCAGTACTGTGCTAATTCTAAATGTTAATGAAAGGACCAAGTGCCATCCACCAAGTACAAGGCATCAAGTCATTGGCATGGTTGAAATAAATACACTGAACGCAGACCAAAAAAAAGCTGGGCCAAAGTTTCGCAAAGGGGCCGAAGCTTTCAGCTTAAATCTACGTCAACAATCCCTTAAGGCATATTGTGTACGAGGGCGGTAGAGTCTCATCATTACGACTGAATCTCCTGTTGTTTAGATAGTCAAGGATTCATTCCAGATGTTGCCACTTCATCCAGTTCTTTTTTCCGAGCAACAATCGAGGCTTGGACTCGGGTGAAATCATGATGCATTTTTAATTCATAATCAGCATCCATTACATCCCAACCAGACGAAATTTTGTCCAATTCTGAACTTCATAAAGTCACTAACTTGACTTTGACCTTTGAACTGATACCTTTCTCATTAGCTCTGTGATGTGTGGTGCGCGTTCAAAGTGCGCGCCTTCGAAAAGTGCGCGTCACGGAAAAAAAAAAAGAAAAACAAAAGGAGAAATACCAGAGTGCACGTGCGGTGCTGCTTAAACAAGAATGACGACGTTAAAGAGCGTCAAGCACGAGGATGCGTGGCAGGACGTGAAGTAAACAAAAGGTAAAACATCCAATGGGCAGCGAACACGGAGATTTCAAGGCCCAATGGCTTGACACCACGAAACAGGAGTATCTCCAATGAGAACGAGACAAGTGGGCCAGAGCTGAAGCAGGAGCCTGGGGAGACCAGAGCAAGGGGAATTCGAGGCAGGCAGTGCAAGCGGAAGGTCGTCACCGGACCGGGCGCTGAAGATGGGCCGTTGGGTTCCGGACCCGAGCCTACAGGACTTCCACCGGCCGGGGCCTCCTGCTGTCAGGTTCCCGCTCCAAAGGACCGTGGCCATCCGGTCCTGAACTCCTTTCCAGGGCCTGCGGACTTTGGTTCTGGCAGGCGAGCTACAGCCGTCGGGCTCCGGGCCCGAGCTGTGCGCCCAGCTGCTTGACTAGGTCGACCCTAGTTCCCGGACGCGTCGCCACCAGCCTGCGTTCTCCCGTCTCCGACGTGTCCACGCTCCTCAAGCCGAAACCATCACGATTTGGTAGGGCTTTTCGACGTGTCGCCAGCAGCCAGCGTTCCCTCGTCCTCGTCCAGCCCACGCACTGACGCAGGAGTCACGGCGTTCCGGTTTCTCATCACCGCCGAAAACCAACTTGTGGGTGAGACTGCACCGATACTCTTGCGCTACTCCCATCACTCAGCCCCTTTCGAACGTTAGGTTTAGTTACTGACTTTGAACGTTCTTGTTGGGTGTTTACAGATGTGTTTCGTCATGTCCAGTCAACTGTTTATTAAGTGTTTTGTTTTGTGAGGAATCTTTGCCTTTTTACTTTTCAATTAAACTTTTTGTGTGTTTCTTGGAAACCGAACGGCTTTGTCCTTATTAACAAAACTCTCTGAGGCTCAGCCCGGGAGAAAAACAAATCAGCAACAAGAACCCGCATCACAAATTGGCGTCCGCGACAGGACAAAGTCGTTTGTTTTTCCAGTAGATTTTTTTGACGCGGTTAACACGATGACGAACACGTGGGAGTTAATTGAGTTGGCGGATAAAATGGGACTGACGGGAGCGGAGTTTAGAGTATGGTACGAGGAGCGGATGGAGAGGGAGCGTGGGCAACGGGCTGCAGAACGAAAGGCGGCGAAGGAAAAGCTTGAATTGGTGCTTAGAGCTAAGAAGGAGGAGCTAGAGCGCGTAACGCGTGAAAATAAAGTGTTGCTAGAGCGTCAGACACGCATACTGAAGCAGCAGCTCCTATTAGAGAGGGTGGACTTCGAGCGGCGACTCGAGCTTGCGATGGCGAAAAGGGGGCAGCTGGCGATGCAGAAGGTCGAGCAAGCGGTGAATGTTTGCTCCGATAGCAGCGTTTGCTGGAGGGAAGTCGATTCCTGCAAGGTTGGCCTCGAGCCTCGCGACAGCCTTACTTCGGAGCGAGAAGCTCAGATAGAGGAAGGCAGAGAGGTGGACAGCCAAGAAGGCAGGAGTCATGAGGAGTTTGTTGAAGCGACGGAAAGCTCCTCTGGCTGGGAACATATTACTTCCGTTAACTGCTTGGGGACCTCTGAGAGGCCAAGCACCTATGAAGAAGAGCGCCTGGATATGGGCGACCTAGAAGCTGTGGAAAATGTTGTGGAGCAAAGCTTCGATAGCAGGGAACAAAGAAGTTCCATTCAGAATGAGGTGTGTATCAGAACGTCTCAAAGGCCGAGCACATTTCGGGAAGGGGTAGGGCTACCTCTCAATAGCTCCATGGAAGGAGCGCTAGAACGTCATTGGGAAGATGGCAGCGAATGCCATGAAGGCTCTGATATAGTGGCCACTGATTGTTTTGTACCGACAGAGGTAGCAGCAGGCACCACGTCAATGGTCCTAGACCATACGTATATCTCACTCAGAGAGAGAGGGGATTCTAGTTCACAGGATAGCGTAACTGCTATTTGTCCGAGAAAACACGATGGGAGTGCTGAAGCACTCTTCAAAATAAACAGTATCGAATCGGAGGTGGGCTCGATAGTAGGTATGGAGAATGCTAGACAGGGTCTTGAACCTGAGAACGTGATTGGTTTTGAACCTATAATTAAGTCCACTCAAGATGAGCTGTATAATGACCGAGCACAACGGCATCCCTTCTCAAGAATCCAGGAACCTCACACGCTTGTCGGAGCGTTTGGGCTTGCTGAGGGCACCCCGAGCTTGTGTTCATTAGATGGTGAACTAAAAGAAAGCATTTGTGTGAGAGATTGTGGCATTTGGACATTCGTGTCTCAGTGCGTTTCGTGTCGACGCCGACGGCTCGAGACCGCGCCCTGTTCCTCTGTGACCGGTAAGCGTTCATGTGGCCGGCGGGGGCGCAGACACGCGTTTCAGCGAAAGTGCATAAAAGCATGTTTGCCACAGTTACTTTCGAAACGTGCGAGAAGGGCAGTGCGTCTGGTTTGGGACGCGATAACCTGAGTGTAGGGTTAGAAAACCGGTAGCTCTTTCTGGACTTCGACTTTTAGATGCAGACACAAGTAGCTTTGTCCATAGTCGATTTTGTAGTAAAAAGGTTTATTCCGGGTTTCAGAACTTTTAAATGCAATTGGGTGAATCTAAAGTTTAAGTGTGGACATTTGGACGATGTAGCGAACTGTAGCCCGGTGATGTGTTGAACTGCGTGGTGCAAATATGTGGTTTAATTGTGACGTAGTGCAGAACGCGCACTCATCGGCAGTTTTTTTTTTCCTAAAAAAAAAAACTTGAATAAAAGGGGGGCGTATGTGATGTGTGGTGCGCGTTCAAAGTGCGCGCCTTCGAAAAGTGCGCGTCACGGAAAAAAAAAAAAGAAAAACAAAAGGAGAAATACCAGAGTGCACGTGCGGTGCTGCTTAAACAAGAATGACGACGTTAAAGAGCGTCAAGCACGAGGATGCGTGGCAGGACGTGAAGTAAACAAAAGGTAAAACATCCAATGGGCAGCGAACACGGAGATTTCAAGGCCCAATGGCTTGACACCACGAAACAGGAGTATCTCCAATGAGAACGAGACAAGTGGGCCAGAGCTGAAGCAGGAGCCTGGGGAGACCAGAGCAAGGGGAATTCGAGGCAGGCAGTGCAAGCGGAAGGTCGTCACCGGACCGGGCGCTGAAGATGGGCCGTTGGGTTCCGGACCCGAGCCTACAGGACTTCCACCGGCCGGGGCCTCCTGCTGTCGGGTTCCCGCTCCAAAGGACCGTGGCCATCCGGTCCTGAACTCCTTTCCAGGGCCTGCGGACTTTGGTTCTGGCAGGCGAGCTACAGCCGTCGGGCTCCGGGCCCGAGCTGTGCGCCCAGCTGCTTGACTAGGTCGACCCTAGTTCCCGGACGCGTCGCCACCAGCCTGCGTTCTCCCGTCTCCGACGTGTCCACGCTCCTCAAGCCGAAACCATCACGATTTGGTAGGGCTTTTCGACGTGTCGCCAGCAGCCAGCGTTCCCTCGTCCTCGTCCAGCCCACGCACTGACGCAGGAGTCACGGCGTTCCGGTTTCTCATCACCGCCGAAAACCAACTTGTGGGTGAGACTGCACCGATACTCTTGCGCTACTCCCATCACTCAGCCCCTTTCGAACGTTAGGTTTAGTTACTGACTTTGAACGTTCTTGTTGGGTGTTTACAGATGTGTTTCGTCATGTCCAGTCAACTGTTTATTAAGTGTTTTGTTTTGTGAGGAATCTTTGCATTTTTACTTTTCAATTAAACTTTTTGTGTGTTTCTTGGAAACCGAACGGCTTTGTCCTTATTAACAAAACTCTCTGAGGCTCAGCCCGGGAGAAAAACAAATCAGCAACAAGAACCCGCATCACAAGCTCATACACTAGGGAAAAACCTTGGTCCATCCCCATCTGATGTGGCGGCTTAGATCAAGGGTACGGCATTGCGCTGCTAGAAACTAAGGTAATTTCCAACACACAAGCGACATTTCACTCAAGGTGGGGAAAAAAAAAAAAGGACCATGTGCTCCTAGATTTAGATACATGTTAAGGCACCACAAGTGGTAAAAATCAATCTGGAGCCCTCCACTACACGTGGCTTATGACCATTTCCTGGTTTTGACACAACACCCCAGAGTTTAATTTTTTTTATAGTTAGGAATTATTAATTTAGCCCCGCCCTTCAATGTGCTAGCCTCAACGATAGAGTGATTACTTCAGAAGGACCTTAATGCCGATTCTGACACATGGACAAAGCGATCGTCTCGAAATGGAAGCTTTCAAGGAAAAGATAAAGTGCATTACTTTCGTAGCTTAGAGAGATAGTTGAGTGGCTTGATTGCAGCATTTTCTGTAATCTCAAGAACGAACTTAAAGAATGGGAAAACAAAGAAAGGCGAGAAATATCCATTGGAGAACCCACCAAATGCAATGCAATGAAGAATGCTTAGGTAGCAGCCGACAAAAGTTTCACAAATGAGAGCATCCCACTTTTACCCACCTGTTAAAGCTGTTGACGGCCTCCAATACTTTTTCCTTCATTTCCTCGTACTTGAACACCTCCACGTTGGGTAAGGCTGGTAAGTCATCCGTCGGCGAAACCTTGTGGAATTCGTTCATGACAAGCTCCAGCTTTTGACATAGCAGCGGCTTCAGCTTGTGCCATGAGAACCTGAACCAGAATGATCACAGATCTGTTGCAGTTCCACTGCTTGCTGTACTGCGAATGTGTTGGAACAAACCACACCTCCACCAATGGTACTGTAAGGTTACAGTCATCATCATCATTCTCTGCAGACTTCTCCAAACGATATCTAATACACCCTATTCTGATCACACTTCAACCCTGAGACCTTCTTAATTTCACCACTCCATCTAACTCTTGGCCTTTCTTTACAGTGTTTTCTATCCCTTATTAACCACTTTGTAGTTCTTAATGTCGATCGGTTGTTTGTCCTACCCATTATGTGGCCAGCCCAGGTACAATTAGGTACTGGCCAATAAGCTGTTACTTCTTCATTTGATCAACTTGTAATAATGAGCCTTAGTGTGGTAATGTTACTCTGTTACAGTAACTATATGATTGTGTCTACAATAATCGCGGAGAAAGGGAAAAGAAAAGAACAGTGGCTAACATAGATAAATATATTTATGAAATGCAATATCTCCGATATCACATAAGTCTAAACAGAATTTATAATTTTTTTCCTCTGTGAAGTGGACAGCACTCTTAGATTTATCACACAAAGGTAATCACAGGTCTGCCAAGAATCGCTTGTGTTACGTGACTTTATAGCTACAGTTTCTAAAGAAACATGAAAAGAATGACCTCGTCTGAGCGGCAGCAATGCAACAAGTTACATAGTTGAGACCCGTAACTGTGATAAAGTTACTTTTCTGCTCCAAGTGATTCCAACTGTAACAGATTTACTTTGCTGGCCAGTGACCTGTGACTGGCAGGTTGTTACAACAAATTGGAGCAGTACCGAAACTTTTACCCATGCAGCGCACCAGCTGATCTTGTGAAGTCATTTCAAAATCACACCAATAAAACACGAGGATGCGATTACATGACACAGGGTAATCGCTTCACGACAACGCCAAGTCAGTACGCTCAAACACGCTGCTTGCATTGATAGAGACGCTTGAACACCGAGCTGAAACGCAAGGCCAACGAAAACAGCAAACAAACTTCCTCGGTGAATAGGTGGACGCCGTTGACAAAACAGTGAATGGCCTGCACTTACAGAGTGTCGCCAGTCTTCGCGATGTGGCACAGGTATTCGTCGAGTACCGAGGGAATTTCGGCGGGCTTTTGGTTCGCGAAATCTGTCAAGCAAAGGAAAGAGGCGACAGGACCACGATTACAAGGAAAGTTGAATGACATCGGGCGCGGGCCAGCGCGAGCGTGGCGTAGCCGATGAACTCGGCACGGTAACACAGTGGGTCATCGCCACCCCGGTGCAAAGCCCATCAAACATGGAAATGACAGCCTCCGGTCACAAACGGGGGGAAGCCCTCTGAGACGCACTCACCGGTGAGCTCGTCTAGCAGCGCCTCTTTGCTGCAGTTCATTTCGCAGCGGATCGGTCCGTGCTTCGCCTAACTGTGCAAGCTTCCAGGTTCACGGGGAAGCACATGCACACACACACATACACACCGCCGGCAGCTGGATTCTTCCCGACGACAACAAAAAGTATGGCCGACGCACCACAGTCGTGACGTCACCTGGTGCCCCTGGTGTCGATAAAAGAAGTCGGAACAGCAGCGCGCCTTTTTGAGGCCAAAACTGGAGCGAGACATAAAAATGAAAGTAAGTAGTTGGCTGACAGCATGGCTAAGAGTGGTTCAAATTCACAAGCACTTCTTAGGAAGCTAGCGATTGCAGCGCCTCATAGTGTCATACTTTTTTAGTTGTACCGGTTAAAACTGAAACCACGGTGTGACTGAAACTAACTTGCCTGCTAATAAAATTTAGGTTAGTTTTTTTCTTCAAGACCCACTGCATGTTTTTTTTGAAAATGCGAGATGATGTGCCCAGCCAGAGAAACATTGTCCTGAGCTTATCAGTAATGATCAATCTTTAACTTAGTCAGCCAACTAACGCATATCTTATCACTGACTCCTCTAAGTTTGTTCGCTTAGACCAGCTTAGTTGTAATAGCATAACTGTGCTAGAATAAAAAAAAAAAACGACGTAGGATAGATAACGTTTGCAGCGCCTCTAGCGCTTGTTAATAACGTTAGCGTTTAGTTTGTTTAGGTGGTTTGCCTGTGTGTCATGATGCCACATGAAAGCCGCAGAATTTGTCGTCCTGAAATAAAATAAAGAGTCCAGTGGACGCATTGTCTGATCATTGATTATCGATAAAGCACTGTCGTTATACTAAACAAACGCTTTTGTCTTGTTTTTCTTCAAAACATTTGTACGATGAGAACACGCGTACAGAAGTTTTCACAAAGTAGGTCTTGATTTAAAAATAGTGTAGACACTCGTGCACGCAAAGAAAAATACACAAAAGTGATGAAAACGTTTGCAGCGCCATTATTGGCATTATCCGGAGCTGTCTTCGTTATGTAGGGGAGGGGGAGAATGGCAGCAACGCAACTTAGTTCTAGAAACGATGGAGGGCACGGCCCGCTGCTCAGTTGGTGATATATTAATCCGACGGCTTGTTGTTTTTGGAGCAGCTCTCAAACCGAAAGTGAGACTGGTCGGTAATGAGGCGCCCAAAATAATTATTTGTCATGCGCAGCAGCAAATAATGTGCCGTGTAATGGCTAACAGGCACCCGGCAACAGATGTATGCTGCAAAAATAGAAACGCGAGGCTAGAACTTTTGTTTCAGTACACCTTTTTATTAATAATAAGAAAGCTCATACTTGTGAGCTCTAACACATCTAAACCAGAGACTACTTTAAGTTTGATGAAACAGACCAGTTTTATCGTAATTTATAGCTGCAATGGGATTAGAATGACCTTATCTATCAGCAGAACCAAAAAGGTCACATGCATTTTACCATGATAACGCTCGCAACGCCTCTAGCGTTCGCTAAGTGTTTAATTTATTTGGTTCTATTGACTACCCATGTATTGCAATGCCACTGAGAAGACAAAAAAAAGTTGTTTTTCTGTAGGGCCCAGTGAACGCTTTATTTGAAAATTGATTATCATTAAAGCACCGTTGTTGAATCAATACAATCGCTTTTGTTTTGTTCTTCAAAACTTTAGTACAGCGAGGACGCGCGCGCAGACGTTTTTACAATGCTGGTATTAAACAACAAATAGTGCAAACACTCGCGTACTCAAACAAGTTTGTAAAAAGTGGAGGAAACGTTCGCAGCGCCATTTCTGGCATTATTCAGAGTTCTGTTCACTTGGCGGCAGATCGACGTTTACAGACCATGGAGTTACGATGTTGCGCGCCTTACGTTACGAACGGAGGTGTTATGGCATGTGGATCAACTCTACCCTCTCGCTGCACCAGCCGTGACTTGTAGCTCCCGTACGCGCGATCGCCGGTGGCTGCGCGTTCGCTTACTAATCCAGTTTACGGGGCGGAGGAAAAAAAACAAGCAGGGTTCCACGATTTGTGTGCTAATCGGCGCTGCAGCCGCAAGCAGTTTAGGATCACTGGTCAGCGTAAACTTAACTGCGGGGAGAGAAGTGGAAAGGGAGTCGCTTGTTGTCATCGCATCCGCTTCTTGAATGCGTCGGAAGAGAATGGGACTGCCGATTGCACTACACGCCGTGGCAAGAGCAAAGGGACAGTCCACGACGCAGCGGTCAGCACCTGTTGTCTGCGCAGGCCTTGGTTGCAGCTTGCGTGCGTCCGTACATCAGTAGGGGTGCCTGTCGGAGCAAAATAAGCTCAGCCGCCGATGGAGCTTCGCTCCTACGCGAGCACGAGTGATGACTGTGGCACCAAACCGTTGCTCGACTGCCCGCTCTGCGAGACGCCGTCCGGAATGAGAGATGCCAGCGGTGACAGCCCGCTGTTGCCGGCAGGTGCGGCTGAACGCGGCTGGCAGCCGTGCCGACTGCTCAGTGCCAACGGACGACGCAAGAGCGTCGCGTGCTTGGTTTCCAATGGGTATCCCCACATCGTATGTTCCTCGCACACCGCCGCAAGCAAGACTACCGTCGAGCAGGTACCTATTCGTCTCATAGTTGACGCTTGCGAAAGATCGTTAGCGTATTGTTTGTGAATAAATCTAAGAAGGCAAAGCACAACCGCGGCACGCTAAATACAAAACGAAGCGCGTGTTAATAACCGCTGGCATGCTTGTCAAAGCGCAATCGAGAGCGTTCTGAAACAGCGCGCTGTTGCAGCACACACGCTTTTGATCGCGATCGGGGCTGATCCGGATCGAATATCGGATTGACTGTTTAGCCCAGGATGAGGAAGGAAGCCCATCATGGTAGAGGAATCAGGTGCCGATCGGTCACGATTGTGGTTGGTTGTTCAAGTGCAAGCTGCAAGAGAGAGCCAGTCGTGGTCGCCAAATTCAATGTCGTTCAGTCTTGATCGCGATGGAAAGTGAACCGTGTGACACAACTGGGTGTAGAGCATACAGATTGCACTCTATTGCTGGTCAACACATCTCAAAGAATCTCAAATCTACCTCTGTGTGTTAAGTGCCTTAACTTTGTAAACTGCTCCTACGTATTGAAAAAAAAAAAAACGGGGGGGGGGGGGGGCGGGGAATAACGATTTATATGGTTCTAAAATATGTTAATGTATCTGCTCCCCAGTATTCAGACGAAGTGCCACAGCTTGCGGCATCTTAAAGTACGAATGATGACATGCCGATGCGTCTGGTGAAGATGGGCATAGAACTGCCTTTAATTATTACAAACAAAGACTACGGATTAAAATGTGCAGAATTATTTGAATTTTCTTTATGAGTGTCATCGTAAGTGGTTTTTCTGCGTTCATAGTGTGGGACGTAGTTGTGCATTGCTCGACGAAGTCATTTGATTCAACGTGTTGTTTCATTATGTCTTCCTGCCTTATCGACACAAACCATACTTGAAATTCCAGTGCTTTATCTGCCTACCATGCCGTAATAGTTAAGGCTCATTTGCTGAAGTGACTAGCACCGGTCACGCAACCACTTGCAACTGACGGCCAAAAAGCTACTTAACGCGACCGATGTTCATGCCTGCGTACGAGTTGCTGCCACACAGAATTCATGTTTTCTCACCTTGCATTGCTGTTTCTCCGTAAAATAACCTGATGTTCAGTTTTTGTGTATATGATTGGTTCAGAGCATTGTGACTGTGGTCGCGCAACTGTCAAATCAAGCGGTGAGCGACTGAGCCAAAACAGTAGCTCTGTGGCCGTTTGCGACCAGTCGCCTTGCAACTAACTTGGTCGCATAACCGATGCTAATCGTAACTGTGAACGAACCTTTGCAGTCTTATCTAGCAACGTAGCCTAGCAGCTAAGGTAGGACTGCTAAGCTAAATTTTGATGGCAGGTTGGATTTCTGGCGACAGTGGCCAGATTTCTTTGGAGCAAAATGTAAGAACAAATGTATGTTTACATTTAGGTACAAGTGGTCAAAACTGTGCTTAATATTATTGGGGTTACAGCAAACGAAAAACCCACACTTTCAAACAATGATTCAATCAGTCAAACATGTTTCATTTTCACCGTTATGAGAACGAAGTCATTAGTAAGATCATCTGGACGAAAACAGAGCATTTTTTGCTTTTACAAAGCTTCAGTCCCCCATGCAGACTGTAGTGAAGTTGGTGTCAATACAATAATAAAGAGCATGTGTTAAGCGGTTTATTGACGGACACTCAGCGATGATTCACGACAGCGACAGTCAATGCGGGGATCGACTCTCTGCACGAGCTGCTCTTCTTCTTAAGAAAAAGGGCGACCCACTAGAAGGCGCTGAAGAGGATGACCCACTGTTCAAAGGCTTTACCACAACTACCCCGGGTACGAAAAGGGAGCCGCCTGGCGACCTAACAGCTGGTTACAATGAGCGGGTCATGGTAGGCCTTGAGGCGCTCCACGTTAACAATGTCGCGTCCTCGACGACGCATGTCCGAAGATTGTTCGATGGGTTCAATCAAGTAGTTGACTGGGGAAGTGCATTTGACGACACGGTAGGGGCCTTCGTATTTAGGCAATAGTTTTGAAGATAGGCCAGTTGCAGTAGTAGGGATCGAGAGCCAGACGAGCGCTCCAGGGAGGAATGTGGGTGCAGTAGTACTGGCGTCAGCGCGAATGCTTTTTTGCCGCTCTTGATCATGCGCAGTAAAGGTCTTTGCAAGCTCTCGACATTCTTCAGCAAGCTTGGCTGTAGCAGAAATAGGTGCCCACTCAGACGGATCTGGCCTGTACGGAAGTATCGTGTCGATGGTGTGTGACGGGTGCCTTCCATATAATAAAAAGAAAGGTGAAAAGCCAGTAGTGCTCTGAGGGGCGGTATTATATGCGTAGGTGACGAAGGGTAGAATGGAATCCCAATTTGTGTGATCGGCGGTGACGTATTTGGAGAGCATGTCGCCCAGCGTACGGTTGAAGCGTTCTGTGAGGCCATTCGTCTGCGGGTGGTAAGCAGCAGTTTTGCGGTGAACAACGTTGCACTCTTTGAGAATGGCTTGAACGACTTCAGACAGGAAGACACGGCCTCGGTCACTGAGCAGTTCCTGGGGTGGGCCGTGTCGCAGGATGAATCGTTGGAGCAGAAAGGAAGCCACATCGCTCGCTGTAGCCGCGGGAAGAGTGGCCGTTTCGGCGTATCGCGTGAGGTGGTCCACAGCAACAATGGCCCAGCGGTTACCAGCCGACGTTAGTGGAAGTGGCCCATACAAATCGATGCCAACGCGCCCAAACGGCCTGGCAGGGCAAGGTAGAGGTTGCAGACCTACCGGCGACAGGTGCGTTGAAGTTTTGCGGCGCTGACATTCTATGCAGGAGCGAACGAATTTCTGCACGTAGCGGTACATGCCGCGCCAAAAGTACCGTTGGCGAATGCGGTGGTAAGTCTTCGATACCCCGGAGTGCGCACACTGCGGATCAGAATGAAATAATTCGCATATGTCAGAGCGCAGACTGCGAGGTATGACTAGTAGCCACTGGCGGCCGTCACCGTTGTAATTGCGTCGATGGAGGAGGTCGTCGCGAACGGCGAAATGGTGGGCTTGACGACGCAACGCGCGAGTGGATGGAGTGGATGGATCAGTCAGCAAGTCTATCAGTGAGGCAATCCATTGATCCTTGCGCTGTTCAGTAGCAATAGCATGAATGCTAATCGAAGAAATGGCAAGGTGAGACATTGAGTTGTTGGCATTGTCGTCAGGCAAGGGAGAGCGCGACAGGGCGTTGGCGTCAGCATGTTGCCTTCCATTGCGGTACAGCACGCGGATGTCATAGTCTTGCAGGCGAAGTGCCCACCGGGCGAGACGGCCTGAGGGATCTTTCAATGACGACAACCAGCATAGTGCGTGGTGGTCGGTGACGACATCAAATGGGCGACCATACAAATAAGGTCGGAACTTTGCAAGGGCCCAGACGATTGCCAAACATTCTTTCTCGGTGACTGTGTAATTAGTCTCGGCTTTAGTAAGCGTACGGCTCGCGTACGCCACGACATATTCCGGGAACCCTGGTTTGCGCTGCGCAAGGACAGCGCCGAGGCCGACACCACTGGCATCCGTGTGTACCTCTGTAGGGGCCGTAGGGTTGTAGTGGCGGAGTATGGGAGGCGACGTCAACAAACGACGAAGTGTTCTGAAAGCGTCGTCGCACTGTGATGACCACGAATGGAGAGGCCCGTTACTTCCGAGAAGCTTCGTCAGCGGCGATATGATAGTCGCGAAGTTTCGAATGAAGCGCCGAAAGTAGGAACACAGTCCTACGAAACTGCGCAGTTCCTTCACGGATGTCGGCTTGGGGAACTCGGTCACGGCCCGAAGCTTGGTTGGATCAGGGAGAATTCCGTCCTTGGACACGACGTAGCCGAGTATTGTCAGCTGAAGAAGAGCGGAATTCTTCCAACAGGCCTAAAAGCTGGGAACGCTGGCCCTGCGTAAGGTCGTCGGGTATGCAGGGACCGAATATATCATCGGATGATGAAGCAGATGTCAAAACAGCACCAAGCGTACAGGAACTTGGGTAGTGCATGTCATCGGGTTGATCCATAACTTGCGCGTCTTCGATGGGTTCCACGCTGCCGATTCATTCTCCTCGCACCAACGTAACGCTGTACGGAGATGGGTTCACAACAAAAATAGTGGTGCTGCCGTGAGTGAGTTGGACGGTCGCGAAAGGAACCAGCAAGCTTTTTCTTATGAAAACACGATGAGATGGCGAGAGGAGTGCAGCGGTGTCAGAAAGGCTTGCGCAGTAGAGCGACACCGCAACGGACGAGTTTGCAGGCACTTGAGTGTCGTCTCTGACGAGTAACTTGCTTGCAGCGGATGGACTGTCGGCTGGCGTCAAAGAAGAGAATGGCGTGAGTTCTATTTCTGCTGGTGCGCAATGAATGACGGCATCGTGGTGGGAGAGAAAATCCCATCCTAGGATGACGTCGTGAGAGCATGAAGAAATTATGATGAATTCGACCGCATACATCACGTCCTGATTCATAAGGCAGGCTGTGCACATCGCTGTAGGGTGAATGCTTTGGGCGTTGGCTGTACGGAGGGAGAGCCCGCAAAGCGGCGTGGTCACTTTGCGCAGTAATTGGCAAAGTTTTTCGTCCATCACGGATACATATTCTAGTACGATAGATTTACAATAGTAGGTGGCACTTCAACTGCTTGTAAGAAATGGATGAAAGCGCACTAGTAAAAAAGATGTACTATATATACGATCAAGAAACGTTCTTCTGCATAACAAAGTAAGAAAATTAAAATTAAAGCCACACAATATCGAAAAGTCTTGTTTTTGTCCTTCTGATCACATGTAAATGAACTGCTACAAGAACAAGTCCAGCATTTTAGTTTTGTTTAGCGGAAATACATCAGTATTTTGTTTGTTGAAGTAGATAAGTAGGAAATACAGTGTATGACAATTTATTTGATTTTGGCAATGTTGGGTATTAATGTATTGTTTATACATAAAATTTAATTTTGTATACTCTACTGCATCATGTCCCATTTGTTAAAAGGCCAGTAAACAGGCTCAGACTTTTTTTTTTTTTTTACACCCCCCAAACAAGCTCGCCAACTTGTTCAGCAGACCGTGGCGATCATATTTGCCAAATATTACAGTGCTGCGTGCCTTGCAGACCCTCCATGCCGAAAAACAATCCCGCACCTGTTTTCCTCCCTCGCCCCTCATACAGGCAGTCTGACGAAAACTTGTACGTGGACAAATTTTCAATCGAAGAGCTCACCACTGAGCTCTTCGATTGGTTCTTTGCCCTATGAAACGGTGCCTTGGCCCTTGGGGAATGCAGTTTCAGCCGCACAGTCTGCATTTCTCGCATTTCTATGTTCCTGTGTTGCCCTCTGCCGTTTTGTAAAGCCCAAGACAAAAGCCTCCGAGATGGAGGGCATCGGACTACTTAACCTTTACTGCAAATAGAAAAGTTCTCCTCGTCCCATCTTTCCTGTCTGCGCTGCTATGACACGTGCCCATGTGCGAGATGCCCGCTCGGTCGTTTGTTGAGCGCTGATGATGACGTATCACAGAAGTCATGGCACGTTGCCGAAGTGAGGGGAGTCACGAGGATGGGCTACTACTTTGCGGAGAAGGGTGGCGAGCAGCCGTGCCAAAAAAAATTTCAAACTGGTTCTAACAGATGTTCTAATCCCCGTAACTTCCTTATTATAGCACGTATTTGCGAAATTCTCCTTGTGGCAGCATGGTCACATAGCAATAGTGCGCATGTATCTGTTCAATAAAATTTTTGAACCCTGGGGTTGTCTACTGGCCCTTTAAGCCCAGCAAGATGTTCTTATTTCATTAGCATTCTTGAAATTTTTTCGTTTGCCCACCAGTGTTTGTTTACCCACCTGACAGGTGCTCCCGGCATTCCAAAAGGTGCAAATACCCCACAAGTGCCATAGTTTACCACGAAACTTCAAGTTCCGGCCGTACAAACCCAAGGTTACGCCAGTTGCTCACGTGACGCCGGCGCTGAGCCGACAGTCATCCGAAGTGGTTGGCCCTTCAGACTTCAAGTCACGCCTAGATGTGAGCTCATTCTTTTGTGCATGTCTAATTTTTTCGAAAGGATCCGTAACTAACATGTTTCACCTTCACTCTTTTCTAGACTGTAAAAGAGTGGTTCACCACATTCAATGATGATCAGAAGAATGCCACATTGAAAGCGCTCTTGGTGAGTGTTTCAGCTGTGCACTTACTTTCATGCAGCGAATGAATTGGGGAATTCGGGAGACATTCATCTTTCAAGTTTTACCAAGTACGTGAATTCATAAAAAGCCATGAAATTAGCATAAAGCAACCAGTGGCATGAACATGGGAAAAAGCAAGCAGGGGTGGTGCCTATTGGGGGGGTAGCACAGCAAGCTTCAGGAAACTTCATCATCCCAATGCTGCAAGAATGCAAAAAAATTATTTTGAAATCTTCTGACATTGGGGGGCTGAAGATCAGAGCAAATTAAAAAATTAAAGTTTGACCTTCATTTTTTTCTTTTAATAATGTAACTGTGATGGTAAAAAAACTATTAACTGGCGAGAGTAGAGCTCTCCAGGAATGGCTCATCAATATAAACTTATTTGTGTCTGTATCTTTTAGTACTGTCCCTTGTAGTTCCATGAATAAGGCATGCAGTGTTAAACCTAAAGCTTCTTTTGGTGAGCTGTTGTGGTGAGTGATGATAATCGAGAGATGTACCGCCCATGGTTGACAATGGCGCAGGGGTTGTGTGGCCAGTCCCAGAATCACCTCCTCTCCGTCCTGCTCCAACCAGTCCTGCACGAGCACTGCCCCGACAACTGCCAAGACTGGCTCAGTTCCTTACCGTCGGGTGAGTGTGGCAGCAGCAGCATGCTGTGCCACTGTTTTCTGACCGGACTGGTGCAAACCGTGTTAAAGGCCAACTCCGGCGTTTTTCCGATCATCTCAAGGTAATGGTGTTTCTGTGTTCCTCAGACACACTTGTCACAGCTGAAATGCTCAGGAAATTTGAAAATAATTTTAATAAGCAAAAAAAGTGCAAAACCAAAACCCAACTGGGCACCCTGTCTGCATATGACATACTATTTGGTAAAAACTGGAGGTTGTATACTGATCCCGCCAGTGCGTAGTATGAAAACTGTGAAAGCCAGATCAGTGAAGCGCCGGCAAGCACCACAGAGGAAGGAAGAAAGCTTTCCCCTGCTATACTCTTGCCAAATACCGCCGCCGTCGCCTTGTGGCCAGCACAATAAATGTTGCAGCGGCAGAAGTAGCGATGCCATCGGCTCTGTCACTTCGGTTGACATGCCAGGCATGACCTCATACAGACAGTGTTGCCAATAATTCTGGCAAGCGAGCTGAGCTTTTCGAGGTAATCTTTAAAACTCATTTGCAAACAAACAATGCATCTTTCAAGCCTGTAATTTGGCATAAAACACAGAAATGTGCAAAGGAACGTACACAGCGAATTTCATTGAGATCTATTGCCCTCGAGAAATCGCCGGAGTTGGCCTTTAAGGAGGAAGAGCAGATCATTGAGGCATCATCAAAAGATCATTATGGGACTGTCCTTCACTAAAGAGATACACTCGAAATTTATTATAACAAAGTTGTACCTTGGGAAAAAATACGTTCGTGTCAAAAAATTCATAAAGGTTATCTCACACTGTTTCTATTGTAAGACTATTTTTCATTTACTTCGTTGTTACCAATATTTCATAACATTCATGTTTGTTATTATGAGGTTTGAGTGTGCTGAAGGGAAAGATGATTTTTCTCATATATTAGTGAATTGCTCTTCCACAATTCCAAAATCATCACGCCTGCAGCGAGAAGGCGCTTAGTAAGCGAGAAAATACACAAAAAGAAAATTCGGGCAGCGATGGTACCTTGAAGTGCCCACGCAAAACATCATGAAATTATGTGTATTGATGACATATGCTCGGTCCTACATAATTACTAACCAGTAAAAACTAACTAAATTGTTCTTTCGAGGTGCCATAAACATAACATACCAATGTTTAGGAGATATCGTTGAGCCAATATTACCAAAATACGCTTGTGAAGGTGAGGCAAAGGCAAGTGGTTGCTCAGATGGAAAATTTTTTTCTCTTTTAAAACAAAAAATTTCTCTTTTGAAGCTTTCTGCATGGCTTGCCAATGAAGCATACTATGCAGCAATATATAAGCCATGTTTTTACTTGGACCGTTACATTACGAAAATGAAGCCCTAATACGAGTCAGAATGCTATTTTTCATAACTTCGTCACAATATTCTGGCAATGTTCATGCTTCATTCGCTCCCGAAGTATTTTATTCATTTAATGTAGGAACATGTAAAACACATAATGTGAATATATTGCTTGCAATAGAATTTATGCTTTTTAGAATGCAAAACATGCAGCGTATATGCAATTTTTCGCTGAGACTAAAAATAAAGTGGGTTAAAACACAAACATGAAAACTATTATAGTCATGACAGCCTTGCACCTTCAAATTAAAGAAAAAAATGTTTCGCAGTAATTGATTGAACCAGTAATATTTTACATAAATTATTTATTGCGACAGATTCACTGGGGTGCCCACAGTTTGAGTGCCCTCTAGGCAATACAATTTTTTTTTGCGGAATAAAATGCCTCAATTGCTACTTCTCGGTGTTTCTTTTTTTTTTGGGGGGGGGGGGGGGGGGGGGGGCTTGATTTTAGTTGATCATAGATTGGCGAAAATTGACCTGGTACACCACTTAATCTGTAATGACCCTAATATATATATATATATATATATATATATATATATATATATATATATATATATATATTAATGAGATCTAACAGACAATAATAACAGCCACAGAACGCGTTATTTGAAGGTCGCAGGTTCGGATCCTGCCCACGAGAAATTATCTTTTCACCCACTTTTTTTTCTTCTAATTTACGTTACAATTGGCCTAATAACTTCTCCTATACCTTCCTTGGCATTATTGTCTGTTAGATCTCATTAATATTGTGTAAACACAAAAAAACGAGCCCTTAAGTATACACTTGTTTCCCTTATTCATTAACGAGGGTCTTGTACTGGCAGACTTGGTGCCTTTAGGTTGTACACGAGAGACTATTTGGTCAGCTGCTAGTTAGTAATAAGTTCACGTGCTACGTGACGCCAAACAGGCTCATAAAGAGTGTGCCACACTCGCCGCCATGGCTACTAGTGGCGCTGACTGACACTCCCACGTTTAAATTGACATAGATACCCAATAAAGTGGCTGGGGGGATAGCTGTCGTGGTAAGTCAGTGGTAGAGCATCGAACGCGTTATTCGAACGTCGCAGAATCGGATCCTGCCCCCAAGCCCCGCCGCGGTGGTCTAGTGGCTAAGGTACTCGGCTGCTGACCCGTAGGTCGCGGGTTCGATTCCCGGCTGCGGCGGCTGCATTTCCGATGGAGGCGGAAATGTTGTAGGCCCGTGTACTCAGATTTGGGTGCACGTTAAAGAACCCCAGGTGGTCAAAATTTCCGGAGCCCTCCACTACGGCGTCTCTCATAATCAAATGGTGGTTTTGGGACGTTAAACCCCACAAATCAATCAAATCAATCAATCAATCAATCAATCAATCAATCGGATCCTGCCCACGGCAAGTAATCTTTTCACCCACTTTTCTTTCTTCTCATTTACATTACAATTGGCCTAATAACTTCCTCTATACCTTCCTTGGCATTATTGTCTGTTAGATCTCATTAATATTGTGTAAACACGAAAAAAACGAGCCCTTATGTATACACTTGTTTCCCTTATATATATATATATATATATATATATATATATATATATATATATATATATATATATATATATATATATATATATATATATATATATATATAGCTGTCATGGAGTTGGCTTGTCGGACAGAATAGATAAATCTCGTTTCCATCCAGCACACTGTTCCAGTTATATACATGTGGCATCCCTGTTTATGCAACACACTCAGTACGCTCTCCTTGGCATCTCTCGGTTTCATCAAATGCAGATCTCCTGATGATCATCTTCTCGTACTTGGACCCGGTGTCCCTGCTGCGTTGTGCCCAGGTGTGCCGTGCATGGCGTGACGCGACACACGACTCGTACCTTTGGCAGCGCCTGTGTGCGCAGCCGCGGTGGCGCGTCAGCGCTGCCACAGAAAGCAAGCAGCTAGAGCTGCTGCGCCTGTGCGACGGCACGGTGGACTGGCGTGCCGTCTTCTGCCAGCGGTATCGCTTGCGACGCAACTGGCTCCGTGGCAGCTGTCACGTGCGCACATTCCACGGGCACACGCAGGTGGGTGGAGCGGCCGTCTTGAACTTTGATGGGGTCTACACTAGAAGCGAAAGCTGGGCTGGTTGATGGCTCATGCTTGGGACGTAAAAACAGCGGAAAAAGAAAAGTGAGGCATGGACTGAAGAAGAAACAACGGGCGAGGAACTCAACTACAATTTATTGCGAAGCGCACGCACCTATATCAAGCAGCCGACCTAGACAATAGCCGATCTCGCCGAAGCAGCCGATCAGTCCTTGTCTTCATTTTTTGCACTGTTTTTACATCCCAAGTTTGATAGGGTCTGCCTATGTCGAATAGTCACCCTGTTATCGTGGTCATAAAATCAAAAGCTGACGACCACACGTTTTGTTCTAAGGAAATGTGTACGAATTTCTCAGAAAGAAAGCTTCAGAATACAGTTGAACCCCTTTATGAGAGTCACTGTTATTAGAGACAGTTGGAAATAAGTGACACATATGATCCTGCTTAGAAATAAAGGTTGATCAGAAAATGTGAACATTGTACCCTGCTCATAAGGCCTGATATAAAAGACAAAAATTGCTTTCTGGTGCATGCCTTTTATAAAGAAGTTCAACTGTATTGAAAACGAGTTCTGCGGATGTCTGCAAGGTGACAGAATTGTTATGAAAGAGGAAGCTGGCTATACTTGCTTGTAACACAAGGAAAATCATTCAGATTTCTAAAAAAGTAGATTTCCATGTAGCCTTCTGCTACACATAGGTTTTGTAATTGATTCGATGACTAAATAAAACCATTTCCAATTTTTATTCTGATTCTCATATGGGTTATTGTCAGCATTCCACCCTTTCATAAGCTTTCCGCCGCTTTGCAGGCTTTTTTAGAACTCATTTGCAACTTTAGATGGTTGTTGGAATGCGCGTGCTGAGCAAGCTCAATAGCTAGCGAGGTTCCTTATAAGATTGCAGAAGTAGAAATAGTGGGCACAAAAGTTGGACGGCACTTGCTACATCTTGACTTTTGTCTGAGGTGCTCATCTTCTGTATTATACACAACTAATGAAACCAACAGACAGTTAAGCCAAATAAAGTGCAGGGGATAGTACTTGTTGTTAGTTAACCACAGTGTTGTGATTCTCGCTTGAATTGAAGGGAATTAAACTTGGAAGGCAAAAAATAATTAGTTTTCAGTAATTAGCTGATACCAAATATTTACAGTTACATCTAGGCTGAGAAAAAAAAAAGAAAAGCTTTATCATGTGGGTTAAAAAATAGATAGTACCTAGTTTGTTTAAATATGTTCCCTAAAACTTTCTAAAAACTTCTATAAGGCAGACTCACTTCACAAAAAGAATGAAGCTGATAAAATTGCTTTTCGACTCCTAAAAACATTGTTAATTTAGTCTGTTTATGCTGTAAGTAAAGAAGGACTGTTTTGCAATAACATAATATTTCTCCGGAGCATAATTTAGACCATAAATACTTCTAAATAGTGATTACAGAAAATTGCTCTTCCTTTGTTAATTTTTTGCTATTTTAAGACCCTCTTTCAATTCTAAGAAGCTTTTGAACATGAAGCATTGTATGCATTAAAACCCCGATATAATGAATAGGGATATAACGAAATGTTGGTCATAACGAAGTATATGAAAAATGGTATTGCAATATATATAGGGTTAGGAGTATATCTTTATAACAAATTTCTGGATATAACAAACTTATGTTCGTGTAAGATGCAACTTAACTTGTTTTAATGAGTGTATTGCCACTGTGCCAGGGAACAGTGTTGCACGAAGGACACCAGGTGGCAATATTGCATACAGTGCCCTCGTCTTGCATTCAGGCTGTCTTCTGCGTCCAGTTTGACGACACGCGCATTGTCAGCGGTTCCTCGGACAAAACAATCAAAGTGTGGAACATGCGCACAAACAGCCCCTGGTCGGTGATGACCCTCGTCGGTCACTCGGGCACGGTGCGCTGCCTTCACCTGAGTGGCAACCGGCTGGTCTCGGGCTCCAGTGACTGCACAATAAAGGTAGGCAACGCACGGTGCAGCGGCGCTCGTAGGACAGAATCTGCAACCATCTTTTGAAGACTATGGGTCTGCTCCAGTGCGCTGGTAGAGTCTACATAGACAGCTAAGTGGACAGTGGCCATCTGAAGTCCCATTCCAGTTCTCAGTAGCCAGCAAAATAGACAGCTTCGAGAGGACTGCGTCGGATACAAATACAATGCAGGCTACTTTGCTGTCCAAACAATATGGCAGCTGAGCGAAACGCTCGCATAGCTCATATCTTGTCAGTATAGCCGTCCGCACTCAAGCCGGTGCTTCTCCGTGAGCTTTATGTAAGCTACATGCAATTTTTCATTATAACATTTGTGTTCGTATTTCTTAGCTTTCTCTTGTCGACGCCAGGTGGTGTTGCATTGCACTCACGTCATCTAGACACAATTCATTACTTGGACTACTGGTGCTTGGTGCTGTCTTCTAAGCTTTCAACATAGACAGTCTGCAATGCTATCTGGAATAGTAATGTAGCCTTTGTCTTCCTTGGCCTCTAATACTAACTCCTAACTGAATCTAACTACTGCCGTATTTATGTCCAAACTACCAGCAGTGGCTTATGTTGGCCTGCGCTCTGCTGGCTAACTGCAGTTTAGTATTGGCTATTAACATGTAATAGCCAAGTAAGTTACCTTCGTTCAGTCTCAAGGCAACAATCAAGTCATCTACCAGTTCTTATTGCTGTTCAAAGTGCAGAAGCCAAAAGTACTCAGTCTGAGTTGTACTTTATTTTAGTCGTGTTGAAGAAGTGGTTGCTCTTTGCAGTCTAACCTCGAGATCTGACGTGACATTTTAAACGAGTGTCACATGGACACTGTTGGGATTGAGGTATTCGCTCTCAGAACAAACAAACAGTCACATCATCGAGCAAATCAGCACGTGGGCATCTATTGACTGCTTTTACATCACAGCAAGCTCACCAGCCGAGTCTAACAGATAACTAGCAACTTACTAAATAATCCAATATAATGTTAATAAAACTATAATTTAACATTACGCATGCAATGTAAAGTGAATTCGGTGTCGCCAATGTTGGACTCACCCTGAGGGCCCATGGGTACCGTAAAAATCCGCGTATAGCCCGGGTTTTTTTTCCTAAAATTTAGGATGCGAAATTTCAGCCCCGTACTATATGCGGATTCCAAAAAAGTTTCGGCCCGAATTCAGTTCTGGTATCGGCATTGGTTGGTGCTATCATCATTATCAGGTGTCTGCGCACTTCTACGTTAGGTGGCGTGGTAGCGTGAGCGGCGTTAGTCCTAGAGACCTACAGGTACAGGCGTGCATCAGGCGAGCAACAGTGGCCATTGCAATCACTTGGCGCACATCACGACGGCCACGATTTTACTTCCGTGATTTCAAGCCATGTCGGGACCGCGCAGGCAGTACTCGGCTGCCTTTAAGAGGAAAGTTCTTTCTGCTGCCGAAACCATCGGCAACTGTGTTACGGAGCGGCAGTTCGGCGTGAATGAGCGGAGCTTTCGCGGTTGGCGGAAGCAGAAGGAAGCCCTTTTTGCATGCTGCGACAAGAGAAAAAGTTTCCGGGGACCGAAAAATGGAGCATTTCCAGATGTGGAACGAGAACTGACGGACTTTGTTCGGGAGCAACGAGCAGCACAACTCGCTGTGCACATCGAGCTGCTGCAGGCAAAGGCAAGGGAGATCGCTCGAGACAAAGGCATTTCGCCTGCGGACTTCGGAAGGGAGATTCGGAAGACAGTGTGTCAGACGAAGACGACGACTAATCGTGCGCGCGCGTGCGTGCGCATGCAAGTGTGTAAATAAATGCATTTTTTCTCTTTTCCTCGAACAATATTCGCGTGAAAATGTTTTTTCTCGCGTTTGCTATCCCCGAGTTACACCTCGAACTATACGCGGGTCCGAACTATACGTGGGTTTTTACGGTACTTGCTGTGCTATCACACCTACGGAGCCTCCCGTGATTAGCCCCGCCGCGCTGGTCTAGTGGCTAAGGTACTCGGCTGCTGACCCGCAGGTCGCGAGTTCAAATCCCGGCTGCGGCGGCTGCATTTCCGATGGAGGCGGAAATGTTGTAGGCCCGTGTACTCAGATTTGGGTGCACGTTAAAGAACCCCAGGTGGTCAAAATTTCCGGAGCCCTCCACTACGGCATCTCTCGTAATCATATGGTGGTTTTGGGAAGTTAAACCCCACAAATCCTAGCCTCCTGTGATTAGGATTTAACGCTATTTAGGATCAAATTTCTCAACTATGATTGGCTCTTTCTATGCAAATAAGCCCATCAAGATTAAATTGTTTGATCACAGTTTGGACCACTTGTGAATAAAATGACACCATGTGACACATCGACATCTTGGCATCTTGGTTGTATTTGAGAGTGGTCCTCACTGCGAACAGCCACTAAAATGCAAGGCTAAATCAGTTTTGACTGATAAGTTATTCTTTTATAGTTTTTTTTTTTTGTCAATTTCACAATCATAGGTTCGTTATAAAATGAGTAAGTGGCGGTCAGGGTTTCATTCTTGGATTTTGTGCCAGAAATGCAAAAATAGATGTCAGAAGGTCATATCGAACGTTTTTTTTTTTTTTTTTCAAATTCGGACACGTTGACTCGATAAAATTTTCTGAAACTTCCCATCTCCTTTAATGTAAAGCTTCCTTCATAAATGACAGAATTAATTTTCACCAATAAATAATTATGTAAGCCCTTGCAGACGCCATCAAATATTTCTACTTCATGGGAAGCTGGTACGAAGACTTAAAAAAATTTTTTTAAAAGACTGCCTTCATTTTGCCTCCTTCAGGGTTTTTTCTTTGGACTCCAGAGCATTGTCTTGTGGTGAAAGTGGTGTTCTTGTTATTGAGTAAGGGTATTTTGCAAATGGAAAAGAAATGTTTTTTCATTGTTTCTTTAAATTTAACTGTCTCAATTTATTTTCCTTGATTAAAGTGAAACCGCACTTCTCGTTCGTTTTCATCGTCCATGCAGGTGTGGGACTTGAGCACCGAACACTCCTGGTCCAGCATAGCCTGCAAGGGCACCATGGTTGGACACATAGACACTGTGCGATGCCTTCAAGCAGACGAACACCAAGTCGTCAGTGGTTCCTACGATCGTACTCTCAAGGCAGGTTCTCTCTTGTTTACCATTTGCTGTACTTTTTACAATTTGTTAGTTGTTTAAGAAGAACAAATTCCAAATGAAGGCGAGTGCGTGAGGGCGAGGCAGATGATTAGATTTGTAGGGATAACACGACCCTGGCAAAGGCAGCACTGGGTCATTTGGTGAAACACGGGAGAGGCCTTTGCCCTGCAGTAGGCGTAGTCAGACTGATGATGAACTTGTTTGACCACTTTAAACTGGCAAGTACCCAACTGTGCATGCTAAATTAGTGCTTCGAAAGCAAAGCTATTTGTAGAAATAGTGCTTTAGACTGGTACTTTACATCCTGGCACACTTTTTATTAAGTCTGCACTACAAGTTTCAAGAATACAAATGAAATGTTTCACTATGTTAGTTAAGAAATGAACTGCTGGCGTTTGTTCTCACTGTGAGTATGTCGCCACCAAGTGGTCTCAGTACTGTCAAACTTCGTCCCTTTTGCTCTGCGATCTTTCACAATTTTTTTACTAAGTGCCGAGCCCGAGATGAAAATTCTGCTGCTTCCTAAAGTCGACAGGGCTTCTCTGTTAAATTTATCAGATTTAATTCTAATTTGTTCAGCAGTAGGTCATTGAAAGAATCTATATGCTCAACATTAACATATTTGAAAGGTTGGGAGTTGGCCTTAAGCTAAAGCTTCCGTTTGACATTTTCACCGTGTCATCTCAGTAGGTTCTCAGGTGTCCTGTGATATCTGCAGGTGTGGGACATGCAGACGGGTCTTTGTCTGCGCACGCTAGTCGGTCACGCGGGCGCGGTGCTGTGCCTGCAGTACCACGGAGACCGGCTCGTATCTGGGTCCTGCGACCGAACCATACGAGTCTGGCAGCTGGACACCGGTCGCCACGTGGCGACCTTTCACGGTCATCAGGATGCGGTCACCTGCCTTCAGTTTGACTCTATGCAGGTGGGGAGGCACCGTCCCTTGTCTCCGTCATGAAACAAAATTAGAGAATGGCCCATTTCACCACTCTTATTGCTATCACTATGCAGAGCAAGCAGCAATGGTGGATTCAGATTGAAGCAGGCACTCTGATTACATTTAAACTGTTAATTAAGCAGTTGTTTGATGTAGCTCAGCGTTTGGAACTATTTGTTGGTCATTTGAAATGTATATATTACATATTATTAACCTAACTAACCCCTCGCAATACTTTTTAAAAAGAATTGAAGCATGCCTTTTTTGTTTGTTTGTTTGTTCTAAAGAATTGGAAACAACTGAATCGTAGCAGGATTTGACTTTTAGTAGAATGCAAGTGATAACCTATAAAATATGTTGCGTGCTAAATATACTATCTTAGATTATATTAGGCGGTATAACAAGCATTTAAACTTAAAAAATGACGAATCAATGTGAAATTAATGTATTCATTCAACCTGGAAGTTGGGCTTTGTGGATTTGCGTATTTCTTCTGAATACTAGGTGTTTTCATGGTTTAGTGCCCCTCCACTCCATTGAAATCATCTTCATAGGGGGTTACATGCAGACTAATAAGCACCTATTCGTCCATTTGGAATATTTCGAAAATTTAAACAATTTAAATTCGTAACAAAGCAAAATTGAATACAACAATATTCGCTCGAATACTCTAAGCATTCCAATATTTGCACAAGCCTTGAAACAGCGCTTCCAGAAATGGATGCCAGGGCTCACATTAGAACTTTTGATAATGATATTGCACACTGTGCTTTGCAGGTCTGCTTTTCTTAGCCACACAGAAACTTCCTTTTTTATGTCTGTTTTGTACACATCTGAAATGGCACGTGCGAGCCTTCGGTTGTGTTTGTTGCTTGCTCTGGTGCCTAAGGTGGTGAGCGGTTCCCTAGACCGCACCATCAAGCTGTGGAGCCTGTCGAGCGGCCACTGCCTGCGCACCCTTGACTGGATCAAGTCGGAGGGCCACACAGGCGTGGTGCGCTGCCTGCAGGCCGACCAGTGGCGCATCGTCAGCGCCGGCGACGACCGGGCGCTCAAGGTTTGGAGTCTTGAGACGGGCCAGAGGCTCGTCACACTGCGCAACCACTCGGATGGGGTCACCTGCCTCCAGTTCAGCGACTCCCTCATCGTTTCGGGCTCCTACGACCAGACCGTCAAGCTGTGGGATTTCACCGTCTGCTGAAAGGTGCTGCTGCCTCAAGCCCTGACACGCCGCCTTCACGGCGATCGCAGGCACCTCAAACGGGCGCACCACCATTCACAGCAGCGACTGGCGTAGGTTCTGCATTGGCCACAACTGGGTACCGAGGAGCACTCGTGGTTATAATGATAGTCACGCTGGCCCGCGCGGCCTGCTAATTAGTTCTGCGGAATCCCGCGAGGTCGCGAAAGGATTATGAAAAGAATGATTGACAACCACTCGTGCGTATAGCATGAAGGCGCCAGGAAATTCATACAGACCTCTCAAAAAAGAAAGCTTCTTAGCTGAAGGAAAATTAATCCTGGTTCTGTGATCGAACTTGAGACCTATGCTTTTTCCGGGCGGTCGCTCTACCAATTGAGCTAACCAGAATGCCAGCAATTAGCAGTGCGAGGGCAAATTAGTCAGCAGCTGTAAAGTTTCCTTTCTTCGAATTCATTCCTCGCTTTTTCTTCCTTTCTTCCACTAAGGAACTTTCATTTCTGAGAAATCTGTATAAATTTTCTTGTTGCTTTCGAATACGATAAGTTCGTTGTTAGTTAGCCTATCCATGACCTGCGCATTGCACATGAAAGTGTTTAGCCTGATCCGGTTTATGAAAACACCTTGCTTTGCAAACGTCTCATGTTTCGCCTGGCAACGTGCCCTATCCTGCTGTGCTGACATCTGCAGACTAAAAGGTGACATTTGCTGAATCGCAAGATAGCGGGCAAACGTTAAGAAAGCGTGATGATTGTAGTACAATCGCACCCTTTCACCTCGTGAAGTAGGCGTTTGCATGCACAGACGTCCTACCCTTGCTGTGCTGATTTGCTTAGTACGTCTGCATCTGCGTTCATAGGGCTGAAATTTCAGGCTGTGAATGACTAGCTTGAACGAGTCACTTTTCGAGCGAAACGGTAATTTGCCAACAGTCGTTTTGCGACGTACTTGGTTGCATAACTTCTGGGAGTTGCTGGTGTGAACGAGCCTTAGCAGTTCATATTGCGTACGGGCAGGGATGTGCATCTTTGTTGTTTTGCAAGCGTGCATCTTTGCTCAGTCGTTAGTAGCTCTTGTTGTCTTATTCTACGGCAAGATCACATTCAACACGCTGCGCCGAGCTTTTTTCCTGTTGCAACAGCTTCAGATCTGTTGTGTGGCTCATATCAAATACCTGCCATTGTCTTTGCTTTTATTTGGCCTCCCGTATTGTGTTGCACGAAATTTGAGGAATTCGTGTGTACGGCCGAAGTGCCGAGCTCCACGTTTGCTTAGAGGCGCCCTGCAACACTTTTCAAACGTATTCTACAACGTGGTGATCTGTAGTTAAGGCTCGTGTGAGCATGCAAACGGAATTGTGCTGCATGCATTAGGGAATTGGCGATTTAATGTCGAAAACAGCCAAACACCTGTCCTCAGCAATGTTGTCATCAACTAGCCGGCAGGTGGGAGGGACAGGTATTCACACATTTTATGTGTGGCATGCCAGTGGAAGATCTCCAAGTCCATATGCCATGCATTGTAGGTGCCACTGCTGTGCACGTTAGGACCAAATTGTTGTGGGCAAGACAAAGGAATTATTGTTTTTTTTTTTTTCGGAGAAGCAGCAGCTCAAAAGGACACAATACAGGCACACATAAAGAGACTGGAAACACAAGTGCTGCTTTGAAACTGATGCTGTTTGCGTCTTTTTATATGTGCGTAGTATTGTGTCCTCCTGTGCTCTGCCTGTTTGAAAATCTCGTCTCACCAACTCACCAACTAGTCCATCAGTGCATTCAAGTCAAAGAAAAAAAAATAAGGAATAGAAAATGTTAGGAACCTTCACGTGTGGCAACACAGCATGTGCTTGTGGTGTTGACGGGAGAGAGAAAGAGCTTCTTTTGTTCAATAACGGCGCTTACACTTGACAGAGTAAAAAAAATTCATGATGCAATGAATCAAATTTGTATGACCATCTCCGAGAAAAGTAGTTGTAGGGCACCTTCAAGTTGTTTAGTCATGTTTGCATGTGTAATGCCAGCCCGTGTGCCGTAAACATTGGCCCACATTCGACACCACATTTTGTATACTGTACCGGTGCATTCCAGATGACACAACTTAGTGCCAAGATCCCGGTGAAAGATCACCGCGAATGGTTTTCACGTTGTTCCAGCGTGGGCTTACATCCCATATCTTATCTGTGTTGTTTATATACAAGGCTCTCACGCTGGAATTTTTTTTTTTCCAGTCACCGCTGTGCACCACACAAAGCTTGCACTTTTTGGGGGTCTGTATTTTTCATCTTCATTTTTCACAAATGAGTTACCCAGCAAAGATGCAAACCTGCTGGTAATCCCATCGAGGTTGTGAGTTCATTTTTAAGCATTTGTAGCGATTTTGCAAGCCTAGTGCAAACTTGACGGTATGGGATGTTGCGTTAATAAGGGCGCACAGTGTAGACCTCTTCAAGAGAGGCAAAGCAATGACAAAGATGCGTCACTGTTTGTTTGTTTGTTTACTGCCTACAACACGTGTTTTGTGTTGGTCATTGCCGTTCTTTGTTCCAACGAGCACATTCACTGAGAATGGTTTAGTTGGACAAACAAACTTTCTAGCTCCTTTATGGAAAAAGTGACCCTTGATGTCGCAAAATGTTTTTTTTTTTTCAGTTAATCAGTTAATGATGGCAAAAAAAAAACAAGACGTGGTTCGATGTGATAGATGAATCGGTGATCTAAGGCATTATACTACAAGGCTCCTTATTGACGCCACGCTCAGTACTTGCACACTGTGTGAAATTATTGCACGCTAAAGGCCGCAAGTGGACCTGTATAGTAAGGATACTTTGCACCGTGGTTTGAGACTGATGGTCACTTTTCTTCAGATGATGTCCCATCCGTTGTATATATTTATATATATATATATTTATGTAAATGCTTTTTAAAGGAATTGCCTTTAGGTACTTGTTAAGTATTTGTATTGTGTGGTAAAACTGACATATTAGAAAAAACTTGAACACCTATTCTTTCTTTATGGATGTCAGGGTATGGAGATGGGTGTGCATTTATTTTTGGTTGTTGGCACATTTTTTCTGGAAGATATTTACTCCATAAAATGTTGTCGTAGTTTCATTTTTGTAGGGGAAAAAAAAGCAAATTTCACCTTGCTGTGTTCGTTTCGTGGTTGGTTAGGAACCGAAGCACATTATTTAGCAGTAGCCACTTTTTATTTTGACATGGTGACTGCACTATGGTAGTTTGAAATTGTAGGGCTGCACTTCGTTAGTCATGGTGTGTTAGGCACGGCATATTGATAATGCAACATCGGTAAGCATTGCATTGCGTATGTCTTACTATCAATGCGGGATTAGTTCACTGAGGACTCAAAAAGAATAGCTGATGCGATTGATGCTCATGGGATTCAGGACCGCTCAGTCACTCTTGTTGCGAAAATTTCCACAGAAGTGAGACTTAAGCAAATGCAAGGACAGGAATAGCACAACCACTTGAACCAACGGGCACCAACTTTGAAGTAGTGATCCAATGCAGTCTTGCACAGGATTGACTATTTCATTCGTGCCACTTTCTTGCGCTTTAGAAGCCAACGGGTCACTGTCTGTTACAATACAATGCTTTTATTGTGGTTCTCAATATTTTGTGTATTTGTGTCTACGCTGTCTCTGTTATGTTCTTGGCTAAATTGTGACGGATACTTCTGTTTGGCAACTCATTCCAACATAAGCTGTGCCATTCAAACAGCAAAGTTCATGCAAGTCCTCAAGTTGTGTCTTTACGTGGGATAAATGACCGTCGATCGAGCATGGTATGAACTCACAAAGTTAAGCAAGAGCTTTAGCTCGTCAAGGCTAGCTCTGGTTTCTTTTTTCTTTAGGTGGTCATTAAGTACAGAATGATCTTGTTGGGCGAGAACTGAAGCAGTTAGGTTTAACGAGAACTGAAGCAGTTAAGTTTAACAAGAAAAGCCATATTTGAGCTACATTAGAATATTGACCGAGACCGTGAAAAAAGATCGCAGGAAGTAACAAATAAACAAAAAGCTAGTTCTACCATTTGAACTGGTATAGCGCATTAGGGTAAAGAATAAATTACTGAGCAGACCAGCACTATACCAGTTCAAGTAGGACGAACCAACGTGCCCATTCTTCAACACTCTTCAATGCTATAGGTTCGGGTTGAATGACGGATCATGGGATAGGCCTTTGCCCTGCAGTGGGCGTATTCTGGCTGACGGTGATGATGATGATGATGGGTTCATGAAGGAAACAAATGTAATAAATTTGTAACTTCTAATTTATGGAAGAATTCTTTTTGGACAGGACAAATCTGCCAGACCAAGAGCACTTTCAAGCTAACTTGTCATTTTAAAAATGTATCTATTACAAAACCAGCATCAACAAGCTTGTCAATTAGCCTAAATAGCTAAACTTAATTTTTCTGTGGTGTAAAAAGTGAATGGGGCACTTTACAAGACTGTGCTGGCTGTTTGTTTTTTTTTTCTGCTGATAGTCATAAACTGGCCATCTCAAATTTTCTTGTGTATTCTCATCTTTGCTGATTATAACACTTTCTGAGCAAAAGACAGATATATGTTTATTGCTGCTACAAGAATCTTTTTTTTTTAGGGTAACAATTTTTTTTTCAGTGCTTTTAGGTGGTTGCACAACTGGAACATTTCTTAATACATGCATGACTGAGATGGGGAAGTCTGGGCTCGCCTTAGCTGCTGCTTGTGCTTGGGGGAGTACTGAACTATTTCCGACTTTCTCTATTTTGCATTAGTAAAAGAAAAACCACACTCTCCAAGTCTTTAAAACAAAAATAAAGAGCAAGGATCATATTGTCCTGAATTGTTTGCTTTAGAAAATGCTTCTGCAAATCGGTTTGTTTCTGTTATACAGGAGGCAAGTGCATCATGGAGTCATGAAGTCATGACACACTCCATATGCGATCAGTACTGCTACAAGACACGAGTGTAACCTGAAGAAATGCGCAGTAGTAGCCAGTCTCTGTTATTACTTAGGATTATATTTATAAGCATCACTCTTGCCCTTATTGCTATGCAGTGCAATTTTTCCAGCATGTCGCAGTGCAGTGATGTTGACAACACCAGGTTCAGGGTTCCAAACTGAGCTTTATTATCAGAATGGAAATCTCGCGTTTCTTGCCATCTTCCATACTAAGTCTCATCCGTCAATGTGCAAGAAGTGCTTCTCAAATTTTTTTTAACCAAGTTCGGAAACGGGTGTCATTACTCTTGTGAGGAATCCTTCCTTGAAGTTCAGCATTTGCACGGAGATGGTTGGCATTGGCTGGTTTGCCTTCTTCAACGCAAGGTGCTTTGTGGCGGAAGAAGCGCATGTTGCAGCCCCATGCATTTCGGGAGTACAACGCCAGCATTCCCACGTAACAGCGCCGTGTTTCTACCGAGAATCACAAATTGTGTGTTCATATTGGTGCATTTAAGTGTTTAAAGAAAACATTGCTTGGGAACAAGTTCTGTGTGCTAACTGGTGTCTTTGAACTTGTCGTGTTTTTTACGCCTCTTGTGTTTATGCTCGTCGCCTCCTGCCTGTTACATTGGGCAGGGTCACATTGTGAGTAAGGCGAGTCCTGTTTCAAACGGTTAAAGGGACACTAAAGAGTAAATTAGGTTGAGTCATACTGCTGAACTACTACTGCTGCATTACAGTAAAGGAGCTTCCCAAACCTAAGAAGTATCATAAAGGCATAACGATGAAAGACAAGTGATACAAGTTCTACCTTAAGAGTATCACATCAGCTCACTTTAAAGTACATGTATGGCGCCGGTGAAATTTGTATTGATGAATACGGAGTACATTGTAGTTTTTTCCGAAGTAAAACCAAACACAAAAAATAGCAAGATTTAATAACTTGTGCTGAGCTGCACTGGCCAAATCCAGACATGCACGCATGTACACACGCATCGCATGGAAAAAAGCTAGGACATTCGGTGTCACACATGCGAATCAGGGCTCTCTGGTCCCTGCATGAAGTTACAAAAAAATGGGAGTAACGCTTTCATTTCTTTTTCTACTTATGAAAATTGTATGGGGGAAAGTAATAGTTCCGAAAAAAATGTTCTGGACTGCACTACTGGCCTATTTGCAAACTGGCACGTTCATATAACTTAAATATCTGCACTGTCATTGCAACTGAAATGCAGTTGGTGAAATGCTCTGCAGCTTTTTCAGGGTAGTCATGCATTATAGTGTGGATATGTTATCAGGCAATACTGTGCTGAATGCGCATTCCTTGTGGCCCTTGCGTGATATCTCATCTTGGTTGTGCAGTTGTCACTGCCCTTTAGTTTGAGCACAGAAGGCATGATCTGTTCGTGTTTTTAAGTTTTATTGTGTCCAAGTGTAATCAAATATGTTTGGTTTCTTGCTTGCTGTTTTAGATGCCCTGGCATAATTTTCTTTTTATGTTGTGGCCTCCCTAAGGATTATATTGTGTGCAACATTTTTTTGGCAAACTGCAGCACATGAGGTATCGTTTCAGGCTTAGTTAGGCATTGGTGTAAGCTAAAACCTACAACATACCTTCACACTTCACATTTAGAATGTGGACTTAGTGGAATGTTTTGTGTTTAAAGAATGAGAGTAGTCATTACAATGTCAACTAGTAGCATAGAATTCAGAACAGCATAGCCAAATTTAAATTGTGCCATGTTTAGATAAACCCTGGTTAGCAATACTTTATTCTTTTCGTCCCACCCAGTTACACGTCTATCAAAGTGCGTGTTCTGATTGCATCGTGTATTGCATTGATTTTTTGTGAATTTTTCTATATAATATATATAACTTTAAGATGAAAAGACTTGCTTGTCCTGTATTAGTGCATTGTTCTTTTCTAATTTCCCATGACGGCGAGCTTGGTATGCCAGAAATTGTGTACAGTACACAAGGCAGCTGCTTTGAATTTTCTACATTAGAAAGTTCTTTGATGAAATAAAAGTTTTTGCATTCCATTCATTGATCACTGTGAACTGCACGGATCTTGCCGTCGTCTGTAATGGTCTAGATAAATTTTATTAGAGACGTAGATTACATTCTGTTCTAAAAGAACCAACGTAAAGTTCTAGATCCTTTTAATGAGCCACAACACCTCAAATGTGTGATGATTCATTCGAACACAAAGCACCACACTAACTGCCACTGCTGTTTGGTTAACAACTTACTACCATGGAATTTAGGAAGATCAAAGTTTCAAAAAATAGATTTCTCTTTAAGGTCCCTTTAGTGGAACAACATGCCTCAGGGGCTTGCTAGGAGCACGACACATAAAAAGCTGACGTGAAAATGGTGCATTTAGCTGTGTGTGTTGAATATGCAAATGTGTTCTATATTTTTTCAATTTTCTTCGCTCTTGGTACCATGTGGCATATGTGTGTGCCCACCTGTGCATTGCCGTCTCGATGTTAACCAAAGTCCAGTTTCCGTCCCTCTCTTGTATGTTCAAAGTAAGGCGCAATTTCTTGCCTGACAAGTAGCTGCCCACTTCATTGCGTGACAAAGCGGTGTCGCTGCACATGTAAGAAAATAAAAATATGCAATGCACATGCCCTTGTTTGCTGTGTTCTTTTAGGGTTACATTTGTTGGAAGTACTGTACACATCTCTACGAGTTCCTCGTACATCTCTGCACCATTGTATCTTCGTTGTTTTCCTATAAACAACTTTTAACATGAAAACTGTGAAAAATAAAAAAATCGAGATTAGCAGTTCTCAGAAATGCTCAGAAAATTCACTTCAATTAAAACGACATGAAGCTTTAAAAAAAAAAAACTTGCACTATCCAAAACCTATAAATTTATTATCTTGGCCAAGAATTCTGTAAAGGTAAGTGTACAAAGGAGCAACAGCGGCACTGGAGCGTAGGCTTGCACTACCGACTGTATCGGGATTGAATCCCAGTGGCACTCTGCATTTTTCCAGGATGTGGATGACTGCACAGACCGTAAGTTCTGTCTTTTTGTTTGTATTGATCCCTAAATATTGCCCCAAATGAGGCCTGTGCACCATAGGCCACAACATCCTGGCGAAAGATTACCATTCGTTGCTTCTGTCTCGCACCGAGGGATACGGCCGTCCTAAAAAGGGGGAGAAAGGATTCAAATGGGACTGCCAAACCATTAAAATTTTTAAAACTAAACATACTTTTCCTCCCTCAGCAACAAATGATTCTCCGCTAATACACCAATTTTGTGGTGTGTAGTCTCTTAGGCATGTTAATAAGGTAAGGCCATACACGCAGAGGACCGAGCACCAGGTCCGTATACAGCTTTACGAACCCCTGATGAACAAACGCTTGCATGAATAGCAAAATACAATTCAGCTTTTAGAAACCGCAAATTAAGATTTTCAAGAACAATAAATTCCGAAAAGCAGTCGAGATAATTGAAACCTTTATCAGCAATGATAAGGCTCAACTTTGTTCTGACGTCACACCTCTCAAGACGGACCTAACTGCTGTCCCGAGCTACGTTTCCCCAGAAAAGTTGGCTTCACTGCAACAAATGCCGAAAACCAGCCGAAAAAGTCGAGGCCTTATCAGTTATGATATGGCACAACTTTTTTCCAACATCACACCTCTCAAGACGGACTTAACTGCTGTCCCTATCGAGCTACATTTCTCCTGAAAAGTTGGTTTCGCCGCAACAGATGCCAAAAACCAGTCAAAAAAGTTTAGGCCCATATCAGTTATGATAAGGCACAACTTTTTTCTGACGTCACACCTCAAGATGGACCAAACTGCTGTACCTTCCGAGCTACATTTCTCCTGAAAAGTTGGCTTCGCCGCAGTAAATGCCGAAAACCAGCCGAAAAAGTTTAGGCCCTTATCAGCTATGATAAGGCTCAACTTTTTTGTGACGCCACAACTCTTTGTTGTGGTGAAGCCAACTTTTCAGGGTAAACTTGGCTCGGAAGGGATAGCAGTTTGGTCCGTCTTGAGAGGCGTGATGTCAGAAAAAAGCTGAGCCTTATCATTGCTGATAAGGGCCCAAACTTTTTCGGCTGGTTTTTAACATTGTGGCGGCGAAGCCAACTTCTCAGGGGAAACTTAGCTCGGAAGAGACGGCATTTTGGTCTGTCTTGAAAGGTGTTACGACCGAAAAAAGTTGAGCCTTATCATTGCTGATAAGGGCCCAAACTTTTTCGGCCGGTTTTCGACATTGTGGCGGCGAAGCCAACTTCTCAGGGGAAACTTAGCTCGGAAGAGACGGCATTTTGGTCTGTCTTGAAAGGTATGACGTCAGAAAAAAGTTGAGCCTTATCATTGCTGATAAGGACCCAAACTTTTTCGACCGGTTTTCGACATTGTTGCGGCGAAACCAACTTCTCAGGGGATACTTAGCTCGGAAGGTACAGCAGTTTGGCCAGTTTTGAAAGGTGTTACGACCGAAAAAAGTTGAGCCTTATCATTGCTGATAAGGGCCCAAACTTTTTCGGCCGATTTTCGAGATTGTTGCGGCGAAGCCAACTTCTCAGGGGATACTTAGCTCGGAAGGTACAGCAGTTTGGTCAGTTTTGAAAGGTGTTACGACCGAAAAAAGTTGAGCCTTATCATTGCTGATAAGGGCCCAAACTTTTTCGGCCGATTTTCGACATTGTTGCGGCGAAGCCAACTTCTCAAGGGATACTTAGCTCGGAAGGTACAGCAGTTTGGTCAGTTTTGAAAGGTGTTACGACCGAAAAAAGTTGAGCCTTATCATTGCTGATAAGGGCCCAAACTTTTTCGGCCGGTTTTCGACATTATTGCGGCAAAGCCAACTTCTCAGGGGAACTTAGCTCGGAAGGTAGAGCAGTTTGGCCAGTCTTGAAAGGTGTGACGCCTGAAAAAAGTTCAGCCTTATCATTGCTGATAGAGGCCCAAACTTTTCTTTTGCCGGTTTTTTGGCATTTGTTGCAGCGAAGCCAACTTTTCAGGGGGGACTTAGCTCAGAAGGGACAGCAGTTTGGTCCGTCTTGGTAGGTACGACGTCAGAAAACATTTGAGCCTTATTATTGCTGATAAGGGCCTAAGCTTCTTCGGCCGGTTTTCGACATGGCTGAAGCGAAGCCAACTTTTCAGGGGAACTTGGTTCGGAAGGGACAGCGGATCGTGCGTCGCTGCAACTCGTACGAAACATATGCCTTCACATCAGACCAAAGCTGAGCTTTATCATAGGCGATAAGAGCGTCGTCTTTTTCGGTTGAGTTTCGCTCACTGCGGTGAAGCAAACGCGTCAGAGGAAACTGTGCAGACTATTATCTTTAAAATTTTTTTCACTTGCTCACAGCTCTTATCGTACTATTCGCATCAAGCTCACCTGCTCTACGAGACCTCAAATAATGAATGCCTTATATCAATACTACAATGGCGTCTTACAATTAATATGTTGGTCAAACACCTTGAACTGTAGGTGATAATGCGAAAAAGTGAGCTACGTACGTGCAGATGTTGTGCCTCTGCAGCGTCTTTGTATATTTCAGCTGCCCCCTGGTCAGCCAGAAGTGAATTTGCAAATATTACAGAAAGTTTATTAAGGCCAAACAACTGTTTCGGTGGTCACCGGACGAGCCTTTCGGTGGCATACTGGGGTTGTTGACGAATGCTGAAAACAAGACGACGCCATGCTGGTGCCACCCGTAGACACGTTGGGAAGACTGCCTGCCACGTACACTCCTACAGTAAAATTATATTATACATACTAGCTAAGGAGACTCTGCTCGTCACCTCACCCATTTCCTTCTCTCACCACTGCAAAAAGAAAGTAAAAATGAGATGCATTCTCCACATCACCCAAGTGCCCGTGGTCCTGCCAACCACATACAGCCCAGACTTCAAGGTGCCTTCTTGAACGAAGTTGAAACGATTTCCCCACACCCAATTTTGGCACACATTCTTTTATTCCAACAAATATCGGTTGTCAACAAACAAAAGGCACTTTTTTTTTTTTAACCAGTGTAAGATGAAGGAGACAAGTCACTACATCGTGGCACATAGCAGTGATTTGCACAGTTGTGCATACGATTTTTAAAAAATATATATGTATGGCTCACAGACAAGATAGAATCGTAAAGCGGGAGATAAAAAGATGGGGACGGAACATACAAGCATACTAAGGCATTAAATATACATGATAAAGGTTTTCCCAACACTTGCAAGCATGCATATGTGCAGCATGGTCAAAAAACATATGAGCAATGTGCAAGTGAGTGGCAGTGGTACTGGCAACTGCGAGGTCTATCCTTTGTGAAAAAGGAAAAAAGAAGAAACACTTGGCTATACGGCACAACAATAGATACACTAAAGAAGAATACAGAGCTAAAGAAGAATAGAGAAAAAGTGTCGGCGTGGTTACTTAGAATGTGTTCTCGTGCTTCAGCTGACTGTAGCGTTGCATTCCTCCACCCGGATGGGGCAAGAAATATTGCTCACTTCCAATAGTTTTTTCCGAAACTTAAAGCAGTAGTAATTCTTCGCGTAGCACCCTCGTTGACCAGCTCTGTTCAATTCACTGAATGTCATTCGAGGTAGGCCAGATGCGACTAGGCCAAACTGGGTACATTTGGTAGAAGCAAGTCAAATAGCTTCCATGAAGATAGCCGACAGTTAGCAGATCTCATATTTAACATCTAACTGTAGCTTGTATGTAGGAAGAACGGCAATTTATAAATGAAATTACCAGGCACGCCGTGGAAAATAAATGCACTTTGTTATACACATGACAAAAGAAAACACAAGATACAGGACACGAGCAACTATTGAACTGAGCAGGCCACTGATAGGCAGTAGATATAGATAATTTTTTTTTCCTTTTATGATGATGCTGATCGTCTAAGCGAGTGTACCAGTCCAGCCCATGAGATGAACCAAACTGGCCACTACTAGGGATGCATTCTCAACCGACCACTTTTGGAAGTTACCGGCACCTTCGGCATCGCCTTTGGGAATACTCAGTTTACGCTTGTAGCTACCAAGGGGGGAGAGCTTCCGAACGCTGTTACTCCAGGGTAAAGCATATTGCTCAAGTGTACCTGGTCAGGCTTGCCACAAGGTTGACAATAAGCTTGTAACAACAACAAAAAAATAGTTGCACAGCATAGAAAACACGAAGATTGCACTGCTCCGGTTCTGCATCGAAGATCACTGGCTTAGAAAACGAAGAGTTCCGGCAAATGTGCGCGGGTTCTCACGGCAGCACACTCTGCACATCGCAACACGTACAACTGCGTACAACACACAAGGCCCTTATGCTGGAATATTTTTTCTTTTATTTTTTTTTCTCCATCGATTCCATTCCACTGTTATGAGTACACATTTTGATTATGTGGGTTGGTTTGTTTCATTAAATACAGATATATGACGAGTGAGATGGACAGCAAGAGTTTGCTTTGTGCTTAGCAAACAGCAGAGTCAACACTTCAAAGTAATAATTGGTGCACTTGAAGGAAGGCAAGAATGGGTGCTCACTTGAAAAATATTTTTACTTGTGACAGCCGATTTACTGAGTTAACTGGCAGTGAGTTTAAAGAACAGCTGGGCTGTATCAATATAAAAGTTGAAGAAAATAAGTACATTTAAACGAGCAATGTGCACTAGTTCGACTTGTGATTGGCTTAGCAATGAGTACAAAATTCTTGAGCACAAGAAAAAGGCAAGAGAGATACTTCATCACATTGCTAATTTACCACAAATATATTTTGTGCTAGAGCCACTTGATGACTACCATGATCAACTGTCTGGGCATCACAAGAAACTTTCCCACATTTCAAGTGAATATAAAGCATGACAAACAGGTGCTCACACTGATTATGCAGCCCACCGAATAATCAAGTGGTCAAAGGAGCACAAGTTTTGCTGCTATTTTCTATGAATAAAGCAAGCTGAGGAAAGAAAAAAATATGCTGTCGTTCATTTGGTCAGCCCTTCCACGTTTCCAGCATTTCCTTGGTTCTGCACGATTTCTTTTGACAATGGGCAGCAGAGCTTTGAGACAGATCAAATTTCTTTTTGTCCTTCGCACTGCACTCCAAAAAAAAGTCTGAGCTCACAGCAAGCACCAGTGTCTAGCGCTCAAGACATAATCAGTTCTTAACTGGTCTACTAGATGAGTTGACGCAACTGTTACAGTGATCCAAGCAGTCGGTACTCATGGTAAAAGCAAACAAGTACTGTTTGCTTGAATAACTACTATTGGTAACAGAAAATGAGCATTTTTTTAAAGGGTGGGCCACACCTTCTGCACCTGAGAGGTAGCACATATTCCTTACAGAATGTGATACAAATACACAACTACAGTGTGGATCTGCACGCTTGAATCAGTAAAGAGGTATGATGTAATGCCTCTATAATTTATCGCACTTGCTTGTTTGAACGGTTACTACCAAGTTAACGGTTGCTGCTAAGTTAACGTGGCAATAATTTATTTCAGATGTACTGCATGAAACACACACTACTCTTAAAGCTACATTACGCGACTTTGCAAACCGCCGATTTTCCGTCACTACTGTTAATGGGGGCAAAAAAAAATGCTCACTTTCCGTCTGCATTTTTCTTTGGAAATCAAGTACTATGCTGCCTTGTGCTGAGCTTCAACAGAGCCAACCAGAGAACAACGCGTGACCTTGCACTTGGCGCCCCCAGGGAGGCTCGGCTACACAGGAGTATTAGTTCTGGCAGTCGCGATAATAAGTGGACCGCTGATCGATGCCGCTGCAGATGATCCATCATCTCTTGGTTGAGCTGCTCCAGGATGCCGGAGTAGTCCTTGAGTCTCTGCTCGTTCTCAGTCAAATTCATCCTCCATGCCTGTGCAAATGCAAAACAGAGAAAAAGGAAAACAAACACTTGGAGGATGCTTCAACTTTCACAGTTCAAGATGCAGAATGCAAATCAGGCCTCATTCGCATTGCCTTCTCAATGACTTCACTACTAGGTGAACACCTCAAACGCGCCGCAGCCAAAGGAATGCCAGTGTGCGTCAAATTGGTCATTTCAAACTACTTCAGAATCCTCTACTACAAGTACAGTTGCAAAGTGCTCACTCTGCCGTAATTCTTCCTTTTGCAGATTGGCGAAGTACCCATTACACGTCCATAAGGCAACAAATGCAGCTGCACAGCTACGCACTTTATTGATGCTGATTAATAATTAAGCCTGAGAGCATCGCATTGGGCTTTTAAAGCATGTACCTACTCGTTGCGCCATGTGCATGCTTTGATGCCTGTTCTGCCATGCAATAGGTATTACACGAGTTAAAGAGTCTCCCCACACTATGTGACATTTGTATAAGTTTTTTTTTTTCCAAAACTGGGTCGAGCATTGGCGTGGCTCTGTAGCTGAACACCTGCTTACCATGCAGAAGACCTGGGTTCGATTCCCACTCCAACTGGATATTTTAATAATTTTTTTACTTTTTGAATTTGCCTCGTACTTTCACTCAGAGGCAACACTCATTTTTTAAACCACAGCCAATGATGCGAGCAACAACGCTGAAGCCGGAATTTCTGCAAAACAAGCTCTTTAACGCTATTGCAAAGATACGCTCAATGTGCCAGTGACGAGACACTAGCAAACAGCCTTATACTAATACTGAGGTTATGTTTTCTTTTCAGCTGCAAACTTGACAAAAAAAAAAAGAAACATAGACACACACAAAAAAAAATATCTCCCCAAAGTGATGCTGACCTTGCAGTTGCTGGGCCTTGGTGTTGACACCTTCCGCAAGCTTCCGGGCTCGTTCCCGTAGCTTCTCAGCCCTGTCTTTCATGTCTCCGCTGGCTGAAGACTTGTTGCCCAGGTCTAAAACAGCCCTGTTGTACTCGGCTTCCAAATCTTCAGCTTCCTATGCAAATACACACAAGAGGCAGAAAGCTTTAGTGATCGGAGTGTGAAATTCATGGCTACATTGTCACGACAGTGATGTGTGTTGTGGCAGAGAGTTGTGCCTCAAGTCACAGCAGCTCTCTATCCACCATTATGACCAACTATCTTAGATTTCAAAGGAAACAGCTATTAGGTGATCAAGCATTATTTTCCAAGTCAAATAAATGAGCAGGCCTTGATAATGTTTTCTGTTTCGAGTTCGCAAAGTGGTTCATGTTCATGTTCTCTTTATGCGAACTCAGGAAAAAAAAAATGGGACTGCGTGACCATACAAGGCAAAGTGCTTATCACGATGAACACTTTGCTTCTGAACTTTTCTCACAAAATATTGTCCATAAACATAGCTCATAATGGTAGCCTGTATCAAATAGTGTTTGTTGTTCTAGCAAAGGAGACAAGGCACTTAAGCAATTATTTTTCATTTCTTAATCAACTTTGAATGAAACTTGGTGTATTTGTGTGCTGATTTCATATATACAATCATTTTCATGTATAAAGTGTAGTTCTTAAGATACAAATTATTTCATGTGCTTTTTGGGGAGCAATTTTTTTTCTAAACTGAGAAAATTACAAAGTACATCATCATATCACAATACTGTAGAATTAGAGCTGATTGTGGTGTGACAAAAAAGGTTGTTCTAAACCCATTAGAAGAAAAGTGATGGCATGTTGAACATTTGGCAGTAAAATCCTAGCTTGAAATTGACTCACTCACAAATGTTCATTGTACCGAAAGTTATTGTTAAAATAGATTTAGAACATCCACCTTTGTTACCGTCTGATTCCAGATTATTATAATTCTAGATTGTTGTGATATGGTGATTTACTTGTAGCTTTCTCAGTTTAGAAAGAGCTAGTGATTCCCAAAAGGCACATGAAATATTTAAAAATATTTAAAAGTACTTTATACAAGAAAAATAACTGCATACTTGAAATCAGTACATAAAAAGTATACGAAAAACTCACCAAGTTTCATCAAAATCAATTAAGAAATAAAAGCTTTTTTTTTTTAGGAGCAGTGTCCCCCCGAACACTATTGAAAGTTGACCTCTCATGTTTCTTAGCTCGTGCATTATTCATGCTCTAAAAAAAAAAAGAAACATTATTTACTCACATGTTGATTTTTCAAAGCAAAAATAGTCTATGTTAAGTACCACAATGAAGATCTACAAAAGAAGCAGTGTTTGTCCAGAAGGGCTCGCTTGCTTGTTAGATACACACAAATCAGACAGACAACTATACCAAAAAGCATAGAGAATGTCAATTCTTGTTTTATGTGACTAATTGTGACATAAATTGCATCCCAATTAGGATACAACAGTTAGAGACAATGATTGACAACACTTAACATCTTCTATGCTTTTCCTGGCCTAATTTTCCTGTTTTGATAAAGTAAATCTAGTCATTTAGCTCCACAATTGTGAAGTACAGTAAGCAAGGACGTACAGCGTGTGCTTGTCCTGCCATACGCTCGGCCCCCTTTGCTTCGTTGTCCGCCTTGCGAGCATCCAGGTTGTTCTGGGTGTACTGCTTCTTGAGCTCGGCCAGTCGGTCTTGCAGTCCTCCCACCTGATCCAGCGACCGGTTGGCTACACCCTGTGCTTTGTAGGCAGCATCTTCAATCTGCAGTGGGCATAAGTCAGGTCACGATGTACGATTCTCCAGCCTAGTCCGCAATGCGAGCAGGCACATTACCTGAGCAAGGATCTTCCTCGGCCGTGTTGATGTGCTGTCGTGCCTGGTCGATAGCCTCCTTGGCCCTGCCTTGGGCTTCCGCGGCATCATCCAGATTCTGCAAGACCTCCTTGGCAGTGTCCAAGATCTTGTTTGCCATTGTCCTGTGCAAGTAGCCAATCAAAGGTAGAAAAGTTTACGAGTGCCTTTCTCAATTTCTTTTCCCGCACCATAAATAAAGGGTGTTAACCGTGATTCTCGACAGAAAGCGAAACGTAATTGCACTTTTTTTTTACTCTGAGAAGTGGAAGCTCTTTATCACAGGTCATATTTCCATAGAAAGTTCACTTCCAATTAATCAAAACCAATAAGAGAGAACAATATTATTAGAGCAACTATAGGCTGCAGGCAAAGACTTATCTTCACGTCTCTATTGAGCTGGTGACCAAAGTACCAACAAAGCTAATGCCTAATGGAAAAGTTGAACTGTACTGTGGCACCATTGCACTTGATAAAGAATGCATTCCAACTTCGGCAGCCTGCGCACTGTGCACAGCTTTCAGATGCGTATTGTTCATGCTGATTGTGATCTGATCATTATAGCCGTGTCTCGTGGCCTATCTCAATACTGTCACCGGCTATCATGCCAAGAAGTTTACACTTAGCAGACATACCTAGCACGATCTGCTTGTGCCTTGAGGTCTTTTGCAAGCCTGAGATCGTCCCCAGTTTCTCTCAAGATGGCATCGATGTCAGTCAGGCTGGCTATTGTGTCATTAATTTCCTTCGCCAGCTCTCGAATTTGTTCAGGCTTCAGCGAGATGGACAGACCGATACACTGCAATGAAAAGAGGGCATTGGCAAAGCATCAAGTGAGGGAATGAGCAATAATTTTAAAAGTTGAGCAGGAACATCCAGAAGATGACTGTTAAATAAAGTCAAGTGAGAGGATCCTGGTAGAAATGCATGCCGAGACGCACTGACGGGATACTGTAGTGGTGGGAATGACTTCCACTCACGATGCACGCTGTCAACATTAGTTTTGATTCCAAAACCACTTGTGGCACAGTAATTTTTAGTTGGTGCAGATTTCCCATCACTGGATAACGATTAACTGTGCTCGTTATTGTTACTAGGCATTTCGATGCTGTGACACTGATTTATTATTTTTCCTGGTACCGTATTTACTCGCATAATTCTCGCACCCCCCTCATTGCTAAACAAAAATAAGATTTCTTTTTTCCTCGAGTAGTTATCGCACCCCCAAAAACTGCCGAAATAATGTCATCTGCTCGTTCCAGCCACTGATGATGATAGCATGCACCATCTGGCGCCATCTCTTAAGCATTAAACGTACTATTATTGCACTGAGATTCAATTCAATCCAAGCCAAGCCAAAGTGGCAAGTGCGCGTTGTGGCATGTTTTGTACGTTGTGGCAGTAATCTTGCCACGTTATGGGGCGATACTGAAGCTACACGGATGCTTTCAAGTTGAAAGTGATAGATCATGCACTAAACAACGAAAACAGGGCTGCCGGTATGCCCTTTGGAGTCTACGAGTTTTGTGTTCGCTACTGATGACGGCAGCTGAAAGCCACCAAGACGCGTTGGGCCTGCCATGTGCCTAAAACTTGAATTGATGGTAAACATTATTTCTTCAGAAGGAAACTGCGGACAATTCTGTTAAATAGCCATCAGCCCAATAGTGACGTCTTACACTTAGCTTTTGAGGATCCTGTTGAGCGATGAACGCTACCACTACGCCCACAACGCCCACAAGCTTTGCGTATGGTATTCTGATTCTCGACTATTTGCTTGCACCTTTTGTGTCTCAAATAAATCTTGCCTTGTGTTGAACCTGTGCTTTTATTGTTGAGGTAAGTTTATATTCGTACTTATCAAAGCTAGCGGTTAGTTGCTGGTAGAGAATCTTGATTTGCGGCCACTTCATTTTTTTCTCTCTCTGTACGTTTTCGTGGAATGTTTTCCTCGCATAACTCTCGCATTCCCAACTTTGCATCGGTTTTCCGCCAAAAAAAAAAGTGCGAGGATTACGCGAGCGAATGCGGTACATAATAGTAAGAGAATCGGACTAGAGCGCCAACGAAGAGCTCAAATGACACGTAGATCTGCTTACACCATGCACCATGTGCTCACAAAAACAATACATTACACTGTGTAGAAACTGTATGAGATTGAAGGACGAAAAAAAAAAAAAAACTTTAGTAGCATAAGCAACAAATCACAAGAGAACAGCAACAGCATACCTGGAGGTATGATTGCAAGCCTCACTAGCTGCATTACAATCTGACCAAAGTGTTACTAAGACACTTACATACAAAACACAGCATAAAGAGGCTACCAAACGATACCAAAGGCTTTTCTACACCTTAGACTAGCCCCGGTCACACGAACAAGTTAGTTGCAAAGCGAGCGGACGCAAAGGGACTGCTTTGGCTCAGTCACTCACTGATCGATTTTTTGCAGATGTGCGAGTGCTGTCGCAAACCTCTGAACCAGTCACATGTGCAGGAGCAGGAAGTCAGCTTACCTTACAGGGAAATGTCAATGCTAGATATATGCAAGCGGACGAGAAATCTGCGGCGACGAGTATGAGGTAACAGGTAGGTGCAAATATCACTTGCCTCAAGTCGCTTTTTGGTCACCAGGTCACAAACAGGTCGTGTGACTGGTTCAAGTCACAGATGTGAATGAGCCTTGACAGTCGTTTTCCAAGGTTGAATAAGACACTCATGTGAAGAATGGCATGCGTCGACTTGTGCAAATAAAATGAGCATATCAAGCATTAGTTGGTTATTGAAGAGTTTCTATTTCTTACCTCTTCAGCAAGGACTCGGATTTCAGCCGGCCTTGCTCCGACCTCGCCCAGGAACTTGTCGATGCGGTCAAGCAAGTCCTGCAGGTCATTGCCGACTTCTTCCGACTGGTTCTTTGCCAGCTGGGAGCGTTGGAAAGCCTTCTTTGCTTCTTCGAGGGCCCGCTGTGATTCCTTTTCAGCTGAACCAACCTGCGCATGTGTGATGAGCGACAACTTCAAGGCGCAATGAATAGACGCACTTAAAAGTGCTGCACTGCTCTTTAAACTTAGTTTTTCACTTTTTCGATAGATTTCGATTAAACTTGCCAAGCTTGTGAATATTTTTATGCTAAGATCAAGCCCACAATTATTCTTTTATGCACTTTTGAGAATATCAAATGTTTTACGTGCTTTTCGGGAACAAGATTTTTCGCTGAAATGAGAAAGTTGCAGAGTAAACTAGTATATCAAAATAATCTGAAATAAGAACTGAATACAATACAACAAAGACAGATGTTGTAAACACATTTGAAAAAAATTACAACTTAAGTTGATGTCAAGCTAGAATATCACTCATGAATGCTAACTATATTGTAACATTTTTTTTTTCAAAAGGGCTTTGAATATTCAATCTTATTGTCTTCCATACAGTGCTCAATACAAATTATTCTTATATGCCAATTCACTTTGCGACTCTCTCAGTTCATGAGAAAACCTTAGCTCCCGAAAAGCGCATGAAATGTCAGATATTTTAATAACTACACATTGCACTAAGAAAACATATTGCATATTTGAAACCAGTACACAAATCAGCATAATCTCAGTAAGTTTCATCAACATCAATCAAGAATTGAAAAAAAAAAAAGTTTAAAGTGGAGTGTCCCTCCTTAAAACTCTTATTTCAAAGTTACTGAAACTTTTTTGTTTTCATCTAAGATACACGCCTTGAAGCGTTACAATCAAACTGATATTGCTTTAGCGCAGCTCGGTTCGAGCGTGAAGAAAAGATGCTATACAGTCAGGAAGGGGAAAAAAGAGACGAGAATTGTGCTCACATTGTGTTCAGTTTTTATCAATAAAGCAATATCATTTTATCGTGCACCAACTTGCCCAGTCAGCAGTACTTGTAGTTAGAATCACTTTAACAAGACTTCGCGCTTGTTGGCACGGGTATCTACGAGCAATAGCAGTTCTGTGGCAAGATAGTGGATTTGGTAGTGAGCACAGAATGCTTCACAAGGTTTGTTAGCTGAGCAAATTGGTAATTCACTGCCATGCGACGAATAGTGCGCAACAAACTAAACATGTCAGCACAGTGTACGGCTTTCTTCCTTTGTGTTCAGAATATTTTGCGCTGTTCAGCACCAGAAAAGGTTGTGGAATGCTGATGCCTGTGCGTGGCTGACATATGATGGCACATTGCATGAACTTGTACATTACAGAGTTTGTTTGCCTTTTATGTAACCTAACAAGAACATAGAAAAAAAGGGTAAATATAACGGCTCATTTTATTTGTTAGACCCAATATTGATGAGAAATGATAAGCAATTATGGCAAGGAAAGTATAGGGGATGTTAGCAGTAACCGTAATGCAACTGTGAAAATAGAAAAACGGACGAAAAGGCAACTTGCCGTGGGCACGGACTGAACCTGCGACCTTTCAATAACGCGTTCCGATTCTTTACCGATTGAGCTACCATTGCGGCTATCCCTCCGTACACTTTATGGGGTGTGTATTTGCATTTTAAATGTAAGAGCGTTAGTAAGCACCGCTTGTCGCCATTGCGGCAGAGTGTGGGACATTCATTTTTTTTGCCTTTTGGTCCTCACGTATCATGTGGTATTATTTTACGAGCTGGTAGACGACCAATAATCCCTCGCATACCACCCAAAGGCATTAAGTCTACCAGAACGAGACCCTCGCTTTGAATGAAGGAAGGAAGGTATAAGAACATGTCCTCTTGAGTAATGAATGTGCCTTAAAGTCTTCTCGTGTGAGTGGTCTCATCGGTCTACAGCAACATTGATGCAATGAGAAATGTTCAGTGCAGCACTCAAGTTATGGTGTCTGGCTTGATGATTTTAAAGACTGACACAGCAATGTCCCTTAACAAGAAGGTTTCTTGTTTTTGCCTCGCTCAAATACGGCATATTTTATCGCTTTACGATCTGAATGCGGCCATATCTTAGGTTCTACTAAGTGAATTGCAATAAATCTTTTTTTTCTTTTTTATCAAAAGGTGCAATCATGGATAGCAAGAGGCCTAAAGTATGAACATATACCATTGCAGGAATTATTCATAACTGATAGTTTGCCTTAGGTGCCAACCTTGGTTTTCACGTACAGAAGTTCAGCACGCTGTAACTTTTGCAAAATTGGGTGTAAAACATCTATTCTTGTAGCATTGCACCCTGTAATCGTGCTAGATCATTTTGATTACCTATTTTTCTTTGAAACTTTCAGAATTTTTGAACGAATGCTCCTCCCATCTAGTCCCCATTGAGGCTAGTTGAGAACATGAACTATCAGTAGTCTCAGAACTACCTAATAGGAGAGAAAAGAAAAAAAAAACAGCCCATTTGAAATCAGCTTGTGCTTGCTAAATCAGAATACTGAAGATAAATAAAAAAAAGTCGTTCTCAAGTGGGGTGGCAAGTCGAAAAATGTGTTTTTCATTTTTTCAAAATTAATCATTTTTCAAAATTAGATCATTTTCATCTTTATTTGCTTTCACAACTTTAGTATATCTGCTTTCATGACAAAAAGCAGAATATTGTAATATAACTCAAAGTAGGTTAGAATCGCCTTTAAAGAGCACAAAGTGGCAAATAAGAAACTAAACAGGCTCGTTGTTCAGAGTCTCCTGGAAATTGTCACCTGACTGCTTGCTATTGTACTTTGCATGAGGCGTTCACTAAAGCCACATGCTCAATATAACTACGATTGCCAAGCTCTCATGATGGAAGAAATCATCTCAAAAAGATACCTTTCCAGCTTAAGGGAGATTTCACTTATACATTTAAAATGTGTTTTCTTCTAGATTTTTTTTGGGCCACTTCTTGAGTTTGGACATCATTTTTTGGTACTTCTAATAGCCCGATCGAGATAAAATTTTGCCCACATATTCCTGGACACGTAAAGGGTGCAAGTATGTCCTTTAAAACTTGATATCGCTTCTATATTTATTGCGAACCTAAAATATGCAATTGGTTATGGCTGAGGATTCTAATGATTCTCACACTACAATTTTTCTTAACCATGAAAATGTTTTATACATTATTTGCATTCTACAGTTAATTTGGAGCAATATGAGCCATTAATAGCTCAGAATCATAAAAGTTTAGTGGCATAGAAAGTTTGCCCAGAATAAACTATACTTTCCACATTGTCGTGGCACAAAACAAAAACTGTGCAACTTACCATCAATCTAATTACACATTAGATATCAGCATAAAAGCCCATATATACAGCATAAATTTCATTGTGCTGGGCTGCAGACTAATGCAACTTTTTTTCCAATTTGCATCTCCCCTTAATGACTGCTCACTCGTTGTGAACACCAAATTTAGTTCTGGGAAGAGAATTGTCGTGTTGACTGAACATCCTTCTCTTCTTTTCTCAACACAAAAACATGGGGACGGCACTCACCGAATTGAAGAGATCCCGAGCTTCCGCCTCTTTCTTTCCGAGAATCTGATTGGCATCGACAGCCATCGCGAGTGTGTTGTTGGCGCGGGTGAGGGCGCCTTCCTCGCAACCCAGTCCACCGCAGTGGTTACAGCCTGCACCTCCGCAGAGTGCGTCACAACGATCGACGGTTCCTCGTCGGTAGCACACGAGCTCGTTGACATCCGATATTTGGTCTTCCAAGTCGGCTACCTGCAATGACACGCAAGTAAGTTACATTGAGAAGCTTTGCATCCGTTTGAGTACACAACTTGTTTTTGCAAGCTGTGTTGCCTAGCAGCTAAGAAAGAGCAAAGTATATCGAGCTTTGGATGAACTGAACTTCCAGTGCAATAAACCTCTTTTCATTTGACTTCATTTTGCAGGATACTCTTGGGTATGAGCACTTTGCTGAAGGAACTACAGTGAAACCTCGGTGATACGATCTCGGCTCGTACGTACGTCGGGGTGATTAAAATTTTTCTTTGGTCCCAGGCAAGACCCATTGGCCTGCAATACAATGAAGTACGGTTGTTGCGAAGCGATTTTCCCCCGTGTCGTTTGATACGACCGTAAGTTACCGCGCAGCAACGAAGAGGTGATGTCCGCGCTGTCGGGGAAAAGGTGACGAGCACGTGCCAACTTGTCAGAATCACGGTGACAGTTGTCAGAGTAAACCTCGAGTGATGCGTCGTAGCCGTAAGAAAGGGCAGCAGTTCTAAAATTGTTTGGCCATCATCTTTCACGTGCAAGGCGCTCCTTACATCCTTTGGGCCGCAGTCATCTGATGTGTTGCGATAAAGCGTATAAAAAATGCGCAGAGGCCAATAGCTGTCGCAGGTCACAACACACCTGGCTCATTAATTACACACGCAAGCAGGAGTCTTATATTTAAAGTGCAAGTGTGATCGTTGATGTCTAAAAACTTTGTTGGAAACCATTCAGAGCCGTTTGTTACGTTGCTGCGGCCCTGAGAAACATAAGTGAAAACGTACACCAGCTTTCTTTTGTTGCATGCTAATTTTCTTCATTTTCTGGTGATACGAATTTCGAATGATACGGATATTTTCAATTACCCCGCGAGGTTTGTATCACCGAGGTTTTACTGTACAATGTTCAACCAGTTGTTTAACGTGCCGCTTTCCGCAAGTCCTGTCAAAAATATTTTTGTTTGCTCGAAATAAATGTAACCGAAAACGAAATTGCGCTATAAATTTAGCCTAAGATATAGTTCTATTCATGTGAAAACAGGGCACGAATAAACTCAGCACAAAAGAAGCTTTAATTAAATTTATTCAGCATTAATTGCTATGAAATGCAAGTCAACATATCATGTGCTTATTTTTGTTGCAAAAGAATATCGAATGCCTTGAGACAGAATGCTGAGTGAAAGGTCAAAGAGAGGACAGTGTCATCTATGTAAGCAAACACACATAGATAGCTCACCTCTTGTTGCAGCTTGCGTAGGGCATTCTCATTCTCCTGGTAAGTGCGATTGTATTGACTGGCGGTGTCCTGCAGTTTTCGCTCAAGGTAACGACGTGCAGCCTGTGACTTCCCGATGTCGTCTTGTGCTCCTCGGACTCGACCTTCAGCCATTTGGGACCTTTTCTGGGCTTCCCTCGTGATGTTTAATGCACCTGCAGAGAAGTGTTGCGAAAAGCAGCCATGTCACCAACACGTGCACCCTTCTGTGTCAGCAGTTTGCACAGGTTCCCAGAAATTCGTGGCTTTTGTAGATTCTGCGAGCACACAGAACGACGCATGACTCTTGCCTCATTTTTGCAAAGGCAGTTATAGACTACGCACACATCCCATACACACATCTGTTTCCTATGTAAAGGACAATTCTACAAGACAAAATGCAGAGAGAGAGAAAAAATGCAGGCAGTTTGCACTGAATTGTGCGCAAAAGACTTGGCACAGGGAAGTGCGGGCCCAGCGCAGCTTGTACTCCCCATTGACTGAGAGGTCTGGCTTCAAGAAACGCGGCTTTCACCTTAGTCTCCATTACTCTTTCTCACTTTTTTTGTGCTACCTTTTATTCTCTCTCTCCTCTTTCTCTCCCTTTTTCTCACCAGTGCATCTCTCCTCCTTCTCTCTTTCACTTCTCTTTCCCACCTGCTTGCTACACAATACTATAAAGGGCTAACATATGCTCTGCTGGCATATGGTATGCCATGTGCTAGCACCATGTGAGTGGTTAGGATGCCTTGGCTTCAGATAGAGGGCATGCAGGTTTGAATACCACATCATGAAAATTCTTTTGCCGGCAAGAACTCTTCTTTTATTTATATGTTCTTAGTCTCTATCTCTCCATTTCTTTCCTCTCTCCCTGTACTCGATTTAAAAGTGATTACAGGCCACGTCATAGCGGAGAGAAGTGGTTAGATTTGCCCAAATTCTGTGGCAGATACCTGTTCATGATAATGATGGTTTTTGAGCAAGGTTGCACACTCCAAGCTAGAACAGCTTCACTATTAAAGCATGAACGTGAGTGCTGAGTGCCAACTGAGAGCTTTAATTCCGAAATGCCATGCCATATGCTGACATCTTTCACACAATGTGCATCAGACGAACCAACAGCGTGGGATCACATTGTTTGTCCGTATGACACGCACGATCCAGATGCAATACAAATACAGCGCAGGATACAACATCGACTAAAAAGTTAAATGATACCACAACTCACATGCAGATCCCCATGCAGGTGTGAAATTCTCGTGGGGACAGCTTCTGACTAGCACACTAGCACCTTTCATTCTCCTTGCCTCCTCCATTCCATTCCCTTCCTACAGTTACCCTTCTCCCTGCCTGTAACATTTGCAACTCTCTCACAGCAGACTTTAAACAAATATATAGAAAATCATGACAGTAAGTGCGATTTGACTGACTAGGCCTCACCTTTCAGAAAATTTCGGGTAGTTCTTTCTCTGTGTTATGTCTTGTCGCGCCGCCTTTAGCTCTGGAGCTAACTGGTCTGTTCAGTTAGCTCCAGTGGGAGAACACACCCTACTGGTCTGTTCTCCCACATTTTGGAAGTTCGTGTATCGTCATTGAAGTCGAACTCACCTTCCACGTTGGCCTCCTGCAAAGCTGTGGTGTTCTCGCGCAATTCCTTAGCCTTTCTTCCAAGTTCCTGAGCCTGCTCGTGAAGACTTGCAAGCATCAGGTTGGTGGCGAAGGAGCGCTGCGTCACGTTGCCCGAGCGGTCTCCGATTTCCTCAAGCTGCATTTGGCTTTCAGTCAAGTTGCGCCTGCAAACAGCAATAGCGTTATGCAGTCAAAAGCAAGGAAGTGACATATATAATCAATGGTGGTATTAAGAGCATGTAAGCAGACAAGATACAAAAGACATATTACACAAACAAGCGCACGTTTGTGTGATCTGTCTCTTGTATCTTGCCTGCTCACACACTCTTAATACCACCATTGATGGATCAGTATAAACCCGCCCGAATTTCTGTGCTTCTAAATATACAAACAAGTTATTTGCGACCATTGGCATTCACAGCCCACGATATAAGATGCTTTCATGACAAGCGTGAGCTGCGAGCATGAGTCTGTGGCAACCCGATCCTTCTGTCACAGCCACAATTGTAACGATCTGTCACACTCGCTGCGAATCAGATTATTTCTACGTGGCATGCAGTAAAAAATAAAATGGCGCTAACACACAAAAAAAAGGAAAATGATGATGACGTGAGTACCCTCTTACAATTGCAATTTTTTGGGATATACCAAGAATTTATAGACACCTGCAAATGCAAACTAAAAACAAAACGCTCATACGTGAATATGACAAAACCAACAATGCAGTGAAAAGGCAACATTACTCATGAAACACTGCCGATGAACATGCCGCCTATGATGACCAATGAATGTAATGATGTTTCGCATCATGTAACATTAACGATTCCTGGCTACACGTGCTCCTTTATGAAAGACACCTCTTTCGTTCATGGGTCGTACAGTTTCTGCATTTTTATGTACATTCTGAATAGACTCCAATAGAAAATGAAGACAGCTACAGCCATTTGAAACACCCGAGCGATGGCTGACGTCAAAAAGGTAAGTGCTACTGGATGGAGCACTTATGCAAATTCTCTCTGTGAGAGGCACGGCCATAGCTGCGGGCGAAGCTGCCATTTCTTTTAGGCGGTAACTAAGTGTAGGCTCAGGTAAGGCATACACAGCTAACGGCGACTGACCGAATCTCTTCGATGAGAGACTGACGGTCTAGAAGGTCGAGACCGGTGATGTTGGCCCCGTTCAGGATTTCCTCCACTTCGTGCAGCTTCTCCTCCATCTCTTGGAACTCGCGTGTGTAAACACCGGTGGTACCCTGCTGCTTGATTTGCCGGGCCGAGTTGATCATGTTATGGGTCTCCTCTGTCAGACAAAACAAAAAAAAAAGTGAGGGGGGGGGGGGGGAGGACTAGAGTAAGGCAGTGTAAGATGAAGTTCTAATCTTGCATGCAGGGCAATGCTCTTTCTTTCTTTTAAAACTTTGTTCTTCCTACATTTTACAGAGAAATACATGAAAAAGCTTCATTGCAATGCTTGACCACTGCTAACCAAGAGTGAAGAGCCACCAGAGAGAAAGAGATGAAGTTCAAGCAATGATGTGTTCAAGAAAATATTGTACTAGTATTTTGATTACACACTCATTAATATGTTTTACTGAACCCAGATATCAAATTTCAACTTGTAAAATTAAGTACTTGCCATTTTTTTTTGCAGTAGTTATGTAAACCTATTAGCTACAAATTTTATAAGTACACATTTGTCAAAATTAGCAACATCCATGCTAAATTACTTTTCAGTATCTATTCTGCAATTGAGGCATGTACTCTAATCTGACTATAACAAAGTTAACATTTGTACATCATTCAACAAAGATTTGTCTTGAAGGTAAGCACCCCAACTTGTCAAGCAATGTTCACTACAAAACATGTCTGCATTAACATCAGGAGGGCAAGTTTATCCTGCTAATGTTGCAGTAGGAGTGGGGGGGGGGGGCAATAGTGGGAGGCACTGAATCATTATTTGCTCCACTTTCTCATAAAGTCTCATAAAGTTTCTGTGCCATCCCTTCATTTAGTGCATGCATTCAGATGCGTAGCCAGAATTTTTTTATTTTGGGGGAAGGGGGGGGGGGGGGCAGATCCTCGATTTTGGCGACGGCCTCCCCTTAGAATACTCATTTTTTACTCTCTATGCCATGGCAAAAAAAAATTTCGGGGGATGGGGGGGGGGAACGAGTACAGTGTGCTACTCACTGGCTACGCCCTTGCATGCATTATGCTACTGAAGTAACACATGCGGAAATTCAATGCTATTAGAAGTTAGCCTACTAGACTTTGCACATTAATCTGTAGTGATTATAGGTGAACAAAAAAAAAAGCTAAGCTGAAAAGTTGCATTTGCATAAGGGGGTCGACACTTCTGGCTCTTTTAGACAGACTTGTGCCGTGCACGAACAATGTTTCCACATCCACTAGCAATGAAGGTCAGCAATATGAAAGGTCTCGTTTGAGTGTTCCCTCTAACAGCGGACCGTACTGCATGTCCATGCAACTTGCACGTCCAGAAAATGTGTGGGTTGCTCAAATTGGTATACGTATATCCATGAAAAAGCTTCTCCTCACTGCCCCTTCCTCCCCACCGTACCTCGGAGCTCCTGAATGATGCGGTCCCAGTTGTCGAAGCACTCCCCGCAGGAGTCGCAGTATGGTGCTCCGTCCCGTGAAGCCACGGGCACACTGCTCGCAGCGCTCCCCAGCCACGCCAGGAATGCAGACACAGCTGCCGTTGTTGCGGTGGCACTGGCTCGTGGCTGCCCCAGGAACGTTGCACTCGCATTCTGTTCGCACGTGCAAAGAAAGAAGAATGCTGCATCTTTCTCTCACGGGCATTACACAAAGAGCTGCAGGTAGTACGAACACTTATCAGAAGTTTTGTACGGAGTAGGTAGCATACCTGCCAACCTGGTGACTAAATCATGCACAGAGTATCATCAGACTTATTGGTGCTGATATCTGTGCGAAATCTTGATATACATCATGAGTTTTTGCTTTGTTTTATAATTAAATATGCCAATAGCGCAAATGTGAAAGATACATTTGGTATGCTTGATTATATTGTTAAAAAGATAATGTTAACACCTAGATTTTAGGTAGTTCACGGCACTCGGTTCATGAGTAGCAAAGTGATTCATATTGGGATACTCTGCCAAGCACAAAATGATGCATGAATAGCCACACACCGTGTTACACATCATCTTGGAACTGATAAACCATTACAACTAGAATAAAACTAATTAATATTAATAAATCAGCATCATAAATGCTACTTATAATAAATTTCAAAGGCCTAGGTTGAAAAATACATAAAAATATCTTCAAGTAGTACCTCCACTAAAATACAAGCTGTAACACCTTCGTACAATCACAGCAGCATATGTTTATTTTAGCTTAATTATGTTGAAGTCATGTTGTGATGGTTAAAAAGACTGCTCATTAAACAAGACGACCTGTAACGAGTGTTTCTCATATATTTTTTTATTGCACATACAAATAAACCTTTTTTTTTCACGGTCGCACATAGTGTTTCAACGTGTGCCATGCAAAGCTGTAATTGCCCATAAGGCACATGTGAAGTGATACGTATTCTCTGTGACGCATGTTTTTCTCTTCAGGTTCTCTTTGATGACAAAGTATAAGTCTGCTGCGTGGATAAATGTAAAGGATGCAATAGAATTACATGAGTAAACAAGGTTCGCGGGCATGGCAGAAAGAAAAATGGCTCAGGTCAGTTGCAGCTACATCACTAGCATCACTATTTTGAAGACTGCATTTGAAAACCTGTCCAATGTTAGACATCACAATTTAACTACGTTAATGTGACAAACAAAGAGTGCACACTCACGATAGCAGCGTACACGCGGGTCGCCCCAGTGATTGTCCTGGCACTGATTGCACTGCCGTCCACCATGACCCGGCTTGCACGGACACTGGCCGTCAAACTCGTTGCACTTCAGGTCGTAAGAACCGAGCGGGTCACAGCCGCAAGCCTCGCAACCTTCTCCGCTGGCAATCTTCCAGTAGTTTGGAGCGCAGCGATCGCAGGCGATGCCCTCCACATTGGGCAGGCATGGGCACTGGCCTATATGTAAACGTGGAAAGCATTACTGAAGAAGTAACAACAACAACGAAAAAAAGAGGAAGTCATGCCACATCTTCAAGGGTGGCAGGGCAGACAAAACATAAAATGAGAAGCTTTCTCAAGTTTTTATGCACAGTAATGTGATGAACGAATAAATGAATGAAATGTCCGAGTGACAGTCGATCTTGTACCCACCAGTCACAGGGTCACAGTATCCTTGGTTGGGGTCCAGGCCAAGAAGGTTGCACACACATTCATAACACTGCTGGAGCGAGGCATTTCCAAAGTGACCTGGCTTGCAGCGTTCGCAGTGGGGTCCCTCCGTGTTGTACAGACACCGCAGACAGACGCCCGTGCGCGAGTCACAGTTGCCCGGCTGGGTCTCATCGACGTTGCCGCTGCACTCGCATCGGCGACACGAGCCTCCAGGAACGTTGGGTTCGCCGTAATAGTTGTTCGCACACCGGTCGCACCTCTCGCCTGCACGTCAAGGAAGGAATTTCTTTGAAAATTTGCAGTTCAAGTACTGTAACTAGCAGGAGCTAACAATGCAACTGCAGAGGCGTAGTGATGCAGGCTAGTTGGTATATGTTCAGTTTTGTGAGTTTGCGATAAAATGCAATAGAACGTTGGGAGTGCGAGATTGCATATCTGCAATAACTCTGTGAATAAATATTCTGAAAGACTCGACATGGCTCTCTGCACAGAATATATGTTGAACGGTATGACAGCCAGGGACGTTTATATCTGCTGATAATAAAACATGCACTCACGTATTCATGAAAAACCGCTAAATCATGTTCTGAACTTTGTGAAAGCATTACACTCGGCTTTCTGAACTCAAAGAAGTGAAGTATAGGTGACCTTTAATGTACACGTGATGTCACCTGGGCTTATATTACATACAAAAAAATGAATTGTGAACTTGCCTACATATCCTTGAGCGCAGTGACAGATAACGTTGCCAGTGCGCTGGTCTAGGTCGCAGCTGGTAGCATGGTTGATACCACTGTCCGCAGTGCCCGGGCATGGACATGGGCGGCAAGGGATGTCTACTCCGTAGCGAGGGTCTCCATAGAAGCCAACTTCGCACCTGCGTCGATTTGCTGGCTTGATGATTTGAAAAACTACTATATAATAAATGTGCGATGGACACCTAGATAAAATGCCACATCGGGTCCGAGAGTCCATTTGTTAAACCAAATTTTCTCTCCAAAATTACTGATAAAGAAACAGCTAGGAAATGGTATTATGCACAGCTGAAAAGCTCAGTCTTTAGGGTGAGATATCACAAAAAAAAAAAAAAACTGTATACCACTTTAGTATTGAAGTCCTAATGCACAAGATACCAAATGAAGCATATTGTTAAGCAATTCTTCCATGGTTTCTCTATACTGGCTGTTCTTAATAACAGATTCATAAGCTATCCCTGCATGATGCATTGCGAACAAGTAATTAATTGTTTTTAATCAATTACATTTTTAGCAGTTTTGTAGTCACCTGATTACCCTTTTCACTGGCAAACGCTATATTCAATAGTGGTTGTGGTAATGTGCTACATGTAATGAGTAATTCAATTTGCGAGAAGCCGCAACAGACAACGCAGCTTTTGAGCACTTCCATTTCATGAGAACCAGAGTATAACGTCCGCAGTAATGCTATGAAGCAACGCGATGGTTGCACCTGTTCATACAGGCAGACCTGGGTGTTTAGTACTCTTTCATTTGTCTTAACAATGTATACAGACTAACTGAACTGCTAACTAACTAACTAACTAACTAACTAACTAACTAACTAACTAACTAACTGATAGCCTCCGCTGAGCACTACCAACTGTAAAAGTACTGTGCTTTATAAAGGAATCATAACCAGAACAAAAACAAGTCAACATAAATGTCCTTCCCACTTCTGCAATACAAATCCACATTGATTATTTTACTTGTTTACATAGCACTAGGAACTTCACTAAAACCGTGTCCGATTCCGTTGTAACAAACTTGAGAATCCCGCAATGAAGCTTCCTCAGACTTCCAGCACATGCAGCATTTTTTTTTCCCCAGCTCCGACCTGTCGCAGTGGGGTCCTGACGTGAAGTCTCGACATTGGATGCAGTGACCGGTCCTCGAGTCACACGTGTCCGCGTGACCGTTGCAGTCACAGCGCTGGCAGTTGGGGTAGTTCCAGTAGCCTGGCTGGCACTCGTCGCACTGTCGGCCGTACGTGTTGGGCCGGCATTTGCACTGGCCGGTCTGGGCATCGCAAAAGTTGTCCAGGGAACCGATTCCATTGCAGTCACACGCTGAAAGTGAACGCCTGTTGAGTCACCTTTCAATCAAGGGATGGGCAAACAGTAATTTGACAGGGTTGAAGTGCATTCGAAGCGAATAGTAATTTCGATAGTAATAATTTTGAACTAAAGCAGCTCGAATAATACATAGGTTGCATATTATAAAGACTTAGCATTTAATCATGACCCAAATAACTAGCACAGTATTTTTAAGAAGTGGAACTGTTCATGGTCAAATGTCACTTTTTAGTTGAAAATTGATGGAAACAAATAAGAATAGTGGCAGCATCTTAATTAAAATTGGGTGCAAGGTATAAGCAGTAAAATATGTTATAGCTTAAAATCTGCTATATCTAGCACACATAAGACCATATGATATGCTTTTAAAGTTCAAAAAAGAATTAACTGCGGCGAAGGAAATATGTACATGTAACCTTCAAATGTGCTTTCGTGGCAGTGTGAGTTTTTTCTGGTTAGGTGTTTTTATGGCACAAAAGCCCTGCACTGCAGAGAAAAACCTTTTGACATGCAATCAAATATACGCCCATTCATTCATTTTGAACACTTTGAAACTAAAAATAATTAAAACTTGTGTAGAAGTGGATCTGAATATTCCCCTGTGCCTGATTTTAAGTGTAATATTTTGCTAAAGCTTCTGGCTTTATGAATACATATTGCAGGCGAGGCTAGTCTGCGAACCAATGCCGTCTTGGTGAATTCAAACAACAGTACGCAATTACAGTGAATGTTTTAAATGCTCTAGCAATGCAGACACAAGGTCTTTTCCTGTGGGTCTTGCAGCTTCACACGTGCATATCCAAGTGAAACAAGTAGAAATTTTGTATCAGAAACAAAAGCACTCACGCCTGCAGCCTCCAGGTCCGAAACCGTAGGTTCCTGGTGCACAGCGGTCGCAGCTGCGGCCCACCACATTGGCCTTGCACTGGCACTGACCGCCCAGCGTGTTGCACACGCTGCTGTGAGAACCCTGTGGGTCACACCTGCAATCTGCAAGTGTAAAGCAGCTGTGAGAAACCGAGAGAGGAAACAAAAAGTCTGCCCTGCTAGCAAAGGACCGGTTGAAATCTGACCAGACAAGTGCAAGCAGGTTCATGGATCTATTCAATGTAGACATCTGCTCAGGAATAAAGTAACTGAACAGGCATAATTGGCTGACTTCCGCTAAGCTAACGCATTCACAACACCTTCAAGATTCACAACTAGTCACCAGTTTAAAGATTCAATTGATTGTCAGAGCGATCATGCATGGGAGCACCACAGCACAGACATGAGTGTAGGGTTCACTTGTTCAAACAAATTTGTACAGCGAATTTCGCTATATCTGGGTTTGTTGAGTGTACCAACAAAGTTGGCCACCTCTTTTTGCTATCAGATTCATACCAATGCCTTCGCGAAATCAAAACCAGTAAGTATAGTCACAGCCCTCCAGCGCTCGTCAGAGCTTTGCATTTGGCTCAATACGCAAGCGATTTCAGCATGACGAGAGCCTACATCAAGAATAGACTAACACTTCATTTCATTGCACAAACGTATCATTTCTCGCCTTGAGCTCCTTGGAAAACGTAGAAGCCGATGCTGTAGAGGTACTTCTTGCAGATTTCTGGGAGGGTGCCCCCTCTTCGAACGGCATAGAACGCCTGCCCGCACCGGAAACGTTCGAATTCCTCCCTCCTGTACTCGTTTGCCGGCGTTCCGTGGAAGAATGGGATGGCGTTTATGTCGGGCATGAGCACCATCTGTGAGAAGGCAGGTGACATTCTATCAAAGGTGCGAGCTACGACTTTCAACTTCACATTGCTGTAGGTATAGTGACAAGACAGCGCTGGCTAGCACAGCATATTTATTGGCTGGCCTCTGGACTTACCCGAATCCAAAAAGATTGGTGTTGTAAAGAGGATAATAAGATCCTGTGTTATTCTACCGTCAGATCAATCATTCATGAAGATTTCTAACCTGTCTACTAAAATGAGCAAGCAACATGCCGAGAGAAGACTTGTTTTAGATTAAGGCAGGCATAGCATGCACATGCCGTACTCACGACCCCCCTCTTTTTTCCCCTTGTGTGGCTTTATTATGCAGTAAGAACATTGCTGAAAACACAAGGACCAAGAAGACACGACACAGACACTTGGTTCTTGTTTATTTTAAGCACTGTTGCCTTTGCACAATGAATCACCACCAACTAGCCCAAGCACCTCTTCTAGTATTATGAACCTTGATGCAATTCTGCCGATTTAGCGTTCTCCAAGCTGAACTATAGCTATGTTATTCTGCTCAGGATTAATTAATTATGAATGATTGTACAAAACCAAAGCTTGTCTGCCATGTGCCTTTTTTTTACAATGCAACAAATTGACTGGTCACAAGTTCCCATTAGGGGCTGACTGGTTTCAGTGAACTACCAGGCCATTTTAGGTGCATGCAAGTGCCCAAAGAAAATTCCAACACATGGAAATACGACATTTAGGCCTTTTAGCTGCCTGGTTACGAGTGCCTGAATTTCTAATCATCACAGCTCTCCCCAATTGGCACACTCGTTAGACTCACCGAATCGATTAAGATCGATGCCGAAGGTGTGTCCACCTCGCGGTCGTATTGCTTGAATGTGACTCGCACTTTGTAGTGTCTACCCTTCTCCAGGCAGACAGGTGGGGCAACGACAACGTACCGGTCACCTAAGTAGAGCAATGTGAAGGTTATTGAACAAATGAGGATAACGACTGATGGCAACAGTCAAGATTATTAAAAATTATCAATTTGAGAAAAAAAGCAATCGCTTATGTCAGCCATCCCATTTTATAAGTCACGAACATCAGAAATTGTGCAACAATCATCTAAGTTTATTTGAATGAAGCATATTAATCAGTTATAATAATAATTAATAATATACAGGTTGCAGGAAGGCAGTTAGTGCCAGATGGATGTAACTATAGATTACTGGACTAAGGCTGGTTCACAATGGGCACAATTTATATGCATAGCAGTCACAAGGTTCACGATGATTGATATCTAAACAAAAGGAAAGAAAAATACTTGCCTGGCGAAAACCTGATCACTTGACGGTCATCCTGAGGAATGGCATTGGCACAGGGCCCATTCGGGTCAACCGGTCCCGGTCTGTCCACGGTCACAATAGCCTCTTCCCAGCCTTGAGCAAGCTGAAAGCAAAGCCATTGAACATTTCATTTCAAGCTTCGTTCAGCTAGAAAGACTGGTGCACACAATCTATGGTGTGTGCTGTTGAAAATGATGCATGCTATTCTTTACTTCAAGATTTTGTGTATCAATGTCTCATATGCAGGCATTTTCCTAACAGAAAAGTGTTACATCTCAACAGCTATGAAACGTCTTACAATGTGACAGAGCTTTAACACACAACAGTGACAGGAATTTTTTCAAGTGAAGCTTGCCATGAACTGCAGATTTCGGAGGCAGCAGCGGTGACATTGTACGTGAAAAACACGGTGACAGCAGGTTTACTGAAATGCGGCCCTCGAAATTGCGTCCGTCACGTTCGTGCACCCCGTTTGCCAATAACTGATGCTCTCTCGGTTGCAAGCTTGTCGGCGATCAGCCATTTCCGACATGGCAATCTGAGCACTTGTCGTTTCACGTTGCCATGCTTCGTTATTGCCTGGGTATGAACGCATGACCATCATTGTTGCCTGTAGCAATTGAAGTGTTGCAGTGCTAAGCGTGTTGGTGAAGGTCCGAGCATGGAGGAAGAAAAAAGTGAGGAGGGAGCACTGCACAATGCGATACCAAGAAATAAAAGTACTGGTGGGTTGCACACACATATTACAAGCTTCCTTTGCATCTGTTTTCCTAACAAAGAATATGCACTCAATTGCTTTTCTTGTGTAGTAGTGATGTTAAAGATGTATAGGAAGTGGATCAGCTATGATTACAATAAAACGATATGGAGGGGATGGTCAGAACAACCTACTTTTGTGCTTACAGGTGTCGGTCGTGGTAGCAAGTAAAAGTTCCCAAGACTCGATCGATCCCTTCATTCCCCTAAATAACTGACCCTAAACAGCACCTACGAGCCTCCAAGTTTAGGACACATTTGTAACCACGTAACCCACAGACACACCACACCTACCTTGGGCTCGTAACGGAACACAATGTTGTAGTCCATGGATGTGGGTATGTCGGGAACGTCAAACTCGAGGTAAGAGTCCTGGTGGACTTGCATAAAGCCCAGACCGGTCCACGATGCATCCCGGTCGGCATACGGCTCTCGTATGAGCACTTGGCAGTCCTGCGATGCAAATTTATATTTCACTAATTGACAGTTTTCTTTTTCATTTCTTTTAACTATCCCGGTGAATATATACTGCTAAGCTCCTGTGCATGTTCGCCAACACAGCTAGCTAACTGCCCTAGAAACTTCACAGATGCAATATAGTGCTGCTAAGCCTGACGGTACACGTTCAATCCTTCCCCTCAGTAGCCACATCTTGAAGGGTGAAATAAAAAAACACTTCTGTATTGGTTACGTGTGCACGCTAAATTAAAGAACACCAGGTGGTCACAAGTAATCCGGAATTTCGCATTATAGCGAGCCCCATAACTGTATTATTGTTTCAAAACCCTAAACTCCACTAAAAAATGTCATTTTGACAGAATGTGAATAAGTGTCTAGCACATCAACTTCATCCATAAGATATGAATTTCATCTCGCACTGATTTCAAGGATAAAGCAAAGTTGCACAGTCATTCACAGACCCCTTTTCTGACTGAAAATTAATTGGACAACAATTGTAGAATAAGAGAAGTGTGTATGTCGCCCAAACACATATAACAACAGATGAGCTAAAATATGTACTGCCTTATTAAAAACACTTTCAATACACAAACGTGAAATAGAAAAACGTGAATGTCTTATCAAGCTGAATCTTTCAAGCTTTTGGACGAGAAAACAGCAGGAAGGCGAAGACGGAAGCTTGCGGTGAAAAAATCCGTAAACAGGGGTTGTGTGCTCGAGCCTACGTTTTGACTAAACTTCAAGGCTGGAAGTTATAGCCTCCAACGCGTGTTTGCACAATGCTAGAAGTTTTAGACTTCAAGGCTGGAAGTTTTAGCCTTCAATGCACATTCCCACAAGGCTGGAAGTTTTAACCTTGAATGAGACAAGTCCCCTCATTGAAACATAGAGTCGAACACACAACCCCTGTTTACGAATTTTACAAGCTTTTAGTCTGTACATTAGAGATCTATAACTGTTCATGTTAAGCTTTAAAGATACAAGTACAGGGGAAAATGAAAGCTTGAAGAAATGCAAAATCCGTGCAACACTAGTGCGTCGCCTGAGCCAGCTTTTCGACAAGCATCCTTGCCTTCTTCAAGGCTGCAGCTTGAAGAAGACAAAACTGCTTCAACAATGACTCCAGTGACACCCTGTGTTCGAGAATATTTTATCTGTTGATGTTAGGGTGAGTTGATATTATTTTTCTACAGAAAGTACTCACAGGACTGCCCTTGGCCAGTTCAGCTTCGTGGACCATGAAATCAAGGTTTCCAACAAAAAAGCCCGTGTCTGGCTGGTCACAGCGGCGCCCCTGGACGCTGGGCCGGCAGCGACACTGGCCGCTGATGACATCACAGCTGTTCTCGTACGCGCCGCCGGGGTCGCAGTCACAAGGCTTGCAACCATCATCGTCATGGCTAAGCCCGTAGTATTCTGGCTGTCAAAGTTCATAGAGCACGGAGATCAGACGTTTTCAGCATTTGAAACACAAAGGAGCAGTTTCAGTGAAATGTTGCCCGAAGCAAATTTTCATCACTGTTTGCCTCACCTGTTCACCTTGCCACAACTTTGCCGAAATTTAATTCTTTAAGCCTAGCATAATGTAGAACAGCATACATGTATGTGTTTGTTCTTGCGATAGTCGTCAAAAGCCTTTGTATCTATTACTACATGTTCGTTTTTCTTACGCATGGTTTGCAGCATCACTAACAGTCTCAGACTATGGTTATGACCCTTGAAAAAGTGTGAAGTTTATTACAAAACGCTGGTGGCACTAGCAGCACCAATATTACAGATGCTGCTGGTAATTCACATTCACAGTTGCATACGTTACAAACATAATGAGCAGCAAATGAAGAAGCAAGTCGATGAGACCACACAGACAAAAAAGGAACATAATTTTTCCACAAGTCATTTGCATAAAAGACGAATGCACACTTGATGACCGGAACCTCATTGAGTTTTGGAATTAAACATGAACCTTTGATGCTACACAATTGAAGCCAAAAAACAAAACTGAAACAGCTTCTCTCATTGGATATATCATTAATAGACCACTGCATCTATGTAAGGCAGTGGTCTATTAATGATATATCCAGGAGTCTTACAATACACACATTTGCAGAAGAGCATGAAGTTGGGCTAGTCGCTTGATGTTCATTGCTCGCATTTCTTGTGAAATACATGTGCATGTTAATATGCATTGCAAACCTTTTCGTTTCTGTTTGAAAACATGGTACAGAAAAAAAAAAAGTTCACTAGAGACTCACCAGGCACTGGTTGCAGTCACGACCGATGACGTTACGTTTGCAGGTGCATTCACCGGTATAGACGTTGCAGCCATCACCCGCCGTTCCAAGCTCGTGGCAACTGCATGCTGTGGAATAATGGAAATAATCTCAGTATTTGTGAATTAATGAAACAGAATTCACAAATTAATGAAACATTTCCATGAACCAATTATTCTTACCTTTTATCAAACTTACACCATAAATGCTATTAAATCTCTCTATTTTTTGTTTCCCACTGCTAACGTTTTTTCAGCGGACTTCTAGCCTGACTTAGCAGCATGTATAAGCAACTACAGAAAGGAATGCAATGAAATATTGACGCAAGGTAGGCTGGTAACTATAGTGGCATTCCTGAAGTACACCATCGTGACTTTGTTATTGCTTCAGCAAAGGTAAAAATGCATCAAAGATTGGGGACAGGAATCAAGCGACCAACTTTTGCATTCTGACAGACTGGCACTCATCTGAACTTCGTACCCAATACGTACGTACACAAGCATAACCATCATCGTCATAAGCACTGTTTCGTACTCTCTGAAGCATGTGTTGTGAGTGTTCTTGAAACTTTTGGTCAGCCGATACTCACGTAAATCGCACTTACATCTGTCCTATAATCTTGAGCCAATACGTAGTTAAACATATATTTGACTTCTTGATGCCACTTCCTGGGTTAATGCCATCATCAATTAAACTTTTCTGATGCACATCAAGGCTTACGCTTAACTCGCATAAATGCCCATTTTTCTTAAACATCTATTACACTGTTGATTGTAACACTGAGCATTGTGTCATGTTTACAGGGGGCAGGTGCCTTGTCAGTCTTTTTTGCTTCTTCTAGGTCCCCATGGGCAACTGCAATCTGTTTCAGCCTGAAATAAACTAGGACTTCAACTTTACTATCATATGTTTACAGCAACAGAAGGTGGGACATACGCTCGCAGCCGTCGGGGTTAGCCGCTTGGAAGTTGAAGAAGCCCTTCTTGCAGCGGTCGCATCGACGAGACTCGACATTCTTTTTGCAGTGACAACGGCCAGCGACAAGCCCCGAGGTTGGGTCATCCTGTGGGTCACAGACGCCTTCATCCAAGGAGCCACGAGGGTCGCAATCGCAAGCTGTGAAAGAACCATGATTAAAGAGTTAACCAATTCGAGCGAGCAGGAGGTAATCAGTTACAGTTTCAAAATGCAAATGAAAACCAAACAGCTAACCCGATTCTCCTAAACACAAATGCTTTGCAGCATGGAATCGAACTACCACTTGTGTCACAACCACGCAACACTTGATTTATTTCTTATCAAACTATTATCTCCTTTAACAAAAGTATGCGGACGCTACAAAGTTTTGTTTACACTTACGGGGACATTCATGTTATACACCAGGTAAAGTCAGCGTCAAAAAGTCAGGGACCACGATACATACCAAAAAGGTGAATACAGTTCAACCCCTTCATAAGAGACATGCACTGGGGAGAAATTCTCGTCGTTTATGTGAAATGTCTTTTATAAGCAAGGTACCATGATAGCGTTTTTTATCAACCCTAATTTCAATGTAGGCGTACTGGTGTCCCTTACCTCAGTGTCTCAAAGGGTTTCAACTGTATTCCCACTTGTTCAACAGACAGCCTTGAGTTTAGTTATCTGACTTGTTTTAAAATACGCTAACAACATGGACTGTGTAGTTCAACCTGATACTATCACAAATTGCTGGCAAATTAAGTTCTCTCAGATGGTGTCTAAACCTTCGACACTAACTACCCACATCAAGCATTTTTTTGTTCTTGTTGAATGACGCATCTTCAACAATGATATCGGCAGTCTGAGAGAAAGCAGCACGACCACGTTTGGAAAATAAATTTCAGCAAGCTTCTCGAAACGCTGATAGAAAAGGCTCAACATAATGAAACCAAATGCCGTTCATAGATGACCCTGTTTGATACAAGCTCATTCGTGCCAACAATGCTGGCTTCTGCCACAGGGATATCTCCGGGCTTCACCCAACATTTAGTATCACGCCAAGGTGTAAGGTTTGTGGTGGTAGTTTTGGTAATTCTTCTAAATTATCACTTTGATACTATTTCAATGCAGCTGATTGGCAGAATTAACGAGCACCTGCTTTCATACTCGTTTAAACACGCAGCCCCACTGTCTTCTTAGAAGGGTGCACTTGACGCCTGGACATATTCAAATGAAGTTTACGACTAAATCATTTTTACAACAAAAGAGGGCCAACAAGGCTTGGGGGCAAACAGTTCTCTCAAAATTCTTCTTTTATATTTTGATCAAGCCTGATGAAATTAGCTGAGTTTATGATTATTCAAGTGCTGATTTCAGATATGCAGTTATTTCTCCAGCACATTATGTATAATTTTCAAAAAACGACATACTTTATGTGCCTTGAATTTTCGGAACATAATTTTTTTTTCATGATGAGAGACCTACAAAGTAAATCAGCGTATTAACAATTCAGAATAAGAACTGTGTGCAATACATTAAGATTGCGTGTTCTAAAACCATTTGAAGATTAGTTACTACGGTATATGTTGAACATTCACAAGTGAATCCACGTGCCACCCTAAATGCCATTAGGCGAAGCACTTGTTACCCTTATGAAGACAGCAAGTTATGTTTAAATGGCTGCATCCCTTGATCAAATGCTATTGATCACATCGAGTCGTCATATCTCCATCTTGTCGGAACAGCCAACAACACTACATGACAAGAAGATCCATGTACCTAGTTAAAAATGCCCAATTCAGCACCCTAGCAAAGTACCAATTTCAGCCGTAATTGCTCTTACAGGTCGATCATACTCACGTTGGCAGGCATACGGATCGCTGATGTCACGTTGAGGATCCTTGAAGTAGAACGGCACGCACTGTTCACAGTTGAGACCCATGGTGTTGTCCTGGCAGTCATCACAAACGCCACCACTCACGCGTCCCGAACGCTCCCACACGGCCGCATCGAAGTGACACTTGTTGGCATGACCATTGCAGTTACAGGCTGCAGTGATAGGTGAAGGATAACAACCAAGATAACTGACTATCAAACAAATTATTTAAATAAATTAAAAGACTCATATCAGTGAGAACTAACAGATATGCCACGAAAGTACGGGGTTGAAACTTAAAGGTTTGACACATAATGTTAAGTTGAATAACATTAAACACAGCTATATATAATCTTTTTAGCCTTTGACACACTGCTTTCTGGCTATGAATGCGAACAGGAAGAGAAAAACCTCAGGCCTTAGCAGCTCTGATTCTAATACACCTTAAACCGAGCACTGCTGGTTGAAAAAAAAAAATAATAAAAGCTATATGCAGCTTGCGTAGAGTGGTGGCTTACGTTTGCATGGGATTTGGGTCCCTCTCACTCGCTGGTCTCCAGGGCTGGTCGTTGTACAGATCTTCGCAGCTTTCGCAGTTGAGGCCTTTCGTGTTGTGCGTGCACTGGCACTTGCCAAACACCTGATGATGGAGACAAGTTCAGGATCTCATAAGTGGGGAAAGCTTTTCACCAACAGATTAGACAAATGTTTTACGTTTTATTTGTCTGATTTTTCAGGTTTTATGTGAACTGTGAAAAGATTTAGAAGGGAACTGATACGCATTCGAAGCTTAGTTTACTTCTCTGTACAAATATTGCGTACCGTAGACTTGCTGCAAACATAAGTCTTCTAAACAGAATTGCTGCTTAAACGGAACTGCCTCTAATATAATTGCTGTCGTACCTGAATACTACAGCCCTGTTCATCTCTCAGTTAGTACTCCTGTTAAATGAAACACATCTTTTTTTGGTAATTTCAGGTTCTGTTTAATGAGTGTCTCCTGTATATAGAAACAGCTGTGGGCAAGTCTGAAGCTCAGTAAATGCTAATGGGATACTTTATTTTGACATTAAAGACCATTTGGTGTGAAACACCTCTTGACATCGACAATAACGTGACAACAGGCTGCAGTTTCGAGTCTGGTGACTTCCTACACCAGGCCGGGTAGTTGCAATGATGTCAGGTACTAAAACATAGAAAATGACCATTTGTGCATTGCACACAAACCCATAGAGTGGAATGGCGGCGGGAACACCATGATACCCCTCATGTAATGTCCCTAGGGGACCTTTGAGGAATCAATAAATAAATCAATAAATAAAATACCCTACATGAGCACATTACGAGAAGCTCACACCATGTCTTGTTGTCAGGGTACAGTATAAGTTGAAACTAGCCTTTAAAAACATGCAATTAATTGTTTAGGGTGCACTGACACTTACAGGTACATTTTCCAGTCTGTTGAAGACTCGGCCTTTCATTTGGCACAAAAAAAAGACAAATAAACACTTTGGCGTCAGTGCTTCTTTATATATATATAAAAAAAAGAATGCCTGCCTTTCCACTGCTCTCAAGGTTTCAAATTGCACGGTCATGTTCAAAATAGTTCTGAGGGCCTTCCAGTACATTCACTGACCATCTTAGGAGATCGTACTAGTGACATGAGATGATGGGCACATGTGTGTGTTATTGAATAACTCAGTATAAAGTCACATGATTATGAATCCCTTTCCATTTTCAAGTATGGTTCCCTATAATATGTCTGCATGCTTGACCTACTAACAGATATGCACTGCAGCAAAGCGGACTTTTCAAAACCGCTGCAGTTTGAAATTAGTGTCATTTAAGGCTGCATATCAATCAATACAGTGGCAGCTTTGATTAACACTTTAATTAAAGGTAAATTGTCTAAAAAATGAGACCACAAAAATTTTGACGTTCGAAATTTAGATGTCTTCTTACATTGACTTTATCGAATATGCGCCAGTGTTACTGTAAAGGCTTTCGTATCATCACACACGCCCGAAAAATTTATCGACGACTGAAACCCATTATATCTATGACAACTAAAAATTCCCATTGTTACATACAGTAATAGTTGGCACCCTCTATGTGGCTTAAAAAGTTATGAATGTTTCAACTTATAAAGGGTACTTGCTTGGGCGAGTTGTAAGCTATTCATTGTCACCTTATTGCGCACTGCTTAAAAGATGAACACTTGGGATGAAGGACTAGACGGACACAAGCACAGACCTTCAGCTGAGTTTATTGAACAGACACATGATGCTTTTATGCAATCGTGTTGCATGAATAAAAAAAGGTTTACAAAAATGAATCACAAAAAAAAGTTATACAGTACAAATAAAATGACCAGTCATGCCGAGGTAGCACACGCGTATCACGCCTCCTGTATTACGGGTTAAGATACAGCATTCCTTTCTGCGTCAGTGCCAAAGAAGCCATACTGACACAGCCATCTTCCACGCGGATGATCTTCGGATGCCTCAATTACGCCTCATCTGATTATTGTGCCTCACCTTGGTTTCGCGGAAATCTGGCTGGCATCCGCAATCTCTACAATGCCAGCCTAGGTGACCTTGCACCGATTTGTACACATTGTTGTAGTTCTCCCGCACTCTTTCGTTTAGGCACCTGCACGTCTGGCCTACGTATTTCTTTCCTGCGTGCGAGTGGAATCATGCACACAACGTTTAAAATGCGACCCACGAATTTATTCCTGTGGTTAGTTGTGCACACACTTGTTTCATTCACAATTTTCTTTCCTATTTCGCAAAGAAACGACAACCTTCGGGGTGCTGTAAAAACCACTTTCATTCCGACACGGCCCCCCCCCCAGTCTTTTTTAGACGATTGGAGACGTCGTGACCGCTCTTTCAATGTATTCAAGCCTCTTAATTAAAACTCCATCATTTGGTTAATTCATACTTTTTGCATGTTCATACCAGAAAATATCAGCTGCTTTCCCACTACTATATTTAAAAATTTGTGTGCTTATGCCTGATCAGCAGTAAATGACGAATAAACTTGTGGGCTTTACATCTCTGCTTTCTGTTCACTGCATGCAGTTAGGGCTTAAAACCACTTAAAAATATTCTAAATGTGATAAAGTCAATGCCTAATCATAATGTGTGGCATCACCTCACCCAGAGTCATCTATGTGAGAACTTCTGATAATTCAATCAAAATTCAGAGGTCCCTTCGAGTTTGAATTAACGAGTCGACTGTATATGCTATTTTTTACTCATGGAAGCAAAGTTCCAAGGATTGATTGATTTAATTTATACAAATATTGGCACACGAATGACTATTTTCCTTTCATTTCCTTTTCTTTATCTTATGGGCTTTTACAGAACTTATTTACCATATTTCCAAATAACCAGGTTCATTGAACCAAGATTAGCTATCATGCAACTGGTGGTTAAGCAATGTAAAAAGTACCACGTACCATGTCATCTCGTGCAGCATAGGACTCTCCTTCCTCTGGTATGCAGCGACTGGCATGGCCATAGCAGGAGCACGAGCCTCGAACAACCATGTCATAGACGGCGTAATAGTACTTCTGCTTGATCTCCCGGCGCGAAGTCCAAAAGGTTGTCACCGAGAGTGTGCAGCTTGGTGAAGTTGATGCGCAGGTTCGTCATCTTGAGCAGGTCTTGCACATCGGGGCTGTGCGGGTTGTCTATATGGATGTGCGGCGGCAGCACACGGAAGATGACCTCTCCGTTGGTCGAGGGTTCGACGCCCGAAGTAGTGCGACTCGCAGGTCACGTCAGTGATGTTGCGCCGCGGACCGTACCGCACAGTGGGGGAATGATTCTTGGCAGTCGTACGCAAAGTACTGGTACACCTGCAAATTTTGGTGAACACAAATGCTACGGCTTGGAGAGAAAAAATAATTACACAAGTAAGCTTTTTATGTAGACGAATTCCTTCACTGTTGAAGAAGGCACATCTTTGGGGTTCACATTACCTCTGAAATTCAACATGCTTCATTGCACAGCACAGTAGTCTTTCAATTTCTTGCGTTGTAGTGCAACAGAAAATGATGCCACTATGCCAACATTAGAGTGTCGTTTTCCTTTTTGAAGAAGCTTCATTGCAGAAATCAATATATTATAATGTCATTGGCCCTTTTATTATAAGAAAACTCACTACTATTAATGCATGACAAGTGGCCAGACAAATGACACATACATGACACCAGAAACAGCTGCTTTTTTTAAAAGAGCTACACCAACCACCAGCATTAGATATTTTGAAATCATGGCTCAGTTTACAAATACCGTAAAACCCCGAGCAAGTAGTGCCCCCTGCCCTTTTTTTCAAGAGATTTGAAATATGCGCCAATGACCAAGAAAGGGTCCCCCTCCCCTCCAGTCACTGTTTTTATTCGCTCGTCGAGAGCAAACAGTAACATTTAATGAATCCAAATTGATAAAGCACTTAATTAGATGCACAGGTGTGCATCTTTTATTCTTAAGGATTGTTTCTGCCACTTTCAAAACTGATCCACGATCGATCCACAATCAAGCAAGGGCCCCCTCCAAATCTTCTCGGATTAGCTTTCATCAAAGATAATATACACCTTTAAGCATTCTTAAAATTCAATTAAAGTATACTCAAAACTCAGCGACACATATGGCCTGTAATTTACAATAAGCTTTTAAAGCTAAAAACTAAAAAATTGCTTTCTTTCCTCGGCAAATGACACTACAAGCTCAAAAGCTACTTGTCACAGCCAAGAAGGAATACACGGCTCTGGTCACAGGCATTGGCTGATTTGAGCATGTGGCGCTTTCGTCGTTACCGGGGCCGCTGCTTGTCCGCAAGTACGTGTGCGATCACACTGAAAAACCGCGTACTTGAAGGGAAGAAAAAAAAAAAAAAAAGAGGTGCTCAAGATCACGAGGTGCGTGTGGAGTATTTTCTTTCGCCGTGCCATTCTACCCTGCTAAGCTTCCAGCTATTTCGTCGGGACGAGAAGAGAGAACGTGATTGCAGTGTGCGACAAATTTTTGGAACTCCACTCGTACAGGACTGATTCTAGAAACTTTGCGGCAGTGAACTTGTGAGGCAACAAGCATGTTTACTAGCTCCATGGCTACTTGAAGAAGTGTTACAGGGCCCTTTTAAAGAAACATATTACCCTGAGAAACCAATTCTTCATTTTATTAAGCTTGTTACAACGGCTTATATGATCCCAGTATAATAAATCTCAAAACATTAGGTATGTTACAGGTTATCACTCGCAGCTTACCGAAACTACTACTCAAGGTTGTTTAAACTTCCTTTGAATGAAAAACAAAATGGCATTTGCATAAAGCTCATATTTCAATTCAAAATAAATATTGTGCAGGTTAGTTGGGTCGTGATGAATATTCCTTTTTTTTATATATCATACATACCATTCGAATTCGATTCGAGATTGTTTGATCAAAATCACTATTCGCTTCAGACCAAAAATTCACTATTTGCACAAGCCTAAATATTTGCTCTGATCCTAAAAGCAGTAACTTTATACAAGGCATTGCAGTACTACGATCCGAATCAATAACTTCCTAATAGGAGTGCTCAGTTGATAGGCATACCTTCCACGTGTGTCCATTGTCATGTGAACGTTCGATGAGCATAGCAGCTGGCCTAAATGTCTTGAATGTGATGATCAGATGTGTGAAGTGGAACTCTGCTTCTAGGTCCAGCCGAATCGACACCGACTGCACGCCATTCTCGGACTGCCACCACGATCCCTTGCTCTTTTTGCCGATCCTGGAAAGAAAACAAAGTAGGGCATTGTATTTGTGATCATGACAAAATGAGTGTTACACAAGCACTCTCAACACACTAAATGTTGCATAACTGCTCTAATGTGTTAATTGTTGCATAAATACTTCGTGTACGCTAAAATAAACACTCTGCCATACTAAGCGTTGCATAAATATTCTGACATGCTAGAATAAATACTTCCCCGTAATAGGCGTACCACAATTATTTGATCTGATGTGCTAATATTTGCTGTACTAGAAGTTGCATGAACACTATGACACACCAAGTGTTGCACAACTGCCTGGCACGCTAAATGTTGCATGCCTAAATACTCTTGACATACTAGCATAAACGAATGGTTCGTAAACATGAGCTGGGTGCTGGCTCCAGCACCCACCCTCTGTTTATGGATTTCCCATTGCAAGCTTCTATCTTCCCCTTCTTGCCTTTCTTCAGAAATACTGAATGTTACATAAATACTCTCAAAGGACGAAACAAACGTTGCTTAACTCCTCCGACGTGCCAAGTTTTCAATAAGAAGGGAAATCTGGGATAGTTAACTATAGAACAATTTCTATCAGCTTACAGCACGAAAAAGAGACAAGGATGAAGATCAAAGACAACGCAAGTCCTGAGTGTAGCATAAGTACTCTAAAATGCTAAAATAAATACTCTGCCATACTAAGCATTAGCTCAGCCATGTTAAGCATTGCCATGTAGATATTACTATTCCAGTCGAACCATTGGTTTATTCATGCTGCACTTTAACAAAGGTGCTGCATTTTTCAGTGTATTAAGTTGAATGTCTTCATAGCACAAGGACATGCATGGAAAGGCTCACCTCGACACGATGTTGTCTATGCCGTGGTAATCTCTGCCCCTCTGGGTTGAGTCGCACCGGAAGCATTTGGTCTTCTCTTTAAGGTGGCTCACGATGCAGTAAGTCTCGACACCGCGCAGACCGCACGTCGACGTTGCCGACAACTTGTCCTCCCGACCGATGAGCAGGTTTCCGGTCGCTGGGTAACAGCTGGACTCTTCGCAGGCGTGCGGCTGAGAGCCCCGTGATTGCACTGCGGTGTCGGAACCCCGAAAATATTATAACACGTGTAACGGCGACTGGTCGTGGTTAGTCGTGTGAATGCACATTTCAGGGGTTCCTGAATTGCGACAAGGGAGACTTAAAGCGAAAATTGAGCCAAGACAAACTGCGGGTCTGATGCTGTTATGTTCACTTATTTTATTTAGCACACACTGCCAATCCAAATATAAATCTCTGCAGGAAGGACACAAACAATTAATTTATAAAAGTCAAAATGAGGGGGAAAAAACTTATGCAAAATACTGTAACAGGCTTTTTCGAATATGTAAAGGCATTCCTTCTTCCGCATACTAATAAGTGGAACAATTTACCTTCTTTTGTTACCAATACGTCATCAATAAATATTGTTCTCTACCTACTTGAAAATTACTTGCATGATTCACAAATATACATAACATTTGACACGTTTTCCTAAGTCTATATATTACTGTTGGCACTTGTCCTGCTACCACCTGCCGTAAAATGCCGAACCCTCCCCCCCCCCCCCCATTCCTACCCGTTTGGAGGGAAGATTTCAAATAGCGCTAAATAAGTGCCAATGATCCAGTGTCTCAAACTGAGCAAGCGCCCTTTCCCAAGTCTGGTCAGATTATTTTTCACCATAGGGGGGTGCTTCTTCGGCATATTACGGTAAGTTTTACTAACTACTGTGAGAACGCACTGAATTTTAGGGGGCAGTAACTGTTTCATATGTCTGTATGACTATGATTGCATGATTCTAATTGTATTGCCATGATATGATTATGTGAGTGCTGCTTACTTAAGTCTTCACAAGTATATATAGGCACTGATGTTTCCAATGTATGGATGTAAGGAGTATGAGGAATATTACACCATTGTGATAGACTGAATGGCTGTCATGCTTACAATGAATGGACAATATAAGAGCAGTTGCTAACAATGTGAAGCTATACAATGAATAGAAAGAGTGAAATTTATTGAACTTTCATTGATACCAAGTGAATGCACAAGTTGACTATGCAACAGATAGAAGGCAATATCTTTTTAATGCGCAGCTATTTAATATATTTGCGGACTGAATTGAAGTTTGTGACACACAAAGTGGAAAATTTGTACTGACAAGAATACTAGAATACTAGGTTAAAGTATCTAAAACTTTTGAAACTACATCAGTTGTTACAGTTGTAAGCGATGAAGCTATTAGTGATTTAAAACCCCTTGCTGCTTAAGAACCTAAAATGTTGCATATTCCTGATCCTGGCCCTGTGCAATAACTACCACATGTGTTTATAATGCACAAATTATCATGAACACAAGCTTTTTTGTGTGGGAGGGGAATTTCAAAAATAAGCTATGAATATTCACTGATTTTTGATTGGCGTGCAAATCTCAGCTATTTAAGCATTCGGAGCAAACTCAATTTACACAATTATTACTCACATACACTCCAATACAAACAAACAAAAATGTAGTGTGTTAGTTGACGTGTCGTCCTTGTGTGGAGTTAGTTATACCTTTCACCAGGTTAACATGATCCCCAACTGTGCAAAGTTTCAATTTTTACCGGTCAGTGGATGCCTGTTGTCTTCAGTGATATCCACATCCACTTTTCCGATGACCCTATGCGTCTCCGTTGGCTGTGGGCGAACGTATGGTGGCTCAGTCTGCCCTTCTACACCGCCGTACGTTCCACTGGCACGGCTAGATCCGTACGTCACTGAGCTACCACTCGTTATGTTATCTCTCCCATATGTCCAACGTGATGTGTCTTGCCCTCCCCCGTAGCGAACAGTTCCGTTGAGACGCCTCGTGTACGATGTTTGCGTGTAAGTTGTGTCCTCGCCGTGACCCCTCCTGACATCGTCGTGGCCGCTATACCGCCTCTGCGTGTCCTCGGACCAGTGCGTCGGCTCACCGTGGACAATGGTTGTGTTGCGCCAGGCCGTCACGCGATGCCTCTGATGCACCGAAGTGCCATCGTATTCCGCACGAGTTGGTGGTCCAATAACTGTGGGCTGAAAGCGGGTGCGCGAGCCGACGTCCACACGGTGCGTCGTGTTACCGTGCTCACCGAAACGAGCCGTGTAACCACGCCAGCTCCACCGTCCTCTCTTCCTGAGCTCGGGAGGCGGTATCCTCCGCGCTTGTCACCCTGTGTGACGACCATCTTCTCGATGCATCACGGTCACTTTCCCGGCCATGGCCAGCTGCTTCAACATGGTGCTGACTGCCCGCACTCCAGTGGTCGCGGCGCGAAGCTGCAGAGGAAGTTTCGGGGCGATCACTGGTGACGTGGTGCCTCCCTGCTGTGATGGAATGGTACTGCTGCCTAACGTAAGTGGATCCACTTTTGTCCACTTCAGGAGTGTCTGTAGTTGTAGAACTAACTTCACTAGCTGACCAGCTTGTCCTTTCAGTGGCGACATGACTTGTCCATGTTCGTCTGTTTGAGGGGCGATCAATAGATGACCTGTGTTGCGTGTAGGTGGGACGATCTGGCCTGTCTGTGCTGTACTGACCTGACCACCTGTGCTGTGAAGTAGCCCGGTCAACTGACAATCGCCGACCCTCATACAACGAAGTAGTTTCTTGTACTGGCTGCTCAGTTGTTGCTGACCATCGGTGCCTGCCAGATAAAGATTCTGCGGAACCGTAGCGCCTAGACTGCCACGACAAACGTGCGTCATCCTCCCCACCACTACGACTTGACCATCGATGTCGCGTTGTTGACTCCGTGCGCCTGATATAAGTGGGTCTACTGCCATCTGCTTCAGCCGGTTTGTCCGTACTTGTTCTTCTGGACCATTCGTCAAAGTGCATAGAGCCCCGGCGCCCCCCTGTTCGGTCCTCTTCAGTCCGGTGCCTACTGCCAGAATCGGTTCTGCTCAGATGTCCCCTGGTACCCGATGCTGACACGGAGTATACTCGGCGGGTGTAGTTTGTGCGCGACTGATCTGTGTCCTCCTCTTCAGATTCCTGGGGTGTCTGCCGGTAACGATGCGCTGTGAAGTTGTGTGATCCTGGTGTCTTCTCTTCAAATACTTTCTGCACTTCGACTTCTGATGTGTGCCTGGTGCCTCCGACATGGCGCTGTCTCGAGGGTGGAGCCAAATCCACAGAGTCTTCCACAACCCTTTGTTGCTGAATGCTGTCCGAGTCGTCTTCATCAGAGTCTGCCATAGTGTGGGTAGAGTTTTGAGATTAACACAATGGCAAAGTTTGCTGCGTTAATATTAAAGGGTCAGAGCATGGTCAGGTTGGACTTGCCTTGAATGTGCTGGTGAGACAAGTGATCAGAGGCTCCCTACACCGTAAGCTTGCTGCATGTGGAATGGGTTAGAGTGTGACAGCAGTGTATTTCCAGTTGGCTTTGTTATGCACGAAAAGTATGATCAGCGAGATGTCCCAACACCGTATGAAGGTCCAAAGACACTAGTAACAGCAACAATAGGGCAGAAAATAGAGCGTAGCTTTTTCCCTGAGGTGACTGGTGGCCGAAAGACGGAAAGCACGAAGATGGGTGAATAGTATTGTACGAAAATCAAGCCAAAGTAAACCCAAAGTAAGGCCTTTGAAACTTGTCAGATGGCAAATTGAGCATAATGGCATTTACCTACTGGTCAACACATTTTTTAACGTTCCATTGGACAGCTACGCTAATTTAAGCTTATTCACAGTAATGAGGCCAAAAAGTCATTTTTGCTTTATGCTGCAAACTTGCCAAAATGGTGCAAGCTTCACTTATGGCCGATGCTGAGCCCTTTTATTTAGTTTGAAGCGTTTGCCAGAGCAGTGGCTTGAATATCAAGCTTGAGCTTACCGAGGCATGCTTTAGAGTGCCTTGCATAAGCAAGCTAACAGAGATCAATACCCAATATTCCAGCACCAAAGCTTGATATGCCGGACTACCGAAACTATATGTAGTCTGCCACCCTTGGTTAGATACCCGCTGCAAACAGCATGCTAAGATTTGGTTAAACGCAACACAATGAAAACAGTCAACATTGTTAGACACTGTAAGGTATCCAAAAATGTATATAATAAAAAACAGAGTATGGAGATAGTATAAATAACTTGCTATTGCTATAGTGCATGAGACAAACGAACTTGAGTAACAACCAAAATCAATGTTTAAACGTAAGTTACTAAAACACATTACAACTACAAAATTTAGACATGCTACAAGTAACTAGAAACTGCAAAAAATAAATGTGAACTTTCATCATTTTCAATGGTTACTTCTTTTATAGTTGTTTTCCTCCAGCTAACAAATCTAGCTCAAGGCTAAAAGAAGAAAAGCACAGGGCTTCCCACCTGCATATTGCCGAGTGTATTGGGACTGGCGATCATTCGGCCTTGATCGTTCTGGAAACAGCAATAAAAAAACAGCGTGAACTTAGTCAAACAAGCAACCATTTATACGTTTAATGTAAAAGGTTCTGAACTTGTGCTAGCTAGTACTTACCCATTACTGACAAAGCACGAAATAAAATGGTACAAGACTGAAGAAGACAACCATTAAACAAGTAGACTTATTCTGCATGCGCAGATGTATGTGTCCAGGTATTGGAAGAGCTCAAACTCTTTTTAGCACTGAAGCATTCAGGTATTGAAAGCGCACAAAGACCCTAGAGAAAAATGCACAACCCAACCTTTATGTCAGCCAAGGCATGCACAAGAAATGCACTTCTTGGTAGCTAATGGTCTTTCTTTGTTATTTTTCCCATCATTTTCTCACTTTGTTTTTATCAATACATGTTTGAACATGCCAGCGCTATCAATACCAGAGCATGCCATAGCAGATTGAATATAAGAAGGATGCAATTCGTATTGCGTACAAGCAACAGGTAACCCAACAGGAAACTAATTTTGAGCACAATCAATTACACATCAACACAGTGCATGAAAGGAATATTGCAGCATTACATAACTACTCTAACTGAGCAGTGATAAACACGAGAGTTAGAATGAACACTGAATGCCGGTGAAGCCATGCCCTGCACTGCAGGCTGAGGTGTGGCTTGGGTCAAGTTGTTTACTCAGAATGGTAAGAAAGCAGCAGTGTGTACTTTCTTAGATTTCCTCATAATAAAAACTTAATCAAATCAATGCCAACACAGACAATACAAAAGTAAAGCTAGTATACTCAGTGGTAAAAATAGACCAGCTTTCACTACTTGATTTACAGCCAATACAGAGTTTATTTTTCCAGATTTAAACGGTGATGCCAATGTTAATTAACTACCAAGAAACGTTCTTCCATGAAATGGGTTGCGTCCCAACATGAAAAATATATTACATACTGTTCGACTAATATTTACACTATTGTACGCTTACATGCAGACAACTATAGCAAATGTTAATGAAATTACAGATCAAAAATATGATGTTACATTGGACATTTTGGAACCATGTCTACAGCAATTGAGTAGTTACATATTACACGTACTGACAACATTAGCAGATTCCGTTTCCTCCTCCGAAAAAACAAAAAAAAGAGGGGGAAGCGCCATTGTACCGAACTTTATTGCCAGAAAAGTCTGGGCTGTTTTTTCATTAACATCTCATTATTGTCTGAAAAATAAATTCAAATTTTGATGCTAGGGGTGTCCATGAAATTAGGAAAAATTGCAGCCTTACTATGTGGTTGTAGAAAGAGTGGCACAGCAGTAACTACGCTCGAAGTCGTACTAACACCCCAGAATATAAAAGCAGGCCAGTGGACTTTTCAAAGCTGTTAAGCGTACAAGAAAACCAGAACTGGCAACCTATATAATTACCACCAAAAATTAAGCTTGCCCTAATTCACTTCACAACCAAGTTTAATAACTTAGTCAAGCAATTAGTGCAGGAAATAAATCAGTAGCTCAGTTCCTATGAGCCAGACAGTGTTTACGTAGTTTTTCAGTGTCACGCGCGTTATAAAACGAAGTAACCCTGAAGGCAGAGACACGAAAAGGTCACGGTTGCATAGTTTCTGAATCACTCCTTTACAACGTCCCCATGTGTGTGGGCAAGAGCTTGAACGCAAGGAAAAAAGAAAAGAAAGAGATATGGATAGATAGAGATACATATAAAAGAAAAAAAAAGACATGTTCAAGTGCTGTCCTAGCCCACCAGTCTGCCACTGCAGAGGTGAAACTTTACACTATCTGTTGCTGATAGAAATATATGAAGAAAGAACCTGCAAGCAGAGTTGCAAAAGGGGCAGAGCTGTATCAGGTTACGACCTAGAAGGGCTGCATGGAAGACGACGGCTAGACCTGCCAACTTGTTTGAAAAAGACATAAAACAGAGTTAGTAGCAGAGTGAAAGATTTCCAAAATCTAGCAACCTTTAAGGCATCGTAACCCCAGAGCCAACTTTTCTCGACTTCTTGAAGTACTTTCAGTGATGTAGACAGCCACTGAATCACCCTGATCCTTTTATTCATGCCCTCAGTGATCACCGTCCAAGGGCATATATACTAAAAGGCTAATAGGTGAACCATCTGGGTTTATCAGTGGTCTACTAAATGAAGTGAAAATCAATTCTCTCTACTGTTTTACAAAATTTCGAATTCTCTTTGCCTTTTCACAGCTTTAACGTTGACTTTCCATCACAGGAAGTGGAAAATGAACAGTTAAAGAGACGCAACAGCTAATCAGCAAGAGCATTGCTCAAGAACTTCGTAAAAACTAAATGTATAAAACTGCAACTATCAGACACGGTTCGAGAATAAGGGTTCCAGCACTCGCACGAAGCAACTTTCACTATTCTTGATGTACAACTCTGAAGTTACAATTGTGGCAGCATAAAAAGTGTGGGGTTATAATTCACTGATTAAATGAGGTGCTTATACTTAACATTGCGATACAACAGTATTGTGAATACTATTTTCATGAATGAATGTCAGTTAATCGTAATATTTTTTTTGTAACCACTCAATCTCTTCAACAACTGTTGTTATTCAACTACCCTCTACTATTAACTCGTTCAGGTGTGACTTTCGAACAACTGTCTGAATGTGTCAAATTCACACAGTAAAATTCCAAGACTGTCGATAATCTATAGCATATAAAATGATGAAGTACATTTCAGTTTTCGTGTTCTTTATGAATCACTCTTAATAAAATTGTAGTTAAACTTATCCTTGAGTTAGTGATGTTCTGTTTTTTTTTTTTTTGATAGAGAGAATGTGCCATCAGCAAAGTGATCTCATGCAGCACTACACAACAAATTTAAATGAAGTTAAATAAAGACACATTTATTACATGGGGGTTCAGTTCACATAAAGCACAATATATCTTGCTCATTCTCGGCCATTACCCAACAAAGATAGCGAAGACAAGTAGTGCACACAAATGTGCACACAACACCTTTAAGAGTTACGCTGAAAACTTAAGAAGATAGTTTCATCCAAATTTGAGACACTCAGGGGGATGTTACTTAAGCCAGATGGAGCATAAGTTTGGCAGTTTATTTGTTTCAGCTTATAACTTAAACAAAATAACAAGGGTGCACTCTGAATCTCGGGCGCCGTTCAAGTGGTAACAGTGTAGCTAACTAGACTGCCAAGATGGCAGCTACTGTAACTGCTCTAGTTAATACAAGGCTGGACTGTAGGAGAATTTCGAAAAAAGCAACTGCAACACCCATGTTCCCACCCTTGAACTTTCTTTCGTGGCTTTAATTGCGTCACGAGCCCCTCTTTGTAACATTTCCTCCTCTCTTCCATCCCAGCAGTTCTAGCTTTTTTGATGTCAAAAGTGATGCAACGAAAAGAGACGACACAGGGAGACACTCCATAGGGGGCCCAAGCCGACCCGCACAGTACGTGCTGCGCGGAACGCATTTGTCAGTCGCAAAGGGAAGCGCGACCTACATGGTGCCCTTGCCGCTATCAATTCACTTCCAGAAGTGCCCCACTTCCTCACAGGAAGCGTCATTTGACTCAATTAGAGGCTTCATTAGAGACGCCGTCACGAAAGCTCTCCTCTCCTCCGTTCATGACACGGCTTCTCGGACGGACAGTTCTCCGAGAAGGCCGACGACAGCGGTCCACGAAAAGCGGAAGGTCGGTGCAGAGCTGTAGTGGGCACTGCACGCTTCGTCGTGTGCCACGCGCAACAGCGTTGTTCTGTCATTCTCTCTTCCTCCTAGTGATAAGGCATTTTCCTGGCAGACAAGGCCGCAAACCTTGATAAGGATGGTGCGCCTAGAGCGCCATAGAAGAAAAAAAAAGATCGGTGCGTTGCTCTTGCCTATTAAACAGGAACTCGAGAGCTAAACCACGCAATCTCTGACAAACTTACGAACATTTATGTGCAGAGTCCCCACGGGCAAACAATGTTTTTTATAATGAATTTGTTAAGGTATGGCATTGACAAGTGCTAAGGTGGGATAGTTAGTGTTCATTCATTTTCAAAGGTGTGCTTTGAAAATGAATAACAGTACAGAATGAATAAATAAAATACAGGACATGATGTAAAGCACAACAACATCATGTGTCCTGCATTTTATTAACTCTGTACTGAGTCTGTGTTAATAAGCCCATTTTTGAAGACAAATCGGTAAGGAAAAGCGACAAGCTACATCTAAGTTCAAGACTTGAAAAGGCCACGAAACTCATTAAGATTGAAAATATATGGACTGTTGTTTAGGCATATGTTTTGACTGCAGGTGATTGTAAAGGCTGTAGAAAAAAGAACTGAAGGTATGTACGTAGACATTAAGGATACACTGTCCAATTGCGACTAAAAGTAAGTAAGAATAAGGGTAAAAGTATTCTGTATTTTATGTTGAATAGATATTTTATATGAGGGGATAGAAATTATATTTATGTGCATCTAAACTTCTGTTTTATGAGCTGCTAGCTCTGTATTAATAAATTTTTTGAGATTTTTGTCAATAGTTCAAATGATTCCAGATGACAGTCACAAATGAAACTTACTTAACTTTGTAATTTTGCCCCCATTGGAGTCAAAGTTTAATACAATGGACATGAACATGGTGAACTGTTGGACACAACAAGGTAAATATAAAATTCATCCGACTCATATAAGCATGTGAAAAATATATATGCCTATAAAGAATAATAATATAATAAGGATACTTTTGTGTAAGGTGTGTCTGCGATTGCCGAGAACGACTCTCTACTCAAGTCTAGCATTCCAACAGGGCCATTTAATGCTACAAAGCAGTGCACTACTTATAACAATGTACGATTAATTACAATTGCATGCTCTTGACCATTACAACATTGTACACTGATATTTGTAACACAACTCATGCATAACGGTACATAATCATGACCATGCTAGACCTTCAGGTATTGCAAACATAGATTGCATAGATACTAATTAGGCTGCATAATTTATATGACATAGCAAAAATACTTATGGTAATTAAAATAATTAAACATTTTGAAAGCTGAGCTGGGAGATGCCAACCTCTTCAAATAGGTCAAAGTTACAGACTTGAACTCGCAGAGAACAGGCTTATGGAAAGCAGCAAAAGAAAAAGAAGAAAGAACTTACTCAAAGTATTGCTCACACATGCATACACTCGCATAAGAGACGGCAGCCAGTAGATACTTACGTGCATGTGATATGATGACCAGCAATGACACTATGAAGAGTACATGTATGGACGATGCCATTGTCCAGGATGGCTTGTGGAATGACATCGCGTGTCACAGTTCCTGCGCCGGTGGATGATCAGACGTTACAATTCACTCCAGCTGGTGGTTCAACCAAATCGCTGGCGTATCTGCACCAATAACTGCACCACCCGTCAGCACCAATTCTACAAATTAAGTCCTTTGGATGTTCATTTTACCAGAAGATTGACACATACATTCACATGAGAATAGTAATGGCTGATGGAAGTGCGCGAGAGATGGGAGCTGGCAGCACACGTCTGTGGCCCCGCTAAGTGGCGTGAAAGAAGTAACTCTCAAGGCTGCTCAGTTTTTACCCACAGGGGTCGGGTTACGCGTAACCGATATGCTCACACTGCTGCGTTGCGAAATAAACATGACCAAAAAGCAAGAAAAAAGAAGAGACGATCAAGAGACTGCAAGGAAGGTTTCTAGAGGAGGGGAAGGAGGGTGGCGCGACAGAAGCGCTCACGCCGCGTGGAGCGGTCCGGGAGCGCCTCCGTAGGTCCGTGCACGCGATAACGCTGGCGTGTGGGATAATCTGCCGAAGAAGTCATTGGCACTATACGACGATGTCTTTGGCCTCTCGCGGGTAGCACCGACGTCTGCCGAAATCCAAAGGGCACACATTCCGAGCAGAGTAAACGTGCTACAGCGATGACACAACGCATCTATCTCTCTCTCTCCACTTAGTCGGAGCGCGTAGCCTGGTAGTATGTATCCGCGTAAGGAGATAAGCGCTCGATTCCTGCGATAGCGACGGATGTGGGAGGAGGAGGGCCTACAAATACTGGAGCGAGCGGCTCATATATGCTGCGGCCATAGAGTTTTATACAATAATACTATGAAACTCCATGGCTGCGGCGAATCCCGTCTTTTGCCTCCATAACGGCCCGCTTGCGTCCGAGCTTCGGTCAGTCTACTCCAGAACAGCGTGCATCGCGGGAATGCCTGCCAGATCTAGTAGACCACACGCAGCGAAGTGGCTTCAGGAGGCGCACAGCTAGGGGACAGGCCGCAGACTATCGTGATTACGGCAGTGCAGAATTTTCAGCGACGCGCACGAATTCTGAACTTGACGTGGGTCATTCAATGGTTCAGTTCGAACATGATAGCTCACCGAGGGCAGGGAAAAAGGCGCGGTGGACTGGGGTGTGGACCAGCGCCGGCGCCCCTCCGCACATGCAGTCAGTCGAGGCGGGCTGTTATCAGCTGAGCGGTCCACGCTTTACGCGATATGTCCATTCACCGCGGCGTTGCTCGGACGTGCCGAAACAGGCACGGCAGCTCTCGGCGGGCTCGGGACGCGCCCGATCTCGCGGGGGCGAACTGTCCATATATAGGAGACGAAAAAGTTGGCCAGTCGGAGACGAGTGGGAGTACCGGGATGCGTGACTAGGGCCTGCCCTTCTTCACTGGCTCTTCGCGCACCGGTTTCTTTCGTCTCCAAGTGGGCCCACTTTATCAGCTCATTTTTGTTTATTTTTCTCCACGCCCCTGCTGCTCGCGCGCGTTGCGAAACGTGAAGCAAGCGCATAACCATAACTGCATGCAAGTTAAGTTTGGTCAGTCGTGAGCAATTCACACCCAGTTTGTATGGAAGTTGGTACAGAAGAAATTGAGAACTATGTCAGAAAACGTACACTGCCACTTCAGCATGCACTAAATGTGCGAGAGGTGGGCTCTTACTCTCTGTGTTAACATTACACGTAGCTTAGAACGAGTTGAACGGTGAAATGGGAGTGTACTAGTTACGTCCATCACGTAGCTGTGGTGCGCGATATGTCTGCACCTGTGCTTCCGATGATGCCCCTGAGAGCGAAGAACGGTTTTTTCGGCGATGGTACTTAGCATAACCGTCGATAAGGTTGCTACTAGCCTTCTTTCGATATCCTTCAGGTAGCAAAATTTAGAGTGGAGGGCACGATGCGTTCCCCACTTACAACGGCGTACCCCGCGATGGAAACAACCGCACGCGCTCGGCCCTAAGAGGACCGATCGGTTATCTGTGCATCGTTCATTTTTTTTATTATTACCCGGCAAAAGCGGTATCGTACGCCGATGGGCCTCTAGAGTCGCGGCGATGCTGCGATATGTCAGAGCGCGCGCGTTGACAGGTTCTCAAAAAAGCGCCACATAAACTACCCGCCGGACATCATGCACGGAGGGGGAAGGTTAAGAAAGAGAGAGGAGAAAAAAGATGTTTGCGCGCACTTACCGCAGTAAGCTGCAGCATTTGGGACGAACAATGATGGGAACGTGATGCGAGGAACTCCCTTTTTGTCTAATTACTTTTCCACCCGATCGCTTCGACCCGCGCACCGCCCGAAACGCGCCGTACGATTGTGGTGGAAGTATGTTGTGACTTGTTGCGTCTGTGACTGGGGAGCGGCGGCGGCTTGTGATAAAAAAAAAAGAAGCTAAACTAAAATGTGCAGCCGTGGGATGTAAGAGGCCGAGGAGGAAACCCGCCGAGGAGCCCTCCGAGGGAAGGAGGGGCGCGGTTCGTACGGACGAGTGCCGTTAGGCGCCGAGAGGTCTGAGATGCCGGCGCCTCGCCTCCTCCGCCACAACGTCCGTGTGTGTGCGCTTGCTAGCGGTCTGGTCGCCCTTTCACGCGGCCCCCTTCCAGTCCCCCCCACGTACGCTCTCGGGCCGCCCACGCGATCAGTTTATCCAGGAGAGGGAGACGATCCTCCTCGCTCCGGTTCTAACATCTCCCCTTTCTTTTTTTCCACTCGTTTTCTGGGCGCGCACGTGTTCGAAAACAGCCCCCCCGCCGAAACGAACTCCCCCTTCCGCTGAGCTACCGCAGCAGCTTATGTTTCCGCCAGCGTTCAAACGAACCGTGCGTTTCGATCAGCACATGCTTCACACTTTCCGTTTCGAGCGACGTTCGCCCATTTGTTTCTCACTCTGTCCTCTCTCGCTGGCTCCCAGTTTCTCAGAAGTTCACCGCGCTGCTTCGTACAGAACGCTGCATTGGGTTTCTGCGAGCCTACGGACAGGAAGCGGCAAAGTTTAGCGACGGGTCTGGCTACAAAGGCGCATGCGCATGCACTTGGCTTTGACGTACACGTACTTAACAAGCACGTGTACGTCATAAAACCGTGAGTGGCCAAGATTATTCCAGACAAATTAAAGATACTTTGCACATCTAATTATTTGTAGATTTGCCATGTAAAACTCCAGAATGAATAAAAAAAATTGCGGTATGCACATCCAGCAAGGAATCTTTTACAATGAGTCAGGGTTTCATCGATACAGGGCATGCAATAACGTTTTGTCTGTTAATTATGCATGACTAATGTAATTGATGCACAACTTCGTAGGTCAGAAGAATTTCTATACAACCTGAAACCTTTAAAACATATATAGCAGGTTAAATGGGAAATATTTTTTTGTGAATCTCGGGGCCCATAATAGTTTTAGTTGTTGCTGGGCCTTCATAATACATAACAACCATTCCTTTAACACAACTCTTCCAAACTTTCTTTTTTGTGACATAAAGAGTTGCTGAAAATAGTTCGTCAGACATGCATGTTTTGTTCGATATGAATATGAATGTAGCAAGCTGTAGAAGAGTATATACTGTTACGCACAATACATGACTGCTGCTACATGTAACATTTCAAGTCGTGGTCATTCTGACTAAGTGTGTATAAATGCGCTCCTACTTAGCATTTGCAAAGAAACGCAATGTTGCTTATCAACACACACTAAACTGACACCTTCGAAGGTAGAGATGTACACTTTATTATTTTTTAAACGTATATAATACCACGAAGCAAAATATATATTTTGAGTATATATGCATTTACCGGCTTGGATCACATACATATGACTTGTCAAAATAACTTCTTAGAGGTCAGAGAAACATTTTCAAGAAATGTACGAGGAACAGAGAAGAAGGTTTCCATAAAAAAAAAAAAAAACTAACTTAAAGTATGGTTTAAACTGTACAATATGCATCTCTTATCTGTACACATAGGCACTGCATCACACCTAGTAAGCCTGTAACATACAACCATGCATCAGCAAGGCAATATATGAATAGCGTGCACATATAAAAAAACATAAGTCATGTATAGTTGCCCATACAAATTGGTTACAGAGCATAAAGAAAGAATGAACAGACAAAACATTTTTATAGACAGACGCAGCAGAAGATAATTGCACATTTGATAAAAAACACTATTCGTAGAAAAGTGCTTTTGATATCCGCTCCACACCCAAGAGCTTTTGAAAAGGCAGGAAAGCTGTCTTAATATGCAAATTGTATTAACTATTGTCTAGGCATATTAGTCAACTAGAAATAACTGTGAACACTGTACCAACAAAACAGATGGCTGTATATATGCCGTCAATGAGTATACTCTAAGACCCATAAGGATAAAATAAGAAAGACTAAGGCTAAAAAAAAAAACGAGAGGGAATAAAACGTACACACACCTAAACTTAGTCTCTAACATCAAAACGGAATGAGAGAGTCGTATTAGAGCTGCAAAACTTTCCATACAAGTACCATTTCACTTCAGCACGTTTACAACAAACAATAATGAACAGTGTTCATGGAAAAGCTGTGTAAACTAAACAAATATCTGAAGCCAACTCAATAGTATTTGGTCGTCCGCAAAGAGCATCGGCTATCTCCAAACTGTGCTCATTTTACATGTTTACAAAAAATAAAAGTGGTTCTATTTTTATGCAGGCATATCAACAAGGTGGGAAATGTTTAACGTTTTCCTAAAAGGTCATCGGTGTGCCACTTTGACTAGACAACCGTATAAGTAGACTTGGGATGTACAAGTTATTGGACCGCGTCATTGACGAGCTTTATGTTCATGCAGAGCGCAATGATTTCCCAACCGATGGGAGATGTCAAAAGCAGATGCCAAGAAAACTTAGAATGGCTCATTGGTAGATATTTACCGGGATGGATTGTAGTGGTAACTAATGGAAGCTGAAGGAGCCCTTTATTAATCACCAGCTGTTTATTACACGTCATCCAGAAGTCCGTGTCGTAAAATGCTTTAATATTTTTTGACGTTACGGCAGACTTTGACAATGTTCACAACTTAACAGCCACAGACACTTTCCAGATATGTCCCATTAAAACTGTGACCCTTACGTACCATTGCTTTAAATATGTGGTTGTGACATTTTAGCATTCCAGTGCGTGATCTGACAAGGCAAGGCTGCATTCAATTGAAATGGGATATTTTTTAAAAAGATATGTCCATCACATGAAGCAGAAGCAATGCAAAGATCAGTTTCTGCTATAAGCACACAGTGTCACATAATGATACATAAAAAATAACATCATAGTTCTAGACCCATACTCAACATTATTTCACTATAGTCTACAGCGAGAAGGAAAGACCATGAGCTCACAAAAGTAACATATCTGGGTTAGCATTGAATAATAGTGCTACTAACAATGTGCAAAGCAACATGGGGAAAACACAACAAGGAGTTCGGAATACGAGGTTGGAAACCACACACCGTCACGTCAACATAGGAGCAAAATTCGGCCATTTTCCAGTAGTCCATCATGGAATCACAGCAGGCAATAGGAGCTTTACAAATATTTAATAGAAGCTAGAATAATAAAGTGATGTCATACTACATACTCAGATCAAATGATTAAACCATTATGCACAGCGAGGTTCAAGCGTTAAGCCAGCCATACCATGCAAAAGGGTGCCCTCACCAAGTGTCATATCCTGCCAAATTCAGGAAGTTAGATCGTCTGCTGGCACTGGTCAAGGCAATGAAGATATCCTCTTATGCTTAAACTAGCTCACTGCCTTCCGCTAACTCCTTATTAAATATTTTCAGTTGCTATATTTCTGTCTCCGTATCGCTAAATTCCTCTTAATATCCTCATAGTGCAATGTCCGTCTAATATCCCCATAGTGACCTGGGTGAGGCTTTAGAATTTTCCTGTGCACAACCAAAATCTTCTGCCTGGTGAGGGCATTCCTTTGTGCAATAGACAGTGTAGTCACAAAACGTGATGTTTATCATTCTGTCCCAGGGGAGGGGGGGGGGGGGGGGGCTGGAGCCTCTTCACAAATCTTTGACTGCTGCCTCGTTGCCCCCCCCCCCCCCCCAAGAGGGAACATAGTCATGACACAATGGCTAAGTCCCCGCCCATGAAGGAACCAGCTTATCATGGGTGCCTCCAGGTAAAATAATCTTAGTGCCACCTTTGTTCTGTCCTTATCAACACTGTTTTGCTTCACAGCGAACCGATACTTGCCCTTCAATATTACTTCCTTTTTGTTACATCCGAAAGGTGTCACAGTGAATTCATGATCTTCGACTATCTGAGATCATGATAACGTAAGCCTATTTCATTCTGTTCCTGTTCCCAATTTCCTGACGCACTTCTTCAAGAGCCCACACACACCAGGGATCAACCCTATCAGAAGCAATTCTAGTTGCCAGAAGCATGTGCGGCTTAATATATTGCACAACTGCACGGTCCCAAACTGTTCTCACAAGCCAAGTTGAAATACATGAGAGCATAATTACCGTTTTTCTGACATTGAGACAAAGTTAACGAACCATATCACTCGGGCGTTTCAGTAGAGCGTATAAAGCTTTGAAAAACAACCTTCGCGAAAAGAAGAGGGCAGGTGGGGTGCAGACTGCAAGTTTCTTCAACATTTCACATTTTCACACAAGCTCTTCAACATTCAACAGATTGCTTCAACACAGTGCTGATGTGTCGTTCACTCCTTTCTCTCTTCCAACAAACACTCTCTCAGCTTGCAGACAAACATATAGATATATATTCTTTTAAGTTCATTTTTTTTAGGCATTTTAAATACTGAAATAAGATTTCTGTATAGAAAATATAGCTCATATGCCTTCCTACATACATATGTACAAACTCTAAAGCACCGGTGATCATAACAGGAGCTCAGCTGCAAACAAGCTTTCGGGTGCTGCTCTTGCCACGGTTCCATTCTGTGACGCGGGGAGATCATCCCAATGTAGCCATACAACCACATCGCAGAAACGTTAGCCTAGGTGTGAGCATTGGAGGGGGCAGGGGAGGTCTTCCCCCGGAGTCACCCAAGAAGGGCGGCGAGTGCAAAGTCTGCCCAATACATTGACCTTATAAGGGAGAGGGGCACTGCAACGCACCTTCGTCCCCCTTGAAGGGGAGCCTTAGGTGTGCAGGCCTATTGTTGTGGCATCATGTGCCACTGTTTAATTATTTTTCTTTAAACCAAATGTTAACACAGCTTACTCTTCACACTTTTTACTGTTAAATGTCTCTTTGGCTCTGCTCGTACCAATAGCAGCATTGATATGCACCGGTAAAAGCTGCAGAATAGTTCCATGACAAAGACTAGAAAAAAGGGGAATAAAAAAAACTCTCTCCACTTAGTGCTCTCTTAATTCTCTATATGTGAGCTGCTTCTTATCGATCACATTAACAAGTGCACTAAGTATAGAGAAAAAAAGGGCTTAAAAAAATTCAATTTGAAGCATGCATTCCACACAGTGGGTGTCGCAATCATTGATGATTTCAATTCTCTGGGAAACAGCTATTTCAATAGAGTTCTGTTTGCTCTCTACATTTGAAGAACAGCCATACTATACAACCAATGCATGATTTTTCCCACTCCCTATGGGAATTGAACGAAAAAGTGGGTGTTTAAAAAAAAAAAGTGAATGCATGTCCTTGCAGAGCTTGCATGGTTTCAATATGCCACAACCATACAGTGACCAACCGTACAGTCGCTTGTAATGGCCGCAGACTGAGTTTTGATGTCTTGCAACAATGGCCTCTTTCCACGCTTGATATGCTTTACCGTAATACAGTAGACTCTCGTTAAACGGCACAACACGTGTGCTTGATCACACGATGCTCCTGTATATCATTGAAGCAGACTTTAGGGAACTCGTACTGACATCACAGTGGTGCACGAGAGCCCAGGCTTAGGGCTGGGAGATAATCCACGTAGTAGCCAGAATTGTGGATGTGCCTACATACTATTGGCTCAACAGAGTACACAGTGGTGGCACAAAGCCACCGGAGTGATCCAGCATCTCTGAAAAATCCATCATCTCTAAAACTGGCTGACCGTTTATGCATGTCAGTAGCCTGAACTATCTTTTTGACTTCCAAGCAGAAATGCTATCCACTAGCATTATTATTCAACAGTACAGATATCACGCCGCACGAACTTTCAAAACACAAGCCATGCCACATGCTACAACTTTATGTTGGAATGTCATGCTAGCCTGAACGAGAGCACCTCTGCGCAACATTTTTTGCCAACTGTCGCACCTAAGTGGTTGTATGACTCGGCATGTTTTGATGCAATCAAAATAAGCGACGGGAAGATAGCATAGAACGGTCTTGTTCTGCATGTCACTGACACAGGTGCATTAACGACAAGTGAACTAGATAACCAATCGAACAACCAACAAGCTTCAGATAACCACAAGAGGTTCCCCAAAATAGGAAAAAGGAAAGATCAATGAGTGTTTTCAATCAATAAAAACACTTTCATAGACACACTAACATCTGCATGCTGTATTGTTTGACACGGCACCTCAACCGGAAGAAATGGCCGCTGGCTTATTCGATGGTATAGAAGCTGGGAATAATACTGCCAAAGTGACAAGCAAAGAACATAGTCTGATCTGCTGAAAATTTGTGTGACCAATTCGTCAATTACCCACTTAATTGCCTAGTGATTCGCACTGAGAAAATGGTCCTATTTTTTTCAACTGGCAGGGGGAAATTTGTAATGCTTTCTAATAACAACGTCTTGTGTGCCATAAATGCATGTTTACCATGCTAGTAAAATAACACAGCTTACATTTAGACGGTATAGGGTGCACACATTTGGTAGCCTTTTCACTGCAAGATAGTAATCCCTACTATCTTAAACTGATCTATGTTCAGCAATATATACTGCAGGTTGCAGAACTGTCAATAAGGAGAAATGCATGCGAGTGCTGATGATAGGGCAGCATAAGTCACAGCACTAAAGTGAGCGCATGTGCAGCACAATTATCGACGTAAGACTAGTACAGCACTGCCATGTACAATTGCAGAGCACTAGATAACATGTAAAACATGCACGAACTAAACACTGCGAAGGAGCATCAGCCTGGAGCCTGCAAGATTATGTTAGTTTCAAAGTAACGCTGCCTCAGGCGAGTGGCGCCGTGACAAGAGCAACCCCGTTCCCAACTTTACAAAAACTGCGACACACCCTCTCCAGGGGCATGCAACACACTCTGACCGAAAGTGCTGTCAAGAAGATAAGATCCAAAAATGTAAAAGACAACAAGTTTGAGTAGGCTGCCTTTTCGGAAGAGGACAACAGGAGGAAAACGAGACATGCCGACGCAGCAGGCAGCGCTGGCATTGTCAGCTGCCAGCAATAACATTCTTGAGAACCACGACAGATTCGGTTCCAGAAAGATGTTGGCACTGGGAGACCACTGCCTTTCACAGCGAGAAGAACTGGAGGAAGGCCTGTGGGGTGACAGGAATGCACATGGGCAAGACGCCGGTCGGCGTCACAGCACCGTTGTTGCTCTCCTCCACAGTCTCCTCTCGCGACGAGTTGAGGCAGGGATGGCCAAAGGACTGCATAGATGCAATGTACCCAATTGGCAAGGCCTGGTGGTGGTGCAGCAGGCACTTATGACGGTGCATACACTTCGAATCACCATAGAAAACAACTCGAAATAGTCGAAATGATAGAATACAGCATGAGTGGCGTACAATAACTTACAAGTGACTTGAACGATCTTTGATGCTTGGTGAAAGAACATATACAGTATTTCCTCACGTGATCTTCGCACTCCCACAATTCTCACTCCCCAACAAAAAATACTATTCATTTTTCTTTAGAAAGTAATTATCACACCATAGAAATTACAGCCGAAATGTTGCCGGCTCCTTCCAACCACCCATGATGATAGCGCACAACAGCCTGGTGCTATCTCTTATGCGCTATGCATACAAGGGTAAAAGCGGGCTTCAACCTTTTATAGTAGCTTTGGAAGAAGGAATATTACTGGTTTTGGAGCAGATTTGAAGCAGTAAAATGGGAGTTTTGAGCAGCTCTGGAGCATCCAAAATTTAGTTTTGGAGCAGATTTCTCGGGTCACACATCACCGTTATAATTAGAATTTTTGCTTGCTCATAAAACCAAAATTTTTTCAGTCGGTTTTTAGTAAGCATTCAATGCTGATCAAGTGACCAGACTTACCCCAAATTGATAAATATATTAAATCTTACAACATCAAAGCTGAAAGCACAGCAACTAAAAAAAATACATAAGCGGCACTCTGGACAGCTACCAGAACTCAGATGAATGAAAAAAAAAATTGATGTTAAAATGTGGTTATGTTCAAAATGTGAATAAAACACCGCATCCAACATGAACAGCAGGTCAATTAGACTAGAGATGAACTAATAAAATTTCTTTTCATACTAAACCAATAGGGCTCTATAAAAATGAGTGTAAAGAATTTATGTTCCGGCCATTGAAGTGCTACAGCCGACATGAGAACCGCGATGAAATTTAGATGGGCACACTGTGTCATTAGGGAGTTTTCGAATAATGTTTGCAGGCGCAGCAGGCATTGCGGGCATAGCTGGCGCCATACGAGTTTTAGAATAGCGTTTGCCCTCCTGCAAACTGCAACGCACGATCCCAGTGGCACTGTAGCCTCGAAACCAGCAAGTTGCAGGCGGCACACGCCCCTCGCTATTTCGAATTTTTGCGTGAGGGCATTCGACACTTGACGAATTTTTGCCATCACCGCCATGTTTCATGTAAACTACAAGTTGGCTGCATTCCCCGCTCATCATCGTACGTTCTACCCACGCATAAAATTGCGCAAGCTGGGGTTGTGAGCGCTGCTCAAGCAGAGATTAAACGGGGCAGCCGATCTTCGTCGCTTGCTCGGAGGGCGGCGCACGCCACGTGTTACACCTGCCATCGAATCAAGCAGAGATAAAACACGCCGCCTATCTTGAATGAGCATGAAAAAAGACCCGGGGTGAAAGAAGCGAGGGGGTGCTCGAGCAGCAGCGGTGAACTTTTGATTCTAAGGCGTGTTTGCGATGAGCTGGCGCTATCGGCAAGCATCTGCAAGCGGCTGGTAAACCCTTCTATGTGGTGAGCTCGCAACAATAATAGATTGTGCATTAAGAGCTTTTCTCCCTAAAGCGGCCGTCCTTATTCTCTGACACCTGCATTTTGTAGAGTGTCGCGATGTCAGATCCAAAAGAATTAGCTTTCAGCCTTCGTACTGTCACGCGGTCGTGATGTTGACTAAGGCAGCAGCCGCTGTTTTCATGAGTGAACTTTTTATTCGGGCATGAAAACGAAACGTCGCTCTACAAGCAATACGTGCTGTAGAGTGACAACAGCGAACCAGAGCGTCGGCCGTCGATAATCTGCCAAGCAACAAAGTGTGTCAGCATTTATTCATGTGCCATCAAAGATTCCAGTGTTATCGCTTATGGCTGCATTAGTTCCAGAACTCTAATGTATGCGTTGTGCACGTAATCTCATCGGAAGGTTATAAGATTATCTAAATTGTTCCCAGTCATTCAGGCGCGGTTTGCGCAAGGCAGCGCTACACGCGTAATGGTGTGGTAGCAAAAATAGAAAGGAGAGCCTGAGACATTAGCATTACAACATTATAAATTCTTGCTATGGCAGTCATCACTTCGCCGGTAAAACTGATTTTTAGTTTTTTTTTTCTGTTTATATGATTCGACTAACAGCTATGCTGTTCAAACATATAAAGAGTCGCATAATGAAGTATGCACACAAACGTCACCTTAACAAGATTCATGCATGAACCAAAATACGACGTGACTAGTGAAACAGAACCAATAGACGTGACCAAACTAATTTGATATGAATGTGGTTGCGTCCTTAGTGTACCACACGCGTGTTGCTCGGCCGATGATAAAACTCATCTAAATTGGCATTGCCCATGCGAATTCCTGTTTAGGCACAGCAGTCAAATAGGCGCAAAATAGAGCAAACGACGCAGCCCTTTCACTCCTGTGCATACTATCAACGCACAAAGCCCCAATCCAAGCCAAAGTGGCAATGTATGTATGTTTTGCTGTTCTGTGGTTACGTTATGGGACAATAGGAAGCTACACGGCTGCTTTCAAGTTAAAGGTGATTTATCATGCACTAAACAACTGCAACGGAGTTGCCGGCACGTTAGAGGCGACGAATTTTGTGTTCGCTGCTGATGACGGCCGCACGGGCAGCCTGCATTAGGCCTTCCATGTGCCTAAGACTGGGATGGATGGTAAGACTATTTCGTCAGAAGGTGACTGCGGACGATTCCGAGTTAGATGGCCATCAGCTCAACGTTGACGCCGTACGCGAACCTTTTGCGGGCTCCGGTTGAGTGACAGTCGCTAACGCTACTCCCGCAAGCTTTGCATACGGTGTTCCAAAACACTGTACTATTTGCTTGCAGCTTTTGTGTCCCAAATAAGTCTTGCCTTGTGTTGAACCTGAGGTTTTACTGTTAAGGCAAGTTCTTCTCTCGAAGCTTGTTGTTAGCATGAGAATTCTTATTTGCAGCCACTTCGTTTTTTTTGCTTCATTTGTTTTCGCGTAAAATTTTCCTCACGTGATTTTGCATCGGTTTCCCACTAAAAAAGTGCGAGGATTATGCGAGTAAATACGATACTGCAGAAAGCACACGCTGCTATGAACAAGTTGACCTAATCTTGCAGTTGCGCGCGAGTTTAGAAGTGCAGCGCAATATCCATGTTTGCTCAAACACCTTCTTTTCATACGAGACCGGCCCTCACTTTCATAGATGCCGGCAGCTGCTCTATTTTGTCATTTAGCATGTTACTGCTATTGACCATCAGCTGGTTTAAATCAAGAGCGGTATTTAAATGAAAAGTGATTGTTATCACCAGGGTGCATAATTGTCAATTTAGTCAAATGAACAGGCTGACGTAAACAATAATAACCAAAGGTGAAAATTTGGCAGAAGCCTGCCTGGTTGGGATAAGAATGAGCCAATCAGAAAACCCCAGCCAAAAATTGTATTCAGAAACCAGACGTTTCGAAGCCAGACCGGCTTCTTCCTCGGGGGTAAGAAAGCCAGAGATGTGCAGCGTTTACATATGATTGCTCGCCTTGCTGTGAGAGGTTCGCCGCTACCTGCCTGCAAACCTTGGCAGTAGAGGGAGGGCAATGTCCCAGTTGTGGAGTTGTTGATGTTGCCCGCCGCCTGCTGAAAGTTCCAGGATTCGAGGAGGAGTCGCCGGCGGGTGTTCCTATTTTTTTTTTTCAGATCACTGCATCGTACGAGTGGATGTGGTCGTCTAACCGATCGCAGTGTTCCGCTACTGCGCTCTATTGGCTGTTCAGTTTACGAAGGTCATTCTTGTGCTGTCACATCCTTTCATAAAAGTTTTTTTTTTCCCCAATATAGGAAACAGGGCAGTCAGTGCACTGGATCCGGTATACGGCGCCTCGAGATTTCTCCGCAGGCGCGTAATTTTTGTGGCGAGGGATGAAGCTGCCTACAGTAGTGAATGGATTGTCTGCGACGTCGACCCCTGCCTTTTTCAGTATATGGGCTGTTGTTTCATTGGTGCCGGCGACCTATGGGATTGACACGCGTTGTTGCGGAGACACAGATTTCGCGTTTTTACGCTTGCGGAGGGCTCTGTGAACAAACGCTTTTGTGTAGCCATTGGCGCAGAGGTCACTGATGATTTCTATCCCTTTTCTCCTTCCGCTGCTGTGGCAACAAGCAAATTCTTTCAGCCCCCCAAAAAAGGCTTCGCACCACAAAAATCTTATGGCATGTGGGGTAATTTGGGCTCAAATTGAGGTAACGTTCTGTGTGGGTGGGTTTCCAAAGCACCGAAAGGAACAGGTTCTGCTGTTGTTTTGTCATCTGTGTGGTGAAGTCTGGTCAGCTCGATAACTTGCTCGCATGCCTGAACTCTGCTGAGCATGACATACAGTTCACAGTGGAAAGAGAGAAAAATTCGGCTCCTCTTTTAGATGCAGTAGTGCCTCATTCGGTGCTACTAGCAGTACTTAATGATGCGCATCATTTCCAAACCGCATGCTATGTTTCCACTACACATTGCACAGCTTAGCTTAGTTGTGAGTGGTCACTGGCCACAGCTGCAACTCAAGTTTAAACATCTCTGCTGTTAAGAAGCTACGACCAGATGACTATCACTGTTATGGGACAAAACATTCTCCCCAAAAGATGCAAACTGCCCTTTGGAGTGCAGTTGCGTAGGAGTTAGCACAATGCTCGCACCTTCCAGAAGAGGCACCGGCAGTGGCGGCAGAGCAGCAGGCTGTCAGCATACTCTTCCCGCAGGCCGTGCTTCTTGCGGAGGCGGTGGAAGAGGCGCTGCCACCCGGGAGCAGCCATCGAGCTTTTCGGGTGGCTGCTGCAACCACTGCTCCACCAGCTGGGGACCAAAATGAAACAGGCACAGGCGCCGCCACACATGCTCCTCCTGCAGCAGCGCCGCCAGCACCGGGTGCGCCTCTCCACTTCTGGCCAGGTCTCTGTGCAACAGAAAAGGCCCAATCGAATTATTACTTAGGCTTGAGTAATAAACTCGCTACACCCATTTTCATGGTTCCGATAAACCGAGAAAAGATTAGAGCAAATGGACTAATTTTTCCCACATTAAAAGCACGAAACTTTCTATAATATTTCATGCTTGCCCAACACCACGATAGAAAATGTTGGTCTTTCTGTATGGACGTTTCCTCCACCTTCGCTAGCTGCCTCCTCATTGACATGGTGCATTTATGGCTTCGCAGATGTGTACTCTCCACACACATTCCCAATAATGCGGCTAACAATGCATGTGAACGAAGTGTTAAGCGCCCGGCGACATCTCCTTCCGAAATGCATGCTCGCGCTCTTCGCCTGGTTAACATAGTTCATCTGCTGGCAGCCACGTGGTTATTTATTTGTTCGTTTATTTATTTCCAATACTGCTGCTCTCACCTGAGAGCGCAGCAGGGGGGCAATGCAAAAAATAGTAAGTGCAATATATACAAGTTTTCAGAAACAATCAAACATCTAATTAATGTAGGAAAAGAGGTTACAGTAAATATAATACAGGAACAAATAGTAGTTACTGAAGTATATGTACAATAAACTTGCATACATTTATCACACTAATCAGATAGGACTGTGTAATGTTGAGCATCCTATACGTAATACAACAATGTTCCATCTAATGAGAAGTATTCAAATACAAAACAACAACAAGGAATTAGCCTGTAGCTATGTCCTTTCTGTATCTACAAGTGTCTGTGGGAGATGCGAGTAGCCTTGTGGCATTTGATTGGGACAATGTTAGTTGTTTGTGCCTTCTATTTTATTGGTTTTACTGGGTTGGGTCACGTAATCCGTCCTCCCGGTCAGATAACGTCGCGCTCTCACTTCGAAGTCACTCTGGTCGGGAGCGCTCCGAGTCGGAGGTTGACGCTCTGAAAGAACCAACCAAAGGTAGTCCGAAAGCGCTCGAATGCTTCCAAAGAACCCGCAGCCACTTTCCAGAGCACTCGTAAACATCCAACCGAATACGCCATTAGAATACCGTTTAACAAGGTGCTCACCTGTAGTCAGCCAGACGTAGCAGAACTTCCCTGAGCAGTTCGGGGGGCAGGTGAGGAAACTGGGGTGTGCTGTCGTCCGGCGTTGGGTTGGAGAGGTCAATGTGCCTCTGGACATTCCAGATGCGCTGCAGGGTTTGCAGATGCTGCTCCCACAGCTGGCTCGAGCCCAGCGGCCGACCCCAGCAGTGGTACTTGCGCAGCGTCCGCTCTAGGTCCTCCAGCAGAAGCTGCATGAACAGCCCCCGAGTGCTTATTTGGGCAAGTCGGTACATTTCCTTTGAAAACTAGAACCAGGGCAAGCCACAGGACAACAGGACACAGACAGACTAAGCACTGACTTACAACCAAAGCTTGAACACCATAATAAGCGCTGTTCAAACGATTGCCTTAATTGACAGCTGCCTAGTCTGACAGAAACATATTTGATCGCTGCAGAATGCTAAGGTACTAAGTGACAAGCGAGCACATGAAATATATGAAGCATGTTGCAACAATCATACGAGGCAGTTGCACTCTTGAAGATAAGTCTGCTTGTCGAAGCAGCTCCAGCAACGCCTCATCTTCACAAATTTTTCGCAACTACAAAAAAAGCAATATGTGTGTGAGAGAGCCTTCGATAGCTATGTTCCTCACCAAGGCACATCATTCACGTGGATGATGGCTTTTTAATTTTTTTCAGTTGTTTGTGTATATTTTTCAACGCAGAAATCTTGTCAGGTGTACCAACTTAGAAACTGGTGTACCTTCCTCCAACACCTTTCACAATCTATGTGTATATATATGCCACGTTACGCACAATAAAGCTTTACAGTCGCCGACCGATTTTTCGGACCTGGCGGGGACCGGAAAAAAGTACGAAAAATCGAACAGTCCGAAAAATTCGTTTTTGCCAAAAATCTGAAGTTTATTGCATCAGGCAGGTTTAAAAAAGTCCTTGATGCTGCCTTGCCTCAAACTACGCTTGGAGGCAATTTGGTTTGCCCGTATTTGCGCCAAGGTGACATCGTCGCTGTAAACGCTCGACAAAATTGTCACCGCGTTGGCGATCTCCGACGGCTGCGGGCGGTCGTCGTTGTCATCCGACGACAACGACGACCGCCATCCGGCGTCGACCGTCATCCAGCGACATCTAGCTGCGAACGTTCCACTCTCTATTAGCTTGATTATGGCAGCTTTCTTCTCCATCGTCAGGGTCGTATACTTCCCACGCTTCTTCACACCACCTGGCTCCCGCGATGGCACAGATAGCGGAGCCATGGCACCGAGAACACAAAATTCAATGCCGCAGATAGCCGCTGCGAAGCACACAACGTCTCGACGCTACGCGACACAACACGTGCAGAATGGCGACTGAAAAAAAGCTGCAACGACAATAAAAGAATCCTTCTTTCGCCTCCTCCCCGTGCGATGTGATGAGGATAGTGCTGACCGAAGACGAAAAAACGGTATCCATCACCGCGTCTTTTAAAAAGCAAACACGGCCTCCGAAACTTAAAATATGGCGTGCGCATTCCAATCTCGGAGGCAGGAAAGGCATCTGAAGACCAAGCTTAGCCAAGCCGACGGAAAATCCAACATGGCGGCGTTCACAATGGCTTGGGGCGTGGCACAAAACGAGCGATTTAGTCCGAAAAATCGAACTTTCAGGGGCAAATTCGCCCGAAAAATCGGTCGAAACAATGCATTAGCTCTATGGGATCCCTGACGGTGCATTTATGAAGTCCGGAATATCCAACAAGTCCGAATTTTTGGAGTCCGGAAAATCGGTCGGCGACTGTAGTTGTAATCAGTGCTGCGTCCATCTCTCGCCCGTGGTTTGTACCGTTTTTTCATTTCCTCTGCACCGACAGGTTTTTCTGGCTTTGCACAAAAGCGTAGTTTGTTATAATTACCTAGACGTACAGAAACACTGTTTGCATTGGCTATCATTCAGTCAGCTATGAACACATTTATGTGTGCAGTTGCTTACGTCAGTCATGACCGGTGATGACAAAGGAAGCGTTGCGTGAATTTATATTGATTTCCAGGATTTCTACAAAAAGTAGTGGGAGTGACTGAAAAAAGTTTTCAAAGCATGTCGCTTGTGAATCAACACAGTCCTTCCAGAGATTCTGCCAATCACTGAAGGCCCCCTGGAATGCTGCAACAGGAATTCTCTTCGGCTCCCTCGTTATGGCCTCTTGAATGGCCTGGAGCGAGCTGTGGTCCCATCCTTTAGTGACCCATTTTAAGTCGGGGGACAGGGAAGAATTCAGAAGTAGCGACAACGGGATAGTAGGGTGGCTGGAGAAGCTGCGTGATGCCATGTTTGGTGAGAAAGTACATGACGGCAAAGGTGGTGCGGCTCTGAGCATTGTCCGGACATCTTACCGCACCGCCCTTTGCTCATCCTCAACTTGCTCTCTTCCTTCCCGAAACGACTTGTGCCACTCAAAAACACTTGATCGACATCACTCCCATAAGCAGTCTTGCTCATGTAGCAAGTTTTACTCGCAGTTTTAGCCAGTTAAACCGAAAATTCCCTGCTTAATGCTACCCCAAAACGGTTCACTGTAGAGATGACAAGGCACCTTAAAAGGGGTTCACCTTAAATTCAATTTATGCTCCGTCACGGCTAGGAGATGACTGACACCTGCTGCACTGCTAGCTAAGATCCCCAACCACCTAAAAATCATAGTAACATCCTCCTCCTTCAACCCATTCTGGTGTGAAAAAAATCTGTCCAACTAATTTCCGGAAAGACCTGTACCATGCAGTGCACTCTAAACTATTAAAGATTATCATAGGCAATAGAAAGAGCCTACTGCATTCAAGAGCGAGCAATTCTGAAGTGACTGAAACTTTCTAACTTAAATTAAAATGATATGGATTATCTTGACTGAGTGCATGAAAAAATTTGAAGTACAAAAGGAAGACTCCTGGACACAGCGGACACTAACAACTGAAGCTTTGTTCGAGAAAACAGACATATATATGCACTTACGAGAACATGTGCGGGGAAAGAAAGTGATTAAACGAGCCGACAGAATGTATTAATGATGCGCTTCTAGAAAAGCTACCTCAGCGGCAAGCAACATCACCGAGGGTTGCGCGACACATGAATCACCAGCTTTGTTGATGAGATGCGCCTCTTCAATTTCCCACGCTACCTTGTCTCTGAATCTAGCTTTAACTACCGTATCACCAAACTGTTGTTAGTGTGCTCTGTGTCCAGGTGTCTTCTTTTTGTACTTCAAGTTTCCTTCGCCGCACTCAGTTAAGATCAATTGCCAACTCACCCAGCAGTACATGCTTCTCAAGTATACAGATTATATTAAAAAAAAGACAATTATGCTAAATTGCTTCAGTACACAAACCTATGTACATGGGTGCCATTACCTCAAAGCAAACAATCTAGATTGGCAAGCACAGAGAGAAAAGACTAGGTCAGCACGTGTTCGTTAATACCTGAAGAATGTGAGTGTTCTGACGACTGTCGGCAACTTGAGATGCCACTTCTTCGAGCATGGTGAAGAGCACCCGGCTTGCGCAGCCACTCAGTGTGGTCAGGTTTTCTGTGATCAGTAGGTGCAGCAACTACATAGGAGACCACAGGCCATTAGAAAATGCCAGTCTGGCCACTACTGAGAAACACCGCATTGTGCAGCTAAGCAATGACAATAAGCAATGCACCCCAACATGGCTTTGCTTCACTGCCTTAACTGTTACTGACAATGCAGACCAAATGGCGAAAGTGTACAGACAAAACTATTGCCCTATTTGGTCTTCTTTTTCGATTCATTGGATAGCAGCCACATAATGCGAACAACACATGGAAGCGACGGAGCATACCAGTTGTGTCAGTCTCGCTATCGTCTCGGGACCATAGCCTCACTTGGGCGTAGATGTTTCCAACCAATTGCTTGGTTTGTTTCGACACCTCTTGGTACTAAAGCTTCCTGAATATCCTGTGCAGCGATCGAATTGGCGAGCAACAGTAGGAAGAAGACACTGGCGACACGGAGTGCTTTTTTTTTTCTGAAGGTAGATGATAAAAGAAGAAAGCCTATGTGATCGCAATGGGGAACTTAAGAAAAACCCAAAAAATCTAAAATATGATGCTATTTCACATAATATCACTAAAAATTTTCTGGCCCAATTAATTAGCAACTAAAAATTATAACTGCACATTCTTAAACAATTAAGTCATGCACAAAAAACTTTTTTTTTTTATTATTGAGAAACTACTTCCAGCTGATCAGCGAGACTGACGAGATTGCGTGGTTTGGCTCTGAAGCCTTGAATGTACTGCCACAGAAAGTTGTCCCGCGTACAGTACACCGTACTAAAGTCCAGGTCTACTACCAGTGCTGTATTCGTAGCACTCGGCTAGTAGTACAGCACTAGTGGACTGTTCTTGTGTCTCTCCACAGCATCTCGCCCATAATCACAGTAGTTACGTAATCGCACCCATTTACTGACCTTGCAAATGTAGTTGAATCGCCGCACGTCTTTGATGCCATTGCGAAAGTCTAGCCTACGAAACGCTTCGCTGATAGTGTTGTAACCAGCAACCTGCAAAAAAATGCAAGTGCACAGCCATGAAATTTTCTGTCAGCCTATTGCTCTAATGCTTGTAATTTCCTAGCAATTGTGAACTTAAATAAATTTCACAACCTCTAAAGCTTTATTAATAAAACTTTTTAAGGGGGGACATAGTACTTGGGGGGGGGGGGGCGGGGAGGGCTATTTTGTCAGTTTTCTGAGCAGATTCAATTTAAATATGCATTAATTTTTTCAGAGGATAAATTAATTTGAGATAATTAAATGTTGATTGCTATTATTTTCAAATCAAACAACAATTAGCAACTTAGTAGCCCATTTAAAAGCAGCATTTACAATAAAGTCATTAATGATTAAGAACATAGGCAGGTTAAGAAATTATAGAAGGAGGACAGAAAGAATCTGCTTGCAGCACTAAGGGCTTCATACAGCAAAAAAAAAGAAACTTTACAGTTGTAGCCATCCTAGAGCTTCAGAAATTGTCACACCAAACAGGGAAAGCAGGCAAAAAATTGTTTTGAAAAAATGCGAGAAAACACATAGAGCTCGCTTCGAACCATATATACCAGAAATATTGAAATATTCTTGGTTAAGCGATGCCACAAGGAAAATACGTGCACCAGCATATGTCATTAAAAAGCAGCATGTTGCTAAAACAGCCCACCTATTGTGCTTTTCATTAATTAAAATATAGATTGTCTTGGCGATATAAATGGCTGCTGGTGCTTAAATACCAATCCCAGATGCAGGAAACTTGGTTGGCACATACAGCAATGCCGGTACGTTACAAAGATACATTAAAAAAAAAGACATTTTTTCCATGATTTTTCATCTCTAAAGCCGGTGTCCTTCCTTAAAGAAAAGAAAGCTGGACTTCATTTATTTATTTTATTTAGTTTTTATTAACTCATTCTCCAATGCTTGGTCAAGACCGATGCAGAATCTCAAGGTGCATTCTGGGTAGAAGCTATGGTCCCATGGAAGAAGCAATTTGAATGTGCAAATTCTTCTCCTCTTATTTCATTGTTTTGAAACCAAAGCTTATATTACTGATACGTTTTAAGCAGGACTCAAGACTAAGAGTGACAGTTCTTTCCTGCACTGAAACCTGTGTGGATACTCAGCCACTCTTGGGACACCCTTTCAGCACCACCCATCCCCCCCCCCCCCCCACTTTAGTACATCTTAAGAGCCTCTGGTGATTTTAGATGATTGGTTAGCAAGGAAAGGACCGGAACAAAACACTGACTTCAACTACTCACTTCCAAAGGAACCTTCTATATATTTCACTTGCACTATGGATGGCAATGTGACAGTTACAAGGAACATTAACTGAAGAATTCTAGATGACACACTGCAATACCTAATGAGTCAACGCATCTTTAATGACGACAGCCTACTCTTGTTGTTGATTCCAGTTTTACAAGTGAGGAAACATCTATGAAATGAGGTTTCTCTTCTTATCCTTCTTATAGTAATATTTTTTACATAACGCATTTAACGGTTAAGCAGGACTAGGACACGAGCTTGGGAGGGCAGCTTCTTTCTAGGGAGTCTGAACACAAGCTTCGCTGTTGGTTCCAGCCTTACACCACTAATGAAAGCTGCACACATTTTTTTTTTTGTTATGGACACTCTCGGCTGATTTCTGTCATCACCGTGATGTCCCGAGTATGTAGATGTATGCGTATATCTAACACCACTCCATGATATGCTGTTTTTTTTTATTACACGGTGTTTTAGTAAGCACTTTTTTGTGCACTGGACGCTATGTACGGAGACAGTGGCAGAGCCATATATCAACCTTCCTCATTCGTGCTTCGCATATCATCTATTCCCACCATACGTAGGATGTACTATATTTTTTTCAGTTAAACATTAAATATAATGAATGGTGAAAGTCTTATGGACTACTTTATTTGATATCCTTTTGAGGAAGATACTTTGATTAGTGCGGTGCACGCTTTAAGTGAGTGCCCCGGAAAAGTGCGCGGCACTGCAGATCTGAAGACAAGCAGTGCACGCGCAGGCGCCTGGTGAAGAGGACGACGAGGAACATCGGCACGAGGGCGCTATGACACAACATAATAGGAAAGTGGCCCAATGAGTAGTTACGACGAAGATTTCAAGGGGCCAATGGCTTGTAGACACGGCAACCCCAATGGGAAGCCGAGGAGTCGACGCGAGGAGTGTCACGGCGGTCGACAAGCGGCTCTTGGTTTACAAGTGAGGAAGCATCTATGAAATAAGGTTTCTCTTCTTATCCTTCCTTTAGTAATATTGCCGTACACTTTTTTGTCAACACATTTCATCCTTATGCGTGAAGTTGCACAAGGAGACAAGGGACGAATAAAATAAAAGATGCGACAGGACCCCCAAAACTAAAAACTAACTTATTTTGAAAAAGACGGGGCTAATATATATGCACACCAGTGCATCAGCTGATGAATAGTCACCAATTCGCCAAGCTTTCAACTTGACTAAAATGGTATGTTGGGTACGATGCCAGAAAGGACTACACTTAGTTCGATTGGTGCTGCTGCTTCCATCACTGCATAGAATGGTATTATCACTCATTGGTGACATTCACTACTTCAAGTGAACCAAGCAAGCTCACCTCTCGTGTGCACTTGAGCGTGATCTGGCAATAGGGCTGCTGCAAGAGCCGCCGCTGCTTGGTGTCAATGTCGAGGCACTCGTCTCCGCCACCTGCATCTCCGCCAGCTAAGTTCGGTGGTGGTGATGGTGAAAGGTCATAGTCTGCCGGTTGCTCCAAAGAATCAAGACTGGAAAGCAAAGAATTTTTTTTGCCTGTTTATTATCGTTTAGTGGTGCAGCACGACATCACATGTCAGCCCAGAACAAAGCCTGTGTGTTAGTGCTGAGATATAAACTTGCACAAAAAAAAAGACACTGTGCACACTCATCTTCAAGGAAATAAAGATAGAAAAAGACAAAGATAAATAGGCCAGAAGAAAGAGATACGAAAAAAAAGGCCCGCATAGCCATGTACAGATTAGAGCAGCAAAGGCGGGAAAGAGATTCAAGAGCCTAGCCAAGACAGGACTAGCTAGGCGAAAACCAGCTCCACTGTGACCCAGCCTTGCGCGACTTGGTGAAATCTGTTTTAAAGAGTCAGTAATCCATAAGTTTGGTACACATGTGTTACCAGTCGCACGTGAGATGTCAGTATGCATGGCTGCAATGACAAAGAGCAGCCAGTCACACAACATTTACAAGATTCATAGAGTGTCCACTAGGGCCTTGATAACAACGTCGACATCGCTATCGACATCGCTGTCAGTAGCCAGTCTAGTGCCCCTAAAAGATGCGATAGCTTGATAACACCTGTGTACTTTGTCTTCATGCAGCAGTTGCCAAGATTAGCATACAACTGCAAACATCACAAACAACCTTCAGCTTACCCATGCTACACAATCAACCATGGCGCTGCTTTGTGGGCTGCAAGGACAATTAGACGGGAAGCAGTGCCATTGCATACCTAGTGTCACTGCGACATTGTCATTTGCTTAATATTAAAGCGAGGCACCCTAACAGCGCAAGCACAATCAATATAGTGCAAAGGTCACCTCGGGAACTCGTTTCCACGCATCCTGTCGACACCGGATGCCCAACAAATGAATGCAGTCCTCCCTTTTGTGAATGAGAGCATTTGTTGGTACGCCTCAAAATGAACACTCCAGGATCCCTTTTCTTCCACCAACACCACTGCATCAGAATAGTGTTTGGCCAACCTAAACAAGCTCTATTAATTAATGTAACCACATAAAGATATCCTTTCCCCAGGCTTTGTCGCAAATCTTGTTTATCCAGCTGAAGTTGCTGGACACTAACACCTCCTACAGGGATAATCTTTAGCATGGGTCAATTGGCAAATGAGAGTGGGGAAATTTAAATGGCTTGTGATGCCCACACACTCTGAGGGGCTCAAACTAATATATATATATATATATATATATATATATATATATATATATATATATATATATATAAAGTATAGGTTAAGACTGGGTATAAAATGATCGCAATATGTGAAACAATCTAGGCAGTTAGCTAGACTTATGCACCAGTATTACAAGTGTAGCATCACATTCTCCCAGGAAAAAAAACAAAAAAAAAAAAAACTCTGAATGGTACTGTCAGTGTAGGCTGCAAGGAAGACTTTTATAGTTCACTGGTTACACACAAGCTGTGGCACTTTGCAAAGTTTCAAGAATCATTTCAGATTAGCCAATACATTTCACTTTGTTATCCACGCATATGTATGTACAAGAAGTCAGCAGCATAGTCTGGTAAAGAAACTGCAGATGTTAGTAGACCGAGTCCTTATAAGCATCCACTAAGGATTTTAAAAGACCGGCCTTCTAAGCCAACTATAATTTAATCATAAAATCTTATTTGCAAGCCTTCAGCAACTTTTTTTTTTTCAAATAGTTTGTTATTCGATCAATCAATCCGTTCATGGTATAAAGTGCATGCATATATCTCACTCGTGCATCAGAGCCTGAAGACAGTAGATGCCGTGCAGTTTCTTTTTTTTTACCTGAAGTCGAAAACTTTCCATTTCAAATAGGCTTTTAATTTAAACCAGCATTGGCTGTATTTAAAAAAAAATGGGGGGGGGGGGGCAATACGAAGAGCACCTTCACCTAGAACACTGCACGCTTCCCCCAACTGGTAATCCTTATCCGCTTCTCAATCACCCATATATACATTTGATCCTCGCAGCTGGCGCTCGAAAAGAAAAAAAAAAATGCGCGCGACTAGCCTGTCGCTTTTGGACGCGCTATCAAAGCGACAAAAATAAAAAAATTATTAAGCGGTCCCCGCGGGCAAAACTGGCGCGCGGCCCCGGCAACGAAACTGGATGGATACGCAAAAAGCTCAACTGCGCGCTGTGACCTCGGTCTCGAGTAAGAGCGGGCGATTGGGCAACGGTTTCCTATTCGTCGAGCGCTCGCATTCGTCGCAGCCAGCAAGACGCATGCCAAGCCAAAAAAGCCTAAGCGGAAGTTCCGACGGAACTGCGGAATGAAGCGTGCCTGCCTCTGGGAAAGGGCAATAATTAAATGCGATCGGGGCGCGATCGCGAAATAAAACAACGACGCTCAGTGTAAATAAGGTACTGCGCTTTTAAACACGGTAGCTGCTGCTACCCAGCATTCTGCCTGCGTGGCCGATGATGCGTCATGCGCGTTCGAACAGATCCGCGCTAACAAAAAAAAAAAAAAAGAAAGCCATACGTGGAAAGAAAAAACCAAGAGTGAATAATCTTCGTGCACGGCTAAATAGGTCATAGCAGTGCGGCTGGCCAGAGAAATACGAGGATAGCTGCCAGCCAGGAAGCGCGTTCCTCCCCGTAGTGAGCTCCACGCCTAACGATGACCGTTGTTTATTTTTTCTTTCCTTTTTAACGCGTTCGCGCTCTGTTGGATGTCCGGACCACCCCTTCCCTTCTTCGGTTATTTGGCACGAGCTGCACACAGTCAGCTGGGCTTGGGAACCAGCGGAAACGCGAAGTACGTAGAGAACTTTTCGGATGTGACGGACCCAAAAGGAGGCCTGAACGAGCGCGAAAGAAAGAAACACGGACGTACTTTTCTGCGTGCGAATGCGTGTTCGTTCACGGAACGAACCGCGGTAAGTAGATGACGAGGTAATTTTCCGTTTTAAGGCTTTCTCACGTCTATTTTTTCCTTTGCAGCCAGCCATCCGCCACCTTCGCGTCACTACGGCTTGTTCTGAGAACGACCGCAGGTGACGACCCATCTTTTTTTGTAAACAAGTGGACAGGGCACGCAAACAATACCATACCAACATATTCGCGCACGATTTTAAATGAAAAAAAAAAATTGGCAGTTCCGAAACCAGAACTATATATATGGTTTTAGCCTTCAATGTGTCTACGCTCACCATGACGCTCACAGCTGCAGCAGAAGCCACAGGGGTCCCGGACTAGGGACTCCTCCTAGATTTTGTAAGGGGCCGGCCCTTAAAGCCGTCCCCAACTCTCTCCTGTCAACTGAGTGAATAAAGTTTACTACCTACCTACCACAGTTTGGCAAACGATAGATCAAGGCAAAACAGAATCATCTAGCAACTAAGTACTCATACGAAAGAAGCAAACATCAGAAAGCATATAAACGCCTTTTTTTGTTTTTTTTTTTGCTCGTGGCACGAGGCCCAGACAGGATGGCGACGCAGCACAAAGGATCCAGCGCATCGCCCAGACAGGAGCATCAATTAACCTAGAACCTAGGAGCTTCCCCGCGTATCACTCCAACCATGACCACTGTACAGTTCGAGCTATTCCCGCTCCAGCAATTTTCTTCGGACACGCTCGATGAAGAAGAACGAGTGCGGTTGCGAAGTTTCTGAACGGCGGTTGCTAAGCGACCCGACATCCCAGTCGCCGTGCAAAACCCACGAGACGGGCGGGAATTTTTTTTTTTTTCTCTCGGTTGAAAGCGCAAACGGGCCACAAAGACCGCCCAGGCGAAAATAACAGAAAACGGTGCCCGTTGTTATTAAAGGCTGAGACAGCAGGTGCATATGTCCACAAGAAAACACACAAAAAAAAAGCATGCACGTGAAATGAGGATCGTACTGTTATGCACTGTACACATTCGCGCTTTAGTAATACACGGAATTAACAAAAAAAAAAAAGAAAGTGGTATAAACATGAAAACACGTACACGGACCTGCATCTACCTCTTGAATACACATTAGCGTGCTCGCCTTTGTCGCCAAACTGCATAGCGCTAGAGCATGGAAAAAAAAAAAAGAAAACGGACCGGGCGCTCTTTTTTTTCACCCGAGGAGGAACTGGCCTACTTTTTGCATAAGTAGAAAGCAGGGCCCGACGCTGCTACACTAGAGCACATTAAGCAACAGCTGAGAGTTGTTCCAGAGAAGTTCGCGAGTGAGAGTCTGCGAATAAACTCGTTGCCGGGGCGCAGTTTCGCTTCTGCACGTCCCTTTCAGACAGGAAGCAGCCGAGGACCGCCATCTTTGACGGGATCAGCTGGACGCGAGAGAGAGTGAAAAAAAAAAAAAAAACTTCGCAATCGCTAAAAGAAAGCGCGCAAGCGAAGCAGTTTACTGCGCCTATCGCAAAAGATCCTTTTGTCTCTCCGGCTCCCGACAACAGCAACATTGTTTGCCCTAGTCGCGCGTCTCCCATACATCGTCTCAGCCTCTCCTTCTCTAGCTGTACAGCTGTTTCGACCGTGTCGATTGGAACAGCTGTAAGGGAGATGCCAGATCGGTTACTGCTGAGCGCTCACAAGGACTGAAATTTGACCAATCGTCAAATCGGTCAGCTAGTTTTCGAATGCAAGAGAAGAAAGCCGCGGGTATTGTCTCAACATGTTTAAGTTCTCTTTCCACCCTTTCGCCGTCTCTTTCTTTCTCTCTCATCTGTGGGCCGTCTGAATCGATAAACGGCTCGTCCCGTTATGTTTCTCGTCCTTGGCAAAGACCCAGCGACAGACAAGAGTCTCAAACATGCACGCTAGTTTCGGAAAAAAAAAAAGACTGCAAATACAACACTTCGCGTCGCGAAACACGCACACAAGGCACACCACACGTCGTACCTTTCGTCGGAGCAACAGTAGAATTCGAGGATTTTCTTCTTTTCCCAGCCTTCCTCGGTCTTGACCCAGGCTTCGCCCGGTGAATCGCCAATCGCGTCCTATGAACGGCATCACGCCGTCGAAGACTGGAGAAACCGCAGCTGTCCGCTACGAAGCGGTGTGGACTACAGTCGCGTGGCGTTTCGCTGAAGACGACTCGCACAACGCCAACGGCCTCCCCTAACCAGTCCACTCGCAACAAAGAAAAACCCGACGGACACCGTGCGAGCGAAACAAATGAACACAAAGACTAGAAATAAAGCGGACCACGAAATAAAGAAAGAACAACGCGCGACTTGGTCGTTCTCCGCGCTCGCAGGTCGCCGTCAGGCTCCCGTCAACTGCGTCGAGTCTGAGCGCGCTCTCCCAGCGTCGCAGCCAGTTTGATGTTGCGTGCTTTTTGTTGACGGATCTGACGTCACGGAAGTCACGAGACTAACCTCTCGCGCGTTGCGTTGTAGGTGGCGCGGTCCGTTCGAAAACAGAGCGAAACCGAAATCGACCGTCACGAAGGCGCAGCCGTGGCACACTTGAGCTCTTTCTTTTGCACAATTCACCTCGCGAAATTTCTTTGGACGCACGCTTAATTGTGTGCAGTTCTGAGCAGGGAAGCCAGCGCTCCGTCGCAATAGTGTGTAAAGCACGCGGAACATGTTTGAAGAGCAAAAACCTGCAAGTTCTTTTGACATCAATTTTTTTTTTCTCTTTTCAGCTCGATATATTTCTTTCTGCCCCATCCGCACCTAACGAGGTTTTGCGATGCTCCTAAAATCAGCCCACTTTAGACTTAACGACGATGTCATGTCATGACGTCACAAATTTTCACAGTGTAAGTGACGTCACATGGTATGTTCCCACGTGATCGCTTTGCATCACTCACCTTTTTCCTTCCTCCGTGGCATCACTACTAGTGTGGACGCCAGTGGTCAATTTTCGCGTTTAAGGAAGCATATAAGGCTTTTGCCTTAATAAAAATTAAGTGTTGCTCTCGTTAGGAGTGTTAATTTCTCCCCTTGCTCTATCAATCATAATTAACTAGCAACTTTTTAACCAATCACCTAGGATAAGAGGCAAACAAGCAAATTACGACTATTTTTGTCCATTAATGTACGGGGTAGTTTAGGATTGTTGTGCCGACAGAACAATGCCAAAACCGACCGGTGTACCAACATGGGGTCAAAGTGTATGCAACACTCAGTACATGCTGCGATGAATCGCTTTTACACTTTTACTTCCTTGAATACGCCTTCGTAAGGGGTGGTAATAAAGGAGCTAGAAACGGGTGTTTCCAACAGTTTCTGAAAAAAAAATACATCATTGAATAATGGCTGAAGTAGTGTCAGAAAAGCCATTGCTGTCCTTTGTTGCTGCTTGGATAAAGAAAAAAAACATGAAAAGTAGTGGGGCAAGAATGTAGAGAACTTTGAGTGGATGACTGGTGTGATTAGCATGTGAAGGGGGTGTGAAGTGCAGGAAATGATTCAGCGAACTTATGAAATGCATGATAAAGAGATAAGGCAGAAACCTGTAGCAAGCATTTCTAAACCCGTATTTGCATTTGAAAGTTAAATGCTGACAGCTATGAATATGCAAAATGAATGAACCTTGAAGCCTGATTTTGAACCAGTTTGGGTTGATTTATAGTATATGTTTGCAGTGGCTTCCAGATTGAAGATGCATTTTTGATCTTCAGTGTGACAAATGGTATATGTACCAACAATGTGACATAAGGTGTAGCATGACATGTATAATGTCATCCAAGAAATCTTGGTGATTTATTTGAGGCTGAATTCATGTTAGTTGTGTGATGATACTCAGGTCATGAGGCAAACTGGCAACGAAACATTTGAATGATCAGCTGACTATACTGGAACACTAGCAACTGAGTGGGTAAACATGAAAGCATTACGATGGAAAGACCAAGTGGTTACAAATAAATGTAAGGTTCATTACACTGCGTTTGTACATTAAGGTTGTGCTGAACACGTTTGATCATGTATTGGTCACTGTATTGGTCACTGTGATTATGCAATCAGCAATAAAAGTGCAATACACATGCTCTTTAGGCCTTTGTCCTGAAGCAAATGCAATTTTCCCAATAAGGCAATCATGCCATGCATATTTCGTGCAGTGTCAACAAAAGATGGGTACGCCTGCTAGACCTTGTGCATGTGGACACTTCATCAGTTTTTGTTTCTAACAACTGCTTTGACCGAATAAGTTTCCTGCGTAAGGCTCGCTCGATAACTACCGAAAGGGTATCTTGACGGGCCAGTTAGATTTTTCATGTTCTTTTCATTGAAATAGCTATTTACAAATTGAATGGTTTTCAATGGTTTCCTGTGTGCAGGCTACATGCAAGAAGAATTTGAAAATTTCAGGTCAAATTAAAAACTGCAGCAATAAGATGGAACAAAGAAGCATTATACAAAGCTGTTGTCAAATTAAAGGTATTCAAATAAGTACAAACACTAACAGCGAAGGAATAAAAAGGAAAAATTCAGCTAGTTTGCCTTCAAAACTACCAGACAGTGAAGCTGTCTTGATGACGACTACTTTTAGCACAAAAAGTGATTTCATTATTTCTCTGTTCTCTGCCCCTCTAGTCACATGACCTGTGTGACAACCAATAGTAATAGTTGAGGGTTCTTATGCCAAATCTACGATACGAGGGACGCCGCAGCACAGTGCTCCAGAAATTATGACTACCTGGTGTTCTTTAGCGTGCGCCTATATCCAAGTATACGGGCCTCAAGCATTTCTGCCTTCATAGACAGTGCAGCTGCAGCGGCCTGGATTCAATCTTGCGATCTTTGAGTAAGCAGTCAAACACAATAACCAACGTGGCAGGTCTACTACTAATACTACTGCTACAACGACAACAGCACAGGGCGGACTGTGCTGTCACGTCGAACCGCTTCGCTGTAATAACTAGAGAAGGAACAAAATGGGCTTCTTTGCATACTGTTTTATTTGTCACTTCAAACAGGACAATGGTGTAACCTTGTCTGAGCAACCAGAATATATTAGCGTATGTACATCACTGGCTAAAGGCCAACAGACAAGAGGAGGGAGAAGGGGGAAGAAAAAAAGACTGAAACAAACATGGCCGACAAGAAAGGTAGACTCGTGCACGATTAGCCTCTTGTCTCAGTGTCCAAAGTGACTCGGCTCCATAACAGTAGGAATTAGCGTGCCAACTAAGCAAACAAACTCGCGCCGTGTCCCTTCTAGCCGCAAAAACACCAAACAAGCTCAGATCTCTTGGGACAACTAAATCTCTGTGTGGAATGTTACGGAGCCGGCGACGCTTCGTTTGCCGGTAAATAGTGAGCCGCGAGCACAGTTCAAGATGTCGTTGACAAGATCTTCCAAGCAGACGCGCAAAGGTGGTGTCATTTTTTTTTTCTTTCTCTGCATGCCCCTGTTTTTTTCCCGGGCTCAAACATACAGCCAAACGAACAGGTAGGCTCCCCGCAATGTTGTCTCGTTCAGGTTAGCTCTTGATAGACACGACAATTATCGTTATCAGTGTGGCCAGAACGATAACGCCGATGACAAACAGACAGAACATCTTCTTCCGAGCCTTCTCCTGTATAGACGAGGTGGAGGGCAAAAAGAAAGAAACACGTTTACGGCAACCAGCAAACGACAGTACGCAAAACACAAAACCATGCTCTATACTGAATAACTTCACAAGTAACACAATAATTGTTAATCTCATAAGGTAATTCCACACCAAACATCCCATCCACTTTTACGACCATCTCAAATGTATTGGGAAAAAAAAATCGTGAAAAGAGTGAGAGAACACGCACCTGATGTTGCCTTGCCTTGGCCACTTGCTGAACCCCTTCTTCAACGTGCACTGCGGCACTCTCAACATTTGCTTCTATGCTGTCTGCAAGTTGGGAACATAAAAACACTGGATTAGAAGTGTGTCAAAGAGAACAGTATTTAAGCCGTTCAGATGCATTTAGAAGACGTACGCACTCGCTAAATCTGTTTAAACTGACCATGTCCTCTTTCAAGGATGTTTTGATCTTATCGCTCTCAAAAAAGTGATTGCTGGATTAAACAATAAAACCTCCACTACAGTTGAACCCCTTTATAAGGCACATGCAAGGGGCAGTAATTCTTGTACTTTATATGAGGTGTCTCTCATAAGCAGAGTACCATGTAGAATTTTCCATGCCCTATTTCAGAGCAGGCGTCTCTTATACCTATTTGTCTCTTACATTAGTGTCTCTTGCAAAGGGGTATGCCTGTATTTCTTAAATTTCGCAACACAATTACAGCACCATGGCCAAAAGTCCTGCCAAAGACACAAAGCACAGTTGTGGTGTTTGAAATCGCTAAGGTAGTTTTAGGCACCTTCAAAATACAGCCTACCCCATCTTTAGGCCCCATACGAAAATTTTTAGAAGTCCATTATGTCCCAACAAGTTGACGCATCAAGTGTCCCATAAAGCTGTGGGAGTGAGAAAAACGGTCCTTGGTTGCAGCGCAATTATTTTGGCACAAGGGTGTCAATTTCGGTGCTGTCTGCCCATTCTCATCTGCTGCTCGCTCTTGGGGCAGCTAGGGTGACAAGATAGCCGGCAATCTCGAAGAAGAGCAAAGAGATTACAACAACCTTTGTATCCGCCAATCTCGCTACACTCGGGTGTCGTTCTGCGTCACAGACTGTGGAAAGGATAATGTTAAGCAATGTCCCTCAAACTTAAAACTTATTTTGGTTTGCCGACCCACTCTTCAAAACAGCACAAGCACCTCAGCTCCTTGTTTTCCCACCTAGACAAAATATGCTTGCATTTGTAACCGTACCTCACCCTATCTCACCCTAGTGAAATGAATAAGGTATGTACCTACCCTCCACTTTCTCGTGCCATATGTCTAGATTAAATATTTGGCACTAAAAACTGACATTTACCATTTATGGACTAGTGTACTTGTAAACTAAATAGATTATAAGTACTATACACAGGGTTCGTACAGGCTTCCAAAGCGAGAAATTCAAGGATATTCGAAGATTTTCCAGGACCTGTTGCAAGTTTTTCAAGGACTCAAAGCGGCATGCTAAGCTGGAATTCTTCACTATAAAAATTTTCAAAAATGACCAATTTCATTGCACTTACAATATATGGAATATCAGAATTATCAAAAAAAAAGAGCTTAGTATTATTAACTTCTCGCACCCTCTTCATAGGGAGAGGGCACGATGTCATGTCGGAAAGTTATGCGCTGATGAACTTCAACGCACCTGTGTAGTCGAACCTTAAAGGGGTCGTGCCACAATATTTGTGGCTTGTGTGCTCTTTGCTGCAAGCTTTAATTATAGCTCCAATAAGCATGATACACGCACCAAGATTCATTTATTCTCGCTATATAATTTGTCACCTTTTTAATATGGACAATTTTCACTTCCTGTTTGTGGGGAACGAGTTGTGCAGGTACATAGCAGTGTATCTGACTTAGTCACGTGATCGCAAAGCTTTGCACGCGTCATGCTGAGTATTGTCAGCTCTTGCACACATGTGCCACACAAGCACCTGAAAAACAATCTCGCCGCCACTGCAGCAGCCGCAATGCTTTGCCGATATGTACGGGGCGGAAGTCCGGAGGCCACTCAGCAGACTACAGATCTGGTGTGACGTCACTAGAACTTTTGTTGCCCTTCCCGTAGAGCTACGTCAGCATGGGACACGCTCACGATGGGCCTCGATTAGGAGAATGAGCATTTAGGTACACCTGGGAAGTGACCCACAGCTATAGCCTTGAAATTTGATGGCACCACACCATCAAGAGTGCCGGCTTGTGCACACTTGACTCTCGCAGCTCATTGCTCAACAACCAAGAAGTAACAACTGTAACAGTGGTTAATTTACACTCATCCTGTGGATATATGTGTGTTCTTTTCTAGCACCGTTATTGGTTTGTTTAAGCAGCACGCTTCCAGTGTCGAGCTACGACAGTCGTTCATCAGCACTCATCAGGCTTTCTTTACGTGCATCCTTCGTGCTTGAGCGGCGCTCTGCATGTATGGGGTTGCTTGCCCTTCTTCGTGTGACATCCTAATTTTTTGCTATCACATTCACTGCTTCACCCTCACCACAAACTAACTTTTTTTTTCCACATGCACTTTTGCAAAAGGAGATCATGTGCACCCGCACACTATTACTGCTTCAGAAGTAGGGAGTTTGGCAGGTTCTTACACCGATGTACCACATTAAGGAGGTCGCAATGTCGATATGAGAGCGCATTGCTCAGGAAATTCAAGGATTCTCAAGGATGGTGAAAAATTCCAGGACTTTCAAGGGCCTTGAAAATGCATTTTTCAAATTCAAGGGTTTTCAAGGACCTGTATACAGTAGACTCTCAGTAAGTGAAAATCTGTTCAATGGAACTGCTGCTCAAATAGAACAAGTGCATTTGACAAGATTGGTTTTGTTCTTGCATTGTGTGCCCCTGTTCATCTCTCTGTAAACGAAAGTCCTTTTAAACATAACAAATTTTACTGGTCCCTTCAGGTTCTGTAGAGTCTACTGTATAATGCTTGTGCCCCATCCCATGGTCCTTAACTCCCTGACAGTTTTGGACGAGTGTGACTCACCCGCCTGAGATTCGATCTCCCCACGAGCATTTTTAAACGACACTAGCTCGTTTCCAAGCTACTTCATGCGTTGCTTCACAAATGACAGCAATTGTTAGGCCATTCTATTTGTTTTAACTGCCAATTCACATTTTTTTGCAACTTGCGTTTAGAAAATATTGTCCAGTGAAGACAATGCGGGTGCTGCTTGTGCATTGTTGCAGAAAAAAACGCATATTTTTCGTACAGCTCTTCAGCACTAATTATTCAGATACAAGAGATTGTTTTGATGACTTGACACACTATATTCAAGATCTGTGGAGGGGAGGTGGAGGCCTTTGCATCGGCATGAATAAAAACATAAGGTGGCAGCTGAAACGTCCTAAATAAAGAATGCACAGTCGTGCTTCCAGTGAAATAAATCATTGAATACACATTTGTTCAGTTTTTCATTCGCCCTCAATTAGTGAATAATACAGTGAAAATCATGGGATGGGAAAAGAGGTCGCATATTTGAAATCTCTCATTAAAGGGAGGGGGCACTCGTTCCGAATTTGACGGTAGGTCCTCAACGATGATATTATTTTGCGAATTGTGAAAGATATTAATTGGCACGGTATAATTAACTTTGCTATGCTTATTTGACTTAATCAACATCTCAAAAACTTTTTTGTCAATCAAAACATGCTTTTTAGAAACAAAATATTTCATGCCAAGTTTATAAAACAAATTTTTTAGAGAGGAAAGTTCTAAAAATAAATAAAGCTTAAGAGAAAAAGATACTTTAAAACTTTTTCTTCTGACAAATTCTAATAAAAACTGCTGAAGTTTATGTATAATTAAGTGATGATTTTAAAGTTGACACTTTTCTAGTACAATACATAGTTTATAGGATATCAAGAGTTTCGCGCACCTTGCTGAGAGCAAGATATTTTTTTCAACTGACATGGTTATAAAAAAATTTAGCATACCACATTACTAAGTTGGAATGAAAACTGTATGCAATAGAACAAGAATGGACATTCTCAGTCCATTTGAACGAATGTTACACTATTCTGAGCAAAATTCCAACATGACAATGGCCCACTCATGAATGGTAACATGCGATAACTATGCTGATTTACTTTGTAACAGGACCATCTCAGAAAAATTTTGCTCACCTGAATTAACGATGTTTAAAAAATGACATATTGTACCATAACAATGACTGCATTTTTCAAATCAGCATTAGAATAAACACAAGCTCCAGCACCGTAGAAAAAAAGTAAAAAGAAATTTTAGGATCAGTGTTTCGTTCTGCCCTAGAAAGCCAAATGTTAACTAGTATGGTTACGCTGCAATATATATATATATATATATATATATATATATATATATATATATATATATATATATATATATATATATATACGCACACACACACACACTTGTTTTCATAAACAAAGAGCAGTGCAGGTGTGGCTGAATTGAACAAAAAGAAGTCTATAGCTTAAAAATTGGATTCTACAGGTCACTAAATAATGGCACGAGTATTTTATGACCAAAGTTTGTAATGAATGCCTAAGATGCCCACTAGTAAAGAAATACCTGAGTTAAAGCTTTTTGCAAGCAGATGAAAATTGTTCAACCGTGAGAAATCTCGTAACATTATTTTGATCTTGTTGATTTCTACCACAAACAATCGACTTCAGGCCCCTGGCCTGAAGTCGATTTACGCAATCTTGCTTTATCACCATGTTAGTCACCTTTTTGTATCAGCTGGCAGGGCAACTTGAAAAATAAAAAAAAAATAAATAAGCGTTGGTCCCAGGTTCGAAAGCACGACAAGGATGACCCTTCTCACAAACCCAAAGCTTTCCTTGAAACCCAAATTCAGCAGACTCTGGTAAAGACACACTTAAAGCAACCACTGTAATTTGTTTGTCTATCAGGAGTTAGGGTTATCAGAATGCTTCCCTCAAAAAAATATGCTAACATGTCAGGTGCGTCCAAATATGCTGCTTGAAAACACTGAAGTTTACTAACAATAGGGAAGAAAGGAACAAGAAAAAACATGTGGCTGAGCTTGATGAAAGTTATGCCTTCAAGTAGAATATCTACATGAATCTAACGAGCACTAAATTTTGAGAGTTCCTAAGAAATATGCACATGAATAAATTGCTACTATATTTTAGCAATTAAACTGTAGCACGGCCCTATTTTTCCTTCTAGCTAAGCCCTTGTGTTCTGTTCTCCATGGCACTCCTGTTGGGGAACTGAAGAACGCGGGGAAGAGTGCGAAGGGGGCACAGGCCTGTAGTTAGGCCTGTTTGTATGCCTGAATGCTTTATGTGCAGACCTTTCTCCACGTCAGATTTGCTTTGAGTCTCCGCACCAGGAATGGTTCATTTTTTCCCTTTTGCTTTCTCTCGTTCGCCTGAACGTTCATTGCGCAGAATCGCTGCGTTTTCCACCCCTGCGACAGTTGGTCTTAACAGAATAGGCCTGTAACGCGGTTCGTCTTAACCAGATATTTTTTCCATTGAGTCTATGGGAACCAAACAAACATATTGTGTTGTTTTGCTTTAAACAAGAATTCGTCTCAACAGAGTTTGTCACAACAGGAATTTACTGCTAGGGTCGTCAATGAAGCTTTGTGCTCCAGTTGGGTAGATGAGAGTTTGTGTTTTGTCGAGCATTTCTCGCCATTGGAGATATCCAGAAATTTATTAGCCGCACAAATTACTGCCCAACTGACATGAACCAACAGCCAATTTGACAAGTCATGTTTACTGGTTATGCAGAAGACGTCTTCAATTTGCAAAAAACGCAATAGTTGTGCCAGGTATCGCAAATACAGCATGAACAGACCAGCAATAGCAGGCCATATATGCATGCTTCACACTGCTTACCGATCATGTCTCCTTGATCGTGAACCATAGTCGCAAGGTCCTTGAATATTGCATTGACATCCACAATGTCGTTCTGTGAAACAGAAAACAAGATAAGACATTGATGCCAAATTGAAGGAGCAACACACAACTCCATTCTTTATTTTTGCCTACAGCCATTTCTAACAACTGAACCTTGGTGTGAACGTTCTAACAAACTACAAGATATAAATAGGTAAATATTTTTGTGTGCTTTTCATCGCATTGTTCTTGTCACCAGCAAGTTTGTCATGCTAAAAGAAAAAAAATAGAAATCATTTAGACTATTACATCGTACCCTGAGAACACTAGTGATGTTTTTTTATCACCATTGTAGGCATATTAATATAGAATGAAGCCAAGGCCAAAGTTTAATTTTATATTTCCCACTAAATCACTATGCATGACATCACAGATTTCAATGTGAATCTTTCATATTTTGGCCACATTGAGCCAACGAAATTTCACTATGTTATGTATCTGGTCCCCTCAGTGCACAATGCGTTTACTAATTTTTACCCATTAAGAAGTACGCAGGCCCTGGCATAGATGCCGTCAAAATCTGCGATGCCACAGTGATGGGTGCTGGAGTTTCAAGGTGGTGTCGACACCCGCATTTACTCGCTTCTCACAGCGATTCGAGAAAAATAATTTTTTTTCCCCTTTGGCGTCATGCGCACCATCATGTTTGTTCTTTAACCCTGCTACAGAGCACCAACAACAAGATCCCTTGCAGTAGCATACCGATGCTCACGACGAGAGTTCTCCATTACACATCCTAACATGACATACGTGCCCCTCACCTCAAGTTTGCGGATAGCTTGTTCCCGTTCTCGGAGCATCTCGATGTTGACCTGCTCGTCCATTTGGGCAAAGCTCTGTGCCTGCTGCTGTGGCTGCTGCGCTTGCACGGGCGAGGCCAACTCAATCAGGTTGCCAGCGCCACCCCGGCTGCTCGATGACTCAAACTGCAAGCACAGCAGTGAAGCAGCGATTATTGTGAAAGTGCTTGCCCTTTTCAATCATTCAATTAATCAATCAATGAGAACATCATTTTCACCAAGCACAAAACTTGATATACAAGGATTATTTCGACTGATGGCCTAAAGTAACCAGCAGCCGGTTCAATGCACTATGCAACAAAATATGTACAGGTCAGCTAAGATGAAATAAAACAAGAAATAAATACTTATACATACATGTATATATGAGGATCTTTTTTTTTTGTAATGGGTCATATCCAAAACCGAAACTAGCTAAATAAGACTGTATTGACACATACATACTTTCAACTTTCCTCTCAAACAGTATTAGTGAATCACTACTTATTATTATGAATTTATTAGTAAACAAGAAAGTTTGAAGTGCGTACGTGCCAATAGAGCCTTATTTGAGCTAGTTTCGCTTTTGGACCTGGCCCATTTCGAAAAAAGGCTCCTCATATGTACAAACATGCATACACTAACTTTTGTGTGAATAGTTATTTATTGAAAATATGAAAATGAATATCAACTCAGAAAATTTTGTCAAAACAGACACACGTTTTCAATTTCAGCATACACACAGGTTTACAACTTACATGGGACTGCATACTACTTTTTACAGTTACACTACCACACATGTGCAAACGTAAAAGCCATCCTTTATCCATAGTAATTAGACTGTGAGCACAAAACATTCGTTACATTTGAAGTGCAATTTGGGTAACTAAGACCCTTGTTTGAAGCAAGCCAATCTGAAACACAAGAACTTGACACTCGTCAAGATTTCGAAGATTTTGTAAAAAGAAAAAAAAAGAACGTGCAGCATAGTCACAGCGAAAGCTGGAATGGCAGCTTTTCAGAGTGTTTTTTCAAACACTCTTTGAGTAACTGCTCTAAGCACACTTGCAGGGCACCCACACACAAATATTCCCAATTTTCGTCTACTCAACCTTCGTCATTCTTCCGAGAAGCACGGTACCTGCTACACACTTGGAAAAAAACTTTGTGCAATTTTTTTATGCTGCAGCTGACGATGATGAAGAAATATGCCTGAAGCATTTGTAATGGGTTAAAGAATTCCATGGCTCACTCGTTATGCAATTTGCATTGTGTGACGCCTGGTTGTTCCTTCGCTAATCTAAAGCACTTTATTATACTCATATTAATGTGATTCGTTTCCCGACACCATGCCTACCTAAGGCCAGTTTGCAACGGAGCTTCAAGCACCAGCGTGGCTCTGTGGTAGAATACTGGGCTGGCACCCAGGGTGATCTGAATTCAAATCCCATTGTGTCCTTTGTGTTTTTTATTTACTGTGTTTTCTTTATATTTTACACGATAGTGCTTATGGATACCGGCAATAGACAACTATGGCACATTCGACCCTCGTGATCTCCTAACAGCTTTCGCTATAAAATTAACAGGCATATGACACAAGCCAGCTGTAAATTTTCTATATTGTTCATATTCGTTCTTACTGCCCTTCTGCCATAGAAGCACAGTAGGCAACTGAATTTATTAGCAGCTGGGCTGCAAGGATGACCGGGTAATTGAAGCTGCAATTTGCAGTTTGGGGTGAACCTGGCCACCTCATACACAGAGATGTGGTCGGCGAAAATCACAAAATGGGCCGGATGGTAGATCACTAGAAGAATTGGTCGCATGGCGACCTGGACACAAGGACAAAAGAAGACATGAAGACGCGCACAAAGCATTGAATGTGTGTCATCCTTGTGCCTTCTTTCATCCTTATGTAAAGTTCGTTGCACAACCAATTGCTTGATAAACAGGGTAGCTTCACAACGGCAAATTTAAGAGACTGACACATTTCAATGAATTACCCACAACTAGTTATTTTTTGAACAATAAACATTAAAAAGAGGAATGCTTTGCATTAAGCAAAACAAAAAAGGTTAATAAAATTAACATGAATCTCTTGTACAAGTGTTTAGAATTGCACAAATATATGGCCTAAATCCTTAAGAGGGGTACCTACACTAATTTTTGAAGCCGAGTTTACTCTGCCATACAAATCTCCTGAATATGGTGATTTATCGAACAACTGTAAAGCTCAGTAAATGCTCATAAAATTATACTTGACATTAAAGTCGATTTTCGAATAACGCACCTAATGACATCGTAAATATCTAAAAAACGTCACAGTAATTTCGACGACCTCAGCCACGAGTAAGGCTAGTTGTGATGATGTCATGTACCAAAACATACAAAATGGCCGCTTGTGCTTCCCCAATGGAGCTATGTAGAGGAGCTGCTGCAGAAATATTACAATATCTTGCTCGAACATGCGACGAGAATATCATACTGTGTTGTAATGGCACGGTACTTTTGAACCCACATTGTAATAAATTTTCCAGAATGCAGTCACGCTTGCAGATACATTTTGTTGGCTCTGAACCTAGCCTTTTACTCGATGGAAAAAAAATGACTGCTAAATATTTTCGTGTTAGTACCCTTCTAAAAGCAGAAGGGAAATATTGAGATTATGGTCTTTTTGCAGGTGGTTAGTCTTGGTGAACAAAACAGCCACGAATAAAGGGGTGAAAGAAGTGTACGCAAGGAGACGCACCCCGATGCCCGAGGCGGCGCGGGCGCGCTTGACCGAGTCCTTCTCCTTGTCGGCCTCGGCTCGCTGCACCAGCTGGAAGTGGTGCAGGGCCTCGGAGAAGTCGTTGGTGAGCTTCTCGCGCAGCAGGCGCCCGGCTCCCTGCTCCCCGTAGGGCATGGCCGCCAGGGCCTTGAGCTGCCCATTGGTGTCCTTGGCCAACTGGTTGGTGTACTGCTGGATCTGGTGCCTGCAACACATCAAGCCACACCGATCAGTAGAGCACTCGACGTGCCATCCAGAGGTTATGGGTTCGATCCCTGTCAGTAGCACGTTGCCTTTTTGTCCACTTTATTTTGTCACACATTAACTACTACAATACAATTGAAAGACTACAAATAACATTTTCTACATGTTCTTGGCTTCAGTGTCGGCTTTATACTAAGGTTGTGCCCTGCCGCGGTGGTCTAGGGGATAAGGTACTCAGCTGCCGACTCGTGGGCCGCGTGATCGAATACCGGCTGCGGCGGCTGCATTTTCGATGGAGGCGAAAATACGGTAGGCCCGTGTGCTCAGATTTGGGTGCACATTAAAAAGCCCCAGGTGGTCGAAATTTACGGAGCTCTCCACTACGGCGTCTCTCATGATTATATGGTGGTTTGGGGTTGTTAATCCGACATATCCATAAACCAAGTTATTAAGGTTGCATCTCCCAATGATGCCAAGCTCTTAAATTCTACTTCTTTCATCCAAATCAGCACAGAAAAGACGAACATGAAGAGCAGCTGGGAAGTAACAGAGACGACAGCAAGCTCATGTCTTCCAGAAACCAGGGCAAGAGCAGTGGGTTTTACAAAGAGGCGACACCCCTGCTGACGGCATGCATGCCACTCGAGTGCCTTACAGGTGCACTTTGACACCGCAGCAGAAAGCATCTAACCCTTACATGACAAATTTGAAACTAATTAGGAACAAGAAAAAAATAACCTATTGACACTCTCTTTATTATCTGTGCTCGAAGTTGCGCATAAATTTTCAATGATGCAAATGAATCAGCTTTACTAGTCTTTTCTTTTTACTTCACTAAGCGTTACCAAGCTTTCAAGTCACACTTTTTATTCACCGATGGGATGGATCCAGCTGACACCATTAATACACCAAGGTGGGCGCAAACGCGATATGTTTATTGTGTGACCAGGAGAAAAAAAAGAACTGTTGCATCGCCAAGATGTAACTGCAGAAATGGGTATGAAGCACTTACAGCTGTGACCTCAACGACTCAGAGTCCTGTGAAGTCCCCAGTTGCTGCACCATCTTTTTCATAGACCCCACTGAAAGGTGTACAGAAAAAAAAAAAAAAAGATTGCTTCGAGACACAAGTCATGTATCTTCTTGTCACTTCTTCAGCATAATACAAACAAGAAACTAGAAAAAAAAATTGCCTGCAAAAGATACTTTTGAACTTCACTTAAAAGAACGTAACGCGAGACTTTCCTCACCATTCTGACTGATTTTTTGGACATTTGTTCCTATCGTCTGCGAAAGACTCTGAAATTCTCCGTGCGAGGATCCTGCAAGTTAAATGTCACCAATCAGTGAACCACCAAAAAACAGCAAAGAAACTAGTACTGCAGTGAATAAACGTCAGGACGCTAAAAACAAAGGCAACGTAGGTACACTACCTCCAGATCCAGAGCTGAAATTTGCATATTTCGTGGCCATGTTGGTCCTGGGCGAAGTCAGCCAAGTGCAATTTTAAAGCCCCTCTCGGACCCTCTCTAGATGTGTTTCTGAAAATGGGAGATGCAAATGCAGAAAGCACAATGTTATGAGCAGCCGAGCAACAACAGGGAGCAGCCCACAGCTACAAATTAAACTCATTGGGTCGCGTGCCACCTGCATCAAGTTTCACTGTAATAACAGACACCTGATTTAGCTGGTAGGTATTCATATTGAAGAGACAAGGTGTGCAAACACAAACACAAGACAGGGGTCAAGACACCACAAACTCCTGTGTCCGGGTTCCACTATGATGGATGCTCAAGCCAACCACATCAATCGCATTTAGCGCAGATACGAGCTACGGTGCAGTACCCGATAACAGCTTACGCCTGAATACCTATCAGGCGTGAAGCAGCTATTCGGGAAGAGCAGACTGCTTTTCGCTTTTGTCTACCGCGCAAGTGTCGAGGCAAACCGGCCGGATAAGAATGCCCTGCGCTGTCACACAATTGAACGTGTGTGCCGGAAAGCTTTAAATAGACAATTGTGTTTCGATACAACCTGCACGTCGAGACACTCCTTTCACTGTTCGCGGGACATGTGCATTTCGGGACGTACAAGACATGACTGCTCCTTTAACAGAGGCATACATTCTCAAGGCCGCTGCGACACGTTCAGCAAACCTTGTTTCCGAAGCTCGTTGTATTTGGGCAGAAATCGGCACGAGTCACTCACAGGGTGCATTGCACGGCGCACACACGTACTACAGAGCCGTCCACGTCGCGTACGCTAGGGGAGTCCGCTTTGAGTCTACTAATGGACCGATTGACCCACACTCGGTATTCACTCCGACGCTGCGTCACTTGGGGCGCTCCCTGAAACTAAGTACAGGAGAAATCGCCGCACAAATACTCAGCTCGCATCGCAAAACCGCCAGCCACTGCCACGGACGCTACAACGATGAGAGAGGAATTCACTATGCACCCGCCCATGTCCCTTCGTACGAGGAACAAACATTAAAAAAAATGTGACACGGCGCGACATCATCTGACGATATCGTAAATGGGCGTTTCGAATGTCACAGCGCCGGAGGCGTGCCGTCCATGCAAAGAGAACGGTCTGCCTCGCCTCCGCTACGGTACTACGTGATCTGGTTTCCACGGGACTCGGATAGTGGGGTCACGACGGGTGAATCACGGCGCTCGCGGCGGCGAATGCAAAGACAACCGGCCCGACACGGGCTCGAGGTAGGCCTACCGCGATTGTGATGCCCACAGCTGAGCGGCTGCCGATCATTCCGCGGGTTCCAATCGCTGGGGGCTTCAACGAGCGCCAACACCGGCCCCGTTTGCTGTCATCCGAAGCTCGTCGTTTGGTCGATGTTTTTGTTTTTCGTCACGGCACAACGATGCGCGTAGCACCCATCTACATCTGTCGTGCGCGGCGTCGACAGGATGTTGGTACCGCGCAAGCGAGCAGAAGCAGAGCAGCAGCGGAGGGTCGCTTTTCCAGCAAAGCAGCTGTCACGTGGCCTCTCTCAGTGCGTCATGGAAAAACGTGACGCCATTGGTCATGCGATCTAGAAACCGAAACCAAAACTGCGCTTTTCGGGAGGGTTTGTTACGATAGTTATAGCGCGAGAAGACGACAAAGATACAAGAAGGACACGAAGGACACGAGCGCTCGTGTCCTTGTCTCTTTGTCGCCGTTCTGTTCTCGTCATGTCATACCAACTAGCCCAAGCTGCCACACTTGTAGGTTTGTTACGGTATGTCATAATGGAAAGACCTATAGAGTTTCATACAGTATTATTGCATGAAACTCTGAAAACCCTTTCACGTGTGCCGAGAAAGAGCGCGTTAAGTGCGAAGACAGATGAACCAAAAGGAAATTGAACCCTGTGCTACCCTGAAGCACTGAGTGAGCACTTCGAATCTATAAAAATTTAATAAAAGTTAGAAACGGTACGAGGACAGCGGTGTTCTCACAGTCAATGTTACACAACCTTGCTTGAGATCAGGCTCCACAATTGGACTGTTAGCAGGCAGTTGAGACAGGCTAGCATGACAAATGGGCGAATTTTAAGAGAGGTAAACCTCAGTGTAAAAGAAAAAATATATTAAACAATGGGCACCTGCATTGCCGTTGTATTGGCAAGGAATAGACATCAGTACGGTGCCTCAAATAGCAGAATAACATGATGCATTAAAAACTGGAGTTACCTTGAAGCCAAAAGCAAAGAAAGCCCAAAAATGACCACAGAAATACCATGAAATAGAAGAGGACATTGCCATTTACAGAGTGGTCTACGACATAGTAAAAAAAACAAGGTTACCAGAACAACTTTTGAGGGCACAACCAATTTTCTGGAGGTTAAATGCCTTTTACATGTAAGCAAATATACAGCTGTGCACATCATTTTGCTAACTCATCGCTAGTCAAATGAAAAATTGGTCTACTCTGCAGAAGAACTTACAGGTCGTGTCTTTGATAGGTGTGAAACCCCACACTGAAATGCATAAATTGGGGTAAGAAAAAACTTGGAGCCATGACGGCAGCAAACATATTTATTATTGAACATGAATCTCATGCACATGCCCAAAGGTTGGATGAATGGATGGATGAACAAAACTTATATGAAAACCTGCAGATCAGCGGCGGCGCCTAAGACACCTAGGTCATAGCGGTAGGGTTTAGCCTTTCCGCCGCATCTCGGGACTGCTGGATGGCCCGAACTTGGCCTTCAAGTTGCAAGCTAGCCAGAGCGTCGTGCCAATGCATCTTAAGGAGGTTCGGGTTTTGGTGATCGAAAAGTTGTGTAGTGTGTGGGCATAGGATGATAAGGATCAGCTTCTCACTTTCCAAAGGTTGATGCACAACATTAAATTGCACATACTATAAATGTTATTTACACAGCAGCAACAAGACAGCAAAATGCCTTCTTAAAAGTAAAATTCTTTGTAACAAGCAGCAAAAGAATGACGCACGGGTAGAGTGCCGTGACATTGCTAAGGCTATGTGACTGGCACTAAGAAACTGCACAAGAAAAGGGACATTATATGTGTATTAACAAAGCGGTGAATATAGTGCACATACTGTAAGAAAACATCTCAATTTCTTTAATGTGCAAAAAAATGGTTATGCTAAACTTTCAGTGCTATTTTCCATCAGCAACAGAAGGCAGCAGCAATTATATAGTTACAGCCAATTCTAAGTTCTTGCTGGCTTCTTCAGCTCTCAAATTTCATTCTCAACTTGAATGTTGGCTGACAACAAACGCACATGTGTACAACAAATATTTTAAGCAATTTAATCTTCTCAAGTTGAATCAAGATGAAGGTCACACTTCAGCAAGTGACAATAAATGAGATGTGAAGGAAATCAGGTTTGTACAAAACACGGGATGTGGTGCATGAAAACGTCGGGGATGAGCTAAGTTACTGAGTCACCCGTTGCCCTCATCTGACTCCTCTTCATCGCTGAAGTAAGCACTCTTGCGTATTCGACGACGGCTTCCAGAAGACGAGTTCTGGCCGCCAGACTGTTGACCACTTCCAGACTCTCGCTCCCGTTGTTGTTGCTAAAAGCAAGCAAACAAAAAGAAATGGCGATGGCGGAGAGTACTTTACATCACTTTTCCGATACGGAAAATAGAATAAACATCTAGTATTCTTAAGATGACAACCCAGGCAAGTTTCCATATGTGAAATGTGCAAAACACTCCCAATTGTGCACTCTTTGACATGCCATTTTGTACTGGTCTTTCAATGGGAGGATATAAAGATGCAATAGTCAGGCCAAAAAGGACCACGTCTCGATATGAAAATCCTAGGCTTGTGCATACAGAGAATGTTAGGTTCGAAGCAAATAGTGATATATGTCGAAAAATTTCGAATAGCATAAATATAGCACATTATAAAAAAAATGGGCATATTTTCATGACCTATCTAACCTACACAAAATTTTTTCAAAATTAAAACAAGGCCTGTGCAAATGTGATTTTTTTTTTGCTTGAAGGGGTGGGAACAACTACAAAGAGAAACAGGAATTTACTTTCGGTAGAAAGGAAGAGGTAACCTGTAAAGTATGTTACATTTTAAAATTTACAACACTTGTAGCATATTAGCTGGTATAACAAGCTCATAAACTTAAAAAAAAAAATGGTGAATCGGTGCAAGGGTTATTCATTCATTTAAATTTGAAGAAAGGCTATGCGACAATGCAATTTTTTTTTTGAATAGGTCCTTCACTGCTTAGCACACCTCTACTACGGTGAAACTACCTGTAAGGTCACATTCTGACTTACTAAACCTATTCGTTTATTTCAAATATTTTGAATTACCAAACCTTAAATTCTAACTTAAGCAAATTTAAATACTGTAATGTTTGTTCAAGTATTCTAAGCATTTGAATATTCATGCAAACCTAGGAAATCTACATGCCACAGAAACTAGACTTGCTGCTTGGCCTTCACTACTTTCCACGTACCTCGTACTTGATTGCTGCGCGAAGCGACTCCAAGGCAGGGTCTTCTTCGTTTTCACTCTCGGTGGCCTCTGCTTCTTGCTCCTTGGGCCTGAAAAGTGATTACGAGCAGGGGGAGTATTATACAGCAATTACTAATCATCAATCATATTTTATGTCCACTGCAGGATGAAAGCCCCTGCAATTCATTTCCAGTTACTCTTGTTTAGTGGACAACATCCTTTCTTCGCCCATACCAGAATTCATTCGAGCCAGCTTCAACTGCACCTCCAACCTGAAGATTGCAGGTTCAATCGTGGTTGCGGTGGTGACATTTCAACGACCGCAAAATGCTATGAGCCGGTGTGCTGTGCAATGTAAGTGCATGTTAAAGAACACCAAATGATCAAAATTTCCGATGCCTTCCACAACGGCGTCTCTCATAATCATAGAGTAGTTTGTGACGTGAAACCCCCGAGATATTATCATTAACAGCAACCCCTTCTCTTGGTACCCATTTCATAACTCAATTATATACAATTCTAATAAATGAGCGAAGCATAGTGAACATAATCTTTTGTCTTTAATTGAAATTGAGTAAATGGGTTGCTAGATTGATTTCCTTATTCTGTCAGATTCATAGCAAATGCCCTGATTCTAGCAGGTTTTATAACTTTAGATAACCTGCAAAGGTTTATTGGTCAGCATTGGTCAGCTGCCTACCGTAAAGTCCGCAAAAGCCTTTCACATTTGTAGCTCTTGCCACACATGCACAAAAACACTCACGAAAGTAAACAAGGAAATGAATGCCACCATAGAACAAATGGTAGCACATGCATAGGCAATCTGTAATTTGCGGTCTCGGTCCATATTTACAGCGAGCTGTTTTTCATCCATTCTAATTGCCCTTAAACCTTAAAGTCATAAATACTACACTTCAAATAAAAACTACAAATGGCGCCCTCTACTGTTTCCTTGACTTAATCATCTTTTCTCTTCGCATGATTATGTCGAACTAATCACAAAGAAAATTGTGGAGCGAGGCTCCAGATGAAAATCTGACAACTTGGGTTTCTGTAACATACACCTAAGTCTGAATACATGACTATTCCACAATTTCGCATACATCAAGCTGTTGATGCGATACAAAATGGAGCCGACACAAAAATTTTCACTGTTTTTTTTTTAAATCATATTAAAAGCCAAACCCTCAAAAGCCTAGGAAAAGGACTGGCAGGTGCGAGTGTGCCCGGAAAAATGAATTGCATGTTCTCTAAAGCTAGTTTCAGTTCCTGCTGTAGCACAATGTCACGACACTTTTAACACGACATTTTCAACGTGCTCACGCAAGAAATCATGACATTTACACAGCCGCTACACTCTATGGCTCCACTGGTGATGCATAAGCGGTCATTTTTAATGTTTTGGTACTCGACGGCACCACAACTAGCCACACTAGTGCGCGAAATCGTCAGAACTGACACGGCAGCCAGACATCGTGCTGGTGTCACATTCAATAGGTGCACCGCGCAAGCACTGACTTGATTGCCAAAATAAATTATCCTTCTCAGGATTTATTATGCTCCAAGCTTGTTCAGAGCTGTCTCTGCATAAAGGAGATCCGTGTGGGGGAGCAAACTCAGCTTTGCGCATTAGTATCGGTACCCTTTTAATTAAGCTAAGCAGCGTAAAGCTGTAGTCGCTTGTATGCAGGAGTGAGATCGTGATGCTGGAAAGTGGTCATGAGAAGCGGGGGATTTTCAAACTATAATAAGCGGAAAACCCTTACGCCTGCCCCTTCCTCCTCTTCCTCTTTTTTTCCGGTGCCTCTCGTTCGCCAAATGAATTCCGAGGACAGCGGTAACTGAGATGGCCCTCTTCCTGAAAAAGAAAAAAAGCACAACAATTATAGGCACAGGTACGGTGAAGTATGCGAAGAGTTTTGTTTATCTCGTTTCAAATTTTGCCTTCTGTTTCAGCAAATCTTTAAAAATGGAGACACATGTGTTAGCACCCCGTCCATAGCATTGCTTGATTTTGAGTTGAATTACTTGGAGAATACCTAATGACGTTGCAGGCCAACGATTTTTTTTTTGTCATAGTGTATAGGCTGCACATGCATGTTCCGTTCTGTCTTCTTTTTCTATTTGACTGACGGATTCAATTGTTATTCGTGGTACCGTGGTTTAGGTTCTGGCTTAGGAACCGGTTCTCTGGCCCCCAGGGGCCGCTCTGCCTTTGTACATAATGCTTGTATATAGTAATAAAAAGAGTTTCGTGAGCGTCCGCCTGTGTCTCCACTGCGGCTCTCTCCTTCGTCTACGGCCGGCACTATGGGCGCCGTCCCCTTGTTTTTCGTCAATGTCACATCTGACGCGCGATACATTATTCAGTGCCTGTGTTGTTTAGTTCTCTTTTGTGTGTTTTCACGCTGTTTCAATCTGGAACACACACCAACTGGCACAACGCTAAAATCTGCAGTAGGTTTTTACTTACGCCACACTCGAAGCACCTCGATTTGTCCTTGTATTCTTTACGACGGATGAATTCGGGTGCTCGGCCGTTGTACTTTGCGATGCTTGCACGCAGCGTGCGTCCCATTAACGGCTGGTTGTTTAGTGCAGATGCGCATTTGGTGGCCGATTCGGGATCCATAAAGAGCACAAACGCGACTCCCTTGCTCTTCCACGTTTGCTTGTCCTTCATGACAGTCACCCTGCATACAGAATATGATGTTACAGTATTATATATTTCCACTTGTTCCCACTGTTTACTCATACGAGAAAAAAAACGAAGATTGTTTGTAGTGTTCCTTTGCTTTAGTAACGAGCAAAGGGACACCAAAGAAAAAACAAAACAATTTTTGTCGTACTAGTAAATTTATTTTTTCAAAATATCAAAATCATCAAGCCTGCTGCAAAAAGACGCTTGGTAAGCAAGAAAACACGCGACATGAAAATGCAGGAGGCAATGCCACCTTGAAGTTCCCGAACTAGTCGCCACGACATCGCAAATTTTTACGTCTCCTGAGGCCTAAATAGTAAAAATGAAGCACAGTCAGCCACAAAAGTTTGCGGAGCACGCGAACGTGCCGAAATGCTTGTCTGCACAACTTAGTGGTGCGCCATCTATCGTCTACCGCAGTGCCAGGCCGGAAACGGGTCGTCTTGTTATTCACTGGTCTTCCAAATTTCTACTGACACATAGCCAATGGCTAAGTCAGTTTGTGACACAATTCCGACTAATAGCAGTTATGTTCATGAAGTGCTTTAGGGGCACAAGCACGTGGACGCAGATTCCAAGAAGGGTGTCGCGTTAAAAGTGAAATGCGAAAATAATTTGTACCCAGACAGAAAAGAGACAGGCCATAGATTAAGGGAGGGATGCTTCTCAGCGCTGCGGTGCTGTTGACCACCGCTGACGTAGCGGAAGTGTCGCGTAAAGGCTTTTGGTCTTGCGCACGAGTGGTCTGTTAACTTCCGTGGTTGAGATTTCTCACTCTCACACACACACACAGGTATATATATATATATACACACACACTTGAGTCATGCAGAAAAAAAAAAGCAATACTGCATTAGTGGACTGTGATAGAATGAATACAGCCAACTGACGACACTTATGTTGTGCATGAATGACCTCAAGCGTGTGGTAAGTTTCCCATTATGAAGGGAGGAATTAGAAAGTGCATGATAGACAACCAGATTAATTTTCACACATTGCAACAGATTGGAAAATGCCCTTGAAACGGTCCTATCATCTTGTATTTTTTGCAAAGAGCCACAAAATAGCTCAAAATAAAGCTGAGTATATGTATTTTCTTGTACCTGCGTTGAAGAGCGGTGCACTGGCACAAGACATACAACGAACAGAGCTGTTCATTGTAAGTCCTACATAACAAGAAAATATATGGAAAGCCTACAAGAGATATTGTTGAGGCTAAGGTTATATCATCCCTACGTTCAACGCCTCCTCTAGGAAGATGCCTGCCGCATGAGAAAAAAAAACAGCTGCCACACCCTTTCCCTCTTTCATTTTGAAAATGTTCTCGGTCGCTAGCGTCACCTGTGGCGGACGGTGCAACAACGCAACACTTTGCATAGCTTCCGAAACAGTAGTGCACAGTTGCAAATCTCGAACAACTCTCCACTGACGCGCCCCTATGGGCCGCAGATGAAGAATGCTGTCCGTCGCCGTGGTAATGATGATGATGATGATCTCTGTGGTCTTCCCCTTTATACCGGGGGGGCACCTTTTAGTGTCCTGACCAGAACGAGAAACAAATAAAAAAACGAAAAAAAGGAAAGAAAAATCACACCAGGTCCATGAACATCACAATTGTTCACTGTCTCCTTGACCACCACTGTAGAAGCCTTGCTTTGGTTATTGCTGTCGCTGCCAGGGGGTGCACGTTGGTATCGCGGCTGTCGCCTCCCGGTGCGCCGCAGTCTTTCACAAAGCCGAGTGCCTCCGGTAGTGTGGCGCCATCTATCTGACGGGGACACAGGCGTTCGCAGTGAAGCACCAGGTGTTCAATGTTCTCCTCGTCCTTCCCGCATGTCCTTGCACAACACAGTGCCGTCGGCCAACAACGGGTCGAAGTGACGGCGATACACCTGAGTACGGAGCGCTCCAGCACGGGCCTCAAACAGAAGCGCACTGCGACATTATGGTCGTATGATCGTTCGGCGGAGATGGTGGTCTTGTGAGCTCTGTATAGGGCCAGGCTGGGTTTCTTCTCCATAGCCGCCTGCCACATAGACGTCTCAGCTTCCTGCACTCTATTCCGTACTCCTACTGCCCATTTCCTCTCACTGTCCTCCTGGACAGGGTCAGTAAAAAGGGAGTACTTGCGGCACAGATTGTGGAGACGCCTGCGCCATGGTGTGTTCATGCCCTTGATAGCTGTGTATCTAAATACACGACGGGCCCACCACTGGTCGTTCATGAGATGAAGACGTCCTTCATAGGCCGCCTTGCTCCTTGCCTCGCGTGCCTCGTAACTTGACCATCCTAGGTCGCCCTGTACAGCTTCGACAGCTACACGTCCATGACACGCCAGCGCCAGTCGCCCAACCTCACGCTGACCTCTTTCCAACCACTGGCGTGTTGCTGCAGACAGGCAGATGACAGCGTTGGCGAATGCCAGCCCTGGCACATGTACTGCCTTCCACAGTTCGCGCACCAGTACAAACCGGTTGCACCCCCACAGACTCCGCCGTCGCAGCACGTTGGCGGCCCTCACAGAAGCCTGTCGAACGTGCTCCTCTTGCTTGACATAGATATCTGCGGAGGTGCAAAGGTTGACACCGAGATACCGGTACTGGTTTGATACCGGAATGCTTCCTCTGTCGAGAAGCTGCACATCAATGGTCTCCACGCCTGAAAACTGCAATATGGCCGATTTTTTGGCATTGAAGTGAAGGCCCAGACTCTTCAGGTGGTCGGCCGCCAGTGTTACCAACCTCTGAAGGTCACTGCTGCACTCAGCCAGTAATACTAGATCATCAGCGAACACCAAGCCGGGCAGCGTCCATGTCTGCGCCACCCCACCAATCATGAGTCGGAACGCGAAGCCAACTCCCGATTCTACGAGTGCCTGCTCGAGTCCCGCCACATATAGCATGTATAGCAGCGGAGACAAAGGGCAGCCCTACCTGAGTCCTCTTGTCACCCTCAGGCTGTGTTCTGGTGCCTCTGAAGCATGCTACCACCGAGCTATCTGCATAGAGCCACCGGAGAAAGTCTGTCCACACGCTCGGCATTTGTCGTTGGTCTAACTGGTGGAAAAACTCCTCATCTGGCACACTATCATAAGCCTTGGCAACATCCAGAAAGCATCCAAGCAGACCTCTGGTTTCTCTCCATGCCACCTCGATGGTCTGGGTGAGCACGAAAAGATTGTCTTCCAAGCGTCGGTTCCATCGGAAGCTATTCTGGAGTTCCGACAGTATGCCCCTCTTCTCCGCCCAGCCGCTCATCCACACCTTCAAGACTTGAGCGAAGAGTCTATATAGGACGCTCGTCACCGTGATTGGTCTATAGTCGCCCAGCAGTCCAGCGTCGCCTCCTCTCTTGCACACGAGGCTTACTCTGCCGCATTGCCAGTCGGGTGGGATTGGGCCGTTCTTGAGGATGGTATTGAAAATTCCCGCGAGGTGTTCTCGAGCAGACTTCCCCAAGCATTTCACAAGGCCCGCCGGTATGCCGTCCAGTCCAGTAGCTGTGCTTGCACTGATACGCGGGAGTGCACGCTCAAGAGCGATCCTCGTTATCTGCCAATGGTCCTCTTCACTTGGTTGGTGAGGCTCACCCGGGTCGCCGTTTACTGCTGAGGTCGATTCGTCATGTGTGGGATTGAAGAGCTCTTGCATGGGGGTCGTGAGGTGCGCTGTGAGGTCGGTGACCGGTAGATTGCTAGAGTGGTGTCAAATTTCAGGTGCCGGAGTTTGGCGATCTAACGAAGACACATATTTCTAAAATTTGTTTGCACCGTTACGCCCTGCCTCTGTGATAGCTCGCAATTGTCTGCTATTGTACTGAGCTATTTTGCTTTGTACGAGGATCCGCATCTCTCTTTTGAGGCGGAGGTATTCCTCCCAGGTACTCATGCACTCCTCTCCGGGTGATGTCCTAACAGCCGCTCTGTGTAGGCGATTCGCCGTTCGTCTTGCAATAAGGGCCCCTTGTACCTCTTCGTCCCACCAGCCTTTGAGCCTTAGGCCGCCGCGGGAATTTACGCAAATTTCGTGCTTCTTCATGATGCGTCGCAATTCGAGCACAAATTGATCATATGTTGGGGGTTCCGTCGGTTGAAAGTTCTGCTCGAATGCTTCCGCGACTGCCGCATACTCCGACTGCGGGAGGTGCCTCTCAGCTGGGTTGCGATGTTCCTTCGCAATGGTTCGCCAGGAGGATTGAGAAAAGCTCAACTTGATTCGGTTGTGGTCACTTCCTATGCTGAATTCACCCTTTTCATCGATGTTCATGTGGGTGAGACGTCGTGCTAAAGCAGGTGTCGCAAGCACGTAATCAATACAGCTGCGACTGTTCCTGGCGCTCCAGGTGTACTGTCCTTCACATTCTGGACGAAGATTTAGCACATCTAAGGCGAGTGTACGTGCCAGTGCCAGTAGTAGTTCCCCATTGGTATCTTGGAAGCCATCCAGAGCTTGGAGGTGCCCATTGAAATCGCCCTTAATGAGAACCTCTCGCTGGCTTGCCCATCTTGCCACGTCTTCCCTGATGCACTGCGCCATTCTTGAGCTCCAACAGATACGGCAAAGTAGGCCACCCCTACCAGGACTGCCAGCCCTTGCAGGTAGCCCTCGACCCACATATGCTCAACACACGGGCTGTCCAGTTTCTTCCAAGCTGACCTAGTTTTCCACAGGAAACCTATTCCTCCCCCTTTCCTCGATTCACCTAAACGGTTCAAGCCAGCCCACTGCCAACTTTTATGTACTGGTGGCTCTTCCATGACTCGAAGGTGTGTTTCAGCCACGGCATATATCTCTATGTCTTCGTCACCTATCATCTGATATAGTTCTTCCCATTTGCTCGCCGTTCAAGCACCATGTAGGTTAAGGAAGCCTACATGTATGTCCTCGTTCTTCTTGCGGCTGCGGCGACGGCGGGCCGTCTTTTTCTTTACGTCCTGTGCCAGGAGCGCTTCTGCCTCTTCTGTGGATTGGCCATTTGTAGGATTGCCTGTCCCAGGGCAGTCATCATGGAGGTTGTTGGTTTCACCCTCCATGCCCTGTGCTTGTAGTTGCCCGACGGGCGAAGCCCTAAAAAAGCACATAGTCTGCGTCCCAATCGTTGCCCTAGTTGCTCGGCGACGTATTCACTGTAGGAAGTTCCATTCATTAGTGGAAGTGTCGGTCGCGAGCGCCACCGCGCGGAGCTTATTTAAAACTGAAGGCAGGCCAACTCTACTGGGAGCGCGAGCCATACCTCAGGCATCTTTCTAGAGGAGGCGTTGCTACGTTCCATGCACACACGGAGGACGGAAAGGTGCATGCACATCAGCACCCCGTCACTCAATCTCAGTGAAAATGAAGTCCCCTAAGAAATTAGTTTCGTACGCACCATTCGTCATGTGGTTTTTATTGAGCGATACGAATGGCAATAAAACATTATGTTGGAAGTTAGCGCCTGTGCTTTTGTGTCTTCTTCTCGAGTCCCCATTCATTCAGCGCTACGTCAACGAGCGCCAACAAGCACGACTTTCGACAATCCCGAAAGACATCGTTCACTGCGGGAGTTGACGGGGAATGGCACCACGCGCGACGAATATATCGCGTACACTTACTTGGCAACCTTGCCATACTTCTCGAAGATCTGGTGCAGGTCATTGTTTGTGAGCTTGAACGGCAAATTGCTCACGTACACGGTGCTTTTGCTCGGCTTGAGACCCGCGCTCATGTCGCCGACGCTTCGGTTCGAAGATAAAGCTGTGCGCTCCAATCAGTTGCAAGTGCTGCAGCCAGTCAGACTGACGAGCACGTTTTTCATTCTTATGAAGGCAAGAAGCGTTCGAAATCCTGATGACTGTTTCCTGGTCACATGAGGAGGAGCATTTTCGCGTTTCGTTAGACACGGTACCGTGCAAGAAGCAGCTATGACACTGTCTTGGATTCATTCGACTTGTACGAGATTACGGGCACTTAAATCACGATCTGCTTTCGATCACGACCGCTCTGGATAGAGTGAACTAGCTTCCTTCGTGTTTCACAATCGAGATTGATCAGGATCTGTTTGCTCTACCACAATTGACTTCCAACTAGGTTTTATGTAAATAAGCCGAAAGCACGATACTAGACCTCTGTCAAACTCGACTACAATCAAAATGGGGCCCCACCTGACCAGTTCAAAGAAATTGTGCCAATGAAGCGGCAAACCTTGCCAATGACTCTTCAAATTTTTAATAAAGGGGTAAAATAATAAAGTAAGAATTACGTTTTAAAATATTTGTTAGTTAGAAAGTTAATTTTTTTAGCCTTGGATAGGCTTTGTCTTCCTCCATGACCGTGCTCCATGATCATCGTCAACGATTGTCATCAAACGGCAGCGTCCATGAAAGCGAGGCGCCCGGCTTCAAACGGGTCGCTCCGGCACTCTCGAGTGTCGAAAATTTATGTGAAGGCGTCCGTGAAATTCAGTAAGCGCAAGTCTGGATGATCCAGCGGCAATGATAGCTGCAGGGGAGCCCCTGGAGTTCGTGCCGTACGGCAGCGAATACCTGACGCATCACCCTGGAAACGTGCGGCACTGCAGCGATGGAGGGAACGCCGGCGATCGAGTCCCGACAAGCGCTACGGAACTCTCGGAAGCCCTGCAGGGCGTCTCTCTGTGCATCGAGGACGGCCCCCAGCAGGCCAGAACCTCCTTCTGGAAACTGCGCGAAAGCCCTTCACCGGAAGACGACGACTCCGACGGGGAAGAGGAAATCTACGCATCGTCCAACACCGTAGTCTGGAGCAAGTCGAACGGCGGCGACGTGCGCACGGTTTTGCGGACTTTCAACATAAGCGGGAAAATTCAGGACGCCCTTTGGTGCGAGTTTCTGATGGCCGATTACCAGGCGAGGCACCTCTTCGGTAGCGCCAGCGCGTCGGAGACAGAGACGAGAGTGCCCTGCGTGTGCATCTTCGAAGAGAGCGCCGGAACGCTGCACTGTTTTTCGCGCTCCGGTGAGGATTACACGCGCTCGGTACCTTTCGTCGTGTCCCGGCTGTGGCCCATGCGGTACGGACTGCTAATCGAGCGCCGATCGCGAGACGTCGCCGCACAGGCGACGTCGCACTTGCCTCCCGCGACTCCCAGGGAGCACTCCGCTGCCGGCGCCATGATGTTCAGTCTCCTGCACCCTTTGGACGAAGTTGCACCCGTGGTGAGTCGAACTGCGGTGCACGGACACGTTCCCAGGTTCGGCTACATGCAGTGCGGCTCCGACGTCGAAGTCGTGTACGTGTGCGAAGAGCCTTCGCTACTCGTCATGTTCCACGGGTCCCAGGCGTCGCACAGCGTGTGGGAAGTGCGTCGCACCACGGACGAGGAAGACCAGTACGTCGACACCTCCGCCGTCGCGTACAACAGCGACCGGATTCCGAGCTTCTTCCGCGCCGCCTCCGTTGCGTCTTCGCCGGCCGCCTGGTCGTCTTTCGGTTGTTCGCCGCGACGTTCCCATGGCTCCCCCGCCAGCGGTCGCTCTACGCTGGACCGGGCCTCAAACTCCAACCACTACAGCCACTCACCTCTGGCGCACATGGCGTACCTGAGCCGATCGCAGTCTCCGTTGCCCAGCGGAACGCCCCTGTTCGCTTCTAGCCACGAGAACACGTTTAACACGACGAGCCTTGCGTACGATCCGTGTGAGCCTCAGGCTTCCCCGCTCGTACCGGACATTTGCCTGGACCAGCTTTGGTGCGAGCCGCAGGCTTCGGGTGAGAGAGCCTCCAAGGCGTTTGTGATCCGCGACATGGTCGGGAACGCATACCTCTGCTTCCACCTGAGCTCGCGGAAGACGCTAAAGTTCGTCAGCCTTAGCAAAGGCAGCGCGCGCCCTACGCTCAAGGAGTGCGACTCCATATCGGCGCTGGATGTCCAGTATCTGCAGTCCCTGAAAATGCTGCTCGTGCTTGACCTGAACCACAGCCTCACCCTCTATGCCGGACCCACTAGACTATGTAAGGTCCACGTGCCTTCGTTTGTGTTTGCGCCTACAAGCGAACTTGAGTGCTCGCTCGCGCGTGCTTCCCCCGGGCCCGGCCACGTGCACGAAGGGGCTGAAGATTCGCGACCCTTACCGCTGCCACACCATGTCTCCCTGCAGGATGCCGTCAGAAACCGTGTCACATTGGAGTCGTCGTCTGGAACATACTATCGACTCAGCCTTCCTGCAATGTCCAAGGACAGGATCGTAAAACGTTGTCTGAAAGCTCTGTCTACAGTCCTGCCCCAGGAACTGGGCGTCCAAGTGCTCATGAAGTGGTACATGTCGAGAAATGCACCCGGACCAACAGACTTGACGGCATCGACTGAAATGCATTCTTTTTTGTTGTTCATTCTGGGGACGGTTGGTTGCATTGCTGCTAGCAATGGCTTGCAACAAGTTGGTGGCATGGACCTCGACGTTGTAACACCTGTGGCAGTGAAAAAATCTAAATCAAGTGAAAGAGGCTCCAATGTAGACTGGGAGTATTTGCTAGAACGGTCAGGAGGTTCTCTCAGTCCAGCATCAAAAGGTGTGCCAAAAGTAGGCCCAAAGATGCCGCTATTTGTTCCTAGCTGCGAGACATTGGCTAGCAATGTTGCACCCCTACAGGAGCATGCCTTCAGTGTGCTGACTGCACTCCATCTTGTCTACGAAGACGCCAAGCTGGATGTGCTGGAGTGGCCCTCATTGCCTCGATTTGCAGAGTTCCTCTATAGGCTGGCTGTTCATTTGCACTTGAAGTCTTATCAAGACCTTTACAGAAAGGACTTCCCAGAAAAAATCAGAATCGTCGACATTGCATCTACTGCACATATTTCTGAGGGTGAACCAAGGACTCCGTCTTCGTTTCCTTTGTCGCCACCGAACATATTTTCCTGGATCACACATACGATGGCACATCCAAATGACAAGTCCAGATTTCTTTATATTCCTGGAACGACGAGATCTCTCAAAGCAGTTGTGCTTCTTTACTCTGTGCTCTCTCGCCCGCTGGAGTGTTCATTTTCTACTGACCTCCTGCAGGATGTTTCTGCTGCATTACTAGGAAAATGCGAAAACCATAAATTTTCTTTTCACAAGGAGAGTGGTGTAGGTGAGAGGATAGTCTCTCTCCTTGTCAAGCTTGGCATCAATTTGGATAAGCTTTCGCGTTGGCCCTCGGGAGTAGTCGCACCACTTCAAGACGCCATGGTCGAGTGTCAGGACAGCCCATCTCTTGGTTGGGGCCCAGTGGCGTGTCGCTTAGTTGGAAGGGAAGATCTTGCCGAGCTCACAGCGCACAAGCAAAGTTGCCTTGCTAAGATGCCTCTGCCATCTGTGCAAGAAAACCCAAAGCATGCATCGAGCTTTATTGAAAAGGACAACGGCTTTGAGCTCCTCAACAAAGAAATGTGTAAGCTAAAGTTCAGTAAAGACCAACGCATAGCTGAGGCATGCCGCATGCTTCAGTCTTCAATGCCAGTGTGCATCTCAATCCAGCAGAGGCCGGAAGTAACCGACCATGAATTTGTGGAGGAACAAGAACGCCATTTGTACGGCTTGTGCATTCGCACTATGGCTCTTCCTGTGGGGAGAGGTATGATAACACTGCGCAGCTGCCAGCCTGTACTTGCCGACCCATTGCCAGTTCCAAAGCTCTGTCTTACGGGGCGGGTTCCCCTGAGAAATGCCACAGTTGACATGTCTCACATTGAAGTGCCCCCAAATATGAACACGTGGCCCTTGTTTCACAATGGTGTTGCAGCTGGACTGCGGGTTGCACCCGATGCAAGCGACGTGGACTCAAGTTGGATTACCTTCAACAAGCCCAGAGCCAGCACCGCTACAGATGCCACTATCGAGCATGCTGGCTTCCTCCTTGGTCTTGGCCTCAATGGCCACCTGTCTGCTCTCAGTACCACGGCAATCCATGATTATATGCTAAGAAACCACGAGCTGACTAGCGTCGGGCTGCTACTTGGCTTGGCTGCTTCTAAGCTGGGCAGCATGGACCTAGCGGGCACGAAACTGATGAGCATTCATGTTGAAACCCTTCTGCCGCCTACCTCTACAGAATTGGATGTTCACCCACTAGTATGCGTGGCGTCCGTCATGGGTCTAGGACTGCTCTACGCAGAGTCTGGTCACAGCCAGATGGCAGACATACTCCTTGGAGAGATTGGTCGCCCTCCTGGGCCAGAGATGGATCATTGCATTGACAGGGAAAGTTATGCACTGGCTGCCGGGCTTGCTTTGGGCTTAATCATGCTTGGAAAAGGTGGCTCTCTGTCCTACCATTCTAACTTGCGCATGGCTGAGCAGCTTCACCATTATATGGTTGGTGGACGTATGCGGTCGGCGGGGAGCCAGCGGGAGAGATTTCGTTCTCCAAGCTACCAAATTAGAGAAGGCAACACTGTCAATGTTCATGTCACCAGCCCAGCAGCTACCCTTGCCCTTGGCATGATGTTCTTCAACAGCGCTGATAAGGCGGTTGCTGGCTGGATGGCTGCTCCAGAAACACAGTATCTCTTGGACATGGTCAGGCCGGACTTTCTTCTCCTCCGGACGCTAGCCTCTGGACTCATTCTATGGTCAGATGTCTGCCCCACAAAGGCCTGGATTCAGAGTCATATACCTGAAGTGGTGGCTACTTATGCATTTCAAAAGGCGTCTGAAGATGTAGATATTGACCACGAGACCATGAGTCAAGCATACTGCAACATATTGGCCGGAGCTTGCCTTTGCATTGGCCTCAAATTTGCAGGCTCTGCGAACTACGAGGCATTCCATATCCTCCGTCATTACACAATGTACTTTTTGGACTTGCAGAAACAGGCTGTGGCCGAGCAAGCTGGACGAAACACATTGGAGACCTGCCTCCTCGTCAACGTGTTGAGTCTGTCTCTCGTCATGGCTGGCACTGGTGACCTTGAAGTAATGCGCATCTGCCGCCTCCTCCGACTGCGTTCCACTCACGCTTCAAGCCATGTCCTGTACGGTTCTTACTTGGCAACACACATGGCGTTGGGCTTCTTATTCCTCGGTGGTACTGAACTCACTCTTAGCACACGGCCCATGGCCATTGCAGCTTTGCTGTGTTCCCTCTTCCCATGTTTTCCAATCCACAGCAGTGACAACCGCTACCACTTGCAAGCCTTCAGGCATCTTTACGTTCTTGCCGTGGAGCCTCGCCACTTACTGCCAGTGGACTCCATAACCGGGAATGTCGTCTACAGCCATATAACCGTCTCCTTCAAGCCAACGAATGCCTATGGTGCCTGCAACTATGTGTTGAAGGCACCTTGTCACCTTCCTGAACTTGACCTCTTGGACAGCGTCAGCTTGAACGATCCTCGCTACTGGCCAATTACCTTCAGGCGCGACAAAAACTGGGACCTCCTCAAACAGGCGCTCTTGAACCGGGGCCGACTGTGCGTCAAGCACAAGGCTGGTTGCCTACCGTATGCTGTGGATCCCACAGGCTGCAAGACGGCTTTTGAGCAAAGTGCTATAAAGGACTTGCTACGTGGATGGTCAACGAGGTCCAAGGTATCTGCCTGTTTCTCTGAGAACACTGTCATTTCAAAATTCACCGAGTTCTTTCTGCGAGTGCGTGCATCTGGCGACTCCGAGCAGGCTCTGCAGCATGCCTTTGGCACCATACTTCTAGAGTGCACCATGCGCGAGAGGGTGGACACACTTTCCACGCTCTTCGATCTGTTCCAGACGGCCAGGCACAACTTCATGCAGTCTACGCTACCACTGTGGCAGGCCAAGATTGTCCTGACCTACTACGACTACTGCAGAGGCCCAAAGCAACAACTCATTGACAAGTCTTTTGCCCTCACCCTGCGGGCACGCATTGCGGCCGCCATTGACGACGTCCTGCCCAAAGAGAAGCTGCGCACAGCGGTGCAGACATATGTGAAGGACGGGCCCAGTGTACCTGCAGCCGTGCTTCCATTCCTTGTGTGGCACGACATTTCGTACCCTCTGTCAAATACTCGCCAAAGTTCGGACAGCGCTACTCATTTCCTTGCCTTCTGCCTTGAACATCTGGCACCAGCCATTGGCATTGAGACAGTCCTGCAATCGCTGCTATGAATGTGCCGCTGGTTACAACTGTTGCCGACTTATATATGCATGTTTTGTTGATTCAACTTTCGTGTATCTAGCTATTAACCTATTTAATTAATAAATGCATGTTTTGTTGATCCAACTTCAGTGCCTTAATTTCAAGGGAGACTGCCCTGTGGCGTAGTGGAAACAGAAAATTTTAATGCAACCTCTGCAGTGTGCAAGAAGTTCAGCAATGTTTTGCAATTACAAATGCTTTTCACTTTCCTATATGAAGTCAACTTGGTGCACCATACTGTTTGTGCAAGGGGTTGGGAGCCTGTTATGCCTGGATTAATACACAAAAGGTGGTACACATTGGTATTTTCAACGTTCCTCGAGTGGAAAATCGCTTTGAGGCCTTACCTATGCTAGTAATTGGCAGATGCTGCATGACAGGGAATGTGGGTGCTACACAACAGGTTACAGTATAGCCTAGAGGAGAGTCTAGAGGACTGGGACAGGAGTGGGTGTATGTACCGCAATGGTTCACGTGTCTTTAAAGACCATTATAAGCAGATATACTCTGCAACAACCTTTCTTAGCATTGGAGCAAACGCTACTGAGCCAAATCACGTGTCTACCAACGCCAGTGAATATAGTTCTATCATCATCATCATCAGCCTGACTACGTCCACTGCAGGACAAAGGCCTCTCCCATGTTCCGCCAGTTAACCCGGTCCTGTGCTTGCTGCTGCCAATTTATACCCGCAAACTTCTTAATCTCATCTGGCCACCTAACCTTTGGTCTCCCCCTAACTCGCTTGCCTTCTCTGGGAATCCAGTTCCATAATTGAACCCATATTTCTAACGCAAAATACTTTACTTTTTATGTGGAGCTATTTGAGACGAGATGCAGCTCACACCAGTAAGCTTTTCATATTAATTATAGTTTATTCGTAGTGACTTCGCATTTTCGAATGCACGAGGAAGGTCCATCTTTATATGTGTACTTGAAACACCAAGCAGCGTCTGCATCTACATGAAATGCTAATGGTGTGCCCCTGCAACTTTTCACAGCGTTACGAGACGAGCGACGAAATGAACTAGTTCACATAGTGCTACATGTGCAGAAGCTCTGCCTTCGTCGCTTTCCCTTCAGTGTCGAGAAATGTTGTGGCCGAGTATAGTTCAGCAGAAAACACTGAATGGTGTTGCAAATACTATGCTGCATGGCTAGTGTTTGACACTGGAAGCTTCATCAAAATATCCGTAATTGGTGAAGTCCCTGAATCTTTGCAAGGAAGAAAGTAGAACTGATATTTCTTGTTTAGTTGAGCTTGAACGCAGAATGGTGTTCAAACGATATAATACAGGTCCAAAAAATCTGCGAAACTTCCAATATGTACTGGTTCCTGCAGGAACTGCACACTGGATCCGACATATTATTACAGCTCTTGACGCTAGCCAGGCAATGAACGCTGAATTTTTTTCTACTAAAGTGGCATGAAAAACAGCCTTTCGTCACTTCAATATATTGGGCCAATTGATATGATAAATGCCGTGCCAGTCATTATCAAAGGCCGACATGTCATCGCCAGACTCGTCGAAGGCAACAAGTGTGCCTTCACTAGAACAACACCAATCCTTCAGCAAACTCTGTTTATTTATATGAACTGTGGCGGCAGTCTTCACTGAGCTGCGCTCCTTCAAGACTGCTGTGCTAACATCAGGGAATTCTCGTTCGATCGTATGCTTCCCCAACGTCCAGGGTGCGTCAAAAATTTCCAGACCACTATTCCATATATTTCTAAGAAAGCATGGCCTGAGAACTTTTAACCAGGACTGTACATTCAAGAATGTACAGTTCACGAAGGCCTCGTCGTCGTCGATAAGCAATGTATCGCAGTGCGCTTTAATCATTATTTTCAAAGTGTATTTTCTAGTTCTAATACCATTGTAAACCCTAATCGCTTGCCATGTGACTCGAACACTGATATTGTATCACAATTAGGTGTGGTATCAATGTTACTGAACCTTAAAATTAAATTATCTCCAGGAACAGACAACATACCGAATGCCTTTCTGCGCAGATATGCTGAAGCGTTAGCCCCCTTTTTGGTAATCATTTTTCGTTCCTCGTTGTCGTCAGCTATTCTTTCTGCAGATTGGCTAACTGCGCGTGTCGTTCCCATTCCGAAAAAGGGCGACGCAGCACAAGTAACCAATTATCGACCCATTTCATTAATGTCCACGTGCTGCAAATTAGTTGAACATATTATTGCTAAAGAAATAACAAAGTTTCTAAATGATAACAATATACTTTCTCCTCACCAGCATGGTTTTTACAAAGGGTTATCGACTGTAACACAATTAACGACAATTATTCACTACTTTGCTAGTACACTTGACAAGTCGAGCCAAATCGACGTGATATTTCTGGACTTTAAGAAAGCGTTTGACCTTGTTCCTCACAGTAAACTTATTGAAAAACTGCAGTCAATTAACCTTCCCGCATACATAGTTAACTGGGTAGCAGCATATCTGCATAATTGCAAACAGTTTGTATCAATCAGTAATGACTCTTCTAATGAACTTTCAGTAACGTCTGGAGTACCCCAGGGTAGTGTTTTGGGACCTTTGCTATTTCTAATATATATAAATGACATCGTTAACGAACTTTTTCCCCTATTCAAATTAGGCTATTCACAGACGATTGTATAGTGTTTAACGAAGTTTGTTCTCTTAATGATCAATTAATGCTTAATTCTAACCTTCAAAACATCTTGTCGTGGTGCGGGCGATGGGGTATGGAATTGAACAAGGAAAAAACAGTCTACATGTCTATAACAAAAAAAATTAATATGATGTCGTTTGCTTATAACCTAGGATCTACACCGCTCACCAATGTAACAAATACAAGTATCTTGGAATCATGATAACTAGTGACCTAAGTTGGAATAACCACATTTCCAACATATGTAACTCCTCCTTCAAGAAACTGTCTATCCTCAGGCACAAAATAAAGCACACTCCTCATTATACTAAAATGCTAGCCTACACTTCACTCATTCCCCCGAAACTAGAATATGCAAGCATCGTATGGGATCCCTACACAAAAACTAACATAAACGCTCTAGAGATGATTCAACGCAGAGCAGTTAGGTTCATTTTTTCTAAATATAGAATAACTGATCTCCCACTAGCCTAATGAAACAACATAATATCCAGACACTTCAGCTTCGAAGGAAAATACACAGGCTAAAATTTCTTTACCAACTGAAAAACAACTCTTTCTCTCCGAACCCACACGCGTAAGTGACACCACTTGCAGCACGTCGAACACGGCATCGTCACACATTTTGTTTAACACCATATAAGACCAGAACTAACCTTTTCAAATATTCTTTCTTTCCGCGCACTATAAACAATTGGAATAATCTGCATTTATCACAACTAATAAGCGCAGATTCCATTGAACATATATCTACTTGATGTTTCGCCATTGTCATGTTGATTAATCTTTCATTTCTTATTTTTAGTGTTCCTTTTTTCGTATTTCAATTCTTTTTTTTGTATTTCAAGTGTCTTGCGGGGTATAGGCATATGTTTACGCGCATGCAATGTGTTCTTACTTTTGTTATTTCTTTCTGAGGTTGTTTTCATTGATTATGTTTTTCGTATTTCTTCAGTGTACGTCTTACTTAGTTGTGACTTTTTCCTTTTATTTTTTTGTGATTGCTGTTCATGTATATATACATATACATATATATATTTATATTCATGTATTTGCCCTCCTGCTTGGACCCAAATAGGGTCTGCAGTATTGTATAAATAAATAAATAAGAATAAAATAAAGAACCTTTGTCTCACTTTTTTTTTTCTTTTTGCACTGTGTCACATTGATTGATATGTGAGGTTTAACGTCCCAAAACCACTATATGATTATGAGACGCCGTAGTGGAGGGCTCCGGAAATTTCGACCACCTGGGGTTCTTTAACGTGCACCCAAATCTGAGCACACGGGCCTACAACATTTCCGCCTCCATCGGAAATGCAGCCGCCGCAGCCGAGATTTGAACCCGCGACCTGCGGGTCAGCAGCCGAGTACCTTAGCCACTAGACCACCGCGGCGGGGCCACTGTGTCACATGGTGAAGGAACAGAACAGAGAGGAATGGGACAATTACTCCAAATTGACGGGACAATTACTCCCCCAACTCAACTGTTTCATTCCTCCCAAATTACGTTCAGTGGCTAAAGTTCAGTCCCAATGCCTAAACTATTCCTTTGAAGTACAGCACTGATGCGTTTTTGGAGACAAATTGACAATAGCATCCACAAAGCAGCTGAAATCTGAGCGTTACAACTGTGATAGCAGAAACTTACTTTGAACATGTGAAAAGGTCGACTTCCAGTTACACAGAGCTCCGTTCGCTGAAAACGCCTGCCATCGCCTTCATGAAATTACTCTGCTAGCACCATTTCACGAGTCATTGACTAACGTCTTTGAAGTAGCTGCAGAAGAGGACATGGTGCCCCATTCCTCAAACCGTCCCAAACCCCCAGACTCTCCCCTATTGGCATTACAGAAGTTGCAATCATGACTGTTCCGCCAGCATAGAAGCGACAGGCACCGGTACGTAGAATTACATTTTATCTTCTAGCTTCATTTGACTGTGTTGCTTTTTGAGATTACTTTTTGATGATACACATTCCACTGTACATATGACACTAGACAATGAATATGTTTGAAGATGTGCTGACCTACTTGCACTCTTGCGTTTAAATGCACAGATATACCTCATAAAGCGGATGGAGAGATGGCTGCCACACAGCTCAGTTGGTTGAGTACGACTCTTTAGTCGAAAGTCGCAGGTGCAGCCCCTGCCAGCAGCAAGTTATCTTTCAGTCCACTTCTCTTGGCATTTTCATTCCAAGTGCTACCAATAGCATCCCCTATACTTTCCTTGGCATCATTGTCTCATTAATAATTCTTATTAATATTGTGTCTACTAAAGAAGACAAGCCTTTCAATTTCCACTTCTTTCCTTCATTCATAGCGAGGGTCTCGTTCTAGCCTGGCAAAATTGATGCTTTCAGGTAGTATGCGCAGGATCAGTGGTCAGATGCCGGCTTGTAATAAGACCACATGCTAAGCAACGCCAACAGGCATAAAAAATACGTTCCATACTCGCAGTCAAGGCTATTGGTGGCGCTGACTGACACTACCACAATTAAAGCAACATATACACCCCATAAATTTTACGGGGGGGGGGGGGGGGGTGGCTTGTGTTGTAGCTTTGTAGGTAGAGCACTGACATTATTCAAAGCTTCAGGCATCGCACCTGCCAGTAGCAAGTTATCTTTTTGTCCGTTATTGTTTCTTCACATTTACATTACACTTATTACCACAGGTCGGCAAAAAACTTGGAGCTTACTCAGACTTGCTCATGAAACATACCTCATCCTTAGAACTCTGCAAGACTCACACTGACCAATGTTTTCCTCGACGAAAGTCACTCAAACTCGGACACCCTAAAATATTACTCACTTGGACTAACTCCTACTCGCAGCTCTATCAGAATCCGAGTCGGTCCATTCGCAAATCCGTTGGAGGACGATTAGATGTTTTGCCCTAAGTGTCAATGCTTTTTAACAGATATCTCGCATGATTGGTGCTCTACTTGGCGCTTTTGATCTAGTTTCTTTAAATACGAGCTATCAGTGGTTGAAATCCACTAAGGACATTTTTATAGAAAGAGATGACTCGCACAACATTTTTCTTACAAGGCCTTTGCTTGAAAGAAAACGGGGCGGGGTGGGGTGGAGGGAAATTTCTCCCTTGTCCCCCTCCACGACTTGCACATCTGTTCGACCAATATTGAGCTGGCGTACGAACGTTACTGCATCGATGTGTGAATAGACGTAGTATAAACCCGAGCCGACATAAGGGCGACAGCAATGCTAAAGTTGAGCGGATAAGACGACAGGTCGGCAAAACTATGCGGAGCTCGCTCAGACTATTGCATGAAATATACGTCACCCTTATGGCACACTCATGCTCAGTTTTTCTCAACCGGACTGACAGTCACTGAAATTTTTCTCAATCGGGCTCATGCTCACCGTAGTTTAACTTGACAGACTCTCTAAGTCCCAGATTCTCAGCTCAATTTAAGTCTGGGTGGGTGTGAGCAAGTCGACTTGTGAGCAAGTTTGCAGACCTATGCTCACTACTACTAACATCCCCTATATTTTCTTGGCATCTTTGTCAGTTTTCACAAACATTTTGTCTAACAATGAGAACGGGCCCTTAAACTTGAACTTCTTTCCTACACTAGGAAAGTGTATTCACGGATCAATAACTTTCTTTTACTGACAATCCTACATTCCATCACCAGAACAACATTCATCTTTCTTGCTGTTCAAACTGGTAAACTTTTTCTTGTTCAGCTCTTAAGAAAAAAAAAGAAAAGCAGTCCACTGCAGTCTCTTGAGAACACAATGGCAGACGTCAGCGACAAACACACAAGATGTGGCTTTCCCTGAATTTGGTGAAACGTTTTGAGAAACTAGACTCTTGCATATCGAGGCTTTCAAACTGCCTCGCTAGATGAAGGTCGCCAGCAAGTCCATTTTTCAAACTTTATTTGACTGCATGCTACATTGCAAAGACATTTTTTGTCCCTCCCTGGCAAGAAACAAGTTTTTCTTCATTACACTCACGGAGGGGAAGCGGGAATACTACTAGAATTCTGTGCAAATCACCCATGAAATAAGGAATGATGTAAAAGAAATCTGCACTAACTCAAGTAGCACCCACGATAACTCGAAACAAGCAGGCAAACTCTAAAACACTGCACTCTTAACAGACAACGTGCATGCGGTGTCGGCTGCCACCTATGTACAACACAAATGTATAACCCTACATCTCGTAGAGTTATCTCAGTTTTCCCAAAACATGTCAGGTTCGCGCCTGAAACTCATTACAACGTCTGGACAGGCACTAAATAAAATACGTTTTGTCAGGGTTATCGAGCGCCCATCGCGCAAGTGCCCAGAGCATCGCTACCCTCGGGCAAGACCCAGGTTTCAGGGATCTGGGCACAAGAGCTATACAACATGATTGGTTCAAAAAAGGTGCTTGTGCAAGCACACGGAACAGAACACATGACTAGGACGAGGGGGTTCCCCACAGAGACGAGCAGACAGTCTAAAATATCGGCGCTTTCTTTCGCGAACCAGCGTGATAACGAGATGCACGAGGCTGTAAAGCAAAAGGATAGAGTAGAATGAGATAGAAAAATGACGGAAAAGTAGCTTGGAGATATTCCCATACAGCCCATCCCCCCCAAAAATGTAAAGCAGTGCACACTTAGTCAACGGCAGTTACGAGGCCCAATGATCTTGCACCAAAGTGGGTTTGAAGCTCCGAAACGAATCCTCCTCAAGATATGCAGAGCAGCTGACTCTTACTCAAACCTTGATATAACACGGATATAACGAAGTAAATAAAAAATAGCCTTGTCACATACAGTGCTGCAAATGTATATTTATGACGAATTTTTGGATATAATGAAGTATTTATGAGACAGGTGTCACTTTGTTATCAGGAAGTCTGAGTGTATAACGTGGCCTCCACATCTTTGAGGAAATATGTATATTCATCGAGAAAGAAACAGCAAACGGGGGGAAGTTCTATAGTTGCTGGAATTCAAAATAAAGTTCGAGCGCTCCGGACACTGTACTGCCTTCAGCAAAATAATACGTGGGTCACACACTTACAACTGAGGCTCTAATTATTTTATAACAAGTGACACTAACGCGCAGTCTCGTTTGTTAACGTTGGTTGACAAACTTGTTTACGGTTTCCCCCTACTACAAGGATGTCAAAGAAGACGCTTGCAAATAAGCAAATGCTGAACTCTAATGTAGCTTTTAGTCTTGTTCAGCAAGTAGCTCGCATAGCTAGGCAAATTCTGAAGCTTGTTCTGCAGCTACAAGAACAAGTGAAACGTATCTTACCCACAAGTTGGGCTGCACATTTCGAAAGCAATTCATAATACTCACAGAATCTTCACAGCACCCTCAAATTGAAATAATTTTTTTCACCATCTGCCAAAGAGCTATTAAAAGCCTTTCGTGAACCCTGGGTACAGCTAGCATAGAACTTGCTCGTTGCAACATTCTTACTGGTGTGAGAAAAGCAAAGAAAAAAAAAAAACGGCATGATCGTCATGTCCAAGACATGCAGTCCTCAATTTGGACTATGACGTGACAAGGGTGGAGCTGAAGGTGCATTCGTGAAATGACGGGGCAAACAAGAAAGAAAACATAAAAAATGTACGAGGGACGCCAAAATTTGCACAGGAACGGATCATTTTAGAGACCGTCAAGCGCCATTCCGACAGCTAGAATCTGAATCTGTTTGCTGGTGGTGGACCTACACCCTTGCGCTGTCTGCCGCGACACCCGAAATTCAGGTGCTGTGGCTTGGATACGGCGGAGGTGCGTAGACGGGCACAAATGCGGGCATCTTGGTCGCTGTCTCGTAGTCAGGAGGCAACAGAGCCTGGAATCGAAGGGTAGGTCAACTGTTATGTCTACCACTCATCAATGTATGAATAAAAGGAGAGGAGGGGACAATAGTTTCATCATCATCATCAGCCTATTCTAACTGCAATGCCAGATGAAGGCCTCTCCAAGTAATCTCGAATTCACCCTATCAAGCACGAACCAAGTCCACAGTACCCAGTGAACATTTTAATTTTGTTGCCCTAACTCTCCGTAGTTGTCTCTCTTACCAGTTACCCTGGTATCCTTTCTGTTGCTCTATGTGAGCACCAGTTGTCGCGTGCATTACATGACCAGCTCATGCCCAATTTTTTTCTTTTAATATCAACTAAATTATCAGCTTTCCACTGCTTGACCCATTGAGCTATATCTTATCTTTTAAAATGATCCTCTAACACTTTTCAAGCACCATTTTTTATTTGTGGATTTTGTCAACTGAAGTAAGGGGAGATACATGCAGCAAGAATGGCATCTATAGGGGCAAACCGTTCAGTGTTACGATTGTTTAAAGTCCAATGTCGCCCTCTACGTAGCACGACAAAAAGCTCTCACGTCAAAGAACCCCAAGTGGTCGAAATTTCCGGAGCCCTCCACTACGGCGTCTCTCATAATAATATGGTGATTTTGGGACGTTAAACCTCACATATCAATCATCAACAAACAAACACTGCTAATCGTCTCAAAAGTTAAGGGCACATGTAATACACTTAATTTCTTAAAATATTTTTTAGGGGATTTCTTAGCGAGAGAGAAGAGAAAGGCAGGGAAGTTAACCAGTCAACGAAAGCCGGTTTGCTACCATTTGCAAGTGTGGCTGTTGAAGTATATGTAGCATTGCGCTTGCCAAGAAAGAAGCCTCAGCGAACTTAAACAAGCATGTTATCTTTTCCGTTTCAACTTAGATGCCATTAAGGACAAGTCCCACTAGAGGTGCACTATTTTCAAACGTCATGTAACCATAAAATGCCAAAGTAAGTTATAAATGGCAAACTCCATATCAATATTGACGACCTGGGGTGTTTAAAGTGACCTAAATCCAAGTACAGGGAAGTTCTCTTCACTTTGGCCCTCCCAAACGGTGCCAGTGGAGCCTGCGATCAAAGCCACGACCTCATGCTTCACGACACGACATCGTGGTTCCTACGCCGCCATGGCAGGTTTACACTGCAAGACACTGCTTGTACAACTAACCCTGGAGACTGTGCACTACAGTAATTCATGCCATCAATGCCCCAGCATGCTTCTACTACTCAACAACTATTCTACATATGTAACTACAAATGATCTACGGTTATGTGGTGGAGAAAGCAAAGCAAAGCAAAATAAAAACCAACGCCTACCTGGCCATACGGCAACACCTGAAAGCAGAGAATGCACGCCACTCTGAGTCACGACAATCTGCACAACCAGCAATGCTCGCGAGAATCTATAGAGTCATTCGTGCAGGCAAGCAAAAAGTTCACGGCATGGTGTTACGAACTTAATAGTAGTAGTTGTCAAGGTAATTTTTTTTTATTCATGTTGCAGAGTGGTTTTTCCACACTCGAGACAAGCACATCCATGGAACCGTGGCTACGGCTCAATGAGCTGGGTCTGACGCCTTCCAAAAAATTCACGTAGAAATGGCTCAGATGCTTGTATGACGTATATGCAATGACACCCTTCAAATCGATCACTCCAAAATATAACCCCCCGCCCTATTTTGATGTCAATCACTAATGGATCACGGTTGCGACGAACTGTCTTAGAACATGACCAATTTAAAAGCAACAATTTTCATTAAAGAATGGGAATCTCACCTCAGAATCGGATTCAACATCGGGAAGGCTGGCTTCTTGCCGGAGTCGCAGATATTTGTAGCAGGACCAGACGATGCCCATCACGTAGGCCTGAAAGGGGTACAGAGACAGCCAGAATTAAAACCGCACCAATTCCTACAAGTAAGCGCGCCACCTGTTCCCCTCCAAAATAGAACAATCAGAAATGAAGGATTTGTCTCTAAACATGACCACCTCGCAACACGGGAGCCGACAACCACGACAGCTAGTAGAGAGAGCTATTATATGCAAATACAGTCAAACCCTTTTATAAGGGACACTGATATGAAAGACAAATGAGAAAAAGAGACAAAAGTGTGCCTATAGTAAAATATGGATTGACAAGAAAATACATACATGGCTTATAAGAGACATCTTATATAAAAAACAAGAATTGCTGTCTGGAGCATGCCTCTTATAAAGGGGTTTAACTGTACACTGCTTTGTTTACATCTGTGTTTCGCATGTGGCAAATCACAATACAGTAGAATCTCGATGATACGATCATGGCTGATACGAAATTCGGGGTGATACGAATTTTCTGTGATCCCGACCGAGGCCCATTAATTTACTATGTACAAGAGTACGGTTGTTACAAACTGATTTTTTACCCGAGTTGTTTGATACGAATAAACGCCACCCCACCGACGGCCGCGGAAGCAAGCAGCGTGCACGCACGCGCTGAAATGTGTGCTGCGCCGCCGGTTTGGCACGTTGTCAGCGCCGCCTGCGAGCAGCAGGCGACAGACACGAAGATCTGCGCAATCTCGAACGCCGGAGTGCGCCTTTTGCTTTCTCTCGAAGGCTCCAGATGGCGCTGGCGACGGTAGAAACACAAATCCAAGCCAATCTTTGTTTTGCTTGGTGGTGGGTGCTCTCTGGTGCGGACACGTGGTTACTGCAGTGCGGAGGCAGTCGACAGTCTTGCCCAGTCGAGCACACGTATTTACTTTGTTGTGCCTTTTTGCGGAGTCGCAGCAAGCTATGTCTCGCAAGCGGAAGGCTCTCTCTTTTAAGGAGAAACTTGACATTCTTCGAAAGGTCGATGAGGATCCGAAAAAAAAAAACGCACGGAGTTGGCTAAGGAGCTAGGCCTCGCTACGTCGACATTGAGCGCAATTGTTGGACTGCGGGACACACTAATGAAAAATGTGCTTTCGTTCAGCGTCAACGCGAAGCAAGCGAAGACAGCCCAACACGTGAAACTTGAAAGTCTTTATTGATCTGGTTTAAGGAAGTTACTGCAACCGGTGTGAACATTGACGGCAAAGTTTTGCGTGAAAAAGCCGACGAGATCGCCCTTGCTCTGCACATCGACGGATTCCAGGCCTCAGGTGGGTGGCTGCACCGTTTCAAGACGGGACACGTTCTCGTGTACAAAAGCGTCTGCGGGGAAGCCAAGAAGGCTGACGAGACCGTTGTTAGCGACTGGCTCGCGAAGCTGGAGTCTCTTATCTCGGGGTATGAGCCTCGTGATGTTTTTAATGCAGATGAGGCAGGCCTGTTTTTTAATCTTCAACCTGAGAAGAGCCTTTGCTTAAAAGGTGAAGCGTGCCAAGGGGGCAAACGAAGCAAAGAAAGAATAACGGTTCTTCTGTGCTGCAACGCCGACGGGTCGGAAAAACTGAAGTTGACCATAGTTGGAAAATTTCAGAAGCCTCAGTGTTTTTGAAGTGCGAGAGCCATTTGCCATGCGTCTATCCCGCAAACAAAAAAGCGTGGATGACGGCGGCCCTGTTCGAAGAATTTCTGTCTCTCCTTGACAGGAGAATGGCCTGCAAGAATCGGAAGATTGTTCCGATTCTTGACCAGTGCGCCGCCCACCCGAAGCAAGTGACGCTTCAAAACGTCAAGCTGGTTTTTTTGCCCGCAAACACGACGACGCACTTGCAACCGCTTGACGCTGGCGTTATAGAAAACGTCAAGCATCAATTAAAGAGCCTTCTTGTGCGCCGTTTCCTTGCCAAAATCGACAGGAAAGATGAAGGTGGCCTGCAAATAAGCCTTTTGGACGCCATCCATTTTATTTCAATGGCTTGGGATAGAGTAACGCCGACTACTATTGCGAACTGCTTTGGTAAATGCGGCTTCTTTAGGATTCCCGAAGAGGTGCCACAGGCCCTTTCAGAGTCGGAGGAGCCCATTGAGGGTTGAGAATGCCCTGATGCCGGGTGTTTGGCTGACGACTTTTGCACGGCGGATGACAATCTTGCCACTTGTGGTGCGCGCACGGTGGAAGATATTGTCAACGAGGCCACGTGTGAGGTTGCCGATTCCAGCGACGATGACGAGGAAATGGACGAGTGCGACGGCGAAGGACCACCACCGGCGGCTGAAACTCTGCACGCGCTTGACGTCCTGAGGCGTGCTATGGCTCCTGAAGGAATCGGTGATGACACATGCACGCGTTTTTACGGATTTCAGAAAAGTCTGCTGAGTGACTTGGAAAAAAAAAAAAGAAGCAGAAAGACATTAGAGATTTTTTCTAAAAAAAAAATAAATTTTTTTCGAGTGTCGGAAATGAGTTTGCCTCCGACACGGTGTTAATTTAGCTAGTTTTGTGTGTGTTCCAATGATACGAATTTCGGCTATTACGAATATTTTGTGACCGCGCGAGATTCGTATTATCGAGGTTCTACTGTACGTCAGTTTGTTGCATTGTAATTGTGTAGGTGTTGTGTTGGTATTGTACAGCACTCGCGGCTTGAAAAGTGAAATTTAGGGCTAACTAACGCAAACACTTTGGTTTCAGCATCGGCAGTTCAGATCACAGCGAAATTTCGACTTGAACAGTAACATCAGAGCTAGCACAACTTTTAGCACCTAGATTTGCACCGACATGATGTAGCTATCACGAGCCATTGCTCATAGCATTCATATTAAAAAAAAAGGTGCGTTTTAATTCAAGATTACTGTACAACTGCGTAATTTATTCTCAGCTCACGCAGACTTTACACGAACAAGAAATCCCAAAAATAAATAAGGTAGATTATATTTCTCTAGCTTTAAACCTACATATGACTAGGTTTGTGCAAATATCTGAATGCTTCAAATATTCGAACAATATTACGGTATTCGAATTCACTTTGATTTAAATTTCGATTCTTGAAGCTTGTTATATTGGCTTATATTCTCTAAGTGTAGTAAACTTTAAAACATAAGTTAAATATTTGAAGCTTTTTCCACTTTAAACCTTTGAACTAAAAAGAATGTTATTTGTATAGGCCTAGTTTCAATATAAAAAATTTATATATATTGTAGAGCACTGCACGGGCTCGGGCCCAGCCCTGCCCACAAGCCGGGCTAGACCGGGTAAGGCATTGTTGGATCGGGCCCGGGCAGGGCTCATGAGCTTCAGGCTTGGGCTGAGCCCGGGCCTTAGCTAGGAGCTTATTAGGCCTGGGTCTCATATATATCAATATAATGGAATGTCTGCACTGTTTGGTTTTGTTGTTTTTTGGGGGGTTCAACATCCCGAAGCGACCCAGGTTATTTAAGATGCCGTAGTTGAGACCTAGGATTTTGCTCCGTAGGTATGCTACACGTAATTTCAAAAAACTCTTAATATAAGTTATACATGAGACAGCCCACTATGCTACAATTATATATTACCCTAAAATTATTTTGCAAAAGTGTTATAGTTGTAATTAACCAAAAGTACACAGATTATAACAGTTGACTGATTTATATGTGGGGTTTAACGTCCCAATACCACCATATGATTATGAGAGACTCTCTAATGGAGGGCTCCGGAAATTTCAACCACCTGGGGTTCTTTAATATGCACCCAAATTTGATCGCAGTGAACGGCGTGGACAGGTAGTGCCATTTGGCGGGTATTATGTGCAATCAGGCAGGTTCACGCAAATGATCACGTCACACGTAGAAGCGCACTCGGTTAGGTTTCAGTATTAAAGATTTTCGAATTTGTTGAGAAGTTCAGCCATCAGGTGCATTAGAAGAGTGTCTGGGGAACATAAAAGCACCATTATCCTGACATAGTAAAAAAAAAAAAAATCGCCGGAGTTGGCCTTTAAAGGTCTCTCAGTGCAACCGACCTTGATCATCATGCAGGCGACGAAGCCAATCATGACGACAGTGCAGAGCCACTGTGGATCGAGACGCAGCAGTTCCTTTTGCAGCGGTAGCTCTCGCGATGATGCCACTAGCCGGCGCACGTCCGGCATGTACGAGAAGTAGCCCACCACCGTCAGCGCCGACAGCACAAAGTCAAACACTTGCAGGCAGAAGAACGGCATTAGGTACGTGGGCTGACCCTGCGTAGTAGCAGTCGCAGGGGGGACAGGCGTTCGTGTGTATCAGTTTCAGGTTATCATTCAAACAGTCAGAACATTGCAATGAATATACAGACAAGGACCATAAAATCAAGGAATGAAATGGAAACATGTACAAAGTATACAAAAGAGAAACAAATGTGCAATGCAACCGAACGCTTAAATAAAGAGTAAAAGATAATTTCACAACCGTCGTACCACTCATCGCGCATTGATCATCAGCATAAGGTTGCCATTCCGTTTTGCCGCACCAAATTCTTTTCAGCAGCCTTCTTACCGAAAACAGCCGCCGATTGGAACCACCTTCCCTCTTCCGTTGTATCAATAACAGACCCTTTGTTATTCAAGACTGCAATTTCTCAGCAATGCTTGTAACTATACGCAGTTTCCATTATCTATCTTTGTCTTGTATGTGCTTGAATTCTTATACATTTTTAGTTGACTTATGTTGCCTTCCTGATTTGCGCATCTGATACTTGTTTCTTTATTTTGTCTTTTTTTCTTGTGTGTTATATATGTTGTACCCACCCCCTCTGTAATGCCCTACGGGCCCTGAGGGTATTCTAATAAATAAATAAATAAATAATGCCTACATAAGTACCGAAAATTCACCGACAATTATGATACTGCCTAATACGAATTGTGATTGATTGATTGATTTGTGGGGTTTAACGTCCCAAAACCACCATATGATTATGAGAGACGCCGTAGTGGAGGGCTCCGGAAATTTCGACCACCTGGGGTTCTTTAACGTGCACCCAAATCCGAGTACACGGGCCTACACCATTTCCGCCTCCATCGGAAATGCAGCCGCCACAGCCGGGATTTGATCCCGCGACCTGCGGGTCAGCAGCCGAGTACCTTAGCCACTAGACCACCGTGGCGGGGCAATAAGAATTGTGAGCACATTGGGGAAGGCCAACTGTGCTTGAAGTTCTGGCTTTCTACAAAGTATCGACGCCATTATTCGTCTTTCTGCGGATAAGTGAGGTACCCGCTACACATCTGTAAGGTACGTAAACATTGTTGATGCTGCATGTGGCCGACAACAATGAAAAATTGAGGCCGAGCACTTTGCAGTGGATGGCAAGCACTAAACCACACTCTCATTACACAATTGGCATTGCATGACGATTGGTTGCTATTTTGCTCTTCTGCCACCCTACATTACATAGGTTGACGCAATGCCTTGCCCGATACGACACCTCTGTAGGGTCTTCTTGCGAATGACTTCGTGGGGGTGCTGTTGCCCCCTGTAAAGCCGTTTGACTTGTTTCACATGTGAATCTTGCGGATTAGCCACGGTTAGGTTTAAGAGCCGCCCAGTGAGAAGTGGCGCTGTGTTCAAGTGTGTTAGGGTTAGTGGGGTAGTGCAAGCTGTGCCGCCACACGGTAGCCAATCTCTTGGGGTTGGCAGCGGTCACCAGCAGACGTGACTGTGGGGAGGGCCGTCAGGTCATTTCCCGTGGATCCCTCATGGTGAGTTGAACATCGGCGACGCATCTTATGCAGTACCTTTTGGTTATGTTTGCTTATGTGTTGTATTGGCATATTGTATGAGGCTGTTTCGAATGTAACAAGTGTTTTATTATTAGAGTCCACTAGCAATATCACCGTATTAAAGCAAGTTAATAAATGTACAAGGGTTTGGTTTACTTGACCACAGCTACTGTGTTCGTGTTTTGCAAGCACCAGCGTGGCTCTGTGGTAAAATACTTCACTGCGACATAGAGGCCAGAGTTCATATTCTGTTCAATGCTCTAAAATTTTTATTCTTTCCCGTTAATAAAATTTTTGATTTTATCCCCACCGACGGCAATGCCGCTCCGTGCAGGAACGGGGGCCTAAGAGCTGCGCTCTAAAACAAGAAAAAATATTGCAGGGCTTCGTCTTTATTTTTATTTTTCGAGCTGTCAATATTTTGAGCAATAGAGTGTTGACATGCCCAAACTTACACGTCAACAAAACGCAAGTACTACTTTTATACATTTGAGCATGCAATTATGCTTAAGCTCAAGCCTAAAGGACTAGAATGAAACAATTATTTTTTGACAATATAGCTGGCTATTGCAAAAGTTTCATAAAACTCATGAAGGTTGTTATTTTATCATAATGAGATTGAACTTGGGCAATCGAAAACTGAACCAATTAACAAACATTTTGCAATTAAATTTAGTTATAGCAAGTCTGTTACATTGGCTCAACATCGAGAACATAGTTGTGGAACGGCTCCTACCTCCATCATACCCTACTTTCATATCAAAATCACCAGGGCCAAAAACTGGTTCTAGCATCTACGTTAGCTGCCAGTACGGAGCTTCACCCCTTCTATACAACTGCTGAGTTGTCACCAGAACGATATGTTCTGCAAGCAATAAGTAGCAAACGCACTCCTGTGCTGGTCCTTACCCATATAGTTCCATACAGTAGCAACAGGGTCACAACTCCAGTGCAGACGGTGATGGCTAGCGCCACATGAAGGTCCTCTGACGAACGAAAACAAAATAAAATACCAGCTTAGAGCTCCAAATGAAATCCTACACAGTTACGCTCCAGCTGAACTACAAGCCACATGTGACGCAAGCCGACATAGGAAAGAACGTCTTGACATCATGCCACCAGACACTCTGCCATCCACATATACTGATGAATTCAGTGCAAACAATGAAATCTTTAAAATGAAACTCAGTGAGAATGCCTGCCTCAGCTTTGCACATGCACGAGTTACAAGTTCGCGGCACATAAATGGTACACGGTAGACCTCTCGCAGGACGAGTGTGGGCAAACGTAGTCAGACACGACACGCTATGCATCACCGCAACACACAACTATGCAGCCATGCAGAGAGATGAAAAAAAAAGAACGGGTACCTTGCTGCTGTCCTGTGTGTCAAGAAAAGTGAGGAGAGAGAAAGAGAGAGAGAGAGAAAAAAAAAGACATCTCGAGCGTCTGCAGTTCACACGAAGTGTTGCTTCAAAGCCTATGCAATACATGAGGACAGGTATGCCACATCATAGAAAAGCAATGTACGATGATTGTCCACTACCTCCAGCGGATGAGCTGTCGAAAGGAAGAACTTGAGCAAATACTACACTTGCATCACATTCATAGATATATGAAACTTGAGCTTCAGATTACACAAATGGAAAAAAGGTAGCAAACACTAGAAGTACTGTAACAACATTATAGAGAAGCAAAATATGTAGCTAGCATGAACAAAGAAAATTAAATGTTACACAGACGAATACTTTGGAAATGAACACCAATGAAAAATGTGCCAAAATTTCATATCAGTATGCTCAAGCTAAATTCGATACAAACCTCATCTTGAACAGCTCGTTTGGTTTGAAACCTTAACCCTAAACTTGCTGCTACTTCTAAAGAAGAATTCATCAAAGAGCAATTTTCGAAGATCACTATGTTATAATAATAACCAAGAGATTAGTTGACAGTTTCATATCCTCACCAGTGCCAACAGCAACAGTAGGTGGCAATCTGGAGCTAGTTCACAAAAATATGAAAGGCATCTTAAAATTATTTCAAGCTAGCCACCATAATTATCTTCACTTGGAAATTTTTCACAAGGGGTACGAGGCAATTTGAGTGACCAGTTTTTTTTTTAATTTTTTTTACATATACTGCAGCCATATTTAGGGCTATAGAAGCAATGAGAACTTTATATTGTTACGTAAAATAATGCTAGTAATACAACAAACATAAAGCACAACACAGTATTAATAATGATAAAACATACAAACATGACAAAAACACTAAAGATGCAGGTTAAATGTCGGTAAAATGCCCTTCAACTAAAAATCTTTTAATGGTAAAGAATGAATGTCACCGGGAAAGGAATTCAAAAGCCCTTTTGTAAGTGAAAAACCTAATCTAAATGTGTTAATACAAGCACTGAGAGTTGTCACGTTCAAGGCTTGGGAGTTACTGGTTCAACTTTCATAAGGAAACATTTAAAGTTATCAAAAAAAAAAAGGCCGGATGAAGAGGCATTGTTTGCATATAAAAAATTTTAATCTTCAGTTTGATTTAATGTTCAATGACTGCACGGCTAGTGTCAAGAAGATGCAGCTGTAGTTATGAACAATGAAACAGACTTTTGCTGTATGTTATTGAGCAAGCTTACGAATCTGTTAAAATAAGTTATGCAAACACAGGTGAGGATGGAAAATTAAGTACATGTCCATGAAACAGACAGCATACCGTTGCGAATGCTTGCCAGCTTGGGGTCGTTGGCCATGTCTGAGAGTTCGTGGTTGTAGACGGAGGGACGGAAGCGGGTGATGAAGCTGCCTGAGAGCTGCGTCGCTGATCCGTTGTTTCCATACAGCTTTTCGACCAGCTCCGGCCGCAGCATCATGCTGACAAGGATCGCCAAGGCGAGGACGTGGAGAATCTGTGATGGTGCGAGGGTATTACAAAAGTAGTCATAGGAGAGTACAGACATGATGTTCGTCACAACCACATTTTTTTTTTTTGTGATATATGTCCAGTTTCAGTGATATGCACAAGTTTATCTGTTAGGTACAGACATTTTTCTAATATACATGGACACTAAAAAGGTATCATGGAATTCAACAAAATGCTTTTGCAAATGCTGACCAGACACTCCTTTGTAATTTAGAAATATTTTATTAACGAATAGCAGGTAAAACAGACAAAAAAATGCAAATGACTCCGTACTTTTACATGCAAGCTTTTACACTACAAATAATCCTGCACTTTTAGAAGCTATACATACGTAGCAACAAGGGCAGCTCATTAGTTGAAAATATTATGGCGGAACTCACATTGAAATCACTAATAGGTACATTGGTCTGACATTTTATGGATGTTCCACACACAGTAAAAATAGACTCTTACCACACTTTATGCAGAAAAATCAAGGTCACTTGTACTTTATATTCTGGTTTGTTTTACAAGCTAATAATGTGAGAACCATTTTTTAATTACACAGAGGTGTATGGCCACAAGCCACCCATATATATTGCCATAAAGCATAAAAAATTTCGTACAGTGATGCAAACCCTGCACAGACGTGCTTTTTAGTACCATATATTTCTCTGCTTTGTATGTACATACAGTAAGCACTTTTTCTTGTTATTTATGAACACAACATTGTTTTCGCGATAAATAAAGGCCAAAGCCTTCAGACTCCTCAAAAAAATACACTTGAAGTACTGGAGTGGCTTTATACTGTGTTAGACATTTATGTATTTGGTATTGACTATGGTACCAAGCGAGTGGATTTGTCAGAACACTGCAGTATAGTGGCTTGTTCCATTGCTGTAATTGCTACAGCTAACACATGCAACGGTAGCCAGGGAACAAGTACCAAACAAGTAACACCACTGTACTCAGTTGTATTAATTGATGGAATTTAACTTTATTAACAATTTATTAGTTAATACACTAATTACCTATGAAATATTATTTACTGTTCTATTGAAATATGACCAATGCTTGCTGCATTTTCTTTTTATGATAACATTGGCACCAGATTCAACGTTCTTTGTGGGTGCAGTCCTCGCATGTAAGAAGCAACCAGTTTTCTTACAACCAGATTATCTGGCACTCCTAATGCAGCTTTAATAATGTATAATTTATTCCACCCAGTCTGTAGGTATTTCAATTTCATACTCATTCCCAATCAATACCTATTCGTCATCCATATTCATATTCAATCATATGCGGGGTCGACATTTTATGTGCACTACATAAAGCTTCAAAATCATGCTCTGTGTTGCATTCATCAGAAGCACAGACATTGCAACATGCTATAACATGCGTCCACTTGAAAACTCATAAACCACAATCTTGCATTCAGTTGTTGAGAGGAACTTTACTATTAAATTAAGAGCTGGGCACAATCCCTAGGTCCATGCTGTGTTTCCTTGTTCATAAAACTTTACTATTTTATGCATACTATATATATGCGCCCGATTTGAACAGAAAGGTGTATTCGCAGGTCAGATCAATATGACGCATCCCTCTCACAAGAGTAAAATCGAGTGCTGCAATGTGTGCAGCTTACTTCTCAACCACCAAAAACATCGTGCTGAGATATATATACAAGTTTCAACTATAAAAGCTGACCATCAAGAGGGGACGTTACTTGAATAATTCCCGTGAATATTTATTAATGCTTTACCTCTTAAATATCACCCTATGAGAGCAACGCTAATCTTACAGCTGTTTTGCCGGTTTTAGCTGCTTGTTTTATGCTGAAACCAACATCCGTCATTACGTTGCAGCTGTTCGGCCTGCACCAGAGGAATGCGGTATTAAATGAACTTTCAGGGCCTCCAAGAACGCACAGAAACGCGTTTCCGCTGGCGACAAGGCACCCGTCGCGCCGGAAAGCAGGCGGCAGGTGCCATTTAAACATCGCGACTGCAAGGCGTGAAGTGGTTTCAGCGCTGCGCTCTCTATTTGCGTCATACAAGCGTGCGTCACTTCGGGCTACTGAAGTACAAAGACACACACGACAGCCGAGCTGCCAGCCAAGCAAAACAAAAGGCAGCCATTAACAACCGATGACAAAAGGAGGTAGCTCGTCTCAACCCACAAATATCGACCTGCGCCTCTGCACAACCGGACGCACGAAATAATTTTTTCCCCGTTCCTCGTCACAACATCGTCGCGTATCGCGGGGGGGGCACCGCTAGAGGATAGCATAACCTTCCAAAGGCCGATGCAAGGCGACACATGAGCAATTTCGAGTGGTTGCAAGCACTCACCAAATGCCAGATGCCAAGAATCACCGTGCCAGTGCGAACATGACAGCAGAAGCAGCAGCGGAACGCGCTGTGATTCACGAGGTCACTTTTCCTGCGCATTTTTCCTGTCGTTGCGTCAGGACGGGGTCACGGACTCGCGCTGGTTCGACGAGACGTGGGGCAAATGGTGCTACAAAGAAGGTTCACTGTCACAGGAACAGGGCGACACGAGAAATTTAAGCCTAAATTAGAGGGCGAGCGCCGCAGTTCACACTAGTTCCGTCACCCCTACTGCTGGCGGTGACGTCGTAGTACACACAAGATCGCTGCGATCTCTGCCGCTGCGGCGGCGGTTGCCGTGTGTCAACTGATATATGCGCGAAACACGAAGCCGCAGCTGCTTATTACAGGGATCCTTCGGCACCGAAGGTATGCAAACAGCAGGCGCGGCCCGGCGATACCGCCCCCAGCAGCGCTGACGGCGCTAGCGAAAGCCGAACGCGAAACCTAGCCCACGCCGCGAGAGCGCACGCAACCATTCCACAACTAACGCAACGCCAGCACAACATAACACACCACGTAGCAGTCTAAACCCACCGTGTTCAATACTCATCACTGCAAAACTCCGACATTTGCGCCACTATGCCTGGCTTGTAAAAAAGCAAACTGATTTAAACTTACAAACATTGTTAAGAAAACGCTTACCTATTTCAACAACAGATGGCGCGTCAATTCGCAAGACTAAAATTGCGAGGTTGAATTTACGTTATTGTTTATACTAGTCTGTTACAGGACGGCTAACCATCACCGTTGCATTCAACGCTACTAGATTCTTCTAATCTGGTAACGTTGGTTGCATTAGCCGGAAGAAAACTCGTCACGACGGCGATCACGTTGTTTGCGCCGCGATTAGCGATGGTTACGAACAGTTGCGCTACCTTGCAGCGGTTCCAAAAGCAAACTGGTCGCTTGCTTTCGTACGATTGGTCCGAATCGGGTTATCTTCTGAGGCTACAGTAGCTGAGGCAAATGACGCTAAGGCAAGTGAATGGGTTCGCATTTCGGACAAATGGTGAGGCGTTGTCCGGACATGCATAAGGCCAAGCAAATGGTTCTGCGAGCCACGAGACCATTAGCGTACAGTATCAGTGAGCGCACGACCGTTCCTTGTAATGAAATTACAAAACACATAACTACCTGCTTTTACAAAGCTGCTCGATATCTGCCGTACTGACCTGAAAACCAATGTAGCAGAGCGCGAAATTTAACTGTTCCAATGCAGGGATGTGCAAAGAGGCGATTCAGCACATCAAGTGGGACATAACGTGAACATGACACAAGTAAGGCTTGTACTCGGCTGTTTCTGCATTCATATACTGCAAACCACTACTAGCCATTTTTATTGGCCATTTTCTCACAGTGGAAGAGCAAATTTTTTGAGAAACAAGACAGCAAACATTAGTATGGCCTCACTCTGAGACAGTATTGCTGTTCCAGTAGTGAGAAACTGTAGAAATCAGCAACTATCTCTGGGGGAAAAAAATATATATACATTTGGCGAGATCCACGACCCTTTTACATCTTCCATATGCACTGCCACACGTCCAGTTCAAAAGTAGGCAGCCTTGTTTCCCAATGACTCAGACATTTCCACAGATTCTACAGACCAGTTGCCAATACTAAACTCTTGCTCACTAACCACACTGTTAGGCATTACCTTTGGTCTTCTGCAAGCTTACTTCTAATCCTATAACAAACTGGGCCTGTTCCGTACTATATTATTATTGATGATGAAGTTTATGAGAAGGAACAGAGACAACAATAGAACATTGCTGAAAGGTAGCACTATTACTGTCCTTTCCCTTTGAAACATTCTATTACAATCTAATAGTTCCACCCCTACTTCCCTACCGAGATCCTCCTTGATTTGTTGCAATTCATTACCACCATCGCTCTGTGTCCACAAGTGATGTTCCTTCTCTGTCTTTCCCTATGTAACGGAGTCAAGAAAACGTGTCATGCTCATGCGATGAGTCCAACTTAGGAGGATCTCTCCCTTAAGCACAGACATGGGTGTTCCCATATCAATGATTACTTAAAGGAAATGACACTGCAAACAAAGATTTCAATACGATTTCTTATGAATCATTTTTTTTTCCAGTTTGGAACAGAATGAGTGCGGTAAAAGAAGTGGCAGCCATTCACGAATGTTTGTATGCAGAACAATGCAGATTATCATGCCTGTTCTCGTCGCTTGAATCACATAGGAAGAATTTTGTGTCCAACGACTGATGTACTTACTGCACAAAGAATCATCTACATTAGGAAAAAAAAATTATGATACAGCATATCGCTCCTTCAATGAACATTTATGTGCGATGCCCCTTTGTTGAACACAGCATGTCTTGAGAGAGAAAGAAAAAGTGGCTATTATTTACAAGCACACACAGCGTACAACATGACATAACAACACTGAAAAACAAAACAATAGTAATGCAAACACCTCGGCAACATTACCTTGAGGTATGTACAAGTGCCATCTCCTTGCACAGGTCTGGGAGCAACAGCTGAAGAATTAACCAGCGTTAAAAACTGTACCATGTGTATGAGATAGCAACATGAATGTTGAACTTAGCACCGACACCTGCCTCTTATGAAACAGCGTACGTTTTGCGTGCGACCTCCTTCAACAAAAGTACACTGGTCAAAGTATGCGAGTGATAGGCGACTCGGTGCACATTACAAGCGTCGAAGATATATCTTACCACTGTATGAAACATAACAGTTCGTTGGCAGGTAGCTTCACACGTGCGAGACTACTGCCTGTGAACACAGTACAAACAACGAAAGTCCCTCTGCACAAACACGTAAAAGACACTATGTAAGAAACGTATGAATCAAAGGCCAAGACGAGACAAACACATTTTACTGGCATCTCTAAAGTTAGAACACGAAGTGCCTGGCATGCGAAACGTGCAGAACTTCCTTAAGAAACTACCATCAACGTGAAATAACAAAGTTTTTCCCCTTCACAAGTTGTGCAGTGTGGTAATTTACGCAGTTGTCTCAGCAGAGTTCGTCCGAAAAGGTTGTTAGTGACACGTGACGTGCCGAAAGTCCGGCGTAATAAAGACGTCTTCGTAGCATTTGCACATGCGTCATTAGTAGCGAACGTGCAAAGGAAGGGCTTTTCTGTAAAAAAAAAAAAGAGGACACCAATGGAAGCACAGGCTCGGGAAAAATAGGTGTATGCCTGCCTAAATGGACATTCTACTGGACCGCCCTAGGCAATTAAAAAAAAAAAAGCTTGCTCGTGCTACCACTAAAACAAGTATTTGGCTGTGTTCCAACTCCCATAACATTGTTGACGAACCAGTAAAATGCGCCAATTTTTGTGGCCACGTTGGATGTCGAATAGCTAATGGACAGTGTTCTAACAGGGCTAACAATAAAACAAAACAGAGACAATAAAGCAGTCGATTTTGCCTTCTTCCTAGCGCCTACAGAATGTTCCCAAAGAGACAAACTAACATGACGAGATCAAGGTACCGTTAGACAAGTACAAAAAAAAAAAGAAGTATCAATGCGACTAATGCCAGCAGTATCAGAAAAAGCAAGCATTTCAGGTAGTACTGCCATAACAAACGTACCTTTTGTGTTTTAAAAAATGCGCGTGCACTAAACACAGCGTCGTTGAGATAAATTTTACACAGCTTCCCTTTCTTCAATTACACAGGCAGGCCAAAGGTGGGCCAAATGAGTGTGCTACAAAAAGCGATATCCCTCATGCGGTCTTCATGATGCCTATGTTTAGTGGACCTGCTTTACTTTTATCAAGAGTAAACCAATGTAGATGATGACTTTTACAGCATCTACAAATCACAACAAAGTTACATTAAGGCTGAATTCATGCATCACTGTAGAGTGCGACCATATATTCCGGACAGGGATTAAAAAAATTCTTGCAGGTGCATTCTGGTTAATTTGAAAGCGTCTGTTCTCAATGTGAATGACAACGGCTCATGCATCGCGTGGAATTTTGCACCAAGTTGCACCAATGTGCATCTTCGGTGCAACAAAAGTCGTTGATGCAACTTGGCGGTGCAAAAGAGACTCGAAGAAGCAAAAGAATAGAGTAGTAACAAAAGAAGTACAAAAAACTAAGAAATGGCAGTTTTGTATGTCTACAGATCCGTCACTTCTGTTGCTTTGGCACCGTTAGGAGTGGCTTCAAGGTCGCCAGCGGTCGCAGAATCGTTCCACTGCGGCACCGCTTCGACGGAGTCTCCTCAACAGCGTCCTTTTCCGACTCCTCTGTGCCTTCCGACGGCTCTCCATCGGCGGGTACTGGCCGCTTCTGTCCTCGGTTGCCATTGGCGACGCAGCCGTCATCTTTGTCTTGGTGGAATTTTACGATGATGCAAGTCATGTTGTCGCAGCCTGTGCCATCACCTGTCGTGTCTGGCGCAAGGCAAGCGTCGAAGAGCTGAAAAGAAGGAGATAAAAAAGTAAAACAGCAGCTCTGCTACCATGAAACCTGAGAAAAAGCAAAGCACAGGCAACCTAGCGATTCCCTTGGAAATCACACACTTGCCGAGGCGGCGGCACCCTTGATTGCATCATGGTGGTATTAGTCGGATGATTCAGAAACGCTCCTTGCAAGTTGAGGTACATTTTTAAAATCAGTTCTTCAATCCTTTTTTAGTTTATAATATTTTAGATGCTGTTAGTTCATTCTGCACTGGTTATGAACACTGCTGGCCTTGCTGAGTTTGTTGGTTGATCACAACAATGCAAGAGCAGTACGCACTTCAAAAAGTTCATGTTCCTCAATGCAGAACCATAACCCATTCGCACGCTTTCATTCCAAGAACTACATCTCAATAGAATATACTCCCACAATCAGCTACAACAATAACTAACACATCACGTTTTAAACATGTAAAAAACATGTTTTCTACAAAACATGTTTGGCACTGATTAATTTCTGCTTTATTTCCCTTTTTTGTTTTTATTTCGGATTGTTTGTTGTTCTTTTCTTGGTTCCTGTTCCTGAACATGTACTACCTGCATTATCGCTGCTGCTACATTGTTTTTGTTGACGTAGTTGATAAAGTATAATGTATTTCTGTAGTATTCTGCCAATTATTGAAGTTTCGTTCTTGTATATATTCATCAAGTGTTGTTTCCCATTTTTGACATGTAAAATGCCCCTCTCCTCTGTAATGTGAAAACCCTGAGGGTAAAATAAATAAATAAAAAAAAGATGGACAGAGGTAACACAAGGCAGAGCTGCTGACTAACAGTTGAAGTTTTGTTGCTCATATGCCCCGGTAAATATATACAAGTGTAAAAAAAAGGCACAACAAAATTATCAAAGCCTAACAGACACATATTCAAAGCAGACAAAAGGGCCCTGCAACACTTTTTCAGCATGTTCAGAAAACACTGCTGGTAGGTAGTCGAGGCTCTTGAGAACTTCCAAGTCAAACTTTATTTAGCACAGCAAGCAGCTTGAAATTTACAATTATTTCTCAAAGTCAGCTAGAAATCACTCCCCCTTCCCACTACAAGTGGTACCATATACCTTAAGTCCTTGACCATTCAATGATTACTGGTGGAAATTGAGGCTGGCCCGTCGCCAACGAGCTGGCTTTTCCGCCTATTTCTGTCGTCCACCTTTTTTAACATAACTCTACCCTTCTCCGTGGTCCGTCGACGTTGGGAGAGCGGGAGTAACATTAACCCCTCTTACACGGTAGTGGATGTCCACTGTGGCGCTGCGCTGGAATCTTCCGAGACATTTCGCCGCCTGCCCGGCGGGAGTGAGAGATCATCTGTGGATGTTTTTCTTTCAGTTCGTCGGCTACCTTTGTTCGTGGAGCTCGCTCAGACTTGCCAACGGTGCCCTGTACCCTCGGCGAACGCTTACTTTTCGTTGCCCCTTCCAAACACTAGGCCGGAGAGTGGTGCGACGTGTTCGCGCAGGGACTCACTACGCCAAGCCGTGCCTCTCAAAGCCAATGCGAGGGGAGTTTGCCTTCGCTCGAGCAAACGGGCCCTGTTGTCAGTGATAGTGAGAGCGCGCGCGCAGCATAGTTGCGAAGGCCTGTTTCCCGCAGCGGCCTGTCGCCGTGAAACCTTTTGCCCACAAAGACGTTCTCGCGGAATCCTTTGTGTTGTACTTTCGCTCGTGGCGTGGATGAGCCTTTTTGTTATCTCGCCACCTTCTGCAACGGGCGCTGCACTGCATTTTTGGTATTGCCGCAGGCATTAAAGTGTTGAGACTTGTTTGAGAGCAGTACTATGTACTTGTCTCGCTGCGCTTCGCGCCTTTGCTGTCCGAACGCACCCTGTTGCTCGCTAAGACCGAACCCACACTAGTGGCCGTACCCCTGCGAAATACGTGTACACTACATACTACAATATTTCATGCTGTATTGCAAAACGTGTATACAGGATGCATGTGTTTGTAAAGCATGCAAGTTACTTTCACTGCATTGTCACTGCATTTCGCTGCATTTCCAAGCAGAGCAAGTTATTTTCACCGTATTCATGTGTGGCTCTGCGATGGAACGACCGCTTGCCATGCAGATGACCCAGGTTCAATCCGCAGTGGGGCCCAGAATTTTTCAATTACCGTAATTACTCGAATCTAACGTGCACCTTTTTTCCGGTTAAGCGAGTTCATAAATTGCATGCGCGTTAGAATCGAGTACGAAAAAAAAAAAATGAATACGGTCATTCTATTGCCATTGACATTTCCAAAATGGCCGCCCCCTACGTGCGTCGGCATGGCGCGTCGGCCATTTCTGCCTATGTGTTTCCCATGTGCGGCACTTCGTACGTGTGCTGAGAAGTTCGTCACCTTGTCCTCCCGGCCTTTCCTTTCTCACTCTCTCTCTCTCTCTCGTCACCTTGTAGTGCATTAGCATCGACGGCATAGAAGGGCCGACTCCAAAAACTGCAGTGCACCACGATGCCGCCTTTAAAAGAAAAGTCATTGCGTGTGCAGGAACGGACGGAAATCGGGCCGCATCGCGGTCGTTCGGAGTTCCCGAAACGTGCGTGCAGGACTGGCGGAAACAAAAGCAGAAAATTGTCGACAGCAAAGCTACACGCAAAGGCTTCAGTGGACCACAGCAGGGTCGGTTTCCGCAAATTGAAGAGCTGCTCGGCGAGTATGTGCTTGAGCAGCGAGCGGCACAGCGGCCCGTGACGACAGAACTGCTCCAAGTGCGGGCTATGCAATTAGCCTTAGAAAAAGGTCTAATGCGGAGCCAGTTTAAAGCGAGCAGGTGCTGGCTAACGAGCTTAATGAAGAGGAAAGGCTATTCCCTCCGAAGGTGAACGGGCATATGCGAAAAGTTTTGCGGAGCAGTACGATGAAAAGCTTCACAGTTTTCACAGGTTCGTCCTAAACTTGCGGCACAACAACGGCTACCTGCTTGGGCAAATCGGGAATGCCGATCAGACGCCTCTTTACTTCGACATGCCTGGCACCACAACCGTCGAGAAGAAGGGGGCGAAGCAAGTTCGCGTGCTGACATCGGTCCACGGTAAAACTACAGTGACGGCAATGCTCTGTAACACGTCAGATGGGCACAAGCTTCCCCCCGTACCTCATATTTAAATGGAAGACGCTCCTGAAAGGAGTCGTTTTTTCGAGTGGTGTGATCGTGCGGGCCAGCGAGAAAAATGGGTGCGCGTTGCAATCGATTTCTAACCTTTTTTTTTGTTAGTCGTGGAAATCAGGTGCGCGTTACAATCGAGGGCGCGGTAGAATCGAGTAAATACGTTAATTGTTTCATTTGCACCTTTCTCGAGTTTTTCGGTCACACACAAGATAATTTTTCACTTGCAAACAATGACACCGGCATTTCCGTGAAACGAGCTCGTTAACGCTATTGTGTTAAAAAAACTGCTCAAGGTGATGACGTGCGCTAACCAAGAGACACAACTTGTCCCCCCCCCCATCCTACGACACTTTCAGCACGCTCATAGCTATGAACGCAGAATGAAAGCACTTCAAGTATGTGGCGAATCCCTCCAACTGTGCTCGACTAAGCAGATAGTAAAAATGTTTGCAGCAGTCAATTCGTGAGGCTGTAGGTTCTCTTAATGAAACCATTAGACAACTAAGAAGAAGTGTTGCAGGGCCCCTTTAACAAGCAAGAACCATAGCTATCCAGCTCTGAACACAAAAATTTATGTCTTTATTTAGGAGTACAATAGAAGGGCTACCGATGCAGCTGTCTATTCTGTTCATGATTTTGCGGGGTTCCATAATTCTTGAACTATTTCGCCACCAGACCTGTGCAGCGTGCTCATGCTACTGAACTGTGGAGAGCATTTAGAATGCCAGCAGTGCATGCCCAGATGACAGAGTTAATTTCAGGATATCTTGACATCCCATCGCAGAGATTATGGATGATTGCCTCAATTCAGTAATGTAAGCATTCTGGGCAGGTCCGGTGACAAAATGGCCCGACAAATCATAGAGGGCCAGAAAACTAAGAGCCTAAAAGAAAGATGTGTCAGTACTAGGCTTGTGTGAACAGTGTATCGTAGGTTAGAAGTGAATTCGAAGTGAATAGTAATATTGATAGAATAATTTCGAATTTAATAGTACATATATTGCGCATTATAAAGAAAAATATGCATATTTTACATACCTTAGCTATAACTAACCTGCACAGTATATTTATTAAATTGAAACAAGGCCTCTGTAAATAGCATTTTTTCGCATCAAAGGAAGTGAAAACTTTCAACAGAAGCAAGATTTGACTTTTGGTAGAATACAAGTGATAGCCTGTAAAATATATTTCGTTTTAAAATTGCCTATACTTAGAGCATATAGGTCAATAAAACAAGCTATCAAACTTAAAAAATTAATCGATACTAGGGTAATATCTCCATTTAACCTTGAGGTGATGCTTCGCAATAGTGCAGATTTCAAAAAATATGCGTTTTCACAGCATAGCACCCCTCCACTGCAGTGAAATCACCTTTAAAGAGTGTTACATGCAGACTAATATGCACCTTTTCGTTCGTTTCTAATTATTCAAGTCGAAGCGAATTTGAATACAGTAATACCTCGTTTAATACCTTGTTAACTCGAACTCTCATATCTCGAAAAATCGGCCATGTTGAAATTTTACGCAGCACCGAACCTTTTCCGTTAGTTCCATGTATTTTTTTTCCCTTTATCTCGAAGCATTTCTGGATCGGATTGGGGATATCTTGAAATCTTGAGTGGGAGTAGAACGAAAATTCTGCCATCGGTCTATTACACAAGATTCGCGCGCAATGCTGCGATGCCTGAACTCCGTCAAATGTTTACTTTTATTTCTTATTTAGCCGTGCCTGCCGCTACGTCGATACTTTCCGCGAACCTGAAGTCTAAAGCCCAGCATCATATCAACTTTGTCGAGCAACCCTGTGGCACGTCATGTGACTCCCACGGAGCAGGCCTCGTATGGAGGAAGGAAAAATCATGGGTCCTCGCTTTGCCCCACGCTTGGCTTAGTCCCGTTGTTTTTCTCATTTGTTTGGCAGTGCTCGTTGTTTTTCTAAGGGGCGGTTTCTTTCAGTCTAATCTGTACAACGCACGCAATACGGATTTAACGCTGACTTTGAGAAGCAGCGGCTTAGCATGAGAGCGGCAAGCATGGCGTAACAAAAGCAGTGCAAGTCACTAAGGCTAGAAAGGAAGGTTGCCGAAAGGAGGCCTGTAACGGTGCCACCGAAAAATCTTTTTTTTTCTCGAATACACGCTGTGCAAGCAGGATGTGCCGGTGACCGGAGAAATGACGGACGCCGAAATAGTTCAAATGGCTGTTAACGTAGCGGGCGGCGGAGACGCCGCCGATTACGAACCACCTCGAGAGGTGCCGACATCTGCAGAAACGTGAAATTTGCTGCACTTGCTTCGAACTAAGGTAGAGTGCAGCGACGGGGAAGATCATTTGATGCGATGCGTGAAGCAGCTGTAGGACGCCTTCCTAGGCCCGAGCACGACCGCAAAGCAGAGGAGCATTAGGGAGGTTAAATAAAATGCTAAATAAATGCTCCGCTAAATAAAATGGCAGTGCTGCAAAATCCAGCTGGTTAACGTCTCTTGCATGATATTTTCTTTCTCTTTTAAACTTTCACGAAAAGAAACATTAGAAACTGCTGGTGAAGAGCCGGTAAGTAGTAGTGATTTTGCTAAAAAGCGCTTGATTTTTCCTGGCCGTTTGTGCAACTTCGCTTATCTCGAAATTTTTCTTGGTTTTTACAACTTCGAGGTAACGGGATATTACTGTAGTGCACTATTCGTTCGAATGTTCGAAGCATTAGAATATTTAGACAGAGGGGCTAGCTTTCCTATTGAGCACTGGGTAATCATGGTTCACTCTCGTTAACAGCTTTTAATGTGTATACAAGACTGTTCATTTTGTTGTACCTTTTCTTTGTTATTGTTGACACATATTGTATATTAAACGCAGCATATCAGCAATAAAGCTCGAAGTCGACACCCACGCCCTTTCTGTCTGTCCTCATAAGTTATGCCATTTTTGCTTGCTTGTTTTAGGTCTGTATTGACCACAGTGTCAAGCCGAGCCCCTAAAGTCCTACGCACTTGAAACTAAAAAAATTGGTGGCAGGTGGGGGATCACAAGAGGGCACACAACATTCCGACATTCAGAAGACATTTACCATATTAACCTGAATGAAGAAACTCAAGTAATGACACACTGCCAATGAATTACAGTCGAAACCAGCAATAACGAAATCGCCGGGGAAACTGAAAAATTTCATTTTCGCGAGAATTTCGTTGCCGCGAGTATCAGAAATAAAAACAGTGATACGGCCAGCAGAACGAAAATTTATTGCCAGAAGTCGGTCAACTTACTTTGCCGACCCTTGCCATGCAACAACTTCAAAGCTCTGCCTTCGCACTGGAAAAAGTGGTCTATTGCTACATCAACGTCATGTGCGCCGAAGGAGCGAAGGGTGTCCTGCGCATCGATCCTGCTTGCAGTCTCGCTGTCAGCGAAGTTAGGGCTAAGGCCGACTCCGATGACACGCCACGCTCGTAGACCGTGCGCCCGCTCATAGTAATCTGATCGTGCATCCAGTGCGGCCACTCGTAGTAATCTGACCGTGCCGCCGCTTACAGCTTTGTTGGTTGTGACGAAGCACGTCGCCACGAGTGCGCTAGCGTGTCGTTCCTGCCCACAGTCTCGCTGTCGGCGGAGTGAGGGCTAAAGACGACTCCGATGACGCGCCGCGCTCGTAGTAACCTGATCGCGCATCCGCATACTGCTCCTACCTAAAGCGTAATTATATCATAAGTGACCATCGAGCCGTGAACACGCCACGAAGTAGCAATTTTCGAAAGACATGTCCCCGCGACACACAAGCAGCAGACGACGATCTCCCGGAGCGAGCATCGGGCCAATGGCGAGACGAGCTGAGGCAACATGGTGGCCACAGCCAATCAAGAGCCTCAAACGACCTTCAAACATTTGCTTTTTGTGCGCTTGTTTTTAAGGGGAGGAGCCAGCTGAGGTGGGAAAGCTAAACACGGAGAAATGCTCTTTCCGATGAGCCCAAAAAGCTGGCTCCCGGCCCCGCCATCGCGAAGCCATAATTATTTTGAAAATCGCTGTTTTCCTCGTGATTTCCAGAAAAAGTTTCGCTACCTAGGCGGGTGAAATGAATTTTCCAAAGCACTTCTGCGTGGTTTTCAGTGTAGATATTTTGGAATCAGATAAAAAAAGGGTTCCAGAAACTGAAAACTTGATTTTAAAAAAATCGATTTTTTTTTGCCGTTTTTCGCGATCCCAAAGCCGCGTCCTCCCTTAAGTAAACAAAAATGGTGGTACCCACGCTAGCACGGCAAAAGCAGACGTTTACAAATTTTGAGTGCGCATAACACGCATACGAGCATATTTTGGACAGTTAACCTTTGGCGGGAGGGTAAAATAAGGCCCGCACCGTGGTAGAAAATTCGTTAATGCGGGATCGCTGTCCAAAAACACTTCGTTGCCGCGAGATACGTAATACATGGGCTTCTATGAACATTCCTCGGGGATCCGGAAATATTCCGTTGCCGCAGGGATTTCGTACTCGCGGGGTTTCGTTATTGCGGGTTTCGACTGTAATTCATTGACATTGATTTGTCTGAAATAAAACTAATTCATCTAAAATAAAAGCTTTTAATGATCCAGGCAAACTTAATTAGCATCTCGGATTCGATGTTTACCTAAACAATAGAACTTTGAGGCCTAAAAATCACATACACAAGAAAGACTTCTCGTACCTTTCTCGTGTAAGGTAGGAAAAAGCTATTGTATGAAACAACAATCAAAACAATATGTAGTAAAAGATGACTTAAGGATAGAAAAAAGAAAATTTCGGATGGAGAAAAAAAACTAATCTTTGCCATTTTGTAAATTTCATTTAGCAAGAATTTCCATGAATGTTATCAATGATGAAAGTTTTTTTTTAAAGGTGCCAAAGACACCTGCAAGGTCACCGATTGGCCGACTTACCATTTCACAGATTGCAGACAGGGGATGGGTACCTTTGTCCAGCTCTCGCTTCACGAAATCCACCACCTCTTGACTTGTCATGTTGTTCCTGCAGAGAGAATTGTTATGTTTCTTGAAACAATGTTACCAAGACGGAGGAAAGCTCCTTTGCACAGGCCTGTCCACATTTTCTTACATTGCAGTCAAGTGCGGCAAAATTTTTCAGGCATTTCAAAAGGCATTTTCCATTATGATTGGCCTATGAGGTACAACTAAAGGGACAGAGAAACAATGACTTAATTTAGATTGATAAACTGCATTCTGAGAACTCTAATGCCGAAAGTTTCACTATCATAAGTTCATTATTAGTGGAGATATTAAAGGTAGAAGTTTAATGTTTAAACTTTTGCGTCGAAGTCTCCGCGTGCGACGTCAAGGATTTTAAAATGTAGTTTCCGTATTTTGGCGACATTGGCTCGGATTTTCATAAGCTTTATATGTCTTCTCTGTTGCGCCCACAAACAGCAATGCACTTCAGTTTTCTCGATTAGAAGCTTTGTAGGACCCAGTAGACGCCTTCAAAATCTATGACGTCACAGTGCAGGAATCTCCAGGCGATGTCTCCACCCGTACTTTCTTTTCGCGCGCTTTCTCGCTTATCAAACGTCATGTTGCGGTAAGAGTGGCGTTTTGGTGATCGTGAAATTTTACTTCACTAATACACAAAAAATATTTTTTTCTCTGTACTTGACAGGCACGCCTGCAGATGTTATGGAAGTACATCATTCATAGAAATATCACTTTGCACATTTTGCAGAGCTTTTGGTGATGCCCTGCCCCCCGTGTGTGTTGTCTTCCCGCCATTGCCTTTTCGAATTATTATTCGTTCAGCTGAAAACAACAGGACTTATCACAACTCTTGTGTTAACTTCATTCTATAACCCCGCGGTACGAATCAAGCAAATTGAAATTTCAATGACCTGTAAATATCACAGCTCCAATAACAAAGAGCAAGGGTTGACGTTTTATCGCAATTTTTCTTCTTTTACAGATTATAGTTCTGGACAGCCCAGTGTACCGTATTTACTCGCGTAATGAACCCACGTTTTTTTTCCCAGAAAGTTTGACGCCGAATTGGGGGGAGAGTTCATTACATGGGAAAAAAAAGGCACAATATTTGTAACAGCAAAAATTTTGCTTTGACAGAACTGCTTGCAAAAAAAAAAAAAAACGCATGGCCTTCAAGATGGCGGGCACATGGCGTGTTTCCACACCGCACACCCGCCATCTCGAAGGCCATGTGTGTGTTTTTTTTTTAGGCGCGAAGCTCTGTAGGGTGTGGGTCTGTCCATCCTTCGATGATGTATGTAGCCATCGGTGGCACATACCCAAAAGAGCGGTCCTTAGAATGTCCGCTGGATGGCGGCACTTGTATATGATGAATAAATGATGAAAAGATGTGAGATGGCTGTACTTGGAGTGTTCACTAGATAGACCAACGGAAGGATGGACAGATGCACTGACGGTCACACGCATGGACGAACACATGGGCGGACAGAAGCAAGAGTGTATGGGTGGACGAATGGACTGACGAACGCTTCGCCCCACCAGTGATCATTCACTCCGTAGATATGCTGACATTTTTTGCAATCTTATCAACTCCTAGGTCTTTGCCGATCAGAAAGCATTTGGAAACCTTTTAAATTTCGATTTTAGAAGAAGTAGTCATATTTTAATTCTATCGACTTCTAGAGCTTTCTTGATCAAAAGGTAAGTCTATAACCCTTGCAAAACACGTAATTTTCGATTTCAGAAGATGTGGCCGTATTTAAGTTATATTGACTCCTGGCCGTATTTAAGTTATATCGACTCCTAAGGGTTCACCAATCAGAAAGGTGAGTCTATAGCCTTTGGAAAACACGTAATTTTTGATTTCAGAAGATGTGCTCGTATTTTAATTATATCGCCTTCTACCGCACTAAATAAACTAAGGACAAACAAACAAACAAAAAACATTGCGAAAAACTAAGGGGGTGGGAGGGGGGTCTCAATCGCAAGTGCCAACATCAGCGTTGCAGTCTTATAGTGGCTAGGAGTAGCCAAACACATGAGGGGAGAGTTTTTCACTAAGGTCAGAGTCTCAAAAGATCAACACAACAAGCAGAATCTATTTCGGTGAAAACAACTCGCGTGCGTCTTCCTGGGACACACATGAACCGACGGGACGGCACAGCTGGCTGCCGCAAAAACGCGGGGCAAAGCTTTGCTCACTACTAGATTCTTTTGACAGGGACGCCAAAACGTGCTTGGCCCCGTTTTATTGCGATAGCAATTATGTGGACAGTCCAGGCTGTTTTTTTGCCATCGCCACCGCCGCCGTCCTTCACTGTATACGTATCTATACATATGAACACTCAAAGAAAAAAGCCGCTTGCGCTCGGCGCCTAGCTTGTTGCGATGTGCCGACGCATGCTTATCTCTCACGTGTACTTCGCCGCATGGATGGATGGGGGGGGTATACGCCTGTGTGCGCGCGCTTATCCTTTGGTGGGGAAATGGTGTACCTTCAGCTTTCACTGAAACGAAAGCGTTAGTTGCCCGGGCCCACACAGGTCACTTTGGTCTCTGCACAGGCCCCTTTAGCGAAAACAATGCACTTTTCATACACAGCAAGGTATAACAGCTGGGACACTTGTTAATTCGTACTCATCTGTACCTGTGATTACGTATCGCGCATCGTTTTTGTTTGAACAGCATATTACGTGTTGTGGGGGTGAAGAGACTGTGTGAATTGAACATTTCCCCCTGGAGCGGCCGTATTTGCTTACACAAACGTTGTCTGACACCCCCTGTAAAGTTGTTTAGCACCGCGTGGCCCACGTGTCTCCCACAAAAGCCGTATTTCGGGGGTGACAACACTATTGAGCGATAGGTGGTGGTGTGTACACAAGCAGTGATCACCACTATTATCATCATGGTTGGTAGAGTGGTAGCGCCAGCTGTTACCCCTGGCGGAAGGCAAGCCTTGGTGGCTGGCGAGAGAGTTGAGCGAGTCTCTTTCGGCGTAGGGCGGTAGCGCGGACGGTTGCCTCCAGCAGTGGGTCTGCCGTGGATGGCACTTCAGGCCGTCTGCGATGGGCCCAAGTGGTGAGTCGGGCCTTGGCGACACCGCCTTGTTTGTCATGTTGTTGAGTGTTGTTTAATATTGTGGAAGGATGTCCTAGCGTGTTGATCAGGAGCGATGTTATAATAATTCGGCTGACGATATCGTCAATCAAAAAGTAGTTAAATGAACATATGTGTTGTTTGGTTTGTTCCCACCATGCCTGCTGTGTCCGTTCACTCCAAGAGCGTGGCGCTCACCAATTTGAGACCCCACAGTGTCGAGCGGTAAACGTCGTTAGTTCGCTCTCGACCTGCGAGTATCGTTTTCGTGCGCCATTTGTGTGTGAGCAGTGCGCTGCACGTTTCAATCTGCTTGTCGTTATCAGCGTTACATTCCAAGTTGTTGCTGTCGCATTTACTGCTTGGCTTTTGTGGCGAAACTGCAACTTTTTATATTTTTTTACGTATTGACTTCTTTAACCTACCTCTGCGTGCCCTCAGAGCTCGTAGACCATGATCGCTTCGCTGCGACCGCCGTTTTGTGCGCGGCGGTTGCGGCAAATGGTAGTTAATTTTACAATCCTCATGCGCTTGGCTGCGCACGCGCCCTCAAAACTAAGTCGTTTTATGCCATCTACGATAGCATCTGCCGCAGTTTTGTCCGCAGAGTTTGCGGAAAGCAGCATTGCTTTGATTGGTTGAGAACACACTTTCGGGGTTCTCTCAGTTACGTCGTCGCCATACTTGATCGTGTCAAGAGCAAACGCGGTTTCGTCCACAGCGGTTGTGGCAACGATAATTACACGCACAGTAGAAGACAGTGCGTGCGCCGGTCACACGCGTACTTCCGAAGCTTCAAGTACGCTGCTCTCGGCCTTCGTTCGACGTTTTCCGTACTAAAGTTCGTATCCCCCGCCGCGATTAGGAAATGTGTTCGGAACATTCAAATTGAGGCCCAATGAAGATAGTAAAATTTGGCTGGAGAATTTCAAGAATTTGTATCTGCCGCAGTTTCGCATCACTGAGATTATACTGTACGTTTAGATGAACGACTCTTAAACTCATAATAAAATGGGGTAGGTTCGAAAAGCCTGGAACGGATTGAGTCACTTTTTTGTCAATGCGGGGCCAGATCATGCACAGAAATTTCGATTTCCGGGAGATTTCCATGTCAACCGAACAAGTGGAAAAAATGGTCGAAATCCGGGAGTATCCCGGCCAATCCTTGGCAGGTATGCTGCCACCAACACAGTGGCGGAGTACGCGCATGTAGCCAGCCCCTCGTCCGGACGTGCACCTTCTAGCTCGTGCGGCGTTCGATATATTCGAAAGTGGTTAAAAATTCCGTTCAATAGAAACGCGTGAATTTCTATACTTTTTACAAAGGAATTTCAAGAGAATGATTCGCGAGTTTGATATACCCGAAAATTAGATATATGTGGGTTCAATATAACCGTGTTCAACTGTATATCCGAACATATTTTCACGACGACACCGATGATATGTGGTGCTTAACGGCGCAATTGCTAGCGGAATGAATTTTCAGAGCTCGTACAGAAGAAAGCTTCTTGGAGCTCTCACCAGATGCCGTCGCAGGCCAAGACCATAAACTCATCGGTGGCCGGATCAATTTCCAGTGCCTTGATGTCGGGCAGTGCAGTGATCATCTGGTCCCGCAGCTCGAGATCTTTGTTTCGCTTGTAGGCGTGGTCGCCTGCCAAAAAAACAGTGAAGTTCTCGCAATGAGGAAAATGACCAATGGAGTGTGACTGATCAAACAATGCACTCTTCTTTTTTTCCGTTAGTTGAACCGTGATGTAAAGCATCTCAGTTTACCCTTTTTCGCAAGGTACATCATAACACAGTTCAGAAAGCTCAGTTTGTTACCATCATCACCTTATCAATTGATTTCATTAGATCATTACCATGGGGGACACACACTGCTACCTGCTGTGCCCACAATTTCATTATTCGTTTCCGAGGACTGCAATCATCTTTCTGATATCATTTTCACTATAACAAGACATTTTCCTTTTGTCAATTGATACTTAAGGCCTGAGGTGGATATTTAAAGTAAGCATGAATTGAATAATGTTACTTTGTGTTCTTTTTTTTTTCCCAAAATCGTACCTTTTTTTTAAATTAATTTCTATAGTTGTGTAAAACTAGAAAGTTACGTGTTCAAGTGCACCTGTAGGTGCTTACATTTCTGATGAAATTTTAGAGCTATAGCTCTACTCCTCAGAGTGAAGGCACAGGAAACGCCCGTGCGCATGCAGCGAGCACTATTGTGGCATGTTTCCAAAAACGAACAGCAGCTCAAGGAAAATCTTTCACGACGCCACTCTAGAGGCATTGGCTGCATCCAAGTTCACTGCACGTTCGCGTCGGGAACGCCAACACTGATAAGCAGCGTCAGAGTGTTGTGATATAGTGCGACACGTATGCTCCCTTGTCGTGGTGTGCACATGAAGCATGTAGACTTCTCCTTGTCCTTGTCTAATCCAACACGCACAATAAAGTTGAATTTCTGCAAAATACTGGCCTTGTCCTTTATTTAGTAGAACAATACTGAACTATCACTCGACAAACTTTATTTAACTGCATTTAACCACAGCGGACATTTTTTTTCCCTCATTTTTTTTCTTCGTGTACTTCACTCATCTCTTCTAAGCTCTGCGATTAGAAGGCAAAAGAAATGAATAAATTGAAACCCCAAATTTACGAATTTGAGGGGACCAGATGAAACCGTTGTCTAATCTGGACGTCAATGAATTTGTTTGCTTATTTTATTTTTACATACTGCAGCCTCAATGAGGCTATTGCAGGAGTGGGAAAAAAACAAAAACAGGAAAACATCAACATTCATGAGTAGGCTTAAGAAAATTCTTGAAGTGATAACGAACGAACACTTCCAGGCAGCATATTCCAGGCTTCTATAGTTGAAGGAAAAAAAGCTGTATGTGAACATGTCAGTGTGGGTGACAAAAGTCAATGTTAGGGGCATGGTCACTCCTTGTAGACAAAGGTCTAGACAATTTGAGATATGACTCGAGAGTGCTTAAGCGAGAAGAATTGATTAAGTTCTGCAAAAATTTTATTCAACATGGCGACCCTTAGTAGCACCATGACAAAATGGCGCATGTCCGTGCGCGTCACGATGGTGAAGCAGACGCCAAAAGCGCCCCTTGGCCAATCGGATGCCTAAATTTGGTCACGAGCCTCAAGCAGCCAATTGAATCACGCGCTAGTGCTTCTCGATAACGTGTTTTTGCTAAAAAACCAATGAGCAAGGTGAGCCAGTGGTGGCGGTAAATTGAAGATAAAGTACGACCCTTCCAAACGAGACCAAGATGAACACAATAGCTCGTGTGTAACGGCAACAGTTTGGCGCGGAAAAAGCACGATTTCAGCATCAATTTGAGCTCACATTCATCTCACAGGGATGTTATAAATTGATTTTGCACCAGAAATAATGACACGAGAAGCTAGAAACTTCCCGGATAAGTGCGAAAATAGGCGCAGATTTCGAAAATGTCAGCTTTAAAAAGTCGATTTTTTTTTGCGATTTTTGGCCATCTAAGACCCGTGTCCCCCCTTAAAGAAGGAATAAGACGGGTCTTTACACAGAACCCTGGGGGAACTCCTGATGAAACCGGCATCGAAGGCAAGTTAGTGGCATTGAAGCACACATATTGTGAACGCTGCAAAAGAAAGTCGGATATCCAGCCAAGCAATGATGCATTCTTCAGTATGACAAACAATTTGTGCAATAGTTTAGGATGAGATACAGTATCAAAGGCCTTGGCAAAATCAATGAATATGGTATCAACCTGGTCACCTATGTCTAAAGAGCTGCTGATGTCATGAACGAATTCTGTCAGTTAAGTAATGGTGCTAAAACCACGTCTGTAACCAAGCTGGAAAGTGCTAGAAATATTGTTCACTTCAAGGGATTCCATGATATGTTTTGAAAATATTATGTTCTAGCAATTTTCAAGAATGTGCTGTTAAAGAGATGGGTCTATAATTGCTTAATAATTGAGCACTGCCTGATTTATCGTAATTACTCGAATCTAACGTGCACCTTTTTTCCGGTTAGGCGAGTTCATAAATCGCATGCGCGTTAGAATCGAGTACAAAAAAAAAAAAAATGAATACGGTCATTTTATTGCCATCGGCATTTCAAAAATGGCCGCCCCCTAAGTGCGTCGACAATGCGCGTCGGCCATTTCTGCCTACGTGCTTCCCATGTGCGGCACTTTGTACGTGTGCTGAGGAGTTCATTATTTTGGTGTGCATTAGCATCGACTACATGGAAAGGCCGACTCCAAAAACTCGACCAGTGCACCCCGATGCTGCTTTTAAAAGAAAAGTCGTTGCGTGTGCCGAAACAGACGTAAATCGGGCTGCATCGCGGTCGTTCGGAGTTCGAAGTGCGTGCGGGACTGGCGGAAACAAAAAACAAAAGCAGAATATTGTCGACAGCAAAGATTCACGCAAAGGCTTCAGCGGCCCACAGCAGGGTCGGTTTCCGCAAATTGAAGAGCTGCTCAGCGAGTATGTGATGGAGCAGTGAGCGGCACAGCGGCCTGTGACGACAGAACAGCTCCAAGTGCAGGCTATGCAGTTAGCCTTAGAAAAAGGCCTAATGCAGAGCCAGTTTAAAGCGAGCAGGTGCTGGCTAACTAACTTTATGAAGAGGAAAGGCTTTTTTTCCCTCTGAAGGCGAACACGCATATGCCAAAATTTGCCGGAGGAGTACGAAGAGAAGCTTCAGTTTTCAGAGTTTCGTCCTAAACTTTCGGCACAACAACGGCTCCCTGCTTGGGCAAATCGGGAATGCCAATCAGACGCCTCTTTACTTCGACATGCCTGGCACCACAACTGCCGAGAAGAAGAGCGCGAAGCAAGTTCGCGTGCTGACATCGGGCCACGGTAAAACCAGAGAGACGGCAATGCTCCGTTGCACGTCAGATAGGCACAAGCTTCCCCCGTACCTCATATTTAAACGGAAGATGCTCCCGAAAGGAGTCTTTTTCCCGAGTGGTGTGATCGTGTGGGCCAACGAGAAAAATGGGTACGCGTTGCAATCAAGGGTGCGGTAGAATCGAGTAAATACAGTAAATAAGGGAAGGATGAAAGCACATTTCCATGAAGATGAAAGTGTGGTTGACGAAAGAGATTTCTGAAAGATAGGAGTAACATATCTGCTACACCAAAGAGCGTGTTTAACTAGAAAAGCTGTCGGGATGCCATCGACACCGCATGATTTTTTGGTATCTAAGTTTAAAATGAGATTGAGTAAGTCCTCAAATGACACTGACACATCGGCAATTCCAGGATGAAATTCAGAATGGGATGCAGGAATGTCTGAGTTGTCAGTCGTAAAGACAGAGTGGAAGTAGGTGTAGAACGCTGAAGCGATTATCTCTGGATCAGAAACTGCAACATTCTTCATTTTCATTGAGTGCAATGAAAAACCAGATGGTAGGATAACCTTCCAGAATTTACGGGGATTTGCTTTCATTAGCATTGGCAAGATAACCTTGTAATAGTGTTTTAAGCAGCCTTCATTTTAGCAGATAGTTTTTTTAGTGCTAACGAACTGTTGAAGCTTTGTCAAGTCACCAGAGAACTTTTATCAATGTAGTCTGGGCACAGGACGTGACAAATGTAAGAGATCCCTAGTCGTCCAGAGTAGGTCAGTGTTAGTTTCCTTTGTTTTCAGAGGAATAAAACGATTCATACACTTACTGACAAGGCTTTCAAAAAAATAGATACAGTCGCTGACCGATTTTTTGGACTCCGAAAATTCAGACTTGTTGGATATTTTGGACTTCAAAAGTGCACCGTCAGGGTTCCCATAGGGCTAATGCATTTTTTCGACCGATTTTTCAGACTAAATCGCTTGTTTTGAGCCGTGCCACGAACCTGTATGGACGATGCCATGTTCGATTTTCTGTCGGCTTAGCTAAGTTTAGTGGCTTAATCTTGAAATGGCGTTCTTGCCTCCAAGATTGGAAAGCAAACATCATATTTCAAGTATCGGAGGCCGTGTCTGCTTTAGAAAACGCGGCAAGGGACCATTTTTTCGTCCTCGGTCAGCCGTAGTGGTCAGCACTGACGTCATCGCACCATACAGGGAGGAGGCGGAGCTGCGCAATAGTGGAGTGAATAGTTTTAGAATAGCGCACCGCGAGCGTTTGCGGTGTGGTCGCTGCCACTGCGCATGCGTCGTAACGCCAGTCGCCGTTCGCGGCCTGCCTGCAGAAAATCTGAAATAGCATGCGGCGATCGCGGCCCATGAAATGTTGTGTGTAGCTTCCATGCATTTCGTGCGTGGAGCCCACAGACGAAGAAACTTTTCGCCAGGTTGTGCGGAAGCCGACGGCGGTTCACTCGCAGCTGATGATCACTCGCAGCTGTCGGCAGCAGAGATCGCCACCGCGGTGACACTTTTGTCGAGCATTTACGGTGACGATGTCACCTCGGTGCAAATATGGGCAAACCTAATTGCTTCCAAGCGTAGTACGAGGCAAGGCAGAATCATGAACTTTTTTTGGCCAGCCTGATGCAATAATGTTCATATTTCTGACAAAAACGAATTTTTCAGACTGTTCAATTTTTAGGACTTTTTTTCGGTCCCCGCCAGGTCTGAAAAATCAGTTGGCGACTGTAACGTAATGACATCACTGGTAGTGCTTTTCAGCTCAAATCCTTGAAAAGAATCGCAAAGGGCATCGGTAATTGCTTGATCAGCATGGTTAAAAACACGAAACGTGCAGTAAGTGAAACGGCATTTTGGGACAATACTAGGAACTGAGAACAATACAGCGTTATGATCAGATATGCCATCAATAATATCACATTCAAAACCAGACATAGCTAATGATGTAGTGAAGAAAACCAGATCAAGGACAGCACCGTTAAGAGTTAATTGCTTCACAATTTGGTGAAGGCCACATGACAACGAAATGTTGAGTAGCTCTCTTCCAATGAATATTCCGTGTCCAGTGACTGTCAAAGATGACCAGCTTATAGCAGGGGTATTAAAATCACCCATGCAAATAATGTTAGATGTTGAAGTAACGTAGCTTTGGATAAATTGGTTGATTTTGTGTAAATGTTCAATATCAGAACCAGGCGGGCGGTAAACGATCCCGATAATCAAAGACATGTTTTCTAAGTGAACCTTGCACCACAAAGACTCAGTATTTGGTGGTGTAGAAAGCACAGAAAAGTTGAGGGGAGACCGTAGGAATAGGGCAACCTCTCCCCACCTCTCTGTCCCTCCGAACCACCTAGTAGCCAGGGAGAGCTATTTCAGAATCATGGACTCCATCGTGGAGCCAAGTCTCAGTGGTGCCGATAATGTGTGGGGCATAACAGGAGACCAGAGAAATAAACTTGGAATAACTACTGACAACACTTCTGGCATTTATATTTATTATGGAAAGTTTATTGTGAGTGCCACTTGGTCAAGGAGATGTTGGCCCAGAGGTTGATTCAACAATTTTAGTTCCGCCAGAGAAAATCTGACAAAAGTACTGGATGAACTGTCCCAGTCATATCGCATGTTATCAATGAATACATGATCAAAGCAGAGTTGGGACAGATGAGCTGTTATTCCTATGATATGCGGATGCCTCCCATAGCTTCCTGCGAATATTGCAAACCTGGTGAGTGAAGTCTTGTGAAATCCGAAATCCAGTGTTTTTAAGTTTGTGACAATTTTTGAGTACAGTCACCTTGCCCTGCAAATTCAAAAGCTTTATGATGACGGGACAGGGACGGCCTCTGGCATTACTCTCAAGTCTATGTCACCTTTCTATACGTGGACATGCAACCTTAAAAATGTTGTGGAACCACTTTGAGACATTGGCGGAAAGTTCCTCATCATTCTTACTTGGGCCGCCTTCGTCAAGACCATAAAGGATAATGTCCTTCCTATGTGATCTATTTTCTAATATGTCATTTTTGCGTAGAGAGAGTTGATATGGCGCTCTTTAATTGCTGAATTTGAGTATGTAAGTAAGTGATAATTCGGAATCAGTGCACCACACGACACCAATGGCGATTCTAGCAAGCATACATGAGCTTCTAAAGCTTCAAACCTCGCGTTGACAGAAGACCGAAAAGTTTTGATTTCAGCAATATTCTGAGCCAGTTTCTTTTCACCGTTCAGGAGCTCAAAGAACATTTCCACAACCATGGGTTGAGTATTAGGATCTGTCAACAGCGGTTCTGAAGTGGTATCGTGCTGAGAACGGGTGTTAGGACCAAGTTTAGATTCCACACCACCACTTAGTAATAGTCTGTGGGCGGCGTTTGAAAGTACAGAAAGTACAGAGTACAATGAAATGTAAACAAAACCATGGTAGCGATCATGTTGGCGAGGAAACAGCAGCATACAACTGTCATTAGAACAAATGCACCGAGCATTGGTAAGGTAACATACCTGTGTGATGAACAGACAGTGCATTAGTATGGTGCCTACACTGCTGTTGCCTCGCCAATTGAAAAAAAAAAAATTTATATATAAGCAATGAGGCTCAGCCTTGCGACAAAGATGGGTACAAAACGCATAAATAAGACCCAACACGCTTCTTCAAGGAAAGTAGATTACATTATTTTGAACTAGCAGCTAAACATTTAATTGAAGGAAGCATGCACAAATGACCGATCTCCGCTTTAGGATATATCTAGTCCGACGCACATTTTTCTGATAAACCAAGTGCAGCAATTAGTTGTGAGTAAAAATGAAACTGAAACTGTGTTGGTGACGACCTCCCACCAAAGTGGACAGGTACATAGTCAGTGACATCCCAACAACTATGGACCATCTCCCCTAAGAGAACCCTGATGGGATGCAAAGCAGCAACGGTGCACACGGCGCTGACCCGGTTGAAACCGGCGTCGACACGAGTGTTGGAAGAACGGTTTCAAGCGAAACTCGGTGTAGCGTTTACTCAAGTAAACGTTTGTTTGAAACGCAAGGACACGGAAGGCGGAACGCGTTGAAGATGCTTGTCCTCGGCTTCCTTGGCTCGCGTCTCGTCGGTGTTACCTCCGTGCCATCTGTATTATCGAACGCGATTGATGTTCTTGGCTTTCACCTTATAGGTGTCGCCGGTCTTCCACAGCCGACGCTTGCATTCGGCGCCTCGTGTTGGTGTCGCCATTCACGAACACGATTGGCTTCGCTAACCCTCGCAACGCCGGTGACAGCTGGGGAAAGTACGCGCACACTAGCGGGAAGCATGCCACAGCGATGTCCCACCCGTTGGCGCGATCGTGCAGCAAGCAGCGGCGCGCTGTCCACATTGTCGGCACCATGAGATTCTTGGGGCGCGTGCACCCGCTGGCTCGCGGCTAGTTCTCACCAACAGATAGAGAGAGCTGGCGCTGGTGAGATGATGCCCACGTAAGGAGTGGGCTTGAGCGTTGAGAGCGGTGGAGAGGGTCAAGAGAAAGAGAGCTGACACGAGGCGAGTGTGCGGCAGGTGAGGGAAAGAGACATCACTGTACACTGCTAGGACGGTGTGACCTACTTGGCACCGCTCCAACACCTGCAGCGAGGAGAGTGGTGCAGACGGAGGGACAGCATTACACAGGCTAGTCAAAGAGCTGCTTCGCATCTAAACGAAGACAGAGCATATCTTGCAGCCAGTTCAAGTCGGATGATTTCGTGCAGGACTGAGACTTGTGTGCCCCACATTCGTTTCTAACAAAGTATGATTGGTGATGTCCCGTCTTGTCTTAATATTGGACGCTTTTGCGAAAAGAGAAGTCACTTTGCATGCTGAAGATAGCAGCCCAGCATCTTCATTTTTTCATACACAAGGCCTGCGACTGCGAATAGCGTAAACAAAGCAAAATCCTCAGCTGCATGTAGACTGGGAGATGTCTCTACGAGCTGAAAATGGAGAAATATTCAGACATCGAGAGCAAGCTTGAAGATCAGCTTAATCTACAATGTGTAGATCGAGCTTGTTGGGTAACGGCCCTGGGAGGTGCACGCAACTGAGATGTATCCGGAAGCAACATTATTGTCAAGAAAACTGGATCACAAAAGAAAGTAAATAACAAGCAGGAGAATAAATTTTCCAGTCTAATAAAGCACACTGTAGCCGTATCATCCTCTACATTTTAGGGGCATTTAGGGTTACATTAATGAGCCGGTTACACTCTCATTTCTTTCAAACCCGCATCAATTTGGCGTGCGTTACCTTAAAGCTAAAAAAAAAACACAATAAAAACAGTAATTTTTGCAGTGGATAGTGCCACAAAGTCATCTTAAGATAATGAAGTGCCACTGGAAATCAATAAACGTAGTCACCAAACACCTTGCACTGCACTGACCTATGGCTCGAGAGAGATTGAGGCCACCGTTGACCCTTCCTTCCTTCGTGACGCGACCACCGGCGTTGCGTATGCGGTTGTACTCAGCAGCATCCTCCGGCTTGTGGTCGAGTGACATGTCCAGAGCCTGGCCAGAGCGACAGACGACGCAGCGCGAGTCACCCGCATTTGCCACCACAAGGTGGCGTCCCCGGATGAGGCCAACAACAGCCGTGCAGCCACTGTCGTAGCCGGCCTGCAAAAAAGAAAAGACGTGCGGGTGAGTTGAGCGATTACGGTTGTGCTCGCATTCAACATACATCGGAGGCGACAGTTTGGTGATGTCCCCAAAAGCAGGGATCGGTAACCTTCTGAGGTGCAGGGCCGAGTTGCATGAAGTCGACGTGGTGGGTGTAAAACAACAAAGTGCCAAAGAAGGGGACCCGGAAGCAGGAAGGAGGAGATTTGCAGACAAAGAGAAAACATTCGTGGAATTTGCTTCGCAGTTGAATCCCGTTATAGCAAACCTCAGATTACCGAATTTCTTTAACAACTTTTTCGAAAATCCCCCTCGAAATGTCCACTGACTTAATGTAAAAATAGCTCACTACTACGAACTTCAATATACCGAATTTTATCCCCCTTATATCTCCACGGCACTACCAAACAACAAATAGCGATTTAGAAAGTTACTCGTGGGTGTAAAAATAATGCCCAGCTCTGTACCTACCACCATCACCATCACCAGAATGCTCACGTATTTTTCTATGTCCAAATGGGTCTTGACCATAGGTCGCCAAAACTTGGGGAGCTCACTCAGACTCGCTCATGAAATATATTTTGAGCTTCGGACTCGCTCGGACCCAGACTCGCAAAAGTTTTCTTGAACCGGACTCACTCGGACTCAGACTCACGGTTCCGTCTGAGTGAGTCTACCCCCGAGTGAGTCAGTCGACCTATCGTCTTATCACTATCATCATCGTCTGGTACTTGTTTCGTGGGTCAGGTTTCGCCCCGTTGCCTTTGTTTTTTGTTGAGCAGCTATATTTGCAGGGTTGTTGCACGGCTGTTTTCTAGCCTCTTGGTTGGTGGCCGAACAGTCAAGATGAGCTTCGGAAGCAGCACGAAAGGAATGCTAAGACAGTGAAAAATGCGACGCGAGTGAACCATAGTATGAAGTCGCCGTTCAAACACTACGCACAGTGCCACGACGAAGCATGCACGTGGGCTTAGCCGACGACTGATAAGGTACCATTTGACGTGATAAGCAAACGGCGTTGAGAGCGAAGACAACATTGAAACAGAAAGTGCAAACCAACGTGACGAATAGGTATTTAACGGCAATGCTTCGCTGTGCGTAAGAAGGACGCGCACGCTTAAGCGTTTGTCTTTCAGAAGTCGAGCTTCCCACGTCAGGATGGATCGAACTCTTCCTCAAATAAACGTTCACTGCTTCCATAATATTTAGAGTTCGTTTTCTCGTGCTTATTAGAGCATAACATGGTTGCGAATGTATACTGTGGAAGTGCCGACACCCCGAGTAAAGTTGTTTGCGCTGCGTGGCACACATGTCTCGCCCAAAAGCCGCATTACAGGTTACAACCACTGGGCGGTAGCTGGTGTGTTCCTGTTGATCACCACCATCATCATCATCATGGTTGGTAAAGTGGTAGCGTCGGCGGTGACCCCTGGTGGAAGGTAAGCCTTGGTGGCGGGTGAGAGTTGAACGAGTCTCTTCAGCGCGTGGCGGTTGCCGCGAACGGTTGTCTCTAGCGTGGGTCCCCGGTGCATGGCACTGCGGGTTGCGCATCGTGGTAAGTCAAGCGTTGGCGACGCCGCCTGGGTGTGTTATTGTGTTGGTCATGTTTTGGAGTGTATGGTAATATTGCATAAGGATGTCCTAGCGTGTTGATCACGATTGATGTTATAATAATTTGGCGGACGATATCGTCCTTCAAAAATTAGTTAAATAAATGTATGTTGTTGTTTGGTTTGGACCGACTGAGTCTGCTGTGTCCGTTCACACCAAGAGCGTGGTGGCAATTGCCAATTCGAGACCCCACATTAGCGCCCAACATGGGGCTCTTGGAGTATTGGACGACAGTTTTTGCGGTTCAATGCAAGCTTATGTTAGAGCCGCGGTAGAGTAGGCCTAGGGGGACTTCTTTGCTAGCGTCGGCGGTGTGCTTTGTTGAGAGCGAGGAGATCGGTATTTGTGGCGTGTTTGAACTTGCTGGCACATTGAGTTTTTTTTTTCTACTCGCAAGCGGTTTTTTTGGTTTGTTGTTAGTTTTCAAGAACGTTGTTGAGTTAGGACGAGAGCCATGCGGTCTGCATCCTGGAGTGAGCAAGGCTTAGAGCACGTGGATTGTAGGCCAAGCCCGAAGCGAGTGAGTACGGAAGCCTCATGGGTGGTCTGATTTGTCTGTAAATAGCTTCTTCTATTTCTTTTGCGCTCAGGGAGCCGGGCGTCGTTGCTGTCTGGTATTGCGGCTCGACATCGGGGCAATGTAACACCGTCCGGGGCGGTGGACGCCGATCGCTCTGCGAGCTGCTGTGTGCGGCGAGCAATAGGGCCACCTTACAGAGTAGATGTCTCCTTGTGGCTGCCTCTTCATCGCCTAGGCTGGGTGGATGCCAGTTGTTGTCGAGCGACTCATTAGGCCTAAGGCTCTGCACAGCCGCCAGTCGCACATGGCACAACTAGGTGGATCGTGGCGTCAAGGTGTTGCACTCTGCTTCCCTCACTTTTTTTTATCTTGCGATGCACTAGTTATGAAAAGTGATTTTTGATTTGATGGGCGTCTCGGCCGCTGCCGGTGTATTAGCTAGCTGTACTGACCATCGTACCACGTGGGCAAAAAGCCCGAAGCTCCCTTCCCTAGGCCCTGCTCCATTGTTTCTGTTGAGTGTTTTGGAATTTACGCAGCAGGAGGGATGTAATCCACGGCTGGCCAGGAATGCGGTCGTAAATAGGGCGATGGAGATGCCTGGGACCTGCGCAACTGCCTGCAGTCCGGCGCCCTCGTGAGTGCTGGTCCCAACCGGAAGACTAGTCGGCATGCGTGACGGTTCGTCGCGCCTTCGGCAACACGCTGCTGTTGCGGGACCGGTACCGATGCGAAGTCGAGCCGGACAGTGCAGCAGTGTCGACCGGCGGCGGTGTCGTGGTGCACAGACATCATGAAGGGACATATGTTGCGATTTTTTTTTGTTAGAGCGTGTGTGGTTGATTTCTTTGGTTTTCGGAATATGGTTTGAATTAAGGTTGGGGGGATGTGGGGGTGCTGACACCCCCTGTAATGTTGCTTGAGCTGTGTGGCGCTTGTGTCTCGCCCAAAACTGCATTCCGGGTTACAACCATCGAGCGGTAGGTGGCGTGTTCGCGTTGATCACCACCATCATCATCATCATGGTTGGTAGAGTGGTAGCGCCGGCGGTGACCCCTGGCGGAAGGTAAGCCTTGGTGGTGGGCAAAAGTTGAGCGAGTCTTTTCTGTGCCTGGCTGATGCCGCGAACGGCTGTCTCTAGCTTGGGCCCCCGGTGCGTTGAACCGCGGGTCGCGCATCAGGGGCCCCCGTGGTAAGTCACGCGTTGGCGACACTGCCTTGGGTGTGTTATTGTGTTTGTCATGTTTTAGAGTGTGTGGTAATATTGTATAAAGATGCCCTAGCGTGTTGATCACGATTGATGTTTGGCTTGGATCGACCGTGTCTGCTGTGTCCGTTCACGCGTGGTGGCGATTGCCAATTCGAGACCCCACAATACACAGCACAGGTAGGTGATTTAAATGGTTGCATTCATGTTCTTTGCACAAACTTTTAATATTTGCACTTCATTACGCAGTGGTGATCTGTACCAACTCGTCTATCCGTATTGCTTCACTTAATTTCACTATAACTACTTTTCAAAATAACAAATTCATTTTAGTGGTTTCTTGAGATTCGTTGTATCGAAATTTCACTGTACAGTTGAACCCCTTTATAAGAGGCATGCTCCGGGCAGCGATTCTTGCCTTTCATATGAGATGTATTTTATAAGCAGGGCACCTCGTGTGCATTTTCTTATCAACCCATACTTTACTATACCCATTTGTCTCTTATAAAGCGGTTCGACTGTAATACAAAAAACTGGCAGGGTAGCCATATTTGTTTAAACTAAAATAAAAAACATGATTGTTTAATACTGAAACAGCTTCTTTACAGCTCAGATAGGAAGTTACAGTTTACAATTAAGATAGGAAGAGACCAGGGGAGAAGGGGTGTCCCGACATCAGGCCAAGGGCCACATGCGACTTACAGGTTACCAAATCCTGTTTAGTAAGAGATCACTTTAGAACAAGGCCTCCAGTACATTTCAAGAACATTGGCCATTGGTGCGAAGAGGGACGGGACGTAGGCCTCACCGTTTCGGTGTCGCCAGTCGGCAATGTGTTGAGTTGGCCGAACCTGCGTTTCAGACGCTCGTTCCAACCGCCACAGCCCCTGAACAGAAGAAAAATGATTACCTCACCTAGCCATAAGAATAGTGTTAACAGCATAAAAGCATTCTTTTTCCTGTGTGATTAGGATTAAATATGGATGCAATCCTGATGCATTTATCTTTTCTAACTTGCCAAATAGCGATTGCATGCACAAAATATACCTCTTGAGAACAGCATTGCAAATTTCGGTCCCCACCACGCAAAGTTGAAATTTCGAGTTGGGTTTATCACAGAGCAGACATGTAACTTCACGGCATCAGAAGTGGTGCAGCAGCTATAACTGCAAGCCGCTCCCTAAAACATTAGGCAGTTAATTAGAACTTCATCTTTTAACTGAATTAGGGTATGCACACAGACATGAACACCGAGTTAAAAGATGAACCAATACCAACTAGCCCAATAGTCCGTGCCACTGAAATTAGAACTTGTTGCAGAAATCCATTTGCCGACAGTGAAGTCGTGGTAAAAGCATCTCTCCACTGCGACTGCTCGCACAGAGAATTTCACTCTTTTAGGAGCCCAGTATTCAATGTTTTTCCTTGATTTTGGCACTATTTGGTTGATATTCCATTCCCTTTTCCACAACATCCACACACAGGGTAGTGAGCTGCGTAACGACCGCGCATGTTAATACACTCAAACTTCGATATAACGAACATGAATATAACGAAGTTTTAACTATAACGAACTTATTTTGGTGTAATGAAAATGGCCGGCCATGCAAATAAAACACAAGCGACTCACTCTTCATCCCCTTCCTCTCCTTCTTCGTCTTCTCCTTCCTCCTCTTCTTCCTCGTCTTCTTCATCCTCAGCTTCCTCCTCTTCCCCAGACTCTTCCTCATCCTCGCCACTCTCGGAGGAATCAGAAGATTCGTCCTGGTCCGCAACCAGAGTAATGTAAGGCTTCAAGTTCCGGTGAGGCCTCCTCCCAGTCTGTGGCTGCTCATCACCCGCACCGGCCGATCCTGCTGATGATGCCGAGCCACCCGCCTCTGTGGAGTCGCTTGAACCTCCTGCCTTGACTGCATGATGAGGAGAAAGAGAAAAAAATATTATTAAGAAAAAAGTCAGTCGATAACGCCAGGCATGGCCCGTCGCCCCTAGTCACTGGCCGGAATCCCTCGGGACAGGGCAGTAGCAACGACCTGACCGATTATGTCTTGCTATACGTTGGGGACTGGGCTGCAGAGCAGGGCCTCCCAGGATTCTACAAGTGCAAACCATCGTTCTTACTCGGACATGTCCACACTACGTGGACCGAATTTGTCTCATCACAAAATTTACTTGCTGTAAAGTACGGGGTTTGGAAAATTGCCGTGCTGTATCTTTCGCCACATAACCTCGTCTTTCTTACTGAGCGACCTGTCCGCTCCCCAATATACTTGCCAGTGATGGGGCTATGATTACATGATATGTGTGCATATCCTCACTTCTTTTTGTAAGTTTGGTAACTTTGGATGAAGGTTCCGGAAGTCGATCGGAAAGAAATCAAATTTGCTTTAATTTTACAGCATTCTTGTTATCGTTTTATGCATGTACCTTCACTCTCCTCCCTATTGCTTGGCACTTGAGGCTATGTGAATAGACAACTAAACAAAAGCGAGAAAATCTTGCAAAACTGCTTTTGAGGCAATATCATGCTGTATAGTAAAGTTGAGAGCATGACAGAATCCTGTCTGGCCAGGTACATTTGAAAGAGAAAAGAAATGCCGATCTGTCTAAAAGAACGTTTACCACATTATGGTGTCTGCCATGGAAGCCTTGATCACAATGACGCAAAAATTTTGGCCCCGCATTTTTTCGCTTCAATGTGTAGCTTGCTGGGGCCTTGTTAATCATAACAAGGCACATTGTTTGCTGTCGTACACAACAGATAATTAATTTCAGGCTGCTCATTACCATTTGGTTTGAGAAAGCTCCAAAACAACAAGCCAACGGGTGCAACTATAACCACCTAGTGTCTGCAACGTTCGACCATGTCAGCACACAGAACGGAGACATATTTCCACACGGTACGCAACAAGAAATCTGCTCTAACAGGAAACCGGACAGCAGTGTCACCAAACACAAAAGTTTAGAAGCCTTGACTACCGATCAGCAGTGTCTTCTGACCATACCGAAAAAGTTTGCAGGGCCCCTTGTATGGGCGTTAACCAGAAAACCAGCCGAGGTCTAACCTTCATTGTCGACTTTCTGTGCTGGCTGCTCTTCTTCCGAACACTCCCCGTTGACGATTTTCTCGCCTGCTAGACGAGGTTCAGGTTTGCCGTCGGCATCACTTCCACCACTCACGCCGCCCTTCTTTCCACCATCCTTCTCTTCGCATACAGTGTCCTTCACTTTACCGCTGTAGCGTGCAAGGAGGTCTTCGATGGGCATCGTGGCTTCGGCGTGAAGCATGTCCGCCTCGCCTTCGTCTGGAGTCTCCTCTCCCGAATCGTCAGAACTAGTGCCCGCCAGCGCCTTCAGTTCGCTCAGTACGGAGGCAGTCACAAGGCTGGCATCGAACTGAAGAAAGCCCTCCCGCAGGGCTTCCTCGAGGTTCCCCTCCTTGTAGCATGACAATGTTTTAACAAAGTCGGGCAATTTCATGGCACAATACTTTGCCACCTCGGCACCTGCAATGAAACGTGGCAAGGTGAATGGTGTTAGGCTTTTGCTTTAGTACGTGCTTCCAGCTGTGACATACTGTTTAAAGACAGTCAACTCTAAGCTGCAAGTGGTGTGAACTTCACTAATCAGAAAGAGAAAATGGTGCGGCAGAGAAAGATGACAATAAATGAACCACACAAACACGGCACTTGTGGTCGTCTGGTTAGTCTTTACTTTTTCTGTCACATATAGTCTCCTTAGAGTCGCAGCAACTAGCCCAACTGTCAGTGCTGTTTAAAACCTGCCTTCCAAATTTCTTAACCACTCCAGTGAGTGGTAAAAGCTCTGATAACTCAATGTCTAAATGGTTAGAAGTTCGAATTACTCACTGTGATTGCATTTCGCGGAAGGACTAAGCAGATGTGCCCATCCACCAAGCTAAAGATACCCCAGAAATCAGATGGGCAAAGTTACTATAAAACCTGCCAATATGTCTTGCACAGTTTCTGAATACACATTACGTAGCATCTGTTTATGGTAGTATGTCTGTAACAAGCCCGACCAACCACCATTTTACATTTTTGTGTTGCTTCGGTCTCCTACAAATACACTGGGCTTTGCTAGTACAATTCTATAGCACATGCTACAATTAAAACAGCTGGCTCATTAGGTAAACATGCAGCTACATTTGTCACACCAGTGTCACATCTACATGAGCTATTTATGAAACGTAATTAATAACTGCAATGCTATGAGACAAACACAACAAAAAAGCTAGTTTTGTTTTCTATACAGTCTATCCTTTCAGATATCTTTGCAGACGGGTTAGCAGTTACACAAACAAGAATGAACTGAATTACGTGTACAAAAGTGGTAAAGTGAAGCAGCAATAGTTGTTATCCTGACTTTGAAGAGGTTAAATTCTTATCTTTTTTTTTTTCACATTCTTCAATCACAAGCTTGTGAACTTCTTTATGATGTGTTCTTAAACATTCGCCTAAGTTTACCAAATCTGAAAAAAGGACAATGATTTCTAACCATTGCACAAACATGCTTGCACAACCTACAAAGGCAGGAAAAAAAAAAAAAGAATGCTCATCTGTAATTGCCAATTGTGTCAACAATGAATCTATAAAACAATGAATGACTTGATGATGAGATGACCAGTGGACGCTATTTTGTATGCAAGCAGGAATAAAATCAGACGTGCATATGGAAGCCAAAGTATGCTGGCTGAAAACAATTCGTTCAACTGCTTGACCTTTGCTGAATGTGGGAGGAGTTATCTACATTCTTACGATGCAAACTGCCAATGGCAAAAGCAAACCAATACACTAATTTTCAAAGCGCTAATAGAACATTGCTGAAGAAGTCAAATTGCAAGGAGGCTGGAAAAGGTTGTTGGCAAGCAATTAAAATGCCTATGTCAGCCTGCTATGCCGAAAACAATCCCTGATTTTAGATATGCTTGGTGTCACAACTCAGTGTCACATGAATGCTAATTGCAGCTTTGGCGACTCACAATATTACTCTAGCTGAGCAAAGATTACTGCCACTAAGCTACAACTTCGCCACCACAAATGCATAGTAACAGCAACTGCCTTAGCTTTCAGCCCATATTTTAATTTCTTAATGTGAACTAACTTACGATACACAAAACACAGATACAGCGAATTATTGGACTAGAACACACAAATTAAGCAAATTTATGATGCTGACCACTGATATCAACCTATCACGAATATTCTCTCATTACTACTATGGAATATAACGTATGCACTGTGAACTTACTTACAGCGCAACACCAGAAAAAATACAGGACAGGGAAGGAGCAAAAGAGAAAGAAAAGACAGCGCCGTCTTTTCTTTCTCTTTTGCTCCTTCCCTGTCCTGTATTTTTTCTGGTGTTGCGCTGTAAGTAAGTTCACGATGGATCCTAACCAACTGGTCCAACTAACCGTCTTACTATAACGTATGCACTTTCATGTTGAAGGCCACTCTATCGTAAGATCTAAAAAGGTGTTTTTTTTTTTTTTTGCACTTTCAACCTCACCACAATTCACCCTCGGAAATCGTGAGTTTAAACTCGCATTCATGAGCAGCCACGAGGTTTGACCACACTTGGACCGAATAGTGCACGCTTTGTTTACTTCTTGCAGCCCAGCTTCTTTTCAGCGGGGCAAGAATCAACGCAGCAATGGTTGGTCAGGAACGTTCTAGTGATCGTTCCAGTCAAAGAGAGAATGCCTCAGTTACAGACATCCAAGGGCTTCAAAAGAGCGAAAGACTACGGTTTCAAGTTACACTTGGGGCACAAGAAGGCAACCGACAAGCAATGGTCAAAGGCTGTTCAGGAGCGCGAGCCGTGATTCACCGCGTTCTGCGTCTCACGATCGAAGGCACACTCACCACCGTGACCATCGTAGACGGCGAAAAACGATGTATCCCGATCATAATTCAGGATTGTGTTGTGGGCATCCTGAAACGAAAGAAGCAACGCCAGAGTCGTCAGAGGTTTGTTTATATCAACAACGTGGGCGGAGCCTAAGCGTTCCAAAAAAAAAAAAAAAAACCACCGCACTGTGAGCGCCGTGTTTACATCGGAATGCAAGCACCGAGATTACGAAAACAACTGAATGAAAAAAAAAAGAAAGACGCAAATGAATCGTGCGCGGTAAGGTGGCGACTTCCGCGACATCTAAGCTCGCAGTCGCACTTCACAGATCAGAAAAGGTCCGGCGAGCCCGCCAACGACGCTGACCACAACTTACTAAAAGAAGTCACGTACTACCAGCGGCGTCTCCGCGGTTTTTAACATCTCGGACTTCGGTGCACGGCATCGCCGACTTACGGCGACAATCGTGCACGATCTGGCACGCCACGAACACAATGAGAGCTCACCTCTTGGCTCATTCGCCAGCCTTGCATGGACGAAGCTCCGTACGATATGCGGCTGCCCGTCTCGTTGGTGGAGTACTTCTCCGTCACGGCTCCGACAAGTAGGCACCCATAGCGAGTCGCGTATTCGACGAACGCCGGGGTTTCGATTTGACGATCTCTTCAACGAATGTTTCCCTTTTTTTTTTTCCCCAGTTGTTTACGGCGCTTTATTGCAACTGGACGCACGCAGCCATTACACGTGCCCGCTTATGCCCGCTTTGTGGAGTTGAAAGTGGCGATCGCAGCGCCTTCGAAATTGACTGTCGGCGAAATTCAGCAGTAGAAAATACCGGAGGTGACGTCGTCGGTGTTAATTAAAAAACAATCGCGCAAGTTAAACTTTATTTCAGTGTGTTTTAAAAAAAGTGTATTATGCGTTCACTACTTGAGAATAGCACACACCTCGTTGTACTAAAAAATAATAATTTTCTAAATAAATTACGTGCGAACTCGTTTGTGTCGCGGACGCGGCGAGCCAGCGGCCTACGGTACTCAAGAAATCGTATTGTTTATATCCAAATTGAAACAATTGCCAAGCTTTATTACAAAAAACGTTAAAGTATAAATCAAGTGGCATTATGACGAATCTTTTGAGCACTGTGTTAACCTAATATAAATTTGCGGTTTAATTTTGCCGAAGTGCGGAAAGCGCTAGGTTTCGCCACTATCCAATTCCGATTATGTATATCTACGCAGATTAGACCGGCGAGGAGGTGTTCTGTGGCGAGGTGTATTTAATGGCGTGTGGTTGTGTTGTACGCTAGTTGTGTGCTCAAGCGATCTGTTGGTGGTAGAGGCCCCCATTCCTGGTGTTTTGACGTCGCGATCAGGTTCGAGGTTGTAACATACTCCCGTCGCGATGTGTGCCGCATGACCGAGCCTTCACGAAGCCTCCCGGCGCTGCCATGGGTGACGCGAAAGACTGCAAGATTCCTCAGGAATCCAACGAACAGCGTGGAAGCGGCGACGATTCGGAAGACGAAAGCGAGATCCTCGAAGAAAGTCCCTGCGGCCGATGGCTCAAGCGGAGGGAAGAGGTAGCACCTTCGAATAATTCCATTTGTTTATCACGATCATTTTTTATTTTTTCCCCCAAGGCGAGGAAGAGTAGAGTGAATTGGGTCGCGTAAGGCGCCGCTGACAACCGGTAGTCTTTGACAAATCGAGAGCTTCGGCGGTGCAATAAATAGCGCTGTTCGCTTGGAGACCTAATTTCTGGCAAATCTCTTCAAGAACAGGCCTTCTGATGGCTGCTCCCTGACCATCGGATTGGAAACGCTCCGGCTGTTGCCCTTTACGTTGATTTATGTTTTCTTTATTGGTTGCGCGAGTTGTCGGGGCGATCGTAGGCGCAATGTCGTTTGCCAGGCACCCTAGGGAAGTTTACAAAGGATTTGTCGCCGAAGCGGCGCGGCTTGGACAAGTGCGTAGGAGGGTGACGAGTTTTGACAGCCGCGTGACGACGCTGTTCAGCCGTAGTGGCTTCCCGTCTCTGCGGTATGTTTATCTTTTTGTTTGTTTATTTTATCTGTCGCGGCCGTTTCGCGATGACGTCATGCGCGAGATGTTCGCATTCTGTTTGTTCTTTTCCCCCGCGGCGACGATCTTTGAATTCAAACACGAGATGAGAGTGTCGCGAAAACTTCCGTTGTGCGATCTTGCGCATTGTTAGGCCGCCTGCAGTACCGCAAGGCCCATTTGTAATTTGTCAGAAAGAGAAGAAAGGGACAAAAAAAAAACCGAACTGTTGGGACGTGAATATGTTCACCGCAATATTGGGCAAAAGAAAGAAAAGCATTGAGAAAAATAGAAGGGGAGGGTGTATGAATTGTGTAGACTTCAAGAATTTCCCACTGGGATCTCGATAAAAACAGCATGGCAGCATTGTGTATGATAATTGTAACTAGGCTGTCAAAACGTGTCTATCTGCACTGCTTCTGTCATACCAGAGAAGTTTCACAAATATTCAATATTTCGTAATGTTTACTTGGAGCGACCAAAGCTTTGATCGTTCCTTTTTTTTTTTTTGTCTGTTTAGGACATTGCAAGCTGTTGCCTCCACTGTGCTACAGTTTTACACTCAACATAGAAAGCTTACAAACCAGGAGACACAGGAAATAGCTGAATATTCCTTTTGATTTGCTATGCAACACTGTATATAGATTGCTGGCTTGTTGAGAAGTGCTCTAACAACATGTGTGGGGCAGTTCATCCAAATACAGTCACAAAATGCTGGTGTCGAAGGTTAGAGACTAAGTAGTCTCTAACCTCTTGATGCCAACTGTATGCTGCCCATAATCTTGCTTCTTTGTACTATACTTTGTTGATGACTGAAGCTAACCGCTCGTGCTGCTGTGCTTGTGACAACTAAATGGTTTCTTCTAGCAGTTCATGTGTGAAAGAAAATACTCGGAGGTAAACAGAACCTGTGAGATTCCAGTTTAATACGAAAACTCTATTTTCGTCCTTACAACCAAGACTGGGCAAAGAAACCGAACAGAGGGGATAGTCGGCTGTCTTTGTTCAAAACAACTGACGGCAGCTGACTGGACGATCAAATCAACTTTCTAAGAATGAAAACTTCATCATTCACGCCATCCTCTTTAGTTTGCAGATCAAGTTTAGATGTCTGGGCACAAAGCTTGTGGACCACTATTGATAAAAAAGCAAGTGGGGCTGTAGTTTGGTTTGTGGCAGAAAAAGTGCCTTGCAAAAGATGAGTGTTAGATATGACTACCAGTTTCAGAGTTTCCAAATCTAGGGATCCATGATTCAGTCTAAAGATAAGGTTATATTGCTTGACACACAGCTTATCATTTTTTTTTTCTAGGGTCGTAGATTTCTTGTAGTGAAACGAACGTACAATGAAAGCACAGAAAGTAATGCGGCCTCTTTTTCTCATAGACAATTGTGCTTCCTTGGGAGCTATCTTTAGCCAATCTATAGTTTATCACTTGACCATGAGAATGACAAAGGTTGTCCCACTTCAATGGACTACAGATTCTGAACAAGAGGCAACCTAAATGGTACAGCATGAGACTAGTTGCAGGCTCCAAAATAATTTCTAAAACATGTCATTGAAGTGTAGCTTTTGAGATCCGTTTGCTATCTCAGAGATACTTGTCCCCGGAATGCGATTTCGAATACCACCTTTGTTAAAAACATGTTTTTTTCCAAGAGCATGTGGGCAATAAGTTCCTGAGCCTGTGAATAATTGTTGCACTTGTGGCACAGTACTTTGACACAGGTGAATCTCACCAGCATTTGCAGGGTCTTGGTTTTGTTGCCACTATGCAATGTCTCAATACTGCCCATAAGCAAAAACTCTAAGTTGTAGCCAAATGCATGAGCTCTACTCATCGTAATCATAATGGTTGAACTTCTATACTTCTACGAGCAAGAAGGTTGTGCCGGGAATTACCTCCAGGAACGGTTGCAAACTGTGTGTAAATTCTGAAGAGTTGGAATTGGTATATCTGCACTGCTCCATTTACTAACAGGCGTTTTACTTAACACGTGTTTGCAGATTTGCCATGTGTCTACTTGCTGGCCGGGCCGCATTTAGTGACTGTCTTGCTTACTTAAGTCTAAAGACTTCTTTCGTTGTTCTTGCCTGTAGGTTCAACAGCGAGACATTCCAGGCATAGATGTCGCAGTACCTTGCGATGGACACTGAGGAGGGTGTCGAGGTTGTCTGGAACGAAGTCAAGTTCTCCGAGAGGAAAAATTTCAAAGCCAAAGAGGTGGGGAAGCCTTGCTGGAAATTCTACACTAAGTTACCCTGTTAGGATATGCCCACCTTAACTTGCGTTTGTTGAGTATAACTATAGAAACTCTACTAAATATCGCTTGACATTACAGTTTGGCAGGAGTCGATGCTAAGAAACGCTTAACGAGCATTTACACTCGATATCGGAAAACAGACTTGAAACAGTCGGCTTGGTGTCGTTGACAGTATCATTGTACCAAGACAAAGAGCAATGCTTCCTAAACATGCCGCAAAAGAAGAGTATGAAGCTTGCCATTTCAAACCTAGTCTTCCTTCAAAATGACATTGCTTAGGTAATGTAACTGCAGTGACAGTAAGGACATGAGGAGCAACCTATGCTAGTGAAAGTTAAAGTACGAATTTGTAGGCAGAAATTTTTTTGACCATGTGTATTAAATTGGCAGCATCTTTCACACTGCATAAGTAGAAGTCGTAAGCAATGGTTGAATAAAGAATGTTGCTGTATTCAGTGTTTCAACTAAGCGGTCTTTCCTGGTTCAATACAAACCTGCTTGTCGAAAATTTGGCTTCAGCGTTATTCCTTCCGTGACTTTTTAATCACTTCAATCCTGCCATGTTTTCTTGAGCATCTGTCTCGTGAGGCAACTTAAATGTACCTAACGCCTTAACTATGCATGCAACCTTCTAAAGGTAGATATCGCAGAGAATTGAGTTTCAAAGTCGATTAGCATATCTCGATAAGCTGGAATCTCAACTGCATGCAGTACAAGATTGGATGTTCAGATTCCAAGTTATTGTGTTCTGCTGATTTACTTTGTAACTCTTTGTTTATGAAAATGCTTGCTACCCAAAGGGCTCGTGAAATGTATTAAACTAAAATAATGCATATTGCACTACGGAAACTAATTGCATACTGGAAATCGGCGCATAAATATACGTAAACTCAGGTGGCTTAATTAGATTGACGAGAATTTAAATGCAGTGAAAAACCCCTTAAGGTAGCCCCCCCCACCCCCGAGTATGTGCAGCAACTGCCAAGGTTGCAGCTCTTCCTCCCAGGGTGCTCGTGCAACTTTGAAATTTGGCACTTATCTCTCTTGCAGGAGAAGATACGCGAGGTCTTTGACAGCTTGGCTCAGCTCGAGCATCCAAACATAGTCAAGATCCACAAGTACTGGATGGACAAGGACTCGGAGAAGCCCCGAGTCATTTTCATCACCGAGTACATGTCCAGTGGGTCACTGAAGCAGTTCCTGAAGAAAACTAAACGCAATGTCATCAAGCTTCCCCTGCAGGTAGATGCCGACGCTAGCACAGTTCTTTACGTTCTTATCCTGTCTCGTTAAAAGTGCGCCTGAAAGAGGGGTGCCGGAAAAATCTGCAGGAGTTCAGAATATGCCAAATTTCGAGACTGAAATCGCACTGACGAGAAGTTGAACACTTTGTAATGTTAATAAAAGTAAGACTTAACGACAACCTGACCACGTGGCGATAATGACCTTTCACTGCAGGTTAATTGGGTATTGTGGAATGTCTGATACGAAACAGTGTCTGAATAGGCTTTTTGTTGTGTGGGCTATTCGTTTAAATTCAGTTGAAACCGGGTATGTCGCGACATTCGGTTGGCAATTGCATGAATGGGGTGAGAGGAGTTGTGATGTAGCCACTTGCCAGGTACCAAAGTAGCTTCACAGAAATACATTTTCACGGTGCTCTGTTGCAGTGTATGCATGTGTGCAAATGTGTCCGTTGAAGTTAAATTAGTGAGCCCTCAAAACGGCTAGGAAAAGAAAGATTCAGTAATAATACTCCACTTTTCAGCTGTTTCTTCTGGACCCCTTTGAAGGCGTCGCTTGCCTCTTTCAGTGAAGTGCAAAGTGTAAATGCAGTAATTGTTTCTTTGTCATCCCATTGTCTCGGAAATTTTGGTGCCAATACAGTTGCCCAATGTGTTTAGTAATATTGCAAATATCTCTCAACTTACTAGTACTAAGTTGCCTATCTTGCTTTCAGTACTTGAACATATTGTCACGTAGCAAAGGACGACGCAGTTGTCTATGAGGAAAACAAGTTTATTGGAGCGAACCTGTGCTCCCCTAACAACTGAAAAAAATACACAGGCGGCGAAGCAGCGGCCAGCAAAACGACGGGCACGCTAGTGAGCGTCGGCGATCGAATGACGCGGCATTGGCTGTGCGGGAATTTATATCCCTCGGCACGAGCGTTTCTCGAATAGTCGAATTGTATCGGGAACGCCGTGATAGCGTTTGTTAGAAACGCTGTTCGTTCGAACAGCGTTTTTAACAAACAACGCTGGAAGCGTTGTTCGATAGCGTGTGTTCGAAACGCTGTGAAAACGGCGATAGCACAGGCCGGCGCTGCCAGGCCGAAAAAACAAAACACAAATAAACAAACCCAATGCATGGTTCGCGGCAATATATTATGTGCTTGGGCATTGTTATTGAAAGGAAGCTACTTTTTTTTTCAAGTGCGCATCATTTCTTTATAAAGATTAATGTGGGTGCATATAAGAATGTAAATGTAGAATTTTATATATCTTTTGAATCCGTAGAGTTAATTGTGAAGGAATGGGCTGTAACAGAAAAACGCAGACGTCGGAGTTAATGAGACTTTGCAAACAAAGCTATTATACTGCATTTGCTAGGCTCATTTTTGTTAAGAGGCACTGGCACTCATAGTCTGAGCAATATTATCCAAAATTACTGTATTAATTTACCCTCGTGTGTGTGGCACGGCTTAGTTTTTAATTAATATTTGAATAACTACGACTTGCTAGTCTAAGCATTGAGATTTCCTTGCAGGATTGGGTACAGTGGGTAGCCTCTTGCATACAGTCACCCTAGTAAAGCTTACAGACTGCAGGACTTTGGAGAAATTTCGTATCGCTGCGGCCTTGGAATGCTACTTGTGACATTCATATTTCCAGGCTGGACAATATGTGTGATATAGTTCTGCCAATTTTAATCGTACACTGCTAGACTTTTTTTTTTTCAGATCCAATGGTTCGTAAACCTTTTAGTGTGGCTGTAGGGTAATGTCTTATGATTCTGTTATGCTGCTCAGCTTTCTCTCGAAGATGCACATTCAACATTTATGAAGAAATTTTTACATTATGAATGGATGGAAAGGTCGCGATTTGCTGCATCATAAAAAACATTAATAAAACTGTGGTGTCATCCAGCTTTTTTTTCCACGATAGGATGATGAATGATTGGCTGCCGTTTTGCTGAGGGCTTGCTTGTAATGCCGCATGTCATTATTAATTGGATGCTTATGTATATTGCAAAGTGCAGACAAAAATTCTGCTTCCTAGTTTACTAGCAATAGCATCTTTTCCATTCTGTTTATTTCTTTGTCTTTGTTTTGTTTTTGTGTGCAAACTTGTTTGACTGTAAATCTTGCAACTACAATAATGCTCCAAGCATGGTGGACTGAAGTCTCTCTGATAGTTAAAAAAAAGAATTATTCAAAGCATTGAGGTACTATGTTATTAAGTTTGGCATAATTTTGGCTGGCATAGTGTTTCCTGTACGTAAATCAGATTGGTTCTGGTATTGCCCGGTTAATTTGGGAAAGCTTTAGTTGAGCAATCAGTCTGCTCGATTTAGACTTGTTTACCGGCAGCAGATGTTCCATTGGAATTATTGTTGCACATGCACAGAATATTATATTCTATATGGTATGGCTTCTCTGTTCTGTACCCATGTCGAGCATGCTTCTCCAGGTGCATTTTTCAGAAATGCGAGATGTATTGAATTTGCTGCAGTGTATCAGCACATTAAATTTGAATGAAGCGTACCGCCATGCTCACCTAAAGCTTTCTATCGGTAAAGTCTCCATATTGCTGAGTAGTGCGTAAGAAAAAGATTCATTGGTTGCATAAATTGATCGAAGAGCTTGTTTGTATTCAGCATGAACGCATAAACGCATGGTGTGAAATCTATGGTATGGTAACTCTGCTTCTACTCCTAGATTTACGGTTGCTTTGCCTAGATTTTGATGCAAAATTCAAAGTAGCATACTTCAGTAAATGTATCGTGGTCCCACTCAATTGCATTGTGCACACTACCAGTCACTATCTACATGCTTGTTTTGTATGCTGATGGCACCAAGTCTTCGTTATCTTAAAGCAGTGTAATGAAAAGTCGTAGGATGTTGCAATAGAAAAAAAAAACTTGCGCAGTGTGCAAAATGATTAGGCTCCATTTGAAGCTCTTGTTGAAGAACTCTACGAAAAACTCTACAGCTTTTACTTGAGCATTTCTGTGTTCATCCTATGTATGTGGCACTGCAGATTCACCCTTTAAAAGAAAAGGAAACTACAGGAGCAAATCGGCTTTAACAACTTTAAATATCTGGAAACGTTGGCACCTAGAGTGCAAAACCTTACTGTGCTGTATATATTGCCACCACTTGAAGAATTGGAGAAGTTAGTTTTATATTATTGCACCCATTTTGACTGCACATCAGTCTGCCATCCTTGCTTTAGCTGGAGACTGACCTACATGGTCTCGTTTCTTGTTGGCCATAGGTGCCTAAAGGCACCTATGGCCAACAAGAAACGAGGTCAACAAGAAGCAATTGTAGGTCAACACTTACTTGTAGGTCAACAAGAAGTAAGTGGCGCGGCTCCCACATCTTTCTGTTGAATAGAATTGGTGATCTTCATAGTAGGCCTTGGTCAAAGTAGGCCTTGGCCTTTAGTTAGGGCAGCTCACTTGTCAACTTGTTCTATAGCCCAGAAATTCCCGCTTCTCAAAATTTCTCACTCTTTTTTCCCCTCTGTCGGCTGGTGAGAACTAGTGTGCAGGGTGGCATGTAGCTCAGTCTCCATGCACGCCACCTCTTGGCAGCGAAAGTTGTTTCTGCCCACTGCTGTGCTCAAAGTGTGGATTGTGTCGTGTCGCTGGCACGCGTCATCACCTTTGCAATTTTCTTTTTAGGCCTGGAAGAGATGGTGCAACCAGATTCTCTCGGCACTAAGGTGTGGTCCCAGATTTGATGCTATATTTACGTGCGGCGGCGGGAGCCGTCGCCCGCCGCCACATTTGTTGCCCGTCCTTGGCTGACGGTTGTGCTGCACTCTTTGGGGCGGCCGACCCGAGGCGCTAAGTGTCGGGACAGTTTCCTCACCAGTGCCTTTTCTGTTCCTCCTCGACAGTTACCTCCACTCGTGTCTGCCACCCATCCTGCACGGCAACATGACGTGCGACACCATTTTCATCCAGCACAATGGCCTTGTAAAGATTGGATCAGGTGCGTTGCTGCCCCCCTTCTTTTTTTTATCTATTTACTGCGCTCCGATGGCTCGGCAGTTTGTCAAGAATTCCGTGGTGCTGCTTCGTATATGTTGGCTGTACTGTCTGCGCTTTTTAAAAACACACTTGCACTCGTTCAGGTACTTTTCTGCCTTGCAACAATAATAAATAGGCAATCTATCTCGCGTGGCTTTTCTTGGTTTTTCTGCCATGCTGGTCAAGGTGCTGGGTGACCGACTCTAAGGCATCGGGTCCAATCCCGGCCGCAGCGGTCTCATCTCGTTCGAAGCGAAATGCTAGAGGCCCATATGCTGTGCAATGTCGGTGCACGTTAAAGGACCCTAGATGGTGAAAATTTCAAGAGCCCTCCGCTTCAGCATCTTTCATATTGTTTTAACGCGTTAACGTTGGAGAGCTCGTGTCGCAGAAAACGCGCCGCCCCTTTGGTTGTGAGCGAAAAATCATCTGTGCATTTGTGACCAATAAATCAAGTTACCAAGATATCCGCGGGAGGCCGCTACTTGTCCACACGTTCCCGCGCGTTCACACTGAAAAAGCCGCGGTTGGAAGAAAAAAAAAGTGCTCAAGGTCGCGAAGCGTGGTAGTTTCTTTGCCCTGCCACCCCTCCCTGCCTAGCTTCCAGTGCTTTCGTCAGGACGAGAGATAATGCAATTGCAGCATGCAACAAATCATTGTAACTCCACTCGCACTGGACGGATTCTTAAAATTTTTGCGGCGTTGAATTCGTGAGGAAATCTCTTCTAGTGAATGCATTCCATGGTTACTTTCCAGTGCTTCACTCCAATGCATTCCAGTGTTTCACTGCCCTTTTAACGCATTTTGTTCGACAGGTGTCGCGACGAAAACGAGCCCATTCTGCGATAATAGCGTGCGCAGATCCAATCTACTGTGTGCGTGTTTGTGTGCGTGCATGTGTATGTAACAAAACATATGAGTAAGTATGCATTTAGCGGTTCAAGGGTGCACTAGGGGCCGGATTTTGCTATTGCCTTCAACTCTTAAAGGCGAAGCATAAGGGTACCCCAATTTTTGTGGTTTAGGCATGTAAAACACCACGCATTATTTTCTTGCTTAGACACCGTGAACGTGGTACCTTCAGGTTGCAAAAACTGTGTTCACTGCTGTTGTGGCAGTGTTCTTGAATGCGAAAGTAGTAAGGACAGTTTTCAAAAAAAAAAAAAAGGCAAATGAACCAAACTATAATTATGACTCCCCCAACTCCCCCAAGGGTCCAAGCCAGCGCTGACAACAAAATAATAAAAGGGCATAGAATACGAAAACAACTTTATGGAAGGGAACGCGTGAATGCGTTGCCCGCATGCCCCGTCGGCTGCTTGCAGCACCTTTAAGTGGGAGTGGGAGCAACCACAGCCTCTTTTCATGTCGCCTAGTGGCAAGCAAAACAACCAGTCATGTTTGATGTGCAGCCGGCTGCAAAGCTGCGCTTGGTAGTGGTACTAGTGATGGAAGCGACTTCTTACGTTTTTGGAGCAGGAAAAAAAAATGCTTGTTTAGAGCAGCTGTTGGCGCTTTAGGAGCAGATACTAAATTTTCCCCACATTAATTGGAGTTTGGAACATTGTTGAAGCATCTCGTAAAAATCAATATTTCTTATGACATATACTTCACAGACAACAATGTAAACTTCATGAAAAAAACAATGGCAGGTTGTCTAAAATGTGCTCTGAAATGAGCTACAATTTAAATACTAGTATTTGTCGCATAAACCAAATCAGACCGGAAAAGCAGAGTGCCACGTTTTAGAAGTAACCACATAACTGTTGCCAAATAAGCAGTAGATAATCGGTACGAGATAAAAGCACTCCTGCTCATTTTCATTTCGCCACACTAGTCTGCATGTCTAGCTGAGGAAAAAAGGATAGATGAGCTATACGCTTAATATGGCAGTTCTTGTCGCACAAATGAGATCAGTCTATGCAATGACCAGCTGGCCAGCACACTTTTCAAAAGTGCCCACACGTTTTCGATTATGCTTGGATCTGGAGACGGGCGAGGCCACCTCTTGTTTGCTACGCAGTACTGTCTTGCGCTCTCATCGCAACACCAGCAGCAGTCTCCATGCATGCTTAAAGAGCATTGAGCCCGACATGCTATACTTCGTTTCGTAGACCATCCGCAACGCCGTCGAGGCTAGCGACACTTCTTGCAGTCAATGCATTTGCAACAAACAATTGTTTATTATTCTTGCCACCAATAACAGAATTTTCGTATTCGTTAATACGGTGAACTTCAAGTGATGTTGTGCCTTACGAACAAAAACGTCATGTAACATCTGTTAGTACGCGGCTGTATACCTTGGTTTACAGGTGGCGTCGCGTACAGGCTCTCTGCTGTGGGTATGTCGCAATGGTGGCCACCGAGACTTTCTATTTCATCACACAGTGTCGGCGCAGGGGAGGATATCGCAGAGTCGGACCCAGTCTTCCTTCGTGCTTTCCCCGCTTTCTTTTGTTTGCCAGTCGCTCCAAAGGGGAGCTCAATGACGCGCGAGGATGCACCAGAGATACATTTTGCTGGCTGAACTTGCACCTGGTGTGTGAAACATAGTATAGTACGTTTTGAATTGGCAGGCAACACGTTCTCTGCGAAGTGGGATTCTACCCAGAATATTTTCCATGACATGCGATGCGAGACTTCACCAGGGCAAACCAGCAAAGAAAGTTCACCTGAGTGCACCGCTGTCGCCTAAACCACTCTAAGTTAGCCAAAGTGTGATGTGTGATATCCACGCAGCAGAGCTTCCCCGTTTTGTGTGCGCTCTGATACCAAGCATAGTTCACGAGCGGAAGATGAGTGGCTGGCCTCTTGCATAATCACCTTGATAGTGGGAGGGGGTTGCAGTTTTGCATATCACCCATGACTGGTTGTTTTGCTTGCCACACGACGAAACAAGATTGTGGTTGCTCCTGCTCCCTCTTCAAGGTGGTGCAAGTCGGCCCCTAGACCGCGTCTGGAGTCTGGAGCCCTCTTACTATGGCATGCCTTGTAATTGTTACATGTTTCGGGCACACACAGAAGTTTAGTTTTGGCTCATTTGGCAAAAGAAGCCCCAGGAAGTGTCAATGGTACCTGATATGCTATTGATTTATGATTTCTTTTGCCCCATATTTTGCATAGTTTCTTCACCGTCATTATTTATTCGATGCAATTTGGCTGACGTCTGTGCCCAACTCTATCGGGATTACTGTAGATCATGTAGCAGCGTCCATTCGTCGCAACCGAGAAACCGAACCGATCAGTCCTGATCAAGTGTGCTCATGTGGCACCACTACTGCAGTGGAATGGCTTCTGATGTGTCTTGTAGGCATGGTTTTGCTTTAGTCTGGCGTGATTGTCATTTTGAAAACTCCCTCTTGTCATTTCAGTGGCACCTGATGCCATCAACCACCATGTCAAAACGTTTCGGGAAAACATCAAGAATGTTCATTTCGTGGCACCTGAGTACGGAAGTAAGTTGAGTACGTGTCTGGCACTGTGCCGCTTTTTCTTCTCTTCCCTTTTCTTCTTCTGGGTGGTAACCTCCTATTCCTTGATCTTCTTTTTTTTTTCATCACTCGTCTTCTTTTTCTTTTTCTCTCATTTGACCCTTTGTTGTTGAGGGTCACTTGTGGGACTCTTTCGAGTCTCAAGCTATTCTAGCTTAGCTTAGTGCAGTTCTATTTCTTAATTAATTTCTTAGATGCTAAGCATTATTTTTTTTTCTCCAGCTGCGCCTGTCGTAACGCCTGCCGCTGACATATACTCGTTTGGGATGTGTGCTCTTGAGGTGAGCATCCATTTTATTTCTTTATTATTGCAAATAACTTCTCTTGCAAATTTCACAAATGTCAACTGCTCCCAGTACACAGGACTTGGATGATGCAAACCTGATCAGTTCCTAGCGGGGACAGGTAAACTCGGTAGTTGCCTCTCACACTTGTGGCCAGAAACATTGCCACCGATTCTCGTCAATTTAGCTTTGCCCAACTCTGACTTCGCTAACAATAATGCTGTAGCTTGCACACTTTGCTACATCGGTACTACCTCATTGTGGGGTAGCAGTCGTAGGGTGCTTCATTGCTGTACACAAGGTTCTGGGTTCGATACCTGGACATTATGTTCCCATTGTAGAGGGGGTTTAACAAGAAGGGTAACATACTTTGAGGATTTCAAAAAGAAAGTAGGCTGGTCTTCAAATAACATATAGCCCTCCAGTGAGGAATGTTTTGTGGCTGCTTCGTTGTTTTGTGGAATTGGGTGAGTGCATTGCAGGTATGCCATCATGAGTCATAAAAAGATTGATGAAGTTGTATAGGAGAAGCATAAGCAGCATCAATTTGAAAAATGGCTGCGCATGTCCAAAGTTTTCAAAAAAGTAGGTGGGCTAACTGACACGCCGTTTTTTTTTTAATTTGCGCAGCTTGGGGAGCTTATTGAAGCAATGTATTGCTAGACGCATGACTCATGTTGGCAATAGTTTAGTTTGTCTGCAGATTTGTCTCAAGTTATGTTTTAAAAACCTGCGCGATCGCTGAATCTGGTGAAGGGTGTATTTCTCGGTTTAAGTTATTGCTTTTTGCTAGAGGGTTTGATACTCTTCCTAGCCTTCTGTTTGTGGAGGGGCCTCTTGCACAGTCTGGTGAGTTGGCCTTTCATCCTTCTTTGTGTGGACTTACGCTTGCACCATTTGAATATCTTGCCCTTGCTTTGGTATCGGAGATGTATGCTTTCTGTTATAGATGGCGGCACTGGAAATTCCTGGAAATGGCGATTCGGGCACGCAAATCACTGAAGACGTCGTCAACAAGACAATCGAGTCCTTGGAAAACGTTCAGCAAAAGGTATTAACTTGATAACTAACAATAGCAAAAAAATAAAAAAAATTCGGGCAACTGGTACATAACACTGCTGTGTTTAGACAGGTTTTAAACAAAAGCTCTTTACCCCATTCCACATGGGAGAAGACTAACACAACTTGTCAACATGTATTCTGGGGGAAGGGGGGGGGGGTAATAAAATGAAGTTACATTTCAATGACCAGTAATGACAACTGCTGAATTGGTTACATAGCTTCAAGCACTCTCTGAGAACATTACTTTGGAATGTACTTTGCATTGTTTTCAGCTCTCTAGTCAGAATTTCGAGTTGTCATATTAAAGCTCATGTAAACAAACATTGTGACCTGCATGAAATCAGTTGTGCAGTTTGAGAAATGTGGGGCGACCAGAGGTGCCTTTAAATTCTGAAGCCGAGGGGTGCCCTGCAGTGGATTCGTTGCATAATGTTTCAGGACTTCATCCGCAAGTGCCTGCGAAAAAATCCGCTTGAGAGGCCCACTGCCAGGGAGCTTCTCTTTCACTCAGTAATCTTCGAGGTTCACTCCTTGCAAGTCCTGGCAGCGCACTGTCATCATCAAAAGTGCCTGTAAGTCGACCCTTCTGTCTTGAAAGTGACTGCTACATCGTGTGTATGTGGCCTCATGTCGTGCTTGTTTCAAGTTGAGGGCTAGAGTTTTGATGTTAGTATCGGTAGGCCCTCGAAGGAAGGGGAGGCTTCGCTTTTCCTAAATAAGTTGCCAATAGACTAGTGCAATCGAACATCTTGTGCTTGAATTGCTACAGAAATAAATCTGAACTCTCTCTTGCAAATACAGTGGCTGTTAAAAACAATCTGGCATTTTTCTCGTAGCTTCAGAATTCGGAACAATTTTACACATTAAGCAGGTTTCTTTGGAAAGCAGGAATCGCTGTGCACGAGAAATCAAAATGACTGTCTACCTCATTAACAGTCCTTCTAATTGGCATTCGTTTTACTATTATTTTAATGAATGTATCGCGGTGTAAGCGCTGTGGCCTAAGACTTCGAAGGTGTTGTTCACTTGCAATGAATTCTCAGAAAGACGTGAGTCATGCACTGCCAAATTGGCCACAGACTGCACCTGTGCACTGGTTGCTTTTGTGCTAGAATGCATGAAAATATTCGTTTCCTAAACAAATAACTGGAGCATCCGTGAACTTTCACCAGAAAGAAAGTCAAATTTGTGTGTGGTGCTTTCGTTATTACAACTATGTTTACGCTGCTTGGAACCTATAGTTAGGGGGAGGTGCGAGTCGAATTTTAATCTGTTGCCTAATGCAATGGAATTTTCACGGTATATATGGGCTTTTATGTTGATTTCAAGTATGTAATTAGTTTTATTGCTAGTTGCACTGTTTTGGTTTTGTGCCAAAACAATGTGTAAAGTATAGTTTGTTTGGACAATCTTTCTGTTCCACTAAAGCTTTGTGGTTCTGAGCAATTAATGGCTCCTAATGCTCCGCATTAACAGCGCAATGCAAATGACGTATCAAGAAAGTGCGTTTAAAACATTGTGATGGTCAAGAGAAATGCGAATCCTTAGAATACTAGGCCATACAAATTGCTTACTTTAGGTTTGTAGTAATTATATAAGCGATATCAAGTTTGAAGGAAATACTTGCACCCTTCACATGTTCAGTAATATGTGGGCAAAATTTCGTCCTGGAAGTACCAAAACACGATGTCCAAACTCAAGAAGTTGCCCAAAAATGGATTTTGACAAACTCGTATTAAAGGCAGAACGGAAAGCTCATTTACGAGGAAAAGATATGTTTTTCAAGATTATTTCTTCCATCATGAGAGCTGGGCAATTGTAGATTATTTTGAGCATGTGGTTTAGTAGACCCCCATGTGAAATGCAATGGCAAGCGGCCAGGTGACAATTTCCAGGGGACTCTAGACAATGAAGACTTCTTAATTTTTTAGTTTGAGTTTAGGTAACCTACTTTGAGTTTAAGTAGAGAAACTTGAGAAAGCAAATAAAAGTGATTAATTTGTTCTTTGAAGAAAAAAAAGAACATGAATTTTTTTAATCGCATCTACCCTTAAGCAACAGTGCTACGTTTTTCTTTCGTTTCTTTTTTCCAATTTGTTATCTCATTTGCATGAACTTAAGCTTTCCCCGTAAGCAATGTTTTGTCCTTGTTGGGATTAAGTTCTAGAGCAACCCATTACAGTATAATGCTGCTCACACCTCATGTTCTTTAACTAACGCTTTGGCATGTTGATAGTCCATTTCATTATTTTAGTGCACTGTTAAACAAGACAGAGGACAGAAGCATCACACTGTGTCCGTGTCGTTCTTCTGTTCTGTCTTGCTCAACAGTTCACTAAAATAGTGAAGTACTAGCATTATGTGCAAAGGGAAAATTTTGCGTGTAGACTGGAATGACCCACAAGTGGAATCGACACCTCATTATACTTTGCGAGCAAACCTCCCAGTACAGCGCTCTTGCGGTGAAGATTGTAGTTTTCTTACTTCGGAGCAACACTTAAAGAGATGAATTGTTTTTCTTCGACCTGGCCTTGATGAAATTATACAACTTGTACCATTTAGAGTTGCTTTTGTTGGTTTACATGTGTAGACTGTAGACCATGGTTTTCTACAATATTTACTGAAGGAAACTGTGCCACTGCAGTCATTCAGCTACCTTAGGAATGATAAGTAGTACATAGATTTGCTTAGTCTTCATGCTTGCGGTTTCCAAACGCACTTGCGGCTCCATTTGTTGTCGTGTTTTGGCTTTTGTTTTCGGATGAGATAAAATGGCTGGTTGTAGACTTCGCGAGCAGATTTCAACTGATCGTTCAAAAAGGGTGGCAAAGTGGGACTGCTTAACTTCGGCTTGTCAAGTGAATGCAGGTTAAACGGAGCTGAAAGATAGAAACACAGGCCCCAATCAATGCATTACTCATTATTTCCGTGCTGGCTGAAGGTCCCTGCTTTGCAGCTCCCATAGGCACTAGCACAACATTTCTCTCCAAGTGTATCCTAGTGGAACTCTATGCTGCGGACTCTCTGCAAGCACTCCGCTGAGGAAACTCTCATTTACTGAACCGATGTGCACAGTGGACGCGAAGAGAGGAAGCGTTTGCGCATGCTTGTTGTGCATGGCTGTAGTACTGTTGTGCTACTGGTCTTGTTACCAATCCGGCCACAACAGCAATGGTGGTCTGTTGGTTCCATAAGGTGGGCCTTCACACTTTCAGCTTATCACCCAGACCAACTGACGGATGAGGCCGTGCTTTTGAGGTACAGCCAGGCGGACATCATTGCCGAGATTACGCACCGGGACGACCGGCTTGGCGTGCAGCTGCGCAAGAACGAGGTGCCCAAGCTGGAGTTGGAGAAGCTGCTCGAAGATGTCAGGTGGGCGTGTGCATGCGCACTCTTCATTCAGCGATGGTCAGGGTGAGAGTGCATTGCCACACAGTATGAAGTTCTGCTGAATTCTAGTGCTATTGCATTACAGTGTTACTGCTTTATAATGACAGCGCATTACAGTGCCAGTACTTCGAGGTATGCCTACACAGATAACACTAATGCCCGACCAGCGAGCTGTAAATGGCTATAGACTTAAATGCATGCTGTGAAATTTTGGAAAACCTTCTCGGTGAAAAGCTGCAAAATGCACACAGATATGGTCTTGCTACTCCTATCTGACTTGTTTAATGTTGAAGCTAGTATCCTGTCGGCACGTTGCATGAAATTCCTTTGCATCAAACACGGGACCCCGTGGTGGCCCAGACGCTCTTTCAGCGCTATATGCATTATGATCTAGCCATTTTACTCATGCCTTCTCATGCTTTTGTCCTTCCATTTTTTTTTTTCCTTTTGCAATCTAGAAATGGCATCTATCCCTTGACAGCGTTTGTCATGTCCCATCAGCCAATCGTGAGACCCCGAGCGTCGTCACCCGAAGTGTCGGAGTCTGTTCAATCGGCATCGCCGGAACCTTATGACGCAGAGACACGACGCATCATAAACATGATGTGCAACATCAAACAGCAGGAAGAATCTCAAAACTTTGTTGTGAGTATTGTTATCATCGGCTGTTCTTTTCTACGCTTTATTTTTTATTCATGTTGGATACGTGCAACCCTGTTACTTTAAATTAATGAATATGGACTCGTTTTATAATGAACCACTGCAATAGCTTAAGGTCCATGGTGCTATGTTGCTAAGCTTGACGCCTTGGATTTGATTCCTGGCCATAGTTGCTGCATTGCAATGGTGCGGTAATGCTAAAGCATTGGTGCACCATCTACTTTGCGAGTGAAAAGTCTGTCTGACATTAAACGATGTTGTCAATAAACACAACTAATTTTCTCAATATGCATTACACACTAGCTTCTATGTGGTACATATAGTTATGCTTGCAAGATCCCCGGGTGCTCTAGAGTAATCTATGGCATACCTAATAACCATATCATGGTTTTGGCGCATAATACCCCTACTATAACTTGCCATTTTAGTCAGTTGCAAAAAGCTTCGCACCTATGTACTCACTCGACAACGTTTGGAATGCCCCGCCGTGGTGGTCTAGAGGCTAAGGTACTCGGTTGCTGATCCGCACGTCGCGGGATCGAATCGCGGCTGCGGCGGCTGCATTTCTGATTGAGTCGTAAATGTTGTTATAGGCCCATGTTCTCAGATTTGGGTGCACAGTAAAGAACATCAGGTGGTCGAAATTTCCGGAGCCCTCCACTACCGCGATCTCTCATAATCGTATGGTGGTTTTAGGATGTTAAACCCCGCATATCAATCAACCTTCGGAATAATGGAGGGTCATCTTGTTGGTATTGCACAGATATTGTGTTACAGTCATTTCCATTAGGTAAATTTTCTTTAGCAGTGTCTGTTGCTAATAATGCCTTTCAAGCATGCCGAACACAGTACATTTCTTGTCTGTTTGGGCTGTTCCAAGTCTGCTACTGCGTGCATTCATCACCTAAAGGTTCAAATGTTTGCTCAATATAATTTCTGTGTTCATCGCATTAAAGATGATCGCTGTGGTTCTTTGGGTAGAGTGTCTGTGGTGCTTGCAGTTAGTTTTCAAGCTACAAGTGCGGTGCGTTGCATGCCCTAGCTGTATCTCCTTGCTTTTCAGATGACACTGTTACTGCGAATGGACTGACAAAATGAATCGTCAGTTGACTTGCGAGCTCAGTATAAAAGACACTCCCTCCGTGCTGGCCACAGAGCTCGTTCACTATGGCTTTATTAACAAGGTACTGTACCTCGCTCGCCTTGCTGCCGAAGGAAACTGACTGTTAAAAGAACAAGCTGTTGTAAAAGGAAATTTTCGTTTGTGCTGCCTAAGCTGGGAAGAAGTGCAGCGTTCACCAGATTCTAACTAGCTCCCAATGCTAAATCTTGATGTGCTTCTGCTTTTCTTCTGTACAAGAATGAGCCCCTTTGGACCTTTAAAGACCACGCGTGTCTATCGCGGTGATTACCTGCCCCCAACAAAAACTGCGCCTTCAGTCTTTGGCTGCTGTGGCCCCGTTTTGTTGGGGGCAGCATGCAAGGATTGAAGTTCTTGAGTGAACGAATGTAACCATAAGGAGATGTCTGTGTGTTTCATTGTTACTGCAGTCTACAAAAGATATTCTACAAGGTGGTCAAAGCCATCGTTTCCTGCACTATTTACTACAGGGAACCGCATGCAGCATTTAGCCACCATGGGAATGATGAGTAGTGCATGGATTTTCCTAGCCTTTTTATGCTTGCTGCTTTCAGTTTCTTTGCGGCTTTGACCATTGTGGTGTTTTGACTAGTTTTGGATAAAAGAACTCCTCGTGAGCTGATTTGAATGGGCGAGCCGAAAAAAAGTCGTGAGGTGGCACTGCTGGACATCTTATGGCAAAGTGGCTGCAAGCCACACAGCGCCACATCTAGTCGAAATAATGACGCTTATGCAAATCTATGCACTATCCATCGTTCCATACTAGAGACATGCTTTGGAGTTCTCATAGGCACTAGCGGCAGATTTCCCTCTAGTGCACTAGTGCGAAACTCCATGCTATGGGCAGGCGACATTGCTAAAAACACTTTTGCACTCTGCTTACAGGATGACAGAAACATGGTGGAGGTCCTGATCCAAGACACTTTAAGCCGGAGTCACATTCCAGGCATCTCCAATCAAGCGCCTCCAATATCTATCGGTGCCGCATGAACATCCCACCCATCAGAGGCCATCCACTTTAGTCATGGTGCCTCCTCTTTAGAAAAGACCTGAGTGTGACAGAGAGACTGGGCTACCCAAAGTCTGGGCCTGTGTGAGAGGTGTGCGTGTTGAAGCGACTGCTAGCTGCTTTTTCTAGCAGTGTGTGAATGAGCCGTTTGTGCAGCGACTGCAATCTCGACCGCTCCAAGTTGCCTTGCAAAGAGGGATGATTTCTCAAGGTGTTAGTCTGTAGATGTCTGACGGTCTCCCCTTCCTCAATTTTCTTTTTCTTAATGGCTCCGGAAGGAGCAAGCTGGGGCCAAGTACTCGTTGTACTGTGCAGAAGTTTGCGCGTCCTCGAGTAGAGGTGGGCACTCGAGTTGAAAAGAGAGGGGTTGGGGTTCGTACGAAGTTTCTGAGCTTATTCTCATGCTGGAGCTTTTCTTGGCATCATTTGTACGAGGCATGCGTTGTGGTTACGGCGCTGCTCTAGCAAGCTCTTACTCTACCAGGTGGTGGGCTTATCAGCGCAAGCAATGGTTGCCGAAACGAGCTTGCACTTCATTGCCACCTTTCGCGTTGCATGCAACGCCATTGGCATGAAGAGAGATTCAAATGGAGACGCGCCTCCGAGCTTTCCTGCAAAGGGGATCGGGAATACTATTTATGGTGTTTCTTCGCTCTCGCTTGCACATCTGCTAAGGATGCCAAGCATTGCACCATTGTTACATGCTCAAACTTGTCTACAGGCCATTTTTTCCTCCTTTCCCAACCCTCTTCCCAGTTCTGTACATAGGTTGTCATGATAACTGGAAAAATGCTATTGTCGTTTCGCATGAAAGCCCACCAAATAGCACAAGTGTTGAAAAGCTGATTGTGCATTCCAAAGTCCATTTTACAATGCTGTTTGTACGAAAAGTATAAGAAGGCATTGCTCAGTAATTTTTTTTTCTCTCTCTGCTTCATACATGTGTAAGCTGTAGGCATGCGACTGTGACCCAAGGCCTCGCTCAATAGTTTGCTTTCATTATGAATTGAGGTGGTAATGAATTCTTCCCGAATTGCGTCAATAGGCACCGTGACCTACTAGCAGCCATATTTATGGATTGTTAAGCCACGCTGCAGTATCTGTAATGTAATGATAAATCTGTCCCCCAGGTATTCTTATAAACAGTGTGTGTGGGTTCGAGCAAGATTTGCTTGGCAACAGAGCTAGTCAAAACTGCTTGCCCATGTCACTGTTTGGAGCATATATTGCTATAACTATGCAATGCTCCTATTTTGGCATTTTCTAGCAATGCTTTTATCAGCCAGGACATGCTTTTGGCTGATTGCTTAACCAGAGTTTTTTGTTTCGTCTTTAAAGAGATATACATGACTGGAAAATTGGGACTTTATTTTTCTTTCTGCGAATACAAATTTGACCGGCACTTGTCATTGCAAATAAAAATTGATGCCTTCACTTTTGTGCATTAATTTTCTCATAGTTTTGTTGTTTGTTTTCGTAACATTCAATTATGTAAGCATTACAGAGGTGGCAGTTCGAATCTGCAAATTGCTTATGAAAACACACATTTGTTGCCAACTCTTCATGCAACCTGGGCCATTAAGGAAAAAAATTCCCTGCCCAAACAGGCAAAGCAACGATGTGGTCAAGTTGCAAGAGACTGAAGTGCTTACACCAACCATATGTACCAACCACATAAAACTGCAATGTGTACACTTGCAGGTCTGCTTGAGTTTTTTTTTTTTTTTACGAAAAAAGCGTGTGTGCGAGGGGGGACAGGTAAAGTTGCCTCCCCTCCCACTTCGTTACGGTAATCACCCGGATTCGGCATCGTTCAATTTGGCAGGTATGCAGCAGGCTAAAATCGCGCTGCACAATGCCCCCCCCCCCCCCCCCCCCGAACTTTATCCACCGTGGTTACGGATCTCTTCATGGGCTTCATGCATCGCAATTCAGATTTTGCATTGTTTTTGTCAGAGTCTTGGAGATCTGCCGATTGTGGCGCCACTTGTCGGTGGAGACGAACTGATCTTTAAAGGAGCTGATTTCAAGTAACTTTAAAATGAATTTAATAAAGGAGCTTATTTCCTCACGGATTGACTGCCGCAAAAATTTTTAGAGTCCGTGAAGTGCGAGCGCCGTTACGAATATTTGTCGCTGCTCTCGTCCCGACGAAAGCGCTACTGAGCAGGGAGGAATGGCTCAGGGGAAGAAAGTACGTCACACGCGCCTCTTGACCTTGAGTACTTCTTAAAGGCGAAGCTCCTTACGCCCTGGGTCGTTCCCTCATCTGTAGTAGTATGTAGCCACCTTTAGATTACGAGTTGCTCAATAGATGGCGTTGTGTGTATGTCTTTTAGAGCTACTCTATATGCTACCTTTAGGTACAAGTAGCATATACAGTAACTCTAATGTCCTCAACTTTATAGTACTTTATGGCTATGTGGCGTGAGCCACTGTCCGATCTAAAGCGTACAGCCGGATACACCCATCCATCCTCGGGAATAGTATAACTATATATATATATATATATATATATATATATGTGTGTGTGTGTGTGTGTGTGTGTGTGTGTGTGTGTGTGTGTGTGGCTTTAGTGGTTTTCACTGCATATCCACGGAGTGAATGATGTGTCGGACGAAGCGTCCGTCCGTATGTCTGTCCGTCCATGCTTCGGACGGATGGACACACGGACGGACGCTTCGCCCCACTCATCATCATTGACTCCGTGCATACGCTGCGATTTTTATCTCTATGAACGCGCGGCTTTTCAGTCCGATCACACGCGGACAGGTCGCGGCCTCCCGCGGCGGCCCCAGTAACTCGCGAGCGTGCCATGCTCAAATCGGCCAATTGCGAGATGCGATACTGTGACGCAGTGATTTTGAGTCGGCAGCGCAATTTCTCGGGAGAAGACAAAGCGATTTTTAGCTTAAGTTGAGAATGTATTGTAAATTGCAGGTCGCGGGCTGTGCTATAATATTCGAATCACGTGTTCTCGGGAGCCTCGACTACGGATCGGCCGCGTTCTGAGGTGGCAAACGCGCGTGCAGTCGCTTCGCCGCAACACAGGTGTGCTCTCCGCGGTAGCTGCAGCATACTACGCAGCGATCAAAGGAGTTTAGCAGAAAGCTCGGGTCAGGCGCACATATTGGCTGTTTTCCTTCCGAGTTTTCGTAGAAAAAGAACGCAGGGTCGGGGAAAGTCGTATTTGTCACTCTTGGAGCGTGAAAACCAGCCTCTTCGAGAGCCTGACTATACGCGTGTGCTCGTCGCAGCGCGTTGGCGCGCGGCATTTTGATGTGCTGTTGTTTTTGTTGAGTGATTCTAGAAGGAGGAAAGAAGGCGCCTGATTTCTGTCCGCCTCTTGGTCGACACGGCGCAGTGCCCGCATCTTGATGTGCCGCCACGCCTTCTCCCTGCAGTAGAGAGAGCCGCGCCCTGTCCGCGGGTAGAGGGCGCGGCAATAGAGACAGACAATAATATTGGGATCCCGTGTTCCCCTCACGCCCCCCCCCCCCCCCCGCCATTTTTCTTTACTGACGCACGCACAGAAACGTGGCGTTCGGAGGGTCACAACCAAGTGTCCCGCTGCTCTTCGACAATTAACCGGGCGCCTTGGCCCGCGAAACGGGGGTTAACGAAGCGGCCCGAAAGGCAGCTGCTCAGACTCATCCATCAATCCTCGTGGGAGCCAGTGCCACAACCACCTGCTGTCCCGTGTCGGTATAATGCGTGGCTCGGGTTGTGACGAAGCTTCGGCAACCTTCTTGAAGGAAGCGCAAAAGAGGACGCGGTCGAATGAGCGGACGACACCACAAACTTTTGCCGCGTGCTCGATCACATAATCCTTCGCGTCTTTTGCATTGTTTTCAAGTACAGCGACCTCTCTAAAAACTTAGACAAGAAACCAAGAAAAAAAAAACTTAGACAAGAAGGGAAAAAATATATCGCACATTCGTTATGAAACGGAGCTATAGCTGGCTATAATATAGTGAACTAAGTAGTTCACTATAGCTATAGCGCGAAACACCGCGGGACAAATATTTTGACAAGATGTACCCCAAGCGCTCAGCAAAGAATCGTTCATCAACCCTTTGTCTCTGTAGTTTCGCGCAACTACCAGTTCATAAAGGAACTGTGTACCCATTTCGCGCAATCATCATTTCATGCAACGTGAACATTGATGTATATATCAGGGAGGCAACGTCGTTCGCCAACGTTAGTCAGGGAACCGGCATTAGCGCGTATATTAGGCAGAACATTGATGCATATCTCAGGGAAGCAACGTCGTTGGTCAAGGAACCGGCATTAGCGCGTATCTGAGGCAGAACACTGATGCATATCTCAGGAAAGTAACGTCGTTGGTCAAGGAATAGGCATTAGCGCGTATATGAGGTAGAACATTGATGCATATCTCAGGGAAGCAACGTCGTTGGCCAACGTTGGCCAAGGTACCGGCATTACCTCGTATCTGAGGCAGGAAAGATACGAATGCCTCAGCCTGCGTCAGAGGCAGACGTATATCTGAGGCAGGAAGTAACGGATTGTTGAAATGGTTGTGAAAATCGACAAAACTGGCAACCAGAGCAGTTCATATTCACGCAAGTTGATCATATTCCGCAAGCTACGCAGTTTAGTGTGGAGAGTGTTTAAAGAATTAAATACAAAACCACACACACGCAAACACAAAAAGTCAGCCTACGCAGAGGCAATAAAGTGATTAATGGGACGGGAATGCCGCCTTCTTCGGAGGAAGCTATCGCGGAGGAGGCTTACACATGCCTCGCGACTATTGTGGATATGGCAAGCTTCCGAAGTGAACGTATCATATCCACATTTTATTATTAGTCAGCATCGTGGTCAGTGTCCTTTCTCGTTCCGTCTCTTCAGAGATGTTTTTTTTTTAAGAATGACGATGATAACAGCTTTATCTACCGCTAGATAAGGGAAGGCCTCCACTCCCTATCCCATGGCACACAGGCAAAAGGGGGGCTGGCACCTTCGCGATTAAAAGCAATTAAAGAGGTCTTGGCTCTTCGCGGCTTCTTCCGGGATGACTTTTTGCTGTGAAGCATGGTCCTCGCTTCGCAGCGGAGCTTCCCAGGCGTCTCTACTATTTATATTTGACCAAGCCCCTGGGGGAGCTATCGCACTGCCAGATTATCTTGTCGAGGCTCGGTTTTCCGCAGCGGCGAACGGGCACTGCCACGTTTGAACGCGTGATCTAGTGGTCTTCTCCTATCCACTTCTTCACTGTCGCCGATGACCGGCCGATTCGCCACCGCCGCTCCCGGGTTGCAAAGCAAGCGCAGCGCGTAGTCCGCGCCACCCGTCTCTTTCTCTCTTTTCCTTTAGGCACTGCGCCGTGTCACCTAATGGCTGACAGAAATTAGGTGTCTTTTCCCTTCAAGAATCACTGCCACCCCCGTTCCTCGCCGTAGGCTGCTGGACAACGTCCGCCACACGCCACATCGCGGCCGCGCCGCTAAGGAGATGACAGTGACACTTCGGTGTGGTGGCGCCATCTAGTTTTGCTTAGACAAACTAGCTGCGGAAAAGTGTCTATAGTCTGGCCCATCGCCGGTGTGAACGCGATATACTCGGACCGGTTTATAAATTCCCAGCTTGCGGGCACCGCCATGTGACTGTCTCTCTATTGTTTGAATTTGAGCCTGGGATAGCCTGCACGTGACGTCACGGACGCGGAGTCTGAGCGTACCGGCACTCCACGGTGGCAGCTTTGATGGCAAACATTAAGGCACGGTCAACCTTCTTCTAAGGTATAATCATAGGCGGGCGCAGGGTTGAGCGGCAAACCAAGTTCGTCACAGCTTCCTTATTATTTCAACCTCCCTATTGTGTCAATGCACCAGGCTGAATTCACGCCCCCCTCTTAGGTGACCAGAAGTTACTGCCTCCCCAGTGCCCTATTGAACACTATTTCCGCATACACGAAGTATCTCACAATATAAAGTGCACCTGAAAAAGCAAGGCGTTAGCGGGGTTTCTCACGCACCATGCAAATTGGCGCTTAAGTGCGAGGATAGATAACCAGGGGAGATGAAAAGAGGCTAGTAAAGTTAAGCCCATAAAACCATTCGTTGACTGTGATACAGGTGTTGTTTACTGCATTCCATTGGCCTGTAGCAAAGTTGATACTGGCCATACGGGATGGTGCGTAAATGAGCGGTTGCGAGAACATAATTGATCATCTTCAAGCGGGGCCCTGGGAAGTGATCCTGTTCATTGCCGAAGTTGCTCTAAATGCAATTCTGGTGAGCCGTTGTTTGATCACACGACCATATTGGTGTGAGGGGGAAGACGAGATATGGGCGGGAGATTTTGGACGGGAGATTTTGGACGCTTTCCACGTTGTAAATAATAAAGATAATTGTGTCAGTGATACGTCCTTTGCACTGACGTCAAAGTAGCGCGCCTATATACTTGGCGTAA